AGAAAATAGTATATTTCTAAGGAAATTTCGTTTTTAAAGTTCACGTAGCTTATGTAATTTCATCTATAATTTCGTCTCTAATATTATTAATAATGAAAAAAAATGAATTTAAGAATGAAAAAACATCGTTATAAAATTGATATTTTATTATAATGTGATACCATAATAGATGATATAAATAATCGACTCACTTAAAAGTAAATTGTTAGGATACAATATTATTTAATTATTTATTTACAAACGAGAATCAATTAACAATTTCAAATAGCTTTTCCAATTTCTGCAATTTTTATAATATATTACTCCACCCGTTTTAATTCAACATACTCATTTTACAATTTTCGTTTGTCTTGTTTCAAAGTATGTTTTTTCTATTTTAAAAAAAATAATCATACACTAATACCAAAATACCCTTAACTTTTATTTAAATTACAAATATACAATTACACCTACAATTACTTTATAAAAAAGTCAAAGAGCACAAATATCAAAATATCTTGTATACTTCCACTAACTAATAAAATACTATTATTTTTTAATATACGATCAAACATTGGCCCCTTCGAAACGAACAGAGGAAATATTTTTAAAAATTTAATTCTACTTTCTCAAAAAACCCTCCGTTTCTATCTAAAATTCTTGGCAAAACAGCAAAAAAAAACCCCGTAGTTTACCTAATCTACTAAAAACCTCCCATAGTCCTAAAACTTAAAAAAAACTTACTCGATTTGTAAAACGTTGCACACTCGCCCCCTTTAAATCACACTGACCCCGTTAAGTTTTAGCCTTATCATACCGTTATGCCCCTGACCATTTTCCATTATTTCTCTCTTATGTTCTTTCTTCTCCTTCTCTTCTCTGCAACTTCTTTCTTCCATTTTTTTCTTCCCCAAATTCTTTTTTCTTTCTTTTCTTCTTTTTCCTCGATTTTTCTCTTTTTTTTTTTCTCAAATTCTTTTTCAAGTCACAGTGGTTTTATCCGCTTTTTTCTTTTCTTCTTTTTCCCCCAATTTTTTGCAACATTTTAAAAATTACAAGTAGGCTTTTTGGAGTTTTAAAACCACGAGGTTTCAGTAATTTCGGAAAACCACGAGAGGATTTTTTTGCTATTTTCCCAAAATTCTTTCTTATCAAAATGGTGGGCTGGGTTGGGCCATACTGCATTGGGCCGGCCCATTATATTTCTCAGTATCACTGTTTTGAGGCATTATTCATTTAAGTTAGGCCGAAGTACTCCTTAAAGAATTAGCTAACTAATAAACCAAGCATATTCATACATTTAAATAAAACATACAGCACAAAAGATCAACTGATTTGATTGAATCAATATATACTAAAAATGTATTTTAATACTCTATATTTATAATATAATATCATAACTTAGTATATACTATTTTATAACACAGTTTGAATCTTTAAGATATATATAAATATATACTAATTACCGTATGACCTGACCGGATCCCTTGCCCCATTTGATCGGATATAGTTTATTTTTCGAACAGAGAATCCCATCGGCTATGCGACATATTTTAATCCGATCAAATCAAGCTGACTGTGTCAAATCACTACAGAATCTGTAGACTTAAAAATATATTAAGTCATCAAACAAAAACCACAATAAAATCACCATAAATAAATGAATAACCAACCAATAACCCATATATATATAGAGAGAGAGATAGAGAGAGAGATTATTCATATATGTTGTAGTTATTACATGTAAAATGAAGAGGGTCTGGGACTGGGACTGGGACTGGGACTGGGAGTGGGAGTGGGGGCGGGGGGGTGGGGTGTTAATATACCGAGGGGGTCTCCGTCAAGCGAGCCGGGAGGATGAACGCAGTAGCAGATCCCGCCGCCGCAATGGGTGGTGCCGTCGTTACATGAAAACTTCTTACAATCCTCTATCCTATTGCAAAACGTCGCCGAGACTGCAATTTAATTACATATATACATATATATATATTACCACTAGGAGATAGATCTAGAAAGAGAGAGAGAGAGAGAGAGAGAGAGAGAGAGAGAGCTAACCAGTGGTGGCCATGAAGAAGATGACCAAAAGGATCAATGCAATCGACTTCTGGGCAGCAGCAGCAGCCATTGTAATGTATTTTGTGGAGAATATGGTAGGTATATACGTGTGTATATATATATATAGAGAGAGAGAGAGAGAGAGTGAGTAAGAGAGAGTGACAGAGAGGAATGCCCTGGAATTATTGTTGCAATTTAAATTGTTCCTACCAACGTTGATAATATCAGAAAATTAATATTAATATTCATTGCACTTGCCTTTTATTTATTGTAAACAATAATTTATAAAGGGTTTGTTATAAATTCTGTTTTTATTTAATTTTCTACATTAAATATATTTTTTATTTAAAATCTATTAATATAGTTGGCGCCGCTTCATTATTTTTTGAAATAAGGAGGTGTTTCCTCTGGTTGAGTTTAAAAAAAATTGTTTAAATTTAATATTAAAATAATATTTGATAAAATGTTTTGTGAGAAAAAAATATATTTAAAAAAAAATAAATTCAAATAGTATAATTTGATAAAACTGATCTAATGACATGCCCTTTTAACATATTAATTTTTATTTTTACTAAAATTTCTACTAAATGGATTCGGTTTAATTCGATTTCCGATTATGTATAATCAGTTTTCGAGATGCATTAAATTATTGTGCACATAATAATCATTTTCTAAAAGGAAGGTTAAAACTAAAACTTACTTATTTCGGGTGATTTATTATATGGCAATAAAATTAAGAGTCTATTATTATTATTAGCAAGATTTGAAATTGATTTTGATTCCTTATATATCTGTATATATACAAATTAAATATATTTTATAAGATATCTTTATAAATTCTACATAATGGTGAGATATTGCTAAATTCTTCCCCTAATTTTTTTAGTATTATTTTATACTCCTATATAGAAAATAATAACGGCTTTGTTTACACTATTTTTTAAAATTTGATATTATTTTTTTTTCAAAAATATCATATTAAATATATTTTTAATCTCGTAAGATATCAAATTAACTACTAATATTGTATTTGTTTGTGAACTTGATTTTTGAATTTAAATTTTTGAATAGTAAAAGTTTGATTTTAAAATGTTGTTGGATACGATATAAATAGATATTGATGTAATATTTTGAATGTAAAATTGATTTTTTATATAATATAATAAATAAAAATTATTATTTGATTTGATATTTTTTAAAAAATAAATAAATAAATAATAAAAATCTTATAAGAAATATATAAAAGAACACATTTTTTGAAAATCTTTTTTTACATGGAACTAGCATCTTTGGTACATATTTTTTCTATTTTTTTTATTTTTTTATTTTTTTTTCTATTGTCTTATTTTGCAATAGGAATGACAATAGGGTGTGTGGATTCAAGACAAGTTTTGCAAATCTCTCTCACCTTGAATTCATTGGATTCGGGTTCAATCCGACAAACTCATTTTTTAAAACAATATATATATATATAACAATCATAAACCTTAAAAAAATTTAAAATTGAACACTAAATAATTATAATTATAATTCTAAAAATATGAACAATCAAATGTTGAACACTAAATAATTATAATTTTTAAAATATGAAAAATCAAATGTTGATTCATAAAAATAAAATAAAAGTACAAATATATTGCAAATACATAATAAAAATCCAAAAATTCAAATAGTCAATTCTAATATTTTTTAACAAGCCTTCATCTTCATTACAAAATTTATATATAGAAATAATAGAAATTTTATTATATAAATATATATAATATGAATAAACAAAACACAATATTAAGATAACAAGTAAATATATTTTTTTTTATGTTTGTCCAAAAAAAAAAGGATTTTTAATTTATAAAAAGTAATTGTTATACACTCTTTAATTTATATCATTCAATATTACACTATTCACAAAATTGATACAAGTATTTACACACTTAATCTATCATCTTTTTTTTTTTTTTTTTTTTTCTTATCTCATTAACTCACATATATATTTTCCAAATATTCATATATACTTTCCAAACTATTAATATTTCATATCACAATAAATCAATATAAAAAAATTACAAAGTGTGAGATTTGAACTCATCTATGACTGAATGTTAATAAGTTAATAACTTGGCGATTAGACCATACTTTCAGTTCTAACAAATATTAATTATTTATTTTAAAATATATTTAATTTATTAAATCAGACCAAGTTACAGTCCAATCTTAAAAGGCCCGGTCTGATTCATTGTCCCGCTAGCCCGGCCGAAAATTTTTCAAAATTATTTTTCCAAATCCAAATAAAGTTTTTAAAAGTATTTGCATTGAAAAATTAAGCTCGAATAGTTTTTGGCCGGCGGGCTCAAACCCTAAACTCAAAAGGCAGATCGACAAGTAATGAACAGTGAAGTCCGTAAGAAATGACCTGGTTCAAACCTCATCGTTTCTTTGCCCGCCACACGTTTAGTGTGATTTGTCTGTCGAATTTAATTTGTAAATTATTATGTTCGATAAAATTTATCCAGAATGCAGGTAAAGAATTGCGACTGTCGAATTTTTAAACCATGCTTATTTTTGTTGTTTATATGTTAAAATACTTAGTGCACTAAGGGAGCGTTATAATTGCCGCTATATAAAAAATATATTAAACTAAAGAAATGATAGTTGGCATTGTGAGATGCTACAACTTATCTTTATTACTACAAAAAAAACCAATCATATACACAAATTAAAACCAAAGTTAAAACGCTAAAGCTGCTGTAATTAAACTAATAGTAATAACGTAGAAATCACGAGCCTTACAAGTAAAGATTGGACAACACCACCATCATTATCATCATCTTGATCTTGGTTATATACATATAATAATACCTTCGTAACGTAGATTGTTTGTGCAATGTACGGATCCTCCTGGCATTAAATACAGCACTGTACTGTTTGTTTTCTGCGTTTTACCATTTTCTCTTTCTCCACAGTACTGAAAAGGGAAACGAGTTTTCACAAGGTATGGGCTGGATGAAAACTCAGCAATTCCGTGAAAAATAATTGCAGTCGATTACAATATCGTATCCCTGTAAATTAATGTCTGTAGCAATTTTTGGGGAGTGGCAGTGGCGGTGGTTACTGGTTTTAATGATTCGAAGGCTCTCTTTTTGATGTCTTGAGGCGTGGGTATAAATGCTGCATCTTTCTTCTTTATCTGCCTTCCCTTTCTTTCTCTCTCGCTCTTCCTCTCTCTCTCTCCTCCATTAATTTTCTTGAACAAGAACAAGTCCAGAAAATCAAATCTTCGAGGACAGAAGAAAAAGAAGAAACCATTTGTGCTTTTTTTTCGTTTTTTAGGTTTTCTTGAAGTGGGGTTGAAAATCCTTGAAGGCAGCTGATTTATGAAAATGGTATCTTTATTACAAGCTTTCTTGCTTCCCTTTCAGACATTAGGGTTTGTTTCATTGTAGGAGTGAATGTTATGTGTTGGTGGTATTTATGGTTCTGAGAATTGATGAAGTAACGTTGACTAGGCATTAATGGAGTCTTGGAGCTTTAATTTCAGTGAGAAGCTTTCGAAACAGTTGATGTTCGTATAATGATTTATGTCTGTATTCTGTTAACAAAAATGAGTGCTTGAAATCTGTTCAGCTGTTTACCATTAATGGTGGCTGAAGATTTTAAGGGCTTTCTTGCAGTGTGTTTTATTGTCTCCTTTTTAATCTCTCGTTAGAAATTCATCAGGTCTATATGTAATATGTTGTCGTTTTGTATATCATCTGTAGACAAGATATGGATATGTCATTCGATTGGCGAGTTACTGCAGATAATCTAGCCGTTGCAATGATTCCGATGGGAGATTCTCCGGTGGAGTTCTGTTCTTGTTCCTCTGTTCCTACTGTGGATCCTTTTCGACCTCCGGTTTCGGACCCGAATACTAATGGACAGAGTTTAGGACATTATGATGTTAATGTCCTGAATGATTTTCCTGCAAGAACTACCTCGATGTTGTATGGGTCGTCGGTTGCCGGGATGATCCCTCAGAGCACGTCGCAATTTACAGCTGATTTTGGAGAGGATTTTGGTGAAGTGGTGAACCTTTTTAGTGTTCTTGATCCGATAGATTCTCGGGTTTTTGGCGTGATTCCATCGAAACAGCAAATGAACATGACTGAGGGTTTGGTCGGAAATTCTAACAAGAGGAAGAGAGGCGATCGTGTTTGTGTTCTTCTTCGTTCTGCAGTCGATTGTTTTTTAGATTTTCGAAACATTTTGGATTGATTCAATTGTGTCGTATATTTGCCAGGCTGATCGAGTCGATGTCAAGGAGATTAAACCGAAAGGGTACATCCACGTTAGGGCGCGACGAGGTCAGGCAACAAATAGCCATAGCCTCGCCGAGCGGGTATGCTGCTGAATTAATCAATGCGATAGTTGCCGCGTATCGTTTCTTGGATTTGAATTAGTTGACGAAAATGCAGGTGCGGCGCGAGAAAATTAGCGAAAGAATGAAGTTTCTCCAGGACCTTGTGCCGAGCTGCAGCAAGGTAGTGAGATATTTTAGTTATTTAGTTTTAGTTATTTTAAATTGTTATTATTTGAGTCTATTGAATCTGTTATGTGGCGCTAGGTGACGGGAAAAGCACTCATGCTCGACGAAATCATCAATTATGTGCAGTCTCTGCAGCGCCAGGTCGAGGTATTTGTAACTACTCGCAAAGCATGCATCGATTTCGACTTCTGTTAGAAATTTGGGAGAAAATAATGAGATTGTATTATTAATCTATCAAAATAAGCGGCCAACAATACAAATGTTTCAGCATATAATCTATCAAATCTAAGTAATCAATAAGACCAGAATATAAATTTACTAAATATAAAATTGGATATCTAAAATATCTCGGAACAATTTCAATGTTTCAGTTCTTGTCGATGAAGTTGGCAACGGTGGAACCTTGTCTGAACTTCAATGTCGAAGAGTTTCCAGCTAAAGATGTAAGAATAAGCTTCAACTAGTGTCTGAATTCCATTTTTCATTTTTATCTAATAACAATTCCGAAACCACAGCCAAGAGCAGCTCTGTCACGTTCGCCGGGGTTTATTACAGCGCCATGTCCTCCGCTTGTCCAGACAGGCCCAGTGGAAGCTCTTCAAAGACAAATCAATGGCTGCAGAGGATTCAACGAATCGACAACACAAGTACATTCCATGAATGCATCTTCGACGAGTCTCTTACACAGTTTTAGATAATGCAACTGATTTTTGCAGCTGCCGAGCGAATGGGGGGACGAGCTTCGCAACATTGCCGGCATGACTGCTCCTCGTAGCAGCAGGGATTCAAGTAGTACATTAAACATGTTCTTACCAGAATCCATCCAGGCAGGCTTGAGTTCTTACCAAACTCCGGCGAATGCCGAAACCTGATTTTCCGGCGCCGGAAACGTTCTTTTTCCCTGAGTTATTGCATAGCCTAACAAAGGATTGGAATTCACCTCCCATCATCAGGACAGGGCAGGAAATAGCTAAACTAGTGTTTATCAGAACATAGATATATTGTTTTAGAAAAGACATGTTCTTGTCCGATCAATGAACCGTAATTATTCAGAGAAGAAAAAAGGGATATATAAATCCTTTGTTCTCCAATAGATTATATGCTAATTTTATTTCATTTTGAGCTTCCATTGTTAATCCCTGATTTGGTACTTAGGAGATGAGGGAAATTGATGGGATTCCCAAACCCTAATGCTATGTTCTTGGATCTTCAAGAGCTCGAGGAAATTATATATTTTGATAATCTTCAAGATATTTGAAGGGACTAAATTATAGATTGTACTTCTCGCTGAGGGGATCCAACTGGCGACGCCATGGCCAACATTTCCAATTATTTCTGTTCCCGCCTCAAGATTTGCTGCGAGACCCGCAACCTGAAGCAGGCGAAGCAGCTTCACGCGCACATAATCAGGTCTCTGATAGACCCGGAGACATTCTTGCTGAATAACCTCGTAAACGCCTATTACAAACTGAGCCACATTAAGTATGCACGCAAGGTGTTCGATAATATGCGCAGGCCGAATCTCTTCTCCTGGAACACCATTCTCTCGGCTTACTCGAAAGAAGGGGACGTTTTGAAAATGCAGCAGCTGTTCAATTTGATCCCTAGAAAAGATGGGATTTCCTGGAACTTGATTATTTCGGGGTACATAAAGCTTGGATTATGTGACAAAGCTTTAGAAACTTATAAGTCGATGCTAAGGCATGGGTTGAAGAATCTCAACAGAATCACGCTTTCGACGATGACTATAATGCTGTCCAACAAGGGATGGGTGTTTTTAGGGAGGGTTATACATGGGCAGATAGTTAAGCATGGTTTTGAAGCATATGCTTTTGTAGGGAGCCCTTTGGTGGATATGTACGCGAAATGTGGTTTGATAACAGAGGCGAAACGTGTGTTCGATGAGCTGGAAGAAAGGAATTTGGTCATGTACAACACAATGCTCGCCGGATTCTTGAGATGTCGGATGGTGGAGGAAGCTTTTGGTTTATTTGAATCCATGACTGATAAAGATTCAATTTCTTGGACAACGATGATCACAGGACTAATGCAGAGAGGGATGCATAAAGAAGCGCTCGATTTATTCAAGGAAATGAGGTTTGAGGGATTAAATATGGATCAGTTTACATTCGGCAGCATTTTGACTGCCTGCGGAGGCCTTTTGGCGCTAAGAGAAGGTAAGCAGATTCACGCGTACGTTACAAGAACTGATTATATGGAAAATGTGTTCGTCACTAGCGCGCTTCTTGATATGTACTGCAAGTGTAAGGACATCAAGAACGCCGAGAGTGTGTTTAGCTTGATGAAGCACAAGAATATCGTGTCGTGGACAGCTATGTTGGTAGGATATGGTCATAACGGGTACAGCGAAGAAGCTGTTCGAATCTTTTGCGAAATGCAGAAGAATGGAGTCGAACCGGATGACTACACATTAGGCAGTGCGATAAGTTCTTGCGCAAATCTCGCTAGCCTGGAAGAAGGAGCTCAGTTCCATGGCCGAGCTATGGTTTCAGGGCTGATCGCGTTTATAACAGTCTCAAACGCGCTCGTCACTTTGTACGCTAAATGTGGGAACATCGACGAGTCGCACCAGTTGTTTCGAGAAATTAAGTTCAAGGATCAGGTTTCTTGGACAGCATTAGTTTCAGGATATGCCCAGTTTGGAAAAGCCCGGGAAACGATCGACACGTTCGAGGAAATGCTGGCTCGTGGCGTCGAACCGGATGGGGTCACATTCGTCGGAGTTCTTTCAGCGTGCAGTAGAGCTGGATTAGTCGAAAAGGGGTGCGACTATTTTGCTTTAATGTCGAATAGGTACAAAATCCAGCCGGCTCTCGATCACTACACCTGCATGATCGATCTTTTCAGCCGAGCTGGAAATATCGAAGAAGCCAAAAACTTCATTCTCAGAATGCCTTTCCAACCTGATGTTATCGGTTGGGCGACGTTACTGAGCTCATGCAAGAATCGCGGTAATATGGAGATCGGGAAATGGGCTGCCGAGTCTCTCCTGAAATTAGACCCCCGGAACTCCGCGGGACATGTTTTGCTCGCGGGCATTTACGCCGCAAAAGGAAAATGGGTCGAAGTAGCGCAGATGAGACGACGGATGAGGGACAACGGCGTAAGGAAGGAGCCGGGGTGTAGCTGGATCAAGTACAAGAACAGAGTTCATATTTTCACAGCTGACGATAAGTCGAGTCCTTTCTCCGATCAGATATATCAAGAACTCGAAAGATTGAACGAGAAAATGATACGCGAAGGGTATGTACCCGACATGAACTCTGTTCTTCACGATGTCGATGAGTCAGAGAAGCTAAGGATGTTAAATCATCACAGCGAAAGGCTGGCGATCGCATTCGGTTTGATTTTCGTTCCTCCGGGACTGCCCATCAGAGTCGTGAAAAACCTCCGGGTGTGCGACGATTGCCACAGCGCGACAAAGATTATTTCGAAGATTACGAAGAGAGAAATACTCGTTAGGGACGCAGTGCGGTTCCATTTGTTTAAAGACGGGCAATGTTCTTGCGGAGACTTTTGGTAGAAATCGAAGTGGACCCTGTAATCGGTGTGTTTTATTTCGAAAAATACGAGCACTACATATTTTGCTATAGAGATAAAACAACAAAGATTGACGATATAGTTCAGTGTCGTTTAGAGCCCTTCGGAGGTCATCCTCCCGGCGACATCTTCTGACTGGCGCCACGAACATATGTTTCTTACATGTACACGAATCGGTTCGCTCCCGATTTCAAACAATCTCCGGTGCAAAGCTGGTTTAGTACCTGCCTCCATTGTGTCCTAACACTCTGAATGTATGCTCATTTATCAACAACAGCTGCTTGAGTCGACGCTGCAGATTTGTTGCGAGGCGACATGTTTGATTGACTCTCCCCAGCGACAGATCAGCTTGTTACTCTTGTGGAGAAATAATGATTAAAATCTGCTGAACTAGTTGAAGAAATAGGTTGAGTCCAACACGTCTTTCAGGTTAAAGTCTCCTCGTTCTGGCAACGGCGGAAAATTTAGGTCCGGAAAGGATTCCTGGAAGCTCTCCAACAACTGTCGCAAACAGAGGTAGATAAGTTAAATTCTGTAATGACGGGGACGAGAATGGTTTGATGTTAGATTCTATAAACAGCTTACATTCTCCAAAATCGGCATCTCATAAAGTTCAACGAACTTTTCTCGTAGAATTCTGTTCATTTCGTCGACATCACATGCATGAGTCCAATAGGAATCATGTACTCCTGGAATGAGTTGTTGAAGATGTTAAATCCATAATAAAAGAGCGGGCAAGTACAATAAAGATTACAAGAAAAATAACGGAACCTGCAAAAGATAATCCCGCCTCTGAGCAGGCAATGGCGGTCATCATCATGTGAGAACCATCGAGCGAGTGCACAAAATTTGGAGGAAAAGCTGTTCTCTGCCGCTTAGCCATCACCTATCGTAATCATGATATAAAATTTCATTGCATAGTTCATTTCTAACTGCAAATTGCTAGAGATAATAACGAGCAAATTACCTTATCAGTTTCACGTTGAATAGTTAAAACCTGAAGAGAAGTTTTGATCTGCAACAAAGCAATAACCAGTGTTATATTTGTCGAATGAAATGAAAACAGTTATCTGAGAGACTAGGAGCATGTTATATTACCATGTGCTTTCCTAACTGACGGTAAGGCTGGACAACAGGGAGGCCTAGGGGTGTAGTCCAACGTACGGGTTGGTTCTCCATTGCTATAATCTGCTTACATTAAGAACGCACGTCACTGAATATGAAGAACAAGATTAGGTGATACAAGGAAGAAGAGATGATCGAACACAAACCTTTGCGCAGTCTCCCAACCAACTCATTATGCTTCGTGCAGCCTCGAACATTTCTCCTAGTGCAGTTAAAGTAATCTGCAAGGGCAAGATGGAAATGTGGTTAGTTTACCATTAATTCAGTAAACCAAGAATGCTCACATTCTATTAGGTAATTAAAGAACAAACTTTTGCAGCATAGCAAGCACAAATAAACGACTCTGTGTCATCTTCAATAGCATTTCGCTCCTTTAACCTCCTCTTGATTTGATCACGCGCACCAATATATGTCACACCATAAACTGATGTCATCACCGTTTGCTTGACTAATTTTCTATCCACCTGTAAACAGTCAATCGTAGATTCAATGAGCATGATATGAGAATATAAATCCAAAATGATACGATATTCAAATGTGCAAGTTTTTAAGAGTATATACAGTTAGCAAGTCATATGTGTAGTCTCACAAACATATCACGGACCGGTCATTTCAAATAGTGTGCAAGCTTATACAAGCATATTAAAAAATAACATATGGCTGATAGGGAAAAAAGCATAAACATACATGGTCGATAGGGAAAAAAATAACATATGGCTGATAGGGAAAAAAGCATAAACATACATGGTCGATTAACATCCTAGCATGCTTAGCATTCAGATCGGTTTCAGGGTCTTTAGCAGCATCTCTCTTCATTATCTCAAGAACCCTGCATCCAAAAACAATAAAACGAATGAAACATAGTTTCTTATGTAGATCAGACGGTGCTACATCAGTATAGTATATCGCATAAGGTGTAATTTAGTGAAATCATCCTTTCAAGTGTGGTTCACAAGCCCCTGTGAATAGATCAGAGGTAATATTTGAAGCTCAGCATAATTCCCTGGATTTTCACATGGAAGCTATTGTATATGCCTATGGTGGAAAATCAGAAAACCATTTGTCGTTGAGTTCTTATAGCAAGCCCTCCATTATATCATTCATTTGTTCTATTACTAGTTATATACATGTAATTACCGTCAATTTGGCAATGCCATCATAACATAGACAAGGCAACTATATACATCATGCTATTGGACCTCACCTAGCAGCAATTCCGGAGTAAACATCAGCAGGCTTGTCTCCCGCAACAAGATTAACTGCAGCTGCTCCCAGCTGAATAGATATACAGATATGGTACATCAGAAACATGAAACTTATACTCAACAGTTACAGAGTCCAAACATCAGGTTCTTTCCATGATAAAGCCTATGGCTGCAGTATTCAGAACCTATCCCAATTATGATTTAACATTTTGCAGCATACTGATATTTATGGCCACTGTTCAAGCCTGGTGCATTACATAATTATACATTAAACAAGTGTTAATCGTGTGTCTGCTGGCAAAATTATTAATTTACACTTCCCTAACATAAAGTGAAGGATCCTACATACAATAGGAGCAAAATTAAATTAGTAAAGTATCTCATTACCTTGTCTCTTCCAAGGGCAGCATAGTGTTGCAAGCCATTACATGAGCCATCCTTGAAAATGAACATATACAAAATATTCAGATAAAAATTTACCAAATAAATAAACAAACCCGTCAGTGAGGAAAAGACAATCTGTTGCCTACCTGGTGAACAGGGATGTGTGAGATTGTAGCCTCTGGGCATGGATTTCGTAATGCTTCAGCCAGGTCCATGCAAGTGGCTAGGCATTGAAAAGGATCCTCAGCACCCAACCACCATCGTCTCCCTTCTAGAGGTCGGTCTGCAGAATCAAAGATCTCATCCATATGGTTTTCAGTAAAAGATATCCGACCTTCGTAAGATAATTTGTCAACACCACCGGCATACAAATTCGCCAACTGGATTTTCAACCAACGTAACCCTGACTTTCCAAGTGGACGGCCCTCTGCAAATTCTAGGATTCCTCGGCAGAGATCAGAGCCAAGATGATTCAAATATGGGTGCATGGGATATGCACGACCTCGGAAATCCAAATTGTGAGGATAGTAAAACCCTTCTTCATCCTTCATTTTTCTGGCCACCTGCACAAATAGAGACAATCAATTTATAAAAATAAAACTGTCTACAATACAACTCAAACTATTGGAGAAACTCTTACAGCAAGTTTGAGTTCTGTATCACACCGCTGTGAATGCCTTTCACCGTTCTCCTTTTTCACTGTTTTGACTTTCCACTTCCACTTCTTAATTTCTGCCTCATCATCCGTATCCGGTTTCTCTGGCAAAGGTATCTAAACAGGCATCAGATTGAGGGCAAACAAAAATATTTAAGATATACTGCAGAGCATAGTTATCATTAGGTTGAAGGTCAGCATCAATTACAAGAAGCACAGAGGAAATGAAAATAATTAAAACAAACAGAAATAAGAAAGATCAACCATAAGTTGTTTTAATTGAACAAGGACAAGTTTATTTTCATTCAATAATCACTTACATCTTCACGGTCAACCAAGTCAGCAAGACAACCTCCATTAGCCCAAATTCTGTCCACAACACCAAGTATTCTTTTATTTACCCTCCATTTAGTATTGCCAAGAGTATTTAGGGCCTATAAAAAAACAATAAATTTAGTAAAAGGAATGTGGAAATTTTAATTGGAATGGTCAAAGACATTGCTCAATAACTTTCCAGAATACTTTTAAACTAAAGTAACAAGAAAAAAACTGCAGAAACCCAGAGTGAAAGTGCAAAACGGAAAAAACCTGGAATATAGGTTCTAGCTGCTGTTTTGAAGCTTTTTTAATAGCTTCTCGTGGTTGTTTTGCCCCATGTGTGCGCATAAGATATGATGGTAGAAACAAATAAGCACCCCGTTCATAACTGCCAGCATGAAAATTTTAATTCATCTACTAAGTTGTTATCTTTAAATCCAGTACAATAATTAAGTTCATGGTAAAAGCAGAAAAAAATTTCTGTGACATGAACCAACCATTAAAACAGACACTTGAACATCATCCATGGGCAGTCTCATGGAAATTTATTTAGAATATGCAAACCATGAGGATAAATAAGTGTACTCATTCAAAGTCCAATAGAATAAGGAGAAAACAAAGAATAACATACCCAATCCAGTTTAGTGGAGGAACTAGCATCGGCATATAAGGAATCACCATATGTTTAGCCTATATAGGCATAAGGAAAAAAAAGAGTCAAATATTAGAATCAAGGTCACTAACAACAATGCGAAAAAATAAAAAATAAAAAAAGAAGCTTCCATAGTCCGAAAACACAAACAAGGCTGAAATGAGAGATTAAAAGGCGTAATGTTTACAGTTTTTTCCAAGCCTTTGCGGACTAAAGGATCACACTCAATCACCCCATATCTCCTGGTGCCTTTCCTATATAAGTCAAGGACAAAAATAATCAGAATTCATACCTGAAACACTTTACAAGACAATGTGGTTTAAAGGGAACAATACAGGCAGCGAAGATGCCCTTGTACTTACACTGTATCTATAGATCTCAGCGTGTGCACAAATGCGGGTCTAATATCTGGTGGTGCATCATCCATCTGATCGGTAGGAGGTTGTATGTAGGCTGTTTGTGTCATTATCTGAATCAAACGGCTACCAACCTGTAATATACAAAATGATCCCAAACTCAACTACATATCAAGCACAAAATTGAAATCATCAAGCATGTTGTTTTTAACAGCCACAGAAAACATAGAAATGCAAACATGCATAAATGGAGAGAATAGTGTATGACAAATACCTTCAATTGATTTTCTTGGCCCCATGACTTAAAATGATCTTGCTGCTTCACTATTCTCCTAACTTGATGCAATTTTTGTTTCTTAATCAAAGCTTTGACCTTTTTGCCTAGTCTCTCCTGCTCCTTGGCCTCAATATCAATCCCTTTGTCAGTGTCGGTGACTCTATTTAATGCATCTTTTCTCTTGCAATTCTCTAAAAACTTGTGAATCCGGGCCTGATCAACAATAGAAACAGCAATCACTGAACCATTCACAGCCTATAAAACTCAGCTACTTCAAAAAGACAGCATAAAATTCCAATGTTCTTCAACTTCAGTGAACAATTAATTTAAGTGCATCTAGAGGACCCAATGATTAAAGAATATCACAAACACTAACCAACCTCATTTTCAATGGCTTCACCAATATGAGAAGCCGCTTGCACAACTCTAGCACTGCCATTACATCCTCCAGTCATCAGTAATCCCACCAACTTATGCATTGTTATAACAGCCATCATATCTGCTGGCAATTGATCGAAATACGGTGCATGAGCCCCACGGTTTTTACCCTCCTTGCATAAATTCTGCTCTGCAACAATGGCATCCCTAAGCGGTTCAAACCACCCCAAGAATAATGACTTAATGTAAGGCAAATTAGGGGCCAATTTCTGCTCACACATGTCCGTCAGAAGCTCTTGATACTCGCTGGCCGCCTGTTCCCAAGCCTCTGTCTCTACCTTTATTTGTCTCCTCCGAAGAATATGGTACTTTCCTGATCCCATCCCTCCCACCATTTTTGGCTGCTTCTGCTCGCACATACCTGATTTCTTAACTTCATAATCTCTGCTCATCTTACGCACAACTTCTTGAATTTCGTCAACCTCTTCTTCAGATGTGGACACTAAAGCCTCAGCTGCAGCAGTTGCGTAGCCCTCCGTATTCCTCAAAAACGCGAAACGGTGATTAGCATTTGCATAATTAAGGCACCTCACACCATACTTCCTACATAAGCTTAAATCTTCACAAACCCCTGATTCAGGAATCCGATAATTTACAGAACAAGTAGAGAATTCGAGAAGTCCGGTCTTGTTAGAAGATGTCGAATCTTTGGATGATCTAACCGTAGAAAATCCATTAACCGAAGGGCTGGATTCCGCCAAACACCTGAACTTCCTCAAGTGAGATTGCTTCAATAAATTCCTCCACATCATTGGACCAGATGCAACCAATTGGGAGGCAGTAAATAAGAGCGCCTCCGCAGACCTAAAGCCCAGAAATGTGATCAACAGAGGATGATATCGCAAACATGAAACTCGGACGAGAGACGGGGTTCGATTCGAGGACAAGATACGCCGGCTGGCAGAGGCAGTCGCCGCCTTAAACCCTGCAAAAAACCTAGACAAACCATTCCTTCACATTTTATTTTTTTTTGTAGAAATAAATAAAAATGGTCGAAATCATTTTCCTATTTATTTTTTAAAACTAAAAATTGCTGCGGGTGGTTCTTCGTCCGGGTCGACCCGAATGACAACTTGATTTGGTTTTGTATATCTTTGCCTTTATTGAGTGTTTTTATTTTAGGTAAATTATATAACACCCTCTTATATTTTAGTAAAAATATACAAATATCATATATTTTATTTATGGGCGTAAAACTGTTAATGTAAAGTTTGTAGGAAACTGATATTTGAATCTGAATAAAAACCGTAAGTTTTATACAAATAAAAAATTTAAAATATCTTAAATAATTTTTTTAATAAAATAAATAATTGCTCAATCATTTATTTTTATAATTTTTGCAAAAATCAATAACATTTTGTCTAAAAAAACTATAAAATGAATGATTAATTATTTATTTATTTATTTAGTTTATTCAAAAAAATTATTTAAGATATTTTTTATTTTTATTTGTATAAAACTTAACGATAATTTAGGTTTTTATTCAGACTCAAATATCAGTTTTGTGCAATAAATAAAACAAAGATATTTTGTACATTTTCACCCAAACGCAAAGGATTGTTATATAATTTATCATTTTTATTTTTATTTTTGAATATATGTATTTTTTAAGATTGGATAATTAATAATATAAAAAAAGTTATTTTATATTAAATTATAAATATTTGTGGATGGACGAATAAAGTATATATATTAGAAAAAAAATTTGTTAGGTCTCAAATTCCCTAAAATCCTCACAGCAGCAAGAACAATTTACTTTCAAAAATAACAAATTCATTAAACACAGACTGTTACTTCGTTGGATGCATGCATTGGTGACAAAAAAAAATATAAATATAAAATAATTATTAACCAATTCTATCATCGACCTACATTTTAGGGTTTCAATTCAAACGAAATTTACTATCGAAATCATTGAAACACAAAGATATATACATATAATTGCGCTATACTCTCAAGAAATTTATCTCACAATTTCTTGATGATTCCCCACACTAAACCTATCCCCAAATCTCTCGCTCTCAACGATCGATTTTTCTCACTCAATACTATACTACAAAATGCTAGAATATTTCCACCCTTACCACTCACTCATAGTTTCTTGGGTTGTTGATTTATTGTAATAAACTTATATTCTCTTCGATTTTGAATTTCTCTTTTGTTAAACACACTGATGTCAGCATCACAATAGATCCAAAATATTATCTAGGTCAACCACCAAATGGGCTTTCATAAAATTTTGGCCTAAATCGCGAAAGCCTAACCTCCTTTTATAACTCATTCAATGTCCAGACAATCTGCAAACATCAATTAAAATCTAATCGTTGAAATGACTAGCAACTAAATTGATTACTTAGATTTGGTATGATGTTTAGTTTGAATAGTGAATTGTGTGTAATATTTGACAATTGAAAATATTAGTAAATTTTTTACATAAATTTTTTAATATTAGTATTATATTGAATTACAGTGAAAAAAAAGATAAAAATATCCCTATTAGTATTAGTATTATGTAATATAAAAGTAACGACATTTGTGTAATATAGAGTAAATTTGAAGGGTATTTATTATGTTAAGTAGACAGTACAATTACTAAATTAGGAAATAATAATTTTATTTTGGAACGGACAAAAATAAAAATTGACAACCTTTCAATAGGACGGAGAGAATATCATATAAATTTATTCAGTGTGTACTCTAAAAAGTAACCGATTGCTTGTTATTGTATTAAAAGAAAAAAAAAAATCATATGAAATGACATAATAATATAACTATTTAAAAAAATATTATTTTAATATTTTATTATATAATTTTTATTTATTCGTATTTTTTTCCTATTTCTACTCTTAACATGATTTTAAGAAAATATATGTATATTTGGTATGCCTTTCGAATACAAATTAATACTATTTATTTTATATATTTTTAATAAAAATATATATATACTATTTTTCTTTATAAAATATTACATCAACATTATACTAACATATTAATAATAAACAACATATTGTAACAAGTCTATTTTACATAAATATTTTGTAAGTCAATCAAATCATTTTCAGATTTATTATAATGCTTGTGCATAGTACTGAAATCATATGCAGATATATAGTTAGCTTTGAAACACTAGTGTTTTATGAAAAGATTCTCATAAATATTAGTTGTTTAAAAAACAAATGTAATATACACACGTTAAGACAATATACTATATATTTTTTATTTATATACAAAAAGTTAATAATTTTATAAAATAAATATAATGTTTTTTATATTACAAATACATTTTTTTATATCTCAGATAAAAATAATAAAAACTTAAACACACAACAAACAAATCCTACGATATTTGTTTAATAAATTTTTATTATTTTTATAACTTCAATAACATGCTTTTCTTGGCCGCATTAGAGTGTGTTTGTTTTGGGCATTGGATTAGATTTATACTATTCATCTCATTTTTTCTTTCAAAAAATATCAAATCAAACACCTATTTTTTATTTTTTATATTATTCTAAAAATCAATTTTACATTCAAAATATCACATCAACACCTATTTATATCACATCATATAACTATTTAAATTCAAAATTTTTAGTATTCAAATCTCAACTTAAAATTCAAACCCCAACCGCACCCTAAAAGTGTGTTTGCTTTATAACTATATATATATATATATATAGATATTAACATGCATTATTTATAATTAAAATATAATAGATTTTTTACAAACGTAATATTAACTAATTATTTCATATAAATAAAAGCAATCAAATATATTACTCTATGCTCATAATATTATAGGGTTTGTTTATATTTTATTTCACACATTATTCATCATAGATAGTTTTTAAAAAATATATTATTTTTTTCATAAAATATTACTTAAATTAAAAATTAAATCAAACATTTAATTTCAAATTAAAATCAAACGCCTAATTTTTTAATTATTACAAAATATTTAATTTAATTAGCACGGATATTTCAAATTTAAAATATATTATTACCATAATTATATAAACAAAGAAAAGGAAAATATATTTGAAATATGATTATAATGTTAACAGATCATTATGAGCTTTATTTTTAATGGTAGGAAAAATAATAATTTCAGCATATATGCTGAATGTGTGAAAATAAATTATGTTAAATAATATTATTAAATTATGTAATTAATATAATTAGAAATAATTAAGTTTTAGTTGTCGTGCTGAATTTATTATTTCAGCACTGGATTTTTAATCTATATATTATCCTCATATATGCTATTATTGTCATTATTTCCTAAATGAAATTTTCTTTTTTGTATCTATTCCATAAATCTATTTATATGTGTTTGTACATACACATACAACACAATATACTCTCTCCGTCTTCAATCTATCTATCCATTTGTTTTTTGCACGAAATTTTAGAAATATTAGTATTATACTGGGATAAAGTAGAAATAAAGGTAAAAAGACTAAATTAACCCTATTAGTATTGTATGATATAAAGGTAATGACATTCGTGTAACATATTGTAAATTATAAAGGTATTTGTAATGTTAGGTAGACAGTACCATTACTAAAAAAAGGAAACGGATACTTTGTTATGAGACAAATCAAAATGGAAAAATGGATAGATTGTTAAGGGACGGAGGAAGTACTATATTCTAAAGAAGTGAAAATCAAGCAAAGATGAGTTCTTGGAACACTGTATATTTGTCGATAATCATGCTTATTCTTTTAGGTAAAATTTTCATATATCAATAATATTTATACATGTAAATATATTGAAAGCATATATAATTATTCAAGTATGCAGGTTGGCCTTTTGGGAATCTCGAAGATGGAAGAAACGTTACATTGGCATTGTATCTTCGTCCATGTAAAAGTGATGCCGATTGTCAATATGCTGAAATAGCCAAAACCAATAATTTCTTAAGTAGCAAAAGCAATTAATTTTCATCAATACATATTAGCCATATCAAATGACAAAGCCAAGACTTACACATCATATATATATATACATATAATTGTGTGTAAGAATAAGATTAATTTTATATGCACTTTGAAAATGATTAATTCAGTGTAATTTTCTCATATATATGTATGGGTGTCTTTTTATTCATGCACAATTTTCTAATATATAATATACAATATATGCACCTAAGAATAAAATCAACAAGAATTACAAAAATTAAAAAAATATTTTCTAGTGATTTACAACAAAAATACATACAACGATTATTAAACTAAAGAAACACACTCTAATTCTTTTGGGTTATACTATAAAACTGAAATTATTTTTAAATTATGAAAATGAACATTAGATTATGTTAATATAAATATATTTATATACCAAATTTTTATACTTTTGGGTGTGATTGTTTGTGGAGTTTTTGGTTGATTTTACTATTCAAAAAATAAAAAATAAAATCTTCAAAAATATCAAATTATATTATATTAAATGGTGTATTCATTTGAGATTTTGTAAAATTATGTTGGATTTTAGAAAATCTATGGAATTACGTGGATTTAGAAAATTCAGAGAGTCGATGAATTTTATGTATTGATTTAAATGAATTTTTATAAATTTGATTAGATTATTTATAAATTTATAAAAGTTTCATAGGATTGTAAAATAATTTTTTATTGATTTATATAATTTATATAAAATATATTTATAAAAAAATATTCAAAAAATGAAATAAAAATACAAAAATATGATCTAGTTAAAAAAAAAAATTAAATTATTCATTATTTTTATCTTGATTCTCGTCATAACAAAATTAAATTTAAATATTCTCTAACTGGAAAATGAATTGGATTATTTCATTTTAATTAAATAGATAATATTAAAAACTTACAAGTCATAACAAAATGAACAATAAAACGAGAACTGCATTAAATGTCAAATGGCAATTTATCCCAAAAAAAAAAAAAAAAAGAAAAAAAAAGGGACATGAAATAGGAAGGAAAGAAAAAAAGGAATAGAAGGGGAATTTCTAATTACTACACAATATATTTCAATTTAAGTAATGTAATCTTTCAAATTTAAATTACTATTTGGTAACTCTATAATAATCTTCTTGAAATATCCAAATTTGTTATGACCATATAATATATATATATATATATATATATATAAAGAAAAGGAAAATGCATTTGAAATTTGAATATAATGTTAATAATCTTTATGAGCTTTTATTTTTATTCTACATATTATTTATCCTCATATAGTATCTCCATTTATTTACTTATTTCCTAAATGAGTTTTTCATGTATCTATCCATCTATACTTGCATCTATATATATATATATATATATGTATATTCTTATACATACATACAATATATTGTAAAAGAAGTGAAGGAGCTAAGATGGGTTCTTTGAAGACAATATTTTTGTCCACAATCATGCTTATTCTTTTGGGTAATTTTTTTTTTTTAAAAAAAAATTGTATATATATATATATTGAACACTTATATATAATTATATATTTATGCGCAGGTTGGCCTTTTTGGAATCTCGAAGGAAGTAGTAATATTGCATCAGCATTGTATTTTCGTCCATGTAAAAGTGATGCCGATTGTCAATATGCTGATCCAGGGCCGCTACGTAATGATAAATGTTTCGTTAAAATATGTCTCAACGGACGTTGCTTTTGCAAAAACGGCAATAGCAACACTTTGTTAAATACCAAAATAAATTAATTTGTCATCAATACATATTAGACCAAATTATTCATTAGCCATACCAAATAAAAACATAGTATATATAATTATGTGTAAGAATAAGATTAATTTGGTCTGTACTTTGAAAATGATCCATTCATGGTTTATCTTCCTCTATATGTGTACATTACTATACATGCATTTTTTGTTTCCTTTTTCTTATAGTATCATTTATTTATTTATTATTTAATTTAGAGTTTATATTTAGTTTTTGTTTAAAATCACATCCAATACCTTATTTCTTATTCTCACATCAAAATTTGTTAAAGTGAAACTAAATCTAAAATGTAAAGTAAACTGAAGTTTGTTCACCCAATTTATTTTTGGGTGGTACATCCCTTATAAATATTTTTTAAAAATACAATATATAATAGTATATATATTTTATTCACCTAAAAAAAAAATTAACAATTCAACACAAAATATTGACACGATTTTACATCATAACATAAAAAACACATTCATCATCCAAAAGTACAAAGTGAACACGCGTATATGGATAATATTATTTTCATAATTGCTAAAATATCTTAAATATAAAGATAAATAAAATTATAAAAACATGCTTAATTAAATAAATAGCTACATTGAAAATGAGCGAACAGGTCGAATGGCCTGGTGGTGTGGGGATTGACCCGTGACCGTGAAATCATGCAAAATTGTCCGGTTGAATCTATCATATTTGTGTGTGTATTTTCTTTTTTCATTTAAATTTTTAATTTAAATAATACTTTAGGTGAAAAGAAAAATATAATAAATTTTTTTAATTCTAAAATAATATGAAGTTTAAAAACATATATTAACACCTAAGTTAGTATATTTTTACATATAAAAAAGTATCACTTTTTTTATTGATTACTTGCAAACCATAGTAACATTAATATTGTTAATAATCTTGTGGCATGGTAGAGTGGAGTTGAGTTGGGACATAAGCACTATAGGATTTGAAATATGAAAATATAATTCATAACGCCTTTATGAACTTTTATTTTCATTAAATACATTGTATTACATACTTCATTCATTCAAAATATTTTGTATTTTTTTTTTTTGTCTGTCTATATTTATAAAAGAGGAAATACTTTAATATATTTAATGTATAGAATTTGTAGGGTCTTTATTGTTGTAGGATTGAGAAAGTATTTTGACGAATTAATGATTTGATAAAGTAATTTTTATTAGAAAACATGTAATTTTTAAACAAATTGATTTGAAATTAAATATTTATTTGAATAGGGTAATCTTATTGAAAATTGTGTTAAATAAATAATATTGATTTTGGTTTGAAATGGTAAAATAAAAATATAAGAAGCCTTTGAATATTATATATGATTAAAAATAATGATAATAAAAATTTCTATGGGCTTGGTGAAAGGCCCAAAATCGAGCCCATTAGAAAAACAAAACCCATAAATTCTCACACAAATACGGCGTCGTTTCAATGAACCGAATTCCCTGAAAACCCTAGAAACGCCAAAGTTACACTTTTTAGTCCAATTGACGAAGAACAGAACATGAGCAGAAGTGCAGAACATATAGATAATTGCAAAATAAATAAGTTTATTGATTTCAATGATGGATGAATAAATTAAAGAAAAGGAAATTAAAGGGGATATATAAATATATAAAATAAAATAAAATAAAATAAATGTAGCTAGGGCACAAGAAACGAAGGCCATGGAGAATGTACGACAGCAGACAGGCGCGAAACACTCTCATATCTTAATTCTCTTCTACGTTAACAGAAACACATTCCAATCCTTTTTTTGCTCAAATTTAATTTATTGACTGCATAATAATTAATTATAATTTTGAATTCCATCCACCGAATTGAATGAATCATCATAGCTCCAGTTTTTTTCTCACTGGGGTTTAGGGTTTTCAGTTCCTGAAAAATAATCAATGGGATTCAGGTTCTTGATCATACTAGATTTATATATATATGCAAACATGCAGTTTTCAATTCCATACGTACATCTTGATGCAATTCGTGGTACTATTACAAGTTTCAATCTTTCTTTTTTTTTGGGGGGTATTATAATATGAGTTTGTAACTAGTAAAATTTGACAAATGAATTACATCATAATTGTCTTCACAACTTATTTTGGAAGTAGTAGAGATATAAAGGAACTTTTCTATCTTTTGCGGGATCCCATCTGATTAAAAGAATTCTCATTTTGTTTGTATGATTTAAAATTTCTTACAAAGAACAAATTTCTTCACCTTTGGGAATTGCTTAAAGTGCAACTTTTTCTATCAATATATACATATATGGAATTTTTTCGTTATGTGACAGGTAAATTTCTCTATCAATATATACATATATGGAATTATTTCGAATATATAAGTTGAATAAAATGATTTGGCTAGTAAATTCCTCTATCAAGATATATATGAATGCAAACTAAAACTTCCAATTATCAGCCTTAGTAATCATATATATGGACAAAAAGTCATGCAATTTAAGTTTATTAATTTATGGCACATAGTTTTTTTGTGAAAAATAAGACTCTTTTATATTTCTTAGGTTGTTTGCTTATTTTAGTAATACATTTTATTTATTAAAGAAAATTTTCACACAAAATAAAATAATTATATTTATTTTAATATATTACATAAAAAAACAAATTTTATTTAAAAAGTAACATCATTTATTTATATCACATGAAATATTATTTTAATTCAATTATATATATTTTTTAAACCATAATTTCCAAATCAAACTTTAAAGTAACACATTGTATGTGTGTGTTTTTTTTTTTTTTTTTTTTAATTTCAAACTGTGGAGTTCTCGATAAAAATACAATATTTTTTCACAAAATACTATATTAAAATACTATTTAAATAAAAATTTAAAATAAATACCCCTATTTTTAATTAATTTAAAACCACGATCAAACAACCATTAAATAGTGATTCTTGAGATGTTAGGGCAACACAACACATGGAATAGCACAAATGTTTAGGTTAAGTTATTGAAACTAACTCCATGCATACATACGAAACATAGAATTGGATGCCAATGAAATTTGGTCCCCTTTTCTTTTATTTTTTATTTTTTTATTTTTTTATTTTATTTTATTTTAGTTAAACGTGAACTTGAAGTTAAAATAATAATATTACTACTATTAGGACTCTATATACTTAAATATATAAATATACATATATATATATATTATAAATTCCACTGCACATTGAATTGCAGCATAACCAAGTGCTGATCTCGAGTTGTTAGGGTAACACAACACATGGAATAGCACAAATGTTTAGGTTGATTTTTAGAAACTAACTCCATATGCACACATTCGAAACATAGAATTGGATGCCAATTAAATCTGGTCCCCTTTTTTTTTATTTTCTAGTAATACGTGAACTTGAAGTTATAAATATTACTATATATATATATATATATATATATGTATGTGTGTGTACATACCATAGGAACCCGAGACTTTGGTTGTGACTTGGGAATGAAAAACTCTTGAAAATATTTATATATATAATGTGGATCATATCTTTGACTTAATTCTTGTGCTATAAATCCAACGTTTGTATTGAGGAGCTCTCTCTTTGGTTTCTTGAGAAACAGGCAAAAAAAAAAAAAAAATAGTCGAAAAATGGGGGTGATGAGAGGCAAGGTGTTAGGGTTTCTGCTGCTCTTTGTTTGGATTCATGGAATGCTGTCAAATGCAAACTTAGTTCAAGGTAGTTTTCTGATATTATTTTGCATTACACTCAATGGTTAGATTCTTGCTAGGGTTTTCTTCTCGATTAGGGTTTTGTTTGGTTCGGCTCGGACGATGAATTTTTTGTTTTATATTTTTGAAATTGTAGGTGGAGATGATATTGTAGCTGCAAGAAAATTCAACAGCTATATTGTTTCTAAAGGGCAGGCAAGTAGATAAATTTCATTTTACTTATGACTAGCTAGATCGATTTTTGTATCTCTTATTCTCTCTATAAATATTTAGGGTTTTCTAAAGCGCGGAGGCAAGAATGAAGGTGGAGAAGAAGGTATGCATAAAACGACCGAAGAAATTAATGTTGTCGGCGAGAAGGTCGGGAGGAAACAAAGAATTTTGATGTCGGAAGAGAATTATCGCGCGCAATTTGTAGCCTTTGTTGCAGATTACAAGGGGCCTAGGCATCACCCTCCTAAAAATAATTGAGCATATATATAATGTACTAGTGAGTGTTTAATTTTACTATGAATCTTGATATATACATATATATATTTGTGTTTTGAAGATGAAATGATCTATATAGCTAGTCCATAATATATATATATATATAATTATATTTGCTAGTTTAATGAAGACTGTTATATATACAGGGCACCTCCTATAGATATATCCAGTATTGTTGAATGGAGTGTCCTCAGTTGTAATTACTTGCTGTGTATGTTCTTACATATATTTCATATGCAAGAAATTTTGGTCAAGTTCATATATATATGCTAGTCATTGTTGATTTGGTCAAGTCAACACAGTATTAGTTTGACCAAATTAACATACTAACTTGAAATAATTAATATTATATTACGAGCAGTATGTTGTGTTATATATAAATGTATTGAATGAGTTATATATATTGTGTTATTTTGTTTAATCTGCTTATCATGTTGAAAGTATAATATATAATGAATGCTACATAAAATTATATAATATGTTATGTAATATATTGTATTCTATTTATTGTATTGGGTTATATATATCAAAATGTGCTATAACTAGATTATATTAAGATGTCATATGAATATGTGTTGCTTTGTTTGTAAATATATATATATATATATATTACGGTGCTGATTTGACCAAATCAGTACAATAATGAAAGTGTATGTGAGTGTATATCTATATACATATATTAACATTTATCTTGAATGTTTTGTCGATCTATTGAATTGTTGTCTGCGTAGACATAGCTTATAATTCAGACAGAAAAAGGATAAACACAGACGAAATTAAAATGACGAGAACTCTTCATCAAAACATATTACACACTTAAATTTAGTCCGATTTTGGTATCGCTACATAAAAAAATTTCTAAACTATCAAATTAAATATCTGTTTATATTAAATTCAATATTATTTCAATCCAAAATTTGAAGTACAATTCCCAAACTGCAAATTCAAAATCATTCTCTACTAGAAAATTAAGAAACTGAAGGCTAATAAGCTGATGATGACAATCATAGATATACATACATACATACATATACATACATACGTATGTGTGTCAAATCAGTCGTACTTTGTTTTTGAAATGGTTTGCTGCAGAAACCATTGCTGTCTCTGCAGAACTCCATTCTTTAGCCTTCTTCACACCAACATTAATATCTTCACCATTACCAGATCCACAAAAACAAAAATACCCAATTCATGATCTCAACCAATCTCTCACTCCTTTATGCTTCTTCATTTCTCTCTCTCTCTCTCTCTCTCTCTCTCTCTAACCAAATTACATATATATATATATATGTATATATATGTGATGTAGAATGAGATGGAGAGAAGGTTGAAGGTGCATATATTATTATTATTATTATTATTATTATCTGAAATTGGCTGAAATCAATGGAATTAATTAAAGAATTATGATCGATTGGTCTTTGATTAAATTAAATCTGGACACGTTTAGGTTAGGAAGCCCTGATTGATGTAAACAGGAGGCATCAGCCTTTGACGGTTATTTTGAATGCAATGAATTATTGAGTGGTTAATATGAGAAACACGTCTCTCTGAAAATGGCTTTTGATGTAAACTTCTTTTACTGTTAATAATTAAAAAAAAAATGATATTATAGCCTTGCTGTAAATTTGAATATTTTGTCCATTCTAATATAAATAATTACAGAGTGATCCATCCGCAACTAGCCCATTCGATAAAAGCTGCTTTTGATCCATGCTGATATAAATTAATATTGCTATAACTTTTGTCACATATTTATATATATATATATATATATATAGATAACTATACAAGGATCAAAATTAAATAGAAGGACTTGTTCTTTTGGTCCATCTCAAGTAAATTTTGTCATTGTGATGATCAAATTTCCAAATATATATACAAGGGTTTGATCTTTTGTGTACATTTTTTGTTATTCAAATTTTTATAATTCTCAATATATAATATATTTAATTTTTTTTTAAAAAAAATTATTATATCAAAATATTATTTAAATTAAAATTACCAAATTCGAAATAATTTTTTTTTTCAATAAATATCACATTAAATAATTATTTTTCATATAAAATATTACATCTATAACTATTTACTTTTAAAAAATCAAAATGAAAACAATAAAGAATATATATACGGAAACATGAATTAATATATTATTTGAAAGGTAAAAGATAAAAGTGATGGTTGATTATTCTCTATGTTTAAAACTATTAATTAATTATTATTATTATTTTATTGTAATTATGTCTTTATTAATAATTTAGGTGGTGCATATTGTCAAAGTAATTATCTTGTGCATAAATTGCAAGATGAAGGTATAGTTTATAGGTAAATAAAGGAAAATAGTTTGAATAGCATTTTGATTAATTGGGTTTTAATTTCAAGAAAGGTAGAGAGGGAGAATTGAAGAGATGACAAATCTCAATCTTTTAAGGCAAAGGGTTTGCTTCATCATATGTAGCTACTCCAATCTCCATGAATGGGACTCAAGTTTAATGTGCATCTAAGACCTAATAGTTGCAATTCATTGATAAAACCCCCCTTCAACTAATAGTTCTTGAGAGAGACAGAGATAGAGAGAGAGAGAGAGAGAGAGCTCTTATGCTTCTATTACATGCAATTCTTGGATAGTGATGTCCTACTATTATTGTTCATTTTCTCCGTAAGGATATATCATCTTTCTAGATACCATCATAATTCATACAGTGATAAAGGGCATCTCTCTCTCCTCTCTCTCTCTCTCTCTCTCTCTCTATATATATATATATATAATCCTGCCCTTTTCATACAATCCTGAAGCTAATGTCATGCATATATGTTTTCTTGGATAAGAATCATTTTGTTGTGTGGAGAATAGAGATACAAAATATAGTTCTTGAAATTCTAGTGTCATTTTCCACAATGCATTAAGCTGTTCACTCTAAGCTAGTTTTGCTTTAAAACTAAGTACAATTAATATCTTATATATGACCATTATTATAATGCCAACCAACCAAAACATGATTAATTAAGTCTCGTTTTGGAAACTCCTATAAATACCTCATTTAATATTCTCTTGAAAATCCACCATTACATCATTCCATACAAACAACATTAATCTCTAGTACCAGGATGTCCAAACACTATATCAAGAAACATGTCCTGTACAAAAACACCTCTACTCCCATGGAGAGAAAGAAACCACACCAACAAACAAGCAGCTTCTTCTCCAAACATTTCAAGAAAATTTACCCTATTGAATTGAAGATAACCTGTTCACCTCTTTCACTCTCTTCTTTATCATTATCATTGTCTCAAAACTCTAGTGATTCTTCCTTAACCGCCTCCTCGGAGACTTTTGATCCGAAGATACCGTCAGCCCTCACCTTGATAACCCTTGAAGATCGAAGAAGAGAGGAACCTGTGGCCAAGATTAATGCGCAGAAGCCGATCTCAGTTAATCCAACGGCTGAGGAATGGACAAGGAGGTGCAACTGGATTACCAAAACCAGTGGTATTCATCTTCAATGGAGAATTAATTTATTCATCCCTATCTTAAATAAGCAATGCTGGAAATTCTATATAAGACAGTTTTACTTTTGTTTTTACCACAATTCGTTTTGTCTTCACTTATCTTTAACAGATGAGCTGTATGTGCAATTCCACGACGAATGCTGGGGAGTTCCGACTTATGATGACAAGTAAGTTACCGATAATATTCCAAAAATGAATCACAAATCCATCTCATATATATGATAGATAATTGAATACCATATGACAGCAAGATGTTTGAGCTGCTTACAATGTGTGGAATGCTCATGGATTTCAATTGGACTGATATTCTTAAGAGGAGACAACTTCTCAGGTCAGAATGTTTTTTTATTTTTATTTTTTTGTCGCGCCATAGACGACAGTTTATTTTTAATCAAGAAGAGACTGTGGATAATCTTACAGGGAAGCTTTCGCTGGTTTTGATCCGGACAATGTGGCAAGAATGGGCGAACAAGAAATTGTTGACATCGCCTCCAACAAGGAACTTGCCTTAGCAGAATGTAGGATCAGGTGCATTGTTGTCAATGCAAAATGCATAAGAAAGGCAAGTGATATGTATTAGTATATACTAAAACTTGAGGTTATTATGTGAAACTTGAGTTTGATTCTGCTAAAATGAATCAACTGATTAATACAATTTTGGGTATTTTGATAATGTTAAGGTTGCTAAGGAACATGGATCTTTCAGTAGCTACATGTGGGATCATGTGAGTTACAAACCATTGATCAAGAAGTTCAGGTATCCAAGAAATGTCCCTCTGAGGAGCTCTAAGGGTGAGGTGATCAGCAAGGACCTGGTGAGTCGTGGGTTCCGCCTCGTTGGGCCTGTCATCGTCTACTCATTTATGCAAGCATCCGGGATGACCATTGATCATCTTGTCGACTGTTTCAGATATGGAGAGTGTGTCAATCTTGCTGAAAGGCCATGGAGACATGTTTGATGAGTTGCAAGAACATATAGATCAAACTAATATACAACTTATAGCAATGAAGGTTTTCTTGATTTTCTTGATTCTTTGATCTGTGAGTTGTAAGTTAATTTCCTGCAAGTGATGCTTGAATCTTAAGGGGCTTTTTTTTTTTTTTTTTTTTTCCCTATGTTATTTTCATTGAAGGGTTGTATCAATTCTTGAAGAAACATCAGGGTTTTCATTTAATTTAGGACCTGAGCTATATTAGTATGGAATCAACTAATTATTCTATAGCTATCTATCCTGAGCTACTTTTCTCAGGAGATATTTGTAATGGATCAATGGCGAGAGATTCTTTCAGCCAAACAATTGACAGTCGGGGGTGGGGGGGAATATACCAAACTCTATCAGGACATATTTCATTTATAAAAGTAAGATCCCATACCAGCTGGGATATCTTGATTCTACATATCAAGAAAAAAAGAAACTTTTATCACCAAAACTTGGAACCTCCAACTAAGATTTGCCACTTTACCTTGTAGCCGTCTTCAAGAATCAGGTTCTGTTCTTGAAGACATATCACAATTGCAACCTGATATATACATGATAACTACAGTCATCTATCTTGTGAAAATGTCAGAATCATTTAAATTATAAATATCCTCAAGTGAAGTACCACACTAGGAATCCAAATCACCTAATAATTGAGTGTAATTTCAAAGGCAAATAAATTGAAACAAGACTTAAAACATGGAGAGAAAAGATTTATATCTAAGTTAAGGTGAGGTATATTTTTACACATATAGAAGAGATGATACAAAGCCATGGTCATAGTACCTATAAATCTAAAGTTTTCATTGTACAGATTATTTATCCAACAACACACTGATCAGAGGGAAGTGTAGAAAAAAGAACAAAGTCCGATAAAATTTTGATAAGTAAGAAACACAACCAAAGGCATTACCATTATGTGGGCCTCCGGAGATATATTTACACACACCTGTTGCTGCTACTTCAACCTAGTATGTCTCAGGGATGATTATGAAAGCACAAACCAAGATACCATATGCTATGGTAAAGCCGTCGATCTAATATTCATCTATCATAGCAACTTATTGTAGCCATACCCGTCTCTCAAAACTGGCAGGAAGTCCCAAGCCTCTGTCTCTGCCTCTGGAAAAGGACAGTAGACTTCCGTTTGGCGAATGCTGGGTGAAGCAGCCGCTGGAACTTATCCAAAAACAGTTGCCACTCTTTGTTGTTCATGTCGGATAGCTTCACAAAGCTGATACTTGCAGGGACCTGTTCATTGGCACTCCTGCAGCCAGATGATGAGCTAGCAAGAGAGCTAATGCTCGGTTTGGCCCCTGGAAACTTTAGGGGCTTTAAGTTCTTCTCGCCTATGCTAATGTTTTTCAGTGACATAGACAACTTAGAAACATGCTGATCATCTCCTACTGGTGGTTGCGTAAAAATTCCCTCCTCTTCTCCATCACTTTTTGCTCCCTCCTCCTCATCCTCCTCGACACATTCTTCAAGCTTGGATAATGGATTACGGCCATTTAAGCCTCCAAAGCCAAAATGGAATGGTGCTCCCAATACAAAATCTTCGGAGACCAACTTTGGAGATAACTCATGGCCCTCTTCACAATCTAAGTCGAATTGAAACTCATCAATATCTGCCTCAGTTTTCGGTGATAACATTTCCTCAGCAAGAAGTCTTCTTGCTTCAATACATATAACCTCAAGCTCACTAGGATCTTCTTCACCACAGCGAAATTCCCGACTCATCATCTCCCCTATCTCAGCAAGACACAGTCCATATGCTGCAGCTTCCTTGAGAAAAATTGTGCAGAGGTACAATACACGCAGACACGCCTCTCGAATCATGGGCAGCTCACGTTGCAGCATCTCTGCATCAAAAGCAGGGTCAAGATTTTGAATGTACTCAAGTTCATCTTCAGAGAATGGGATCGAAGCCTGAGGCCAATGGATCCATTCAAAGTATGGATCTTCCAAACTCTCAGGTAAGCACAGGCCATGATCAATGGGGACAAGTTCCACCTCACCGAACCTCCCTACTCGATCAAGCTTCCTTACCAAAAGATTGCCTGCATGTCTATCGGTGTTCAGAATCCTAATATCTAAAATACCAATGCGATGCACAGCCGAAACAGGGAAACTTGAGGTCCCATGGTCATTAGCATCATAATCATGTGGAATGTACTGCTGGAAGGACGCAATCTTGCTGACAAGCATCTTGTCCTGTGGCTTGCTCTCTTTCACACGATCATTGACATTGAAGACATTGTGAGTGATCTTTACAAGAGCAGTAGGCGGCACATTTGCGAAATGATCATAGTCGAGAAGATATGCAGCTACTTCTCTGATCCCTGTTTCACCAACCCTCACAGATCGTTTAAGGCCTGGTTGCCCAAGAGATTTCCCAACAAAGCCCTTGGGGTTGTTTGGAGCATACGGTTCCTCATCTGTCGGCTTCACAATTGCCACACACTCACCTTGTGCATTTCTGAAATAATATGCACCTCCAAGCCCACTGTGTACAGGTATCGGATCAACACCTTTTTTCACTGCCTTGACGATTTCCTTAGCAAGTGGCTTTGTCTTGTCAAAGCAGTTTGAGTTACCCAGAATCTCGATTGGCCCACTTTGATCTCTCTGTTGGAGATCCCTACTGGTAGGCGACAAGCATGGACTTGACGAGCTTCTGTGCATCAAGCTCCTGGTCAGCAGGAGAGGGGAATCATTCCGAACAGCACTAAGATCATTTTTGAGAATCATGTCACCAAATGTCAAAGAAGTCTCTTCAGTGGGGTAGTTTAAGGCAATCCGTAATCTCCTTTTCACAGTATGTGCATTGTCACTCCTGTCCAACTCCATCCCCAATACACGCCCTGAATCAGTCTGCACAAAAACTCGCCTCCGACATGGTGGTTCACCTTCAGTTACATTACTTCCACGATACTCCCCATTTCCAAGCGGGCTCCTGAAAGCTGCCACGGCCATCTGAGTCTGAACAGGGCTATGCAACTTACGCGACATTAATTGTCAAAACAGATCGCTGATAAGTTCCTCACACAGCCAGCAACCGGGATGACACAGAACAGAACTTTCAACTTACTCTCAGTTGATCATCAAATTTACATTCCAAATTCCATTGAACAAGAAATACAACTGCGGCCAATAACAATATTCAACTGGAAGCCAAGATCCGAATTTCCACAACTAAACTACAGTAATCCAGATGATTATTAGCAATGCCAATGCACGAGAAACCCAAGAAGATTGAGAGAGATTTTTACCATCAGTATGTCAAGAGAGCCATGTGATGATTCTAATTAAGCCTCACACCACAACCTGCAAGTGCAGATTAAGCCAGATCATTTAATTATCAACAACCAGAATGAAACAAACAAACAAACAATACTCCAAACACTAAATGGCATATTCAAATCTTCAAATAGTCTCTCTTCGATTTTGACACACCAAAAGATAGGTGATTTCGAGTAACTATCAGATAAGAATAAACAAATTACACCAAGAGATACCCCTGGCAGGAAAAGCAACACTTGTAATTTACACAACACCATTTCTAACTAATATCAAGCAACAAAAAGATTAATAACTAAATAAAAATTCTCGTAAGATTAAAGAAAGTGGGCAAGACACCCAATACAGACAGACTCCGAAACAATCCACAGGATCTAACTCAAAGAATGATCAATTTCATACTCCAATCCCCAGATCACATTCCGCACTAAAGATCTCAACGGAAACCTGATCCTACGAACTTTCTGCATCACAATAATTTACCCAGACACTCCAGCAAAACAATTCGAAAAACATAAAAATGTTATTTCAATGTGATCGCATTACTTTCCGATAAAAGAAACTTTCAAAAACAAGAACCACAAACACAACAAACGAAAAATTGTACAAAATTAACTCACTAGAAAGCCAGATCTGAAGACGCCCGTCCATTTCTGTTCCCGATCTCCTCAAACACAAAAAGGCCGTCAATAACCAAAAAGAAAGGAACAAAAAACTGGTTGCAACAAATCCAAACAACGGCCGAAACAACAGACAATCAGGAGCCTAGGGTTTGATCGGAGTGTTACCGTCTTCCCTAATTGCTCTGTGCTTTCCTTCGTCTCTCTCTCGCTCTCTCTCTCTCTCTCCCTCTCTCTCTGTTCCGCTTTCTCTCTCTATATCTACACTGGATCTCTCTATATATATAATAAAAAAAAATAATCACAAAATAACAATAAATTCATTTTCATTTTTTTAATGCGAGTTTCAGTTCAATTATATACTGTCAGTTTTATTAACCGCAGTTGGGTTGGCTTAACCTAACCAGGGTTAGGCAACCTCGTTCGGTGCAAAAAGCGTGTTATCTTTAATTTCAGCCGTCCATGATGCTACGTGGCAGACATCCGTTGGTCTGTGACGTGGAACAATCGGCGAGTGTTTTTGAATGTGTTTTATTTATTTGAATTGACATAACTGTCCCTGCTTTTAAATAGTAACAGAGATTTGTCTGATTTGATTACTTTGTTGTTCATGCTAAATATGATTAACATGATTAATTATAGATTATTAGGTAAATTATTAGGGCATATTTTTCCTTAGTGGATAAGATAATTTTGTAATTCTTGAAAGTAATTGTTTTAACTTATCCAGCATCAAAACTTTTAGTAAGTGAAATTTATTGCCACCAATCTTTGTGGGCGTTACATTAATTGGAATTAAAATCCCTAAATAATTAGGACCATATTGAGAAATTTATTGCAGAGAAGTGTGCTTTAAATTATGCAAATCATATATTTAAGCATTGATTTCTGTTTCATACTTGTGTCACATCGTGTCTTTTTTCTTTTTTTTTTTTTTTTTTTTGTTTTTAAGTTTCTGATATTTATTTGCATGCAACTTTTTGTATTTTCTTTTTCTTTTTGCAATTTTCTTGAAAATGGCCAATTTGTGCATTGTGCCCTTTTGTTCTGAAAAGTGGCCATGTATTTTAGGTTATGCAAAAGGCCCAATTTTAAATAAAATGGGCCTGAGAATTTAGAGACAACAGTAAATTTTATAGAACATTATTTTTTTTGTTTTTTCCTTACATAGTTGCTTTTGAAACAATATATACTACAGTATTTATTAAATAATAGCAATATTAGAGGTATACTAGCATTTGTACATATTAATTATACTTACATATCAATATTATACGTAAATCTACATGCAAAAAGCAAACAAATATAACAAATATATTTGTAATTGCCGGAGGGAATATATTAAAGGTATGTTTTTCTAATTTAATTTTTTTAAATTTTATTATTTAGATTCTGGATTTTTTTGAAAAAAATACAGTCTTTCCTCTTACAAAACATCTCATCAAACATTATTTTAATATCAAATCCAAATCAATTTTTTCAAATTCAACCAAAAAGAAACACACCCCTAATATTTATATGTACTGTCAATATTTATATTTGAATGGTTTCAAATATGAAGGATATCAAAACAAACTTGTTACATGCAACAGCTAGCTACACGCATATTTTTCAACCTGGTATTAAAAGGTAAGACAATAATACCTGTAGAGAAGAAGAAGAAGAAGAAGAGTAGTTTAGAATTTACAGCAAAGAAGCTGTGTTTTCCAGCTCTTGTGTTTCAACTTTCGTCTCCAGTCGCCGTCGCCTCCTTTCGCCATTCTAGCCGGACTACTGTTCCATTCCGATCGCAATCTGCACATGCAAAAATCAGTCGATAGACCATCAAGAACAAAAGGGATTCAAGACAAGAGGAGGGGAAGAGCTTTACACCGGGAAAGCGAAAGACTTTCCGCTGGTAGCACTGCCATCGGATCGATGAGAAAGGTTCCCTGAAAATGGTATTGGTCCCGAAAAGGTAATGAAACTTTCTGCAGAGGAGCTCATCTCTCCCTCATCGCGGTTTAAGACCTGTGAAGCATTTGATCTCCACCCTATGTTGTCAGGAAGCTCCATGTTTTCATTGTTCGTCTCCTTGCCTGAATTGTCGGCCTTATTGGCCTGAAAAGTTAAAAAGATGATCATTTCACCTAAAAATTTAAAGAAACAATGTAATAACATTAATTGTCTAATCACCTGATCCTGCGCCGGCTGTTGCACTGAATTCTTCATTTCGCCGTCTAATGTGGTGAGAAAAGACCTGAGGAAACTACGGGTGCCGTATTCCTGAGCCAGATGGGGATAATCATCTTCTGAAGTATTGACCACATTCTCGCCTCCTGTCTTCCATGGATCATCGTCCAGCAGCGACGGATCCAACTCCCCAGACATGAAAAGTTCCAGCTCAACCTCACCGTCTTCACCTTTGTCACCTAGAGATTTTAAAAAGATACGTCTACCTGCACCGTTTGAGGCCAAACGTTTGTCCATCTTAGGCCTAATCTCATCGATGCATATGTCCTTCACAACCTGATGATCAGTTTCCTTGTAGCAAACCTCCAACTCTGGCAGCTCACAATCTAACTCTGCTCGAGATGTGCTTTCTGAAGATGAAGATCTAGAATCTTCCACCTTTGTCAAGCATTTGTGCCCTGGAATCATATGTTCTTTGTATTCACAAAAATTGGCAGAATCATGAACCTTTTCAGCCTGATTTTCCTTCATGGTTTTGTCCTCTTCCCGAAGATCCTCCTTGATGCTGAGTAAATAACAACAACAGATAGCCACAAAGAATCATGAACATCAGAACATGACAATGTGAAATTCCAGATAAGAACATTAGACACAAACAAATGGATCATATTACCGGTCTTCGACCTTTGCATCAATCGGAACAGTTTCGAGAATTTTCAGTAGTTGTGAAGCAAACATCCACTAAGTTAGGGAGCATTCACCCTTATCTGGACAACACATAGTAGTGAAAGAAAGCAAACAAATGTAAGAACACAAATTGATGCATAGGTATCATGAATTATTTATTACTGAATCTGAACAGCGTGCATTGTTGCTTGCTTTTCATTAGAATCGAACATTAAGAAATTATAATTCAAAACCACAGAAACTGATTTCTTACCCTCCTCCTCCTTCTGAAGATACGTAAAACTGCAATGGATTGTTGATGGATTGATTATATTCACACAGTATGATCCCAAAGCTATCGAAATGGCTCAATCATAGAAATTACGATTTAACGGGTAAAAAAAAAAAAAAAGCATCCTCAAATGAGCAATCAATGCATTCAAATTCATTCTTAATGCGATCGAAATACCTTCGATCGCAGTTACGCCAGCAATCGTTTACAAAAAAATAAATAAATAAATAACTACCGTGAAAGGAATATAATCAAATACCTTTAATGCGTGTTTTGATACTCCAAATCAAAATCGCTACTAAAGAGCGATGATGATCAAAACACAAAAGCAAAAGATCTGAATCATAAGAATACGTGCGGCGCAATACATACAAGCAAATACACAGCTGTAAAATCCTTCGACAAAACAAAATTATCCGCAACAATATAGAGAATCCGGATGCGAATTTTGGCCGGCAAAAACCACAATCATCGCGTCGATTGAGTTGATAATTCACACATTCGCAGTTACGCATACTCTACGCGTATATGGAAGGAAGGACGACGTGGTCGGCCATTAATTCAGATTGGCAGCGACGGTGTTGACGGCATTAATTGTTCCCGACAGCAGCGTTGAGAAAGAGCTGGCATGCAATGTACAGTTGCTCAATCGGTTTCGAACCAGCGGTTTTTATACGGTTCGAGGAAAAACAGGAACCGAAACCGAACCGTATAAAAACCGGTTCGGTTCGGTTCGATGGAGGACGGAACCGCCGGTTCGAACCCGATCGACCATGTCTACCACAAAGTTCAGCCCATTAATAGTGAAGGTACCCAAATCCAAACCCGTGTGTACGATCGATCGGATGAACACGATGGCGGCGAGAGCGATTCGATGTCCTCGCCTCACCAGATTTTCCCTCCACGCTCCGAAATCTGTAAGCTAAGCTGCATCTCCTACCTTGGTTCTTTCTAGATAAATGACCGAGTTACTTTCTTAATTCTGCGTGGAGTGAATATTGTGTTACTCCTGTTCTGTTTGAACGGTGGTGTAACATGTTTTTCCCATGGTTTAAATTGATGATTGTGGACGCTCATCAAAGAAGCATAAAAAAGGTGTAATTTATTGATCAAGATGATAGCTTGCACGTTTGAATGCATTTCTGATTTATAAGGGATGTATATCAATTGCAAATTTGAATATATAAAAGGAAATTATAATTCCAATTCTTTTCCATGGAGTTGTTTGCAGCGATAACTTGATAAATTTTGTGTTATCATATAATTTTCACTACCGGCGATCATAAACTATATCACTTTTGTGGCTGAAGAACGATTCTCTTTTTCTCAATATTGGTGTTGACAACATGTTAGGCCTTTGAAAACATGGGTCCCAAAAACTTACTCAGATGCATCATTTGCTTGATTAAAGTTAAGTCATGATTGTATAGCTCCAATGGCATGATAAAATCTCTAAATAGAAAATGTGGTGGCAGTAGAGTTTGAGTAAGGATGAGAGTATTGGCCACATGCTTTTATTCGACACTGTGCTCTTCTTCTGAGTGCACTGTAACTTTAGTTATAGTCAATTTGTCATAAACGAAATCATGAAATTTCATTCCTCGCTCATGAACAATTACCAATGATTTTCTCTCTGCTTGCACTTTCTCTTAGGTAGAGGTGGAATTTGACAATGGCAACATATATAATCTATCAGCTGAATACTTGCGAGCATATAGTCCGGCAGTTGACAGTAAGATCAGATCAATTGGTGGTGAAAGGGTACCAACAAACAGTCTGGCTTTATTTCATTGTTCATGGTTGAACATGTTCTGGAGCATATAACCATACCTTTGAATGTTACAGTTGTGCTAATCTTTGTGAGGAACTGTATATATCTGAATCTTGGACTGACCTTTGCCATTACAGACGTATTTACTAAGTTGGATAGTTTACACATGAAGATTAAATTATCCAACCTATTGAACTTGCCTTATCGTTGTATGTTTTTAAAGTCTTAAGGATAACTTGATTCTGGATCAGGTTATATCTGGAAGGCGCTATGTGGGAATCATGTCTGCAGAACCTATAGGAAACTATGGCGTCAGGTATTATAATTTCATGTATATACAGAGAAGCCACACGCCAGAAAAGTTCTTAGTGGTGACTGTTTTTCCTTGGTGATTGGCATAGATTGCTGTTTGATGACTTGCACAAAACGGGGATATTCACATGGGATTACTTTTATCATCTCGGTAGCAATAAGTTTTCTCTAATGAGAAGTTACATTGGAACTCTAAAGAAACACGGACTTAGTCGGGATCCACCAAGAAGGAAGTGATGTTCAAGAATTATGGCTACAGGATGGAAATGCGAGCAATATGCATGGACTCCCTGCATGCTCTCAACACATTACGGTTCACAGTATACATGGAAGACTAGGATGGACTGAGATTTTTTGTTATAAGCTTGTCGTAATATACCACATAGGATATGCTTGTTGCTTCAGGGGGCTGATTGATATGATCATACATTGCCACATATTATTTTGAAGAAATTGATTTTTTACAAATGTTCCTTTGAGAGGAATCTATTGCTTCTTCCAGCAGGTGTGTGCTGTATTTACATAATATATTAGATTAAAAGTTGTGTGCTGTATTTAAAGTGGGCTAGTTGATATGAACTTTTCTTTTCATTATCGAATAATGATGCTGGGCCTTTCTTAACTGATGTTCTTGCCATGTTTTTGGCATTTCTGCAACATGGTTATAATTACTTCCAATATATGCTCTGCGCCCATGTGTAGCTATAATATTTGTGCTCTCCTTTGACCTGCAGTTCTGGTGTGGATAGTGGTGGATACATCCTGCCTGTGGAAACCAAAAAAGATTTCTGCTCTAAATGGAAGACAGAAGATCAAAATTGAGCCTATATTTGTTCACCATGCTTTAAAAGTTTTTTCCCAAGGTCAGTTGAGGAACAGCAATTAGTTCACTAATGGAACAGTGGTCCAATCCTTTTGAGACCCTTCTTTTATTTCTAGAAGGTATTGTTCCTCTTTAGATTGTGTTTGCTCTCTAATTTGCTTGAATAAATTGCAAATACTTCAAAATGCAATCTGAAATCACAGTCTCACTTCCCAAATACTTGCAGGAGGAAGAAACAGTTTCGCGGGAATGCCAAGACTTGATCTCCACGCTACCGAAAGAAAAGGGATGGCTCACTTCTCATCTATATAAGTATCAGGGGTTTTGGTACACTGCTAGGTATCTCCAGGGGACCATTTACTGTCAGAATCATTTCCAGGCTCAGGACTCTGATATCCTCCTTGTTACCACTCCGAAATCAGGCACAACATGGCTCAAAGCAGTTATCTTCACCCTAGTGAACCGAACCCGATTCCCCATTGGCAAGAACCACCATCTGAACAGTCAAAACCCCCATGATCTTGTACCCTTTCTGGAGATCAAACTCTTTCCTGAAACCCAAAATCCTGATTTCTCTTCCTTCTCTAAACCGCGCATTTTCGCCACTCACTTGCCTTACACCTCTCTGCCAGAGACTCTGAAGAAAGACTGTCAATGTAAACTTGTTTACCTGTGCAGGAACCCAAAGGACATCTTCGTGTCCTTATGGCAATTCACAAACAGGTTAAAACCACCGGGGGCTCAAACCAATACAATCCAAGATGTTCTTGACAAGTTCTGTCAAGGAGTAAGCCTGTTTGGGCCTGTCTGGGAGCATGTATTGCAGTACTGGAATTTTAGCAAAGAAAACCACAACAGGCTCCTCTTCTTGAAGTTTGAGGACATGAAAGAGCATCCTGGCATCCAGCTACGACGCCTGGCAGAGTTCCTGGGATGTCCATTTTCTCAAGAGGAGCAAAACTCTGGGCTGGTGGAAGACATCCTAGAAATCTGCAGCTTCAAACACCTGAGCAGCCTCGAAATTAACAGGAATGGTAAACTGGCATCTGGCGAGGAAAATAGCACATTCTTCCGGTGTGGCACCATAGGAGATTGGAAAAACCATCTAACCACTGAGATGGCTGAGAGAGTTGATCGAATTACTGAAGAAAAGCTCGATTCCTCGGGATTGACTCTCTGATTCTTCCCCAATCAGGTATCATTTCATGGCATGAATTATGAATCTGCTTCTCCATCATTTCATTCTATGTTTTTCAAATTTGCTGGCTCTTTCTTTTGATTTATGATTATCTGAAGTTTCAATTCAGTTCAAAAATTATGAGCAAGTGAGTAAGCCCATTTGAATAGGGCTCATATAAATGATTGGCACTGATGACCCAATTTGATGCACAATATATGCCTTTGTAGTTGGACTTAAACTAATAGTCTTTGCCATGTGTCTGTGTGCATGTCTTTGTGTGACAATACATTAAATAATCTTTTCTTCTCACAATATGGCAATCACTTGAATATACTCATCAGACAAATATCTCAGTAGCCCAAAACTATCATAGGATTCTCTTACCAAACAATATAGTTTAATGTGTCATTTCTTTGCTGTGTTGATTTGATATATGCCAGGGAAGCATGCATCATTAAAACTTGCTTTTTGTGTTTATTTAGTCTACATAACATGACATTGAGATCTGTTGGGGCTTTTTTTCTGTCCATTTGAAATCTTTGAAAATACTTACTTGCCCATTTTGTTTGTATGTGTAATTACTTTTGTTACAGAATGCTCTTAAAATACAATTGATACATTTTAAAATAAGATGGTGACTTGCTTGTAAAATATATATTGACCGTGAACAAATTAAAATGATGAATTGATATATTAATAGTGGGTGGAGGGAATATGTTTTAAGTTACTCAAGAATATGTTTTCATTTGTTTGGCAGTAAGAAATATTGAAATCTGTTTGAAGTGGAACTCATGTTTGATTGTATCATATGAATGAGTAAATAAACTAAAAAAATCGGGAAAAAAAAAAAAAAGGAAATGGTCAAAGTTTTTGAATAGAGGAGGAATTTTTTTTATCAAGAATTTGGTTGCATATGGTTGCTAAGATGTTATCAATAATTTTAACTAGTCCTATATTTGTATTCCCTTAAAGATTGTGATGTTTATAACATAAAATTCTTGTTATTTGTAATTTTTCACAACTAGTATTTCTTATATTAGTTATATGTGCATTTACGATTTTTAGTATTCATTTTTTTTCCCCTAAAATTTGAATTAGAGCAATTTTCGTGTAAAATACATTGGAGTATTTTTCAAGAAAAAACAAATGATTATAATCATGAACATCTGTGTAGCTTAATAATTTAATCAATAATGTCGTATTAGTTGACAAAAATTCCAACTTAAAATAAATTACAAAGCAGTAAAAGGGAATCAGATCTATTGTGTAGAGATGTCAGTAAATAATAACATATGTGTGAATCAGTTCTATATAATTCAAATAATATATATAAATAATTACAATTAGGGTCTGGTGCAAATCTAGACTGGATATTAGGAGAATGTAGGCCCAAATTCAATTAAATACAAAATACTGAACTCTAGAACTTTAAAGGAAAGTAAGTATTAAAATATACCGCAATTATCTTATAATATAAATAATTATAAATTAAAATTAAAATAATTAATTAGTTTAATTAAAATTAAAAGAAAAATAAATTAAAAAGTTTAAAATGAGATTAAAGTGTGTAATCATTTTTCTAAGAAAAGAAAAGTGACATGGTACTTGGGACAGACAGAGACGGGATGCATGGAGTAATATATTAAATATGCGGGGAGTAGGGATTCTTGGCGGGTCCTGGATTCCAGGTCCCACGTAGCCCCAGGCGTACATAGTGCCTGAGTAAAAAGGTGGGGTCCCGGGAGCTGGAGCAAAATTATAATAAGGAGTTGATGTAGTTGCAGACATGCAGCCCATTCCCTTCTCTTCTTTAATTTCCTGCCAACTTTTAATTGACTAAAATATTATTTATAAAAAATTTGTAGTGTATTCTACTAGGTAGCTAGTGTTTGAATATGACAGAGAAGTGTGGGTTCTGTTCTGTAATCTTTTCTGTATCTCTAACGAATCCACTCTCGTGGTCCTGTCGAGAGAGACGAGGGAGTCGGAGTCCCGGGAGCCCCCAATACTCAACCGGATCTTCCTGCTCTCATGCAACTTTATCATCCGTGGGGTTTAAGTTCATTTCATTTTTATAACTAGATCGGAGCTGATTAATTTATTACACTATATAATAATATTATACTTAGTACATACTTCTTCGTCTTCATAAATAAATATTCAAAGTAGGGAAGAGACATTATTTATTATATTTTATTTTTATATTTATATATAGATATGTATTCTTGAAACTTCCATCTTCCCACTATATTATTACATAGCTTTTTGTATCAAATTAGGACAGAAAAGGCAGGCTATACATACATATATGATATATATATATGTATATATGAGAGTTGCATGCTCTAACCCTAGCTACTTTTTCTTGGATCAGATCATATCATATCATATCAGATCACATCCCAAGAATCTATCTTCCTTAGTGCAATAATATTATATATATATATATATGTTCATATATTAATGTAAATACTGCTTACCAAACAGTGATTAACTTATATTTTTTGTTTGGAAATAATTAATTTTGCATGCCAGCCCTTTAAATGACGACACATGAGGATCTATGCCAAATATCGAATAATAATGAATTATAATATAAATCAAGTTAAATTTTGGCAAATGTATTGTCAAAATAGGGTTTTTAGGTTGTAATTAATAGGGCAGATTCATGCACTCAACAAGACAGTATTAGAGACAACACAATAAATAGGATTCTGCCCAATTCTATTGCCATTTTAATATTTCTGCCAATAATTTTCTATATTTATATATAGAGAGAGATAGAAGACAAATTAGACAATACATACTTATATAATAACACTACTCTTATACAAGTCCAATTCTCAAAGCCTTTTTGGGCTCTGTTGTGGTTTAATAATAATAATAATAATAATAATAATAATAATAATAATAATAATAATAATAATAATTTATTAAACTTGGCTCGTGATTTAATATGACAAATTCATGTTTTTACAATATCTTCTTTTATACAAATATTGGATGAATCTCAACTTTGCATCATATTTTCTTCTAATGAGATATATATACGAGTAAATTTAAACTTGACTTAATAAAATTAAATTCGAGTCAGCTTAATTAAAATATAAAATAGTTGACTCACTAGCTCGATTATTATTATTATTATTGTTATTATTATTATTATTATTATTATTATTTGCTTTTGAAGGAATTTATTCTTTTGTAAGCTTTATTCTGGTGCGGGTAAGCGCTGCTGAGCTGGCTTGACGTGGACCAATGGTCTGTCAGCTGACTCTTGCGTTGTCCGAAAAGGCAACGGTTTTTTTTTTTATTTTTTTAAAATAATAATAATGACAAGTTAAAGTAGAAGACTTTCGGGACCCGACCCATTTACCCATACTTGGCCCGTATCGTGATTTTCATTTTATTATGTTCAGTACAAAATGAAACCGAGGCTCGTGACAGAAGTCTGCAGTTGCAGTTCTCACGTGCTTTTGTGCGATTTCCAAAATCTTATTATTATTATTATTAATAAATAAATAAATAAACTGATTTCCTTCTTTTTCAATTGTACAAGTTGTTTATTATTATTATTATTATTTTATTTTTTCATGATTGCATATCTATTTTCACCAAATTTTCGACCTTATTTCACTTTCAATTAAGTTTTCACGTTCACTATTAATAATTGAATTAAATGAATGTCACATGCCACACAAAATTAATATAGAAAGTCCTTTTTTTTTTTTTTTTTTTTTTTTAACAATTTCAAATTCAAATTAACATTATTTGTTATGTGTAGCGTTCAGGGTTTGAACCATGACCACCTCACAGTGACACATTCAACTCCCACACCACAACCAGGTTAGTTTAGTGTAGTTTTTATGTTACACTAATATTGTTTTGTTAATTTTTTCTATTTAAATAATATTTTTATATAATACTTCTAATAATAATAATATTTTTTTAAAAAATAATAATAAAAATCCTACAAGTTGCAGTAAAAGAATGACTTCGAGTGCACACCAAACAAATCCACATTATTAATGTTTTTTTATACTCCATTATTTTATCTTCTTTTTTATTTACAAGAATTTTTTAATATAGATAAATACATATGTATGTTTTATAAAATATTACAAATTATAAAAATAATACTTCCTCTTGTGGTGTCCTTTTTACTGTAGACACTAGAATTTAGGAGAGTATAATTAGTAAATAATTAAGAATGTATCGGTAAAAATAATTATTGTATAATAAAAATAATTTTAGATTAAGATTAAGATAACTAATTAGTCTAATTAAAATTTTAAAAATTTATAAATTAAAATTTTTTAAATAATATTAAAGTGTATAATTTTTTTTTTTTAAAAAAAAGTGACATAATAAGTGGAACGGAACGAAAATGGAAAAATGGTCACGGTAAGTGGGACGGAGAGAGATAGTAGAATATTTGTAACACAAATAGTATGACTGTCATTTTGGAGTTTGATTTAAATTAGTTATAGAAATAATAATTATTTTCACGCAAAATATTAAATTTATTAAATTACTATTAAAAGAAAATAAAAAAAAATTAAATTTATTAAATTACTATTAAAAGAAAATCAAAAAAAAAACACAAACAATTGAGTGTTTGGATTAGGTTTAGTTTGGGATTTATATTATTCTCAAACTTTCTTCTTCAAATTAATAATTTAAATATTATTCAACATCTTAAAAATATTAAATTAAATATTTATTTGTATTAAATTATATTATACTCTCTCCGTCAGTGATACTGTATCTGCTACATTGTAGACACGGTATTTTAGGAGGTGTGTAATTAGTAGATAATAAAGAATGTATTAGTGAAAATAATTATCCTATAATATAAATAATTATAAATTAATATTAAGATAACTAATTAGTTTAATTAAAATTAAAAACATAAAATTTAAAAATTTAAAATGAGATTAAAGTGTGTAATCATTTTCCAAAAATGAAAAGTGATATGGTATGTGGGACGGATAGAAACGGCAACGTGAAAATAGTATCTGGGACACGAAATGGAGTATTTTAAAACATAGTCCAAATTGAGTTAGGTGGAATCTATTCAGCCTCAATCTTGTCACGTAAATAGTCAAATTGTATCTAATTATTAATTGATTTATTTAATTTCATAGTAATTATTTTATTACCAATCTGTCCCCCCTACGCTATAGATGTCACTATCATCGAAATTATATATCACAATTCAAATTTAATTATAACATTACTCGCTAACTTCCAAATTAATTGGGGTTTAAAGATAAAAATAAAATAAATAAATGTATTTTTAATTTCTATCTAAAATATTAAATTTAACAATCAATTTCACTTACAAATACAGGTAAATTTCTTATTATTTATATTTGTTGTATTATTTATTTTGACAATAACTTAATAAAGTTAATTAATGAATTAATATTAGCTACTAAGTGGGTAATAATAATAATTTATAATAATTATTGGTAGTAAAATAGAATTTAAAGCAGTGTAGCTGTTGATGCCTTTCATTCATTGTCCAATTAAGGTTTACAGTTATATCGGTTGAAATTTATTCTCACGTGCGTTTTACATTTATAAATTATTTCTAATATATTAATATATTTAATAAATAAATTGAATAATGCCCATGACTACCAATGCCATGTACTTGGCTATAAATATATACAGGAAGAAAATTGAAAAAAAAAAAAAAAAAAAAACTTTATTGAGCGTTACATAAATTATACGACTCGAATTGCGAAACGTTTATCGAATAGTTAGAGAGTTGTACGTGATTAAATTAAATTATCTTAAAATTTATATTAATTACACATATACTCATAAATAATAGTAGTATTTTGTAAATATTTTAAAAAAGCAGAATTATATAAGTATCCCCTATTGAAATAAAATTTTGTGGACTAAAATATTTATTTAATTAATAAATATTAATCACGTAAGCTTGCATGCATGAATATTATATATAAATATATATTCCTCAAATATAATTAAAAGTGATGATGATTCGGACAGCACTAATAATATATATATATATATAAATTCCAATTTTTATGATAATAGTGGGAAACCAGTGGACAGATTTGTCTGTGCAATAATCGAAAATCAATAATTTTCCTAAACTTTTTTCCATCATTTTAGCATTTCTGTCTCTCATCACTAACTACTCACAAAACACATTTGGAGATATATATATCTCTCTCTATTTAAATATAAAAAAAAAAAAAAAAAAAAAAAAAAAACGAAGAAATTGCAAAAAAAAAAAAAAAAAAAAAAAAAAAAAGAAACTCTAAAAGTGGGAAGTAGAAAAATTTGCAGAAAACCCTAAAGTTAGGAATGAATATATAATAACAATAGCATGTGACAATTAATTACTAAATAATGTACTGTTCCCAAGACAAACATATATATATATATTATCTTGACCACATCAGTATCTGGTGGTAACCTAGTTATATATATAATTTAATCAATTTTTTTTTAAAAAAAAAATATATATATTTACTGTCTTTTAAACATTATATTTAATAACATCGAATGATATTTCAAAATTTTTATTATATTTTGTTAAAATTTTACTCTACTCATTACTTTATAGTTCAACAATTTCATTATAAAACTCAAATATAATTAATTCTCCTCCCATTGCATATAAGAAACAACATTTGGATTTCGACACAAAAATTTAAATAGATAGAATAAAGTGCAATTAAGTAATATAATGAAAAAAATTACTCTATCCGTCCAGTTAGAAAGTATACATATTTCAATTTTGGAATATCAAAAGTAAATATTTCATTAAATACCCTATATTTTTTCACAAATATCCTTACTTTACATCACATAATTAATTTTACACAAAAAAAAATAAGGGCAAAAATATTATTACATTTAACTACTCACTATAATCAAAATACTATTATTTCTTAAATATCCGTTCCAAAAATAAATTTATAGATTGTATGTATGAACGGAGGGAGTATACGTTAATATTCTATTTGAGTAGTGTGACGAGACAATATATTAATCACGGTAAAATTATTATTTAATAATATAACTTTGAAAGAAATTTAAAAGCATTTATTGAGCAATATATATTACAAATATACATGTGTGTGCATTAATTAATGCTGCAATGGTGCCTAACCATGTGGAGAGTAAATTAAATTCCATTGGAAATAAATGATATATAATAATATAAATATAAAATTTAATATTAGCCTAGGCATAGGGTTTTTGACTCCACTGCCTATGGCGGCTGCTTAATACCATTCTCAATAAATATCCACATTCACTAATATTATAATATCAATATATAGATATATATATATATATATAATCGATCAATTCAATTTAAAATTTTTTGATTTTATAAATGTATAAATAAATATGTGTTGAATATTGTCCCATATTGCTAAATGTGTAGGAATGCATACAAGAAATGCCTTTACTTATAATTCAAAAAATAGTTTAGCATAATAATAATAATAATGTACCTATTTTTTTTTCTGTAATGAGAGGTTGAAAAAGAAATTGTAACTACAATGGAAGACCAGAGTGCGTGCGGTAATAATATATTTTGAGAAATTTTTCGACGATGGCCGAAAGAAGAGAGCGGTGGCGACGGCCTAGTCAGCGGCAGGCGGCGAGCGAGGCGATGGAATTGCTGCGTCGTTCAAACAAAATAAAAATTATATTTATCGTTGAAACAGAAATAAAATGACTATTAAAATTAAAGGGTAAAATTGTAAATTGTAATAAAAATTTAATTTTTATTTAGAAAAAAAAGAGTAAGAAAACACCTGTCGCTCTGCAATTGGATGGACAAGAGCAACAGAAAGATGTGCCGGACAGGAGATCCGAACCCGCTATAAGGGTAAAGGATCATTCCACTTATCACCAATTTATATTAAATTGAATGCCATGAATGCACAAGCAGCTGTTACATATCTTACACTACGCATATAATTTAAAAACTTGTAATTACATTAACTTTTTTTTTTAAAAAAAAAATGGCTATTCTTTCAGCATTATTTTAAAATTAAGATTCCTTAATAATAATAGTAAAAACATAAAATATTTTATACAAAAATTAAGAAGGAACTTCAACTCATTATTAAAAAGTCAAAATAATTTCAGATACATATTAAAAAAATCAAAAAAAGTAAAAGTAACTTTAAATACTCATTAAAAAATAAAAAATTTAATATTAAACTTAAAATAATATATTTTATATTTTAAAATAATTTTTCATATTATAAGCAAAACAATTATTTAATCTAAAATGGCTAGTGAACGGAGCCTATATTTATTTATTTATTTTAAATATTTTAAAATAAAATAAAATCAAAATAATATGAAATATATATATTCATTTTGTCCAAATCAGTCTATTTATTTTTCTATTATGGCCTATTTGAAATAAATATATCAATTTTTTTTTGTAATTGTAATTTTTTTTACCTAACTTAAAGAAAAAAACTTATGATTTATAGACTATTACAATTCTTTATTTAATTAATTTATTATATATAAAAAAAATTATTATAAAATTTATATATATAAAATGAATAAATACGCATAAAAATTAATACTCTTTCCCTATCATAAAAAAAGGTTTCATTTTTAAGTTTTTTTTTTTTTTTATCCCAATATAAAAATATTATTTTTTAATTTAATAATTTATACTATTTCTTTAATATAATAAATATTATTACCTTTACAATATATTAAACAAATATTATTACTTTATATTACATAATAATAATAATAATAATAATAATAATAATAAAATTATTTTTTATTTTTTTTACTTTAAATCGATATAATATAATATTAAAAAATCAATGTAAAACATCCCAACAACAATTAATCACAAAATAAGTAAAAATAAAGACCGCAACAGTTGATGGTAAAAACCGTTATCCCAAGGTAATAAAATAATCAGTCATATGTCTAATTCTCGAGAACACCGAGGTGTGCAGCTCCCGTAAGAATCCATCCGCAGGGTGGATTCAGTTCAGGACTTGAGGCCCAGGGAGCGGTGAATAATAACGGCGTCCCCAAAACTTGGAGCGTATTTTTACTGCGGTACCGTCGGCTGTGACGTGGCTACCGGTGGGGGAAAGTTACCCATGGTAGGGATGCGCATTTTAGCAGAGGCCCGCTAAACAGAAGGGCCCCATTGGCAAACGTACGCCGTGTGGCCACTGGTATATTCAACCCGCCTCCCTTAATTCCCCCATTTTCTTACATCTGCTAAACTTTTTTTTTTTTTTTTTCTTTTTCTTTTTTTGGGGATTTCTTCAGAGAGGAAAGAATTAAAAAGGGAAGAACGAGGCCCCAAATTAAATTTCCAACGGCAGCTGAAAATAGAAACCCCCGTCGACAGAAGGCTACTATATATACACACGCAGCCCGACTGACCCGACACCCACAAAAATATCGTATTGGTAAGGGGAGTGGAAATCGAATTATATTTAGTCGAAAGGGTTTGTCGTTTGTTTTTGCTCCCATAAATAGTCCGAGTGAGAATTCGAAAGAATTGAGGGTTTTTCGTTTCAGGACATCTTTTGGTTCATCGATTGTTGTGTCTCATATTGGAAAAAAAATAAAATTGAGTGGGTTTTATTTTTACAGGGTCAAGATTTTGATCTTTATTTTCTTGTCTATCCTCGATAGTTTTGGTCTTGGGGAGAATCAAGAATCTGGGTGGCCCAATCAAGAATCAGTCGAGAATTGATCATGGGTTCGTGTCATCCTTCTTTAATTTCTTTCCCTCCATTTTTTATTTTTTTTTTCTTTTCTGCTGTAGAATTTTCTTGGTGGCTTTTGTAGTTGGTTCTTCCCTAGCTCGTTTCCGAGATGGCCTGGGATTTGGTAGAGTTATTGTACTTGTGGTATTTGTTGGTGGGTGGAATTTATTTTATGGAATTTTGGTCTGTTTCCAGGCTGTAATGAATCAGACATATTCGGACTTGTGAGAAATTGTTGAAGGCCTTTGCTGCTGCTGCTGTAATAGCAGAGCAGAGGAGAGCCCCACCCCCACCCCCACCCCCACCACACCCCACATACAGTGGAGGAAGTTTCTCAGCTTGTTAAAAGCCTCTCTTAATTGGCTGACCTTTCTTGGTACACTCCAAGGAATAGGATCGATCGTTCTAGATTTTAATTTCCATCTTCCCCAACTATTTATCCCCCCATTTGATTATTCTACAATCTGGATTTTGTCTGTCTTTTGATTTGGAGGTTTTCTGTTTTTTTCTTTTTTATTTTTCTGAAATTCTTGTTTCAGACAGTGGGGTGAGTTTCTCTGAGGACACCATGGATGACGAATACGCGAAGTTCATCAGGAGAATGAATCCTCCTAGGTCTGCATCTAATCCAATTTTGTCCTCTTACCTTTATCATCGTTTAATTCATCGATCATTTTTCGATTGATTCCGATCCATTGTATATATATATATATAACCAGAGTTGTGATCGACAACGAATCTTGCAAGAACGCCACAGTTATTCAGGTGGACAGTGCCAACAAACAGGGCATACTTCTGGAAGTGGTTCAAGTTCTTACAGATCTCAATTTGATCATTACAAAAGCTTATATCTGCTCCGATGGAGGATGGTTCATGGATGGTACTTAAAAAAATCACTTGCTAAATTTATATCGATCTTGCTATCTTTGTGCTTCAATTTAATATGTTTCGATTCGTCGTTTGGAACAGTTTTCAACGTCACGGATCATGACCGAAACAAGATAACAGACGTAGGGATCCTAGATTACATTCAGAAGGTAAGCTGTCTTAATTGCAACATTTTCGACAATTCTCGACCTTAATTTCGTTTCGTTTTCAGTCACTTGGTCCCGATTCGTGCTCGATGAGGCGGAGATCGGTCGGCGTGACGCCGGGGATGGACCACACGTCCATCGAATTAATCGGGAGCGATAGGCCTGGGCTACTATCCGAGGTGAGCGCTGTCCTAACTCACCTCAAGTGCAATGTCGTGAACGCCGAGGTTTGGACACACAACACGCGCGCGGCCGCGGTAATGCAAGTCACCGACGAGGAGACAGGGGCGGCGATCTCCGACCCCGATCGCCTGTCCGTGGTTAAGACATTGCTGTGCAATGTCCTAAAAGGCAGCAACAAAACGCGCGACGCAAAGACTGCAGTCGTGTCTCACGGCGCCACGCACACGGATCGGAGGCTTCACCAGATGATGTTCGACGATCGGGATTACGAGCGGATGGCTCTCGACGATAATGGTTCCGACAAAGAAAGGCCTAACGTGAACGTCGCAAATTGGCACGATCGAGATTACTCCGTCGTGACGATCCGTTGCAAGGATCGCCCGAAGCTTTTGTTCGATATTGTCTGCACTTTGACGGATATGCAGTACGTTGTCTTCCACGGAAACGTCGATTCTGAAGGGCCCGATGCTTATCAGGTAAACAACGACGACGACAACAACGATGTCTTACGATTGATCTGTAATAGTACGGTTTGTATATCAACATTGTTGATCATATCATGTTTGGATTCGAAGGAATACTGCATAAGACACATCGACGGATCTCCGGTGAAATCGGATGCCGAGAGGCAGAGAGTCATACAATGCCTTGAAGCAGCAATACAGAGGAGAGTGTCTGAAGTAAGGACATTATATATTATTACAACCATCAAATTATCTATCTCAACATCATTATTTATTCGATTTATTTAGGGGCTAAAGCTGGAGCTTTGCACGACGGACAGAGTCGGGCTGCTGTCGGATGTAACTCGAATTTTTCGCGAAAACAGTCTAACGGTGACGCGAGCAGAAGTGGCGACGAGAGCGGGCAAAGCAGTGAATACGTTTTACGTGCGCGACGCATCCGGGTACCCGGTGGATCCGAAGATCATAGATTCGATTCGGCAGACGATAGGGCAGACGATTCTTCGAGTGAAAGGCAGCCCACAAGAAGCGAATCAGAGCAGCCAAGAATCTCCAACCAGGTTCCTATTTGGCGGGCTATTTAAGTCGAGATCGTTCTGTAATTTCGGGCTGGTTAGATCGTATTCTTGAATGGATTTCCATGTTAAGTTTTAGATTAGATGAAGTTTAATTTGGTTTAACAATGGAATGGAAGAAAGGCTTTTACTTGGATAAAACCCATCATCGATCATCCCTGTAAATATTCCATCTTTGGTTTGCTTAGCTTCTAGTTGTACAGAACAAAAACTCTGCTTAATTCATTTCACTACCAATCGTCACTGGTTGTTCTGATTATTAATACAGCAACATTCCTTATCATTTTGACGAGTATATATATATATATATATATATAATTGAGACAAAAACACAGGCTAAAATAGGAACAGGTCCTAAATTCACTATCGCGTTCTCCAATAAAATTTTCTATGCCATGTCATTTATTTAATTTATTAAAAATATAATTTAATTAATACATAACATAAATAAATTATATAAATTCATTATCTCTCCTATATGGAGGAGAGAATGATATAAGAACGTTCTTGCAAGAGTTCTTCTGCAACAACGGTTCTTGTTTTTTTATTTTTTTTTTAGTGATGTGTAAATACGCATCATACTATGTGCGTTCTCCCACAATTAAGAACTTCCCATTGCACTTGCTCTAAAATTGGCCCCTCTACAGAGAGTTGTTGGGCTCTGGTCAGCAGATTCATAATAAATGGTGGTTGGCAAAGAAGAAGGAGAGGTGGGGTGTTGCCACGTGGCATTGCATCTGACTGAGTAGAACACAGAGACACAGAAAAAGATGGAAGAAGGAAATGGATGCATGGTGGAGGTGCAGATCGATGTAGCAGAAGGCTATGGATATGGCTATGGCTATGGCTGTTTTGTTGGACTAGTCAAAGCTGCTGCTGCTGCTGCTGCATATGCATGCTAAGAACTGATGTAGCTTAGCTTGTTCTTGCATTTGCATTGTCCCAATGGTGTGGGATTCATTCCTTTCACTCTTTTATTGATTGATTGATTGATTTATTATTAAAGTTTTTTTTTTTTTTTAATAAATTCGAATCAAATTTAATATTTTAAAATTAAATTTTACAAGACAAATCACACTAGACGAACCACATATAATACACAAAATATAGAATTAGATAAATTACACTATAATGATGTATAGCACACGAGACATAGAATTTAAAGTAGGTTATAGACACCACCAAATTTGTAATTTAAATTAGCGTTTAAACCCGTGCTACACACGAGATTATTATAATTAAATTAAATTATTATATTATTTTTATTTAATTTTATAAATATTTGAAATAAATAAAAATATATATAGAGAGAAAAAGGCATGTGATGCCTTTCGGAAATCAACATTAGATTCGCTCCTCAGAGTGGTCACATGTGTGATGACTAGTTGAGTAATAATAACAACAATTTGACATGGTCACTGCAGTTGTTCCACATGGGTGGAGTAGAAAAAATATAAAAAATAAAATACTGTTTTTTATTTTTGTCCGACTCAAAATAAGGTTATTATTTTTTAATTTAGTAACTGTACTATCTATTAACACAATAAATACTTTTTCAATTTACAATATATTACACTAATATTATTACTTTTATATTACACCAAACTAATAGGGGTATTTTTGTCTTTTGTACTACAATACAATATAATACTAATATTCAAAAATCTATGTGCAAAAAGCAAACGTCACCCTTGCAACGGGACGAAGAGAGTATTTTTATTTTAGATAATTAATTTAAACCCTGACATCTCCGAGTTTTGTCTATCTCACATAGTTCACCGACTTATTTTTTCGAATTTAATTTACAGGCTATTAAGTTGGATAATTTACTAAAAATACACCATAATGATTGCAGCTACGAATTTTTATGGTATAAAAAAAGTAAAATAATAATAATTGATTCATCACTGTTGTAATTAATTAGTTAAGTGGAGCTAGCTTATCTAACATGTCAAGAAATTAATTAAGCTAAAATATGCATATTTACTATATGGAATATGCTAATTTTATTTAATTAAGAGGGGTCATATATATGTTTTAGGTAACAATTTAATTAAGAACATATGCTGGGTTAGCCACTATTGAAAAATTAGTATTGTTAGAGTCAGGGCGGCTCAGGAGTAGAGTGAGTTGCTCAGAACCCTAATTTACAGAGTGTCCATATTTTAAATTATTATCTATTATTATTATTAAATTTTAAAATTGTATTTTAATTTTTAGTTTATATTTTTTTATAATTATTTTATTTAATTTTAAAATTAAATTTTAAAATTTTAGCTTTTTTTTTTTTTTCTCTTTATAATTATTCTATTTAATCTTAAAATTAAATTTTAAACTCTAAATCATATATATTTTTTTTATTTCTTTCTTTCTAACAATGTCTTACCTTATCTTTCCATATTTAGTTGTGGTATACACTTCTTTACCTCACAAGTGTGGCATTGCGCCCACTAATTCAGACAAACTTATCTCACTTTCTCTCTTATCTCTTTCACTCTCCTTCACTCCTTCTTGCTTTTCGAATTTCCGGACACACCATCTTTCATTTTCTTTTCTCAATTGTTCAGACGGTTACGTTCAAATCCTTGTCTAATCGATGTCAATCAGTAATATTATTTTGAAAATGCATTTTAATTATGTGTTTATATGACCTATAATTTATTTTCGCTCAGAACTCCAAAAAGGTCCAAAACGACTCTGATTAGAGCAATGATCTATGATAATGCAAGTGAAGTGGCGTCTAATAATATACATATATATATATTTTTTTTTAATAACATGGAAATCCACAGTCGCTACCCGTCAATGCTAGGCCTGACAAGACAAACCACATAAAACATATATATATATATTGATTTTAGTGTTTCAACAACGTTAGGAACGACAGAATATGTGTTTATACATTAAAGTTCCAGCCCTAACCTATGACTGCACAAATATGTGTTGTTATTAAAAAAAATAAAATCGTATTGTTCTTTTTAATTTATCACACACATATATATTTACACACACTGTGTGAGAGCTCTTTTTATTTATAATTTAATTAATTATTTTCGGTGGCTGATCACAAATTTAATTATTAAACGTTACTCAGAAATTACTATCATTAATTTTCTTACACCAGAATCTTGTCTTATTATTACAGCAGAAAAATTGATATATATATATATAAATATATTAATGTTCAATGCATCCATTCCGGCAGCAACCCTTTGGCATTATTGTTCTGTGTTGATGATCCTCCTGCTTCATTATTTGCTCTGCACTCAAAATTAATAAATTAATCACATTCATAATCATTCAAATTATATTCTTTTCTACTCATACTCATGATCCCTCAAACTCCTTTTCTTGATGAAAAATTAAATTAAATTTGGTCGATTATTTAAAAAATAAAAAAATATTAATTACCGAGCCATGTCGGCCGAGTTGTTGCGATCGAGAGTCTCGAAGAAGACCTCAGGGTGCACCGGCCTCGGCCTATACGGCGCTATGTGCCGATCGCCGGCACCCCATGTTTCTTGTAATGATCCTATATTGCTGCTGCTGCTTCTTCCTTCAATCTACAACCATTATAAGTATGTATCGATGTATGTATTTGTTAAATTTTGTAATAAATATTTAGGAGGGTTTTTTTTTATATACTTTGCTTTTCAGTGATTCATTGATCTCCATAAGGTCTTTTCCCTGTAAAAATGAAATATTGAGCTCAATTGGTTGTTTTAATATTTTCAATATATATACACGTACATGTATGCATAAATTAACATATATATACATACATACCTTTTGTTCAAGACTTGAAAGCTGTTGGAACATTTGTTGTGTCTGGAAAGAACACATTCAACAATTCTTTAGTATTAATGTAATTTGCACAAAACAATAAACACAACATATATATTGGCAGCTGACGATTAGTTCCAATCAGTATAAATTATACACTGACAGTTCAAAATGCCTATCAATAAAACACAAATGTAACATATTATCTGACATCATATATATATATATATATTAAAAATTCATACAATACATATCACGATTAATCTCAATATAGAATAAATGTTAACATGACGTATATGTATGATATGAATTGATAACATGTAATAGTTCAACAGTATATTTATTTTAAAAAATACCACAACTATGTCACACGCAATCTATAAAAAAATTTCTATCACTTTATTAATTCACTCGTATAGTTCTCAAAATGCTTCTATTATATATCACCATCAATCAATATAATAGTACGTTCTCTAAAATCTGTGTCGAATTCTAATGAGCATACATTTGCGGATGGACGAAGTAAGTATTTTCGTATATTATTAAAGACAAATACCTGTTTTAATCGAACTTGTCTTAAAGAGGCCTCTAATACACCCTCTAATTGGTCAAGTTCCTGTGCACTAAACCTGCCCAAATCTTCCCCCAAAATATGTCTGCAAAAACCAAAACCACGACAAATTAATTAATTGTATATATATTTATACATGGATCAAGAAAATGAAGAAAAATAAACCTCTGGGATTGTTGCAGAGCTTCAACTCTTGCCTTGAGCTTTAAATACTCATGGTAGCTGTTCTGCTCACATACAATACAATTATACAATACATACATATATATATATAATTTCAATAATAAATAAATAATTGTGTCGACTACTACTGTGTCAGCTACATCAATAAATGGTTGTTTATATAGTAATGGATCGAAAACAATAATTATTTTTTGTAATGGCAAAGAATGAATACATACGTACGTACCACTCCATTATTGGGAGATTGTTGGGCTTCAACTGATGAATCAAAGCTGCATCTGTGGTATCTCTCCAGTGTTTCTACCATACTAATTTATTCTTTTACATGTTAGAATTTGCATCATTAAATTATTACATACCTTTACTAATGAATAATACAAAAGAAATAAAGAGGATTCATTTTTTAGAAAGATGAAAATTTTCTGTTTCTTCTTCATCCTATATATATATATATATATTACGAGAAAAATTATAATTTTTTTTAGAAAAAAAAAAAGATTAAACTTTAGAACTTGAGAACCAAACCCTTTAAAGCTTTGTCTTAATTAACAACAACAACAAAAACAATAAGAATAATAAGTAATTGTATGAATTATTTTTATGCTGTCATTATTAAAATATAGATTTCATACAATAAAATATTTGTTGGAGAAGAGATAAAATCTGACTTAGATTTCACAATAAAACTTGAAAAACTCATCCCCAATAATCAGACAAAACTGAATTAACAATTGCAACCACAAAACCCTAATTTCATCTTAGCAATAACTCATTCACTCTTTAATTAGCTTTCAATCTCAAATATATATGAAAAATTGAATTAAAGCACAGAAAATGGACAGGGATGAAGAATCGAATCGAATTGAATTGAATCCAATATATATATATATATATGTATATATGATGATACCTGGAGGTGCTGCAGAACTCATAGAGTTTGCCTTTGTTGGAGAAGATGATGAGGGCAACTTCGGCATCGCAAAGAACAGAGAGTTCATAGGCCTTTTTAAGCATTCCATTTCTTCTCTTTGCAAAAGTCACCTGTCTGTTTATCTTGTTCTCAATTCTCCTCAGCTCCACCTTCCCCCTCCCCATAACCCCCCTGATGATTTTAAAAAAGAAAAAATAAATGTTGTCCTTGATCTATACTTATATGTATATATATTTACTATGTATGCATATATATATATGCAATTTCTATTTCTATATTATGGATGCTTCTCTCTCACTTATTTAACTCTCCACATGACTTATTATATATATAGACATTAGAATTAGGAACACTAATCTCATATATATCCCTCTTCTTTGCTTGATCTGATGAGTACACTCAAATTATTTATGGACATTAGGGTTTCTGCATCTCTTATATTGATTGATATATAGATGTGTGTTTGGTGGGGCTGTTCTTAGGTCTCCTAGGAAATCAGTACTGCAACTGTAAAAGTAATGATACATACATACATACATATATATATATATATATATAGATATATGGGTTTTGAAGAATTTATCCTTGTGCCAACTCAACTTCTTTTTCACCTAATTAGGCAAACAAATATCGTACACACACACATATATACATATATATATATAGTGATTTTATATAATTATATACATTGTTTAATCTTACAAAATATTACCTCTAAACTACTATTCATTTTTTAAAATAAAAAAAGAACTTAAAAAATCACCCTACTTTTTGGACTAAATTTTGTAGGTATAAAAAATTATGTCGGTACAATAAGAATAATATATATATTTTATGTTAAATATTGACTTTTTGTGAGATGATAGAATATATACATTATATATATTGAAAATTACGTCGGAAAAAAAAAATGATTGAACAAAACAAATATACTTAAGAGGTTTTTTTTTTTTTCTCTTGTTTATGAGGATCTGTATAGGAAAAATGATTGTTGAGACGACCATCATAATATGAAATTTGAATGCAGTTAAATTATTGACTCTTAGAAAAACAAAGAATCAAAATAATAGAAATATGTTACTCGTGATGAGTGACTAGTTATTAAATAAATTACATTACTTGTATATATATGTATATATATATATATATATTACCCCTCTTAAGAATTAATTTTTTTTTTCTTTTTTATCTTATCAGAACATACTAAAAAGGGTGTATTACATATGTATATCTCTGTCTGGGTGTGTACAAGAAAAATAAAATATGTATATACATAATTAATAATGTAAAGAGCCCCATGCATGCTTCTAAATTTGGTACTACATATAAATTTTATAGTGAAATGTTAAATTTTTTTATTCTGATGATCTAACTATTTTGAACACAACAAAGCTTTCCAAAACTAACTGGACATGCTAATTAATTAAAATGTGGGACATATCCAGTTGCTATTATTATTATTATTATTATTATTATTATTATTATTATTATTATTATTAGTATATAATCTTCTTTTTGATTAATTACCAACTCTTCAAATTTTGAATATGAATTAAGTCGCCAGCCGTACGCATTAAAAGAGCTAGATTTGGCCTAGTGATTCTTTCCAAAGAAATTAAAATCATAAACTAATTACTAAATATATATACATATGGGGAAGATTACGTTGCTGATATGGAAAAATCAGTACCTTCAGCATTCATAAAATATAAAAACAATATAAATTTTTATTAGAAACAACAAGTATGGTTTATAATAACAGCTTGTTTGTTTGTAATTACACGTGTGTTAAAAGTGTATGTCATGTGTTGAAATGAATTGTTGCATCTGCGATACGGTGATGTATTTGTATTATATGAATATAAATGATGTGTTGTCACTAACATTATCGTGTGCTATTTGCTATCTATCTATGTGCTGTCAATTTATGTATTGTATTTGCAATTATATTAATATTAATGATATATTGTCGCTAACATTACCGTGTGCTATTTGCTAGCGCTGCCATATACATATATATACATACATATATATATAGACAAAAGTATCTCCATTTTATATTATAAATAATTAGTTTATAGTTTTCATATTAATATTATTATTATTATTATTATCTTGTAAAATAAACAAACCCTAAGAATATAATTACTATCCGATTTTGGGATGGCCTTAATTAATTAGCATTTCTTTCTATATATATAATTAAAATTTTGTGAATGGCATATAATAAATTATATTACTAACAATAGCCACTAAATAGTTAATTAATTAGCAAATAGGATCCTTTTTAGGTTTGCAATTATATGTATAAATTTGAGAAATAAAAACCCTAGTTTAGATTTTTTTTTTTTTTTTTTTTGCCATCTATGATCTATATTTACACAATTTAATTGTATAGGCACTTTTAGCAATTGGCGTTCATAGTTACACGTATAGAAAATGTGATTAAATATATATAATATATATATATATATATATATATATATAGCTCTAACTTAATCAAGTTGACGCAAACTACTACTACTACTACTATAATAATAATAATAATAATAATAATAATAATAATAATAAGAAGAAGGATCGCAGCTATCATTCTCTATAATGAGATGATTATTTTCCTAGGTTTACAAAAGTATATCCATTTGTATTTGTCAAACAAATGTATATATATTTGTATTCTGTGTTTATATTTTGTGTTTTGTGTTTAAATATTAATCGAATGTTATATTTTATAAATTGGAAATAATGTATAAGAAATTGTGAAATTGCATGGTGAAATAATTGGGAAAAAAAAAAAAAAAATCTAAAAAAAGAAGAGTTTTTGCTATTATAAAATTGTCTATTTTTATTGGGCCTGGCCCCCAAATTGGGCTGTTATCAATCACGCAAGACCTCTAATAAAATAATTATAGAATTGATTGAATGATTTCAAGAACCAGAAAGCAGCAAAGGCTGATTTAATTAATTAAAACAATTAACTATTTGAATATATTATTTGATTAAAAATATTAAATTATTCTAGTTCCTGACCAATTGTGTCCATGGCAACCAGGTTCAGATTTCCTTAAAATTAAATAGAGATGTCTTTTTCTTGCAACATTATATAAACCAAGAAACAGACCCCTTTATTTTATCTTTTCATCCAAATTAACATAAAAGAAATGCACCTAAAAAAGGCAAAGTGCAGACAATCAATGGCCTTCCCATTAAGATAAGATAAGGTTTTAATCCAACAAACAAACTATGTACATATACATATACATACATATATATATATCAATATATGCATGTATGTATTCTTCAATTACACATTATTGTGTGAAGGGTTGTATATTTTATATTTTAGAATTTTTTATTGAAAGCTTGTTTAAATTTAATTATAATTCCTAGTTATCATTAATATAGGATTGTGTCTCATTTAAATAATGTAAAACTACACTGAGTCAAACTTTTCTTTGATTAGAAATTTTCTTCCAATAAAATGTTTATATAAAAATTAAAGATACAAGAGTAAAAAAAAAAAAAAAAAAAAAAAAAAAAAAAAAAAAAAAACATATATATATATATATATATAGTGTTATGTTATTAATGAGGACCTCTCGTGTGTTTATTTTGTAATAAAATTTAAATTTTGTCAAATATAGGTACATATATAGCTAGGATGAAATGAAAGGTACTTTTAGTGTTCAACATGATGCCACGTAGGTCTTGAAATAAAGAAGTAATTATAATAATATATTTTGTAAATTATGGTGACATTTAGGTTGGTAGAATTTAAGAGCAACAAGTTTTTGTAATGGATTATGGAATCATGAATGCACCTAAATAAATATATATATATATATATATATATATAGGTTGATGACTTTTGAGAGGCTATTGATGCTAAGAAGTGTAGCATTACCCACCTTTAGGAGGCCTACTGTCACGGGCTGACATTCCTGCCCTTGGTTCTCGGCCATAGTCCGTCCCATGTGTGCGAGCCCCTGTCCTGTACGGCTGTCTAATGACCCATATCTTGGTGCAGGTACGTGTTCCACATGATTCTCCCATACTGTATGGTTCATCCCGGGTGTGTTGCGCATCAGGGACGGCTGGTCTGGGCCTCTGCGCGGGCGTGGCCTAGGCGCCGGGCGTGTCAGCTTCCGGACACGTGACATGTGGTATCAGAGCGGACCTTGACGCTGGTGGCGAACGAAGCGACAAAGTGGGCATGTCTCGAGTCAAGGAGCATGTTGGTCGGCACGTCAAGGAATAGCATGTCCTAAGGTAACTGGACATCCCAAGGAGGGGAGTATGCTCGACGTTGCCGAAAAGGCCAAGAAGGCCGAGCTTTGTTCGTGAGGTGAAAACCACGTTAAGGACGATCATCGGGCAAAAAAATTGCACTAGCCGCAACAACGGATGTTCCGGACGGTGTGTGGAGATGCGCAGTGGAAGTTGGGTCGCACAAAGATTATGGCAAAAGAACTCGCTGGCTATTGGTGAGCACCAAATGAATGGTATGCAGGAAAAGGTTCCGCAGAAGCATACCGAGGGTGCAAGAAACAACGTCAGTGCACTCAAGTAGCGTCGCACGAGGGCGTTTGCGACTTGAAGTGGGGGAATTTGTCACGGGCTGACATTCCTGCCCTTGGTTCTCGGCCATAGTCCGTCCCATGTGTGCGAGCCCCTGTCCTGTACGGCTGTCTAATGACCCATATCTTGGTGCAGGTACGTGTTCCACATGATTCTCCCATACTGTATGGTTCATCCCGGGTGTGTTGCGCATCAGGGACGGCTGGTCTGGGCCTCTGCGCGGGCGTGGCCTAGGCGCCGGACGTGTCAGCTTCCGGACACGTGACACTACTTTCATATATTGCCATCCACTTAATTTTAATTAACCAATTTATCTCAAATTATTATTATTATTATTATTATTATTTTATAAAAATTATATATTCAATCAATTAGATTTGCAAAGCAATCAATTAGCTAGCGGGAGCAAAAACCCTTAATCAACGGTAAATGTTTATGTCTATTGTTCATGCTTTAGTGTATATGCATGTCACAGACCTCACAATAGTCTATTCATGATAGATTTGTATCGACGACTTTAGTATTTTAAATGAGTAAAATCACTTCATTCTAATTCAACTTGTTTATTATGATATCAGATTCGTATTGATCTGTATATATAATTGGATCGAAATTCTTGATTCAAATCCAATTATTTCGTGTTGAATTCGTGTCGAATTGTCGTATCATATTAGTTTTTTGTCGGTTCCAATGAATAGTGAATTAGATTATATTATTTAATATTGAACTTAATTTAAATTAATATGTTGACTAATTATCAAATTTAAATTAATTTTTATATAAAACTAATTAATTAAAATTAATACTCCTTCCGTCCTAAAAGAGCTGTCTTATTTTTCCATTTTGATTTGTTTCAAAACAATTATCTTATTTTCTTATTTAGTAACTATGATCCTTACTTTATAACAAAATTATTATTATTATTTTTTTTCAAAATCACCTTTAATTAATACTCCAACTTACTTTTTAAAAGATATTTTAATTTTTTATATTTTACTTTATACTCACTCTCAATTAAATATTATTATTTTTTAATTTTAGTGTCCACTCCCACTATGACGTCTCTTTTGGGATTGAGGAAGTATATATTATAATTGAGTTATCGTGTTAGCTTCGAGTTGAGAGCATCGGCTCTAATTCAATATGTTCGTTATCGTATCGAATTTGTATTGAATCGTATACATAATTGAATCAAAATTATTTATTCAAATTCAATTATCTCGTGTCGAATTTGTATCGAATTAGTTTTTGACAGCTCTGATGTCACACTTCTAAGTCATATACACCTTAAAAATACGCAATAAATAAATAAATAAATCAATGAAGAAATAATAAGGAAGCATGAAAAGGGCAAGATTGGGATAAATCTTGCCCCCCAATGGCCCAACAAGAGGTGGCCCATTTGAAGGATCTTGATTTTGATCTTCATTTTGATTAAGCCTTGTTTGGATTCCCCTTTTTTTCCCAAATTCAAAATTTCGAAATTCATTTCCACCAAACTGCAGACTCACTCACTGACAACCCATCCCAATCTCAAATCCCCAATCCTTTCTTCTACTTTTTCTTCGTCGTCGTCAACCCAATGAGTCAATAAATTTATCTATTTATCATTTGTTCGATTTGTGGTACAGATGGAATGGGACACACACACACAGGTGGATTGGAAAACCAGTGGCCACAAAAAAAACATCCAATCCATGGTGTATAACTAAAGAAAGCAACCAAACACGGCGTATGCTCCCAAATTACGCCCCGACAAACAAGGGCACCCGACACGTGTCCCCCAACCATTCGCCCCTCCTGACTGATGTGTCTCAACATGGCCGGGCCTATCATCTCTGTCTTGTCTCGTGGGCTTTTTATTGGGCCTCAAATCCCCAAATCATTTCCCTCTATTATTTAATTTTTTACTATTATATCATTTTTATTAAAAATTGCTTTAAAATATCTTATACTACTTTTTTTTTTTTTAAATTTATATTTATTGTATATTACAAATTTTGGGGGTTACGAGATAGGTGTAGATGTAATAAATCTATACAGCTATGATTAGATTAAATATTTGTAGGGGTAGCAATTTGGGGGAATTGCTGTTCCCCAACAAAGGCACGATAATAAGTCATTGGCACATGTCTTGTAGTCATTTTAATTTATTTTATAATTATGTAATTTAATTTATTTATTGTAATATGGGGAGGGTCTTTGTCACTTCAATGATTTATAATATGTTACTAACACACGATTAAAATAGCGACTTTAGTTTATTGCACCACCGCCACCTTCTGAAAGCGCATTTTGGAGCAATAGCGACAAAGCCAACTATCACTTTCACAAAATAGTAATATATCGTACCATGAATTTGACAATTCAATTCAACTGTCTCATACATAAATGAATTTTTTTATTTTTTTATTTTTTCAATTTAAAAATTGGATATGATGCCACATAAAAGTTAGGCATGCATGTTAATTAAGAATTAATTAGTTATGCCATGCGTAGTGTAATTTATTTAATTTCAATATGTAAACATATATATATATATAATAGTAGTATATGTGTAGATGTAGTGAGTTATAATGAACGTTGATGGCAGTCGTGCTAGTGGAAATATTATTTTTAATTATTATTGTAATGATACAAATGTTTGCCACTATTTAAGTTTTGGAATTATGGTTGGAGTGAGGGGTAACATTTAATTTAATTTAATTTAATTTAATTAATTCCTATATATGTTCAATGTCTTTTTAACAAGATAGGGGCAGTGCACGTGTGCCCACAAATGTAGGCACGACATACAATTTAATTCAAAACCCTAATTAAATTAAATGAATATTATCCAACTATCACTTCACCAATGTAACATTAATTGATTAAAAAGAGTTTTATTATTATTTTTTTCATTTATTTTATTTTTTATTTTTTAAATGAAAAGAAGTATAGATATGATTAAGAAGATGAGGATCCAAAGGTGCATTAGGTGTGTTGTGTTGTGTTGTTGAATCCCCACAAAAGAACATAATCCCAAATTATAAGTTTGTTGAAACATGATAAGGATAAAATGCTTCTCCAAACCACAAGTTCCTATTATGTGGGCTCTCCCCAAGGATATTGTTATTATTATTATTATTATTTTCATAAACATTTCCATATATATATATTATTTGATTATCCATTTAGACAAATTTATATATACTATACTAACAATTTTTTATTTTCTTAATAATGTGGAAACTTGAAGTCGTTATTCTTCCAGTGTGCTTTTGAGTAAATCTCCAATCGAATATAAAGGATTTGAACTCATAACTTTACTAGCATTTTTACCTGTATGACTTAAAAGTAATTTATTAGACCTCAAAAATTAAAATTTGAAAAATATATTCTATGTTTTTATTTATTTATTTATTTTTTCTTATTTACCCTTATATTCTTTCTCTTTTGAGCTATCTATTATTCTCTCTCTTTTATACTCTGTGTATTGTATTATCTATTTTTCTTGGTAAATGTTTTTTAAAAGAAAAAAAAAAAAGTTGTTATATTATTTAGTAATTATTTTAATATATTTTAAAATTTACTAAATTATAATTTTAGTGTTTCAAATTAAAGCCATTGAAATTATTTTTTTTACATATAATTTTTTATTTGTAAAATATATAGATTTACTAAAAACTTATTTTTATGTATAATTTTTTATCATATAAATTTTATATTAGAAATAAATAGTTTCAAAATATAATTATTTAAGCTTATAAGTTCAATAAAATAATAAATTAATCAAAGTTTAAAGTAATATTCAAGTATATTTAAGATTCCAAAAATAAAGATAAATATTTTCTCCGTTCCAATACAATAGTCTTATTTACCATTTTTGTCCGTCCCAAAACAATAGTATTGTTTTCATAAATAACCATATCACCGTAAAACTATCCATACTTTTTCATTTTTATTACACAAGTGTCACTACTTTTTACACTAATACACTCACACGGTCAAAAAAATCTTTTATCCATACTTTTTACCAACTACCAGTATAATATAATATTCATTAAATCTCGTAACCATATTTATGGAACGAGGGGAGTATATCTTTAATTATCCTTTCATATACAAACATTTAATATTAAATCATTGTTTACCAAACACTCTAATAAAAATATATCTCATAGTCCCGTAAAAAATGGCCGGGTGGTGTGGGATTGAACGTGTAGAATAGTTCGCCTAGTGTGATTTACTTTCGGACCTAGTTTACAGGGTATTAGGTAAATAAGATTAACAAGCTCATTGCTAAATGCACACATTTAATGGCAAAAATACTTTCTAAGAGTTTTTAAAACAGGTTCACTTGTAAATTTTTAAATATATTTCTCTTATTCATAAAATACCACCTTATTCATTTTGACAAAATTAATTTTTCAATGTTTAGCTGTTAACTTTGATTCAATACTTTATTATTACAATTTCACTGTATTTATTGCATTATTTTTATTTTTTTGATCATCATTAATTACTAATTAAATTTTAAAAAAATATCTGTAGCTATTTTTTTATTTTTTCAATTTTTTAATAACATATTCATTTTTCAAATAATATACATGATATATATATATATACTGTAACTTAAATATAAAATTATGATCAAACAATATTGTCTCGTCTCCAAATGCTTAATATCAAACTTTCAACCATAATCTCAACCGATAATCAAACATATCCCAAGTAATTAAGTCACCTATATATATTTGATATATATAGTTATACATATTGTGAACTTTCATCGTCCCTTAACAATTTATCTATTTTTTTTATTTTGATCGTCTTATAAGAAAGTAATTATTTTTTTTAATAACTGTACTGTCTATTTAACATTACAAATATCATTATATTTATATTCATATATATAAATAATATAAATAATATTCCCCCTCCGTCGTAAAAATATATATGCATTTGACCCGGCCAAAAATAGATAAAAATAAAAATATTTTTCTTAAATATAGATAAGAAAAATATGAATAAATTTGAATAAAATATAGATAAAATATATATTAATTTTAAAAAGTAAATTGATTGCTATAAAAAGGGTTGCTAGAAACCATTATTTTCAATCATTTCAAACCACTCCTTTCCACTATATATCAATCTATCTATCAATCTATCTGCCAAACCACATTACAATACAATGTCGACTTCGTCCTCCTCGTCCCTTTACATTTCCCCAAACCCTAATTTCAACACTACCCCTCCCAATCCCAACATTCCTTCTTCCACCCACCGGAGAAACGACTCCGGCGAGCTCGACGTCTTCGAGGCTGCCCGCTACTTCTCCGCCCAAGAAACCCTCCATCGTCTCCACAGCTCCGCCCGAATGAGCCTCGACGTCCCCATCTTCACAAACCCTATTCATCCACCTGGAACACTCACCGCCACCACCACCACCACCGCCGCCGCCGGGGGGATCAGTATCGATCACATCAAAAAAGAGAATAATGTTTACAGCGCCGCCAAATTCAAGCAGCCAAGCTCGCCGGGAGCCCGCCTCGCCAGCTTCCTCAACTCCCTCTTCAGCCAGACCTCTTCCAAAAAGAAGAAGAAATCAAAGTCCGGCAAGGACGCCGCCGCCGCCGACGATGACGCCGCCTCCTCCGCCAGAAGGAAACGCCGCAGCAGCATCAGCCATTTTGGGATCTCCCGGAACCCTAATTCCTCCGCCGCCGTGACTCCCACCAAATCGTACAAGGAGATCCGGGACCTGGCCGATCTCAGCAAGGCGCCGGTGCCGGCTCAAATTCCGGCGGCCGGAATGTTTAAGACTGGGAAGAAGACGACGGATCATAAATCCAGGCTCAGCAACGTTGGTAGCATGCCCAGTTTCGGCCATGGAAGTAACTTAGGGTTTTCTGACAGAAATTCCACGGCGGAAACGGAGTTCAGGAAATTCAGCGAAGCCGACGACGGCGACGGCGGCGCAGACACTGATTCGAGTTCGGACCTCTTCGATTTGCCTAATCATGAACTGGATTTCTTCTCCAATGGCCTACCTGTCTATGGAACGACGAACATGGACAGAATCAGGATTGTTGCTCCAATTTCCAGCACTGCAACAGCATAGTTCTTTAATTAATTAATTAATTACACATTTTCAATTAATAATCAGATAAATATATGTATCTATATGTATATATTTATTTGTGTTTCTTGATCATGCTTGGAATGGAATCGTGGAGAGAATGATTGATTTTTGTGACAAAATCAGGCCAAGGGATTCTACTTTTTTTTCTTCAACTTTTTTCCCTCTTTTAAAATCACTACTTTTCTTCTCTTTATCTACAGTTTCCATTACTTTTTATTCTTTTTCTTTAATGATGATCAGATCTTCAATGATATTTCTAAGCAATTATGATTTTGACTGTTTACATTTGAAAATATTATTGCAGATTTGACAAACCATTTTCTTCTTCCTAAAATCTTAATTCACATGATTATTTCTTATTGGGCTCATATAATTGGGCCGCATTCAATTAATCTTCCATAGGCCCATTTTAGAATCTGACACAATAGGCATCTGTTTCAGGTCTGAGTCCGACCCAATTTTGGAATACAGAGCGGACCCGAATCCAAATTCGAAAATCCATACCCGTATAGGAGGACGGCGGATCGTCGTCTCCATCGCCATCGTCGTCGTCGTCATCGAGCTTTGCCTGTTGTTTTCCTGCGGGTGTGAATGGTGGGAAACGAAGCAGCCTCGTGGTGCAATATCGGTTTCAATCCCTCAATATAATACTCAATTGCCACATCCACAACAGCACACGATTACACTATTGGATTAACAAATAATATCTCTCTCCTTATCGCCATACTGTTCATAGGGTAAGCACTGACGTCGCTTCCTGGTAAGAAACCACCTTCCAGTTGATATTACTCAAGTTTTTTTAATTCAATTCCCAATCATTTTCCTCCCCAACTGGCACTTCCCACGATTATTGGGTCTTTATCTTCCCTCTTTCCACCATGTTTGTTTAGCTGCTGACGAAACAGTTCAAATCGGAAGAGAAAAAGAAAGAACCATTTCTTTTCTTCCCCAAATTGGTGAGAATCTCTAAACCCTAATTGCTTGCTTGTTGTACCTCCTCCTTGCTAATCTCGTGCTCTTAAATTTCTGTAATGTTCCATTTCTGTTAATTTCATCATCTGTGAAAATAATGGAGTCTTTCAGCTTCAATTTAGAGGGACAAGAGGTTTCTATGGCAGAAGATGCAGAATTACAGGACGTTACTGCAGAAGCCTTTCCAGTCATCCTAAATGATGTATTTTTGGGTATGGAATCAATGGAGAGTTATCCTCTTTGCTTAGAACATTTATTCGATGATGCTAATGTTGGTGCAAGATTGTCCAATTCATCCTCTTCTTCGCCTGCGCCGCCTCAGTCGGCCAAAAGAGCCCGAATCGAAACACCATTGTCCCGGATTCCTGTTTGCTTAGTCCATGGCTGTGACAAAGATTTGAGTTCATTGAAGGAGTACAACAGGAAGCACAGAGTATGCGATATTCATTCGAAGATTTCTGTGGTTATCGTCAATGGCGTTAAGCAGAGGTTCTGCCAGCAATGCAGCAGGTAGATCTTAAATCTTGCTCTGTATTGAGTCTGCTGTTATATAATTAATTTCATTGCAGGTTTCACAAACTAGCCGAATTCGATGGAGGCAAGCGCAGCTGTCGCAAGCGTCTTGCAGACCACAACGAGCGCAGAAGAAAGCCTCGATTAAGTAAGCCGAAGTTATCACTGATTTAAGTAAGCTGAAAATCCTCACCTGCTTTAATGGCGGATCTCTGCCTTGACGCGTGCAGGTCCTCTGTTATTCGACACAGATGACTTAAGATGGCGATGTAATGATCGAAGTAGTTTCAAGACAGGGACTCAACGATCAGCAGCTGAATTTTCCGGCTCAATCTCCGGCAGTGCTCTCTCTCTTCTGTCATCTCATTCACAGAGCTCAATAAGCCTTTCAGAAATGGACAATGGCCGAACCTGTCTCAATTTCGGACCTCTGCAGAAAGAACTCATGGAAGAATCAAGTCATCCAAAAACTGTCGACTTGCTTCAACTGTCATTACATCTTCAAAGAGTCGTGGAACAGCAGAAATACCTTGGGCCGGAAGAAGATGAATCTGTCAAATAGGTCTAATGGCTTAAGTTAATAATCCATGTATGTCTAATTTGTTGTATTTATGACATTATTCTTTCCTTGTAATAGAACAACCAAGAAATGGCCTACACATTATATAGATAATAAAAATAGCAGATGATGTTCATTGATTAATACAAATAATGTCTGGAACTGGAATGGAGGCCTGATAATAATACACTATGCCATCATAGAACATAAAGTTGCAACAAAGACAGAACAGACAAAGCTGATGAGCATCAGAACTGAACCAAGTTATGAGTTATAAACTAGCCCAGCTAGTTTCCATTGCTCGAATTGGCCATTAAACCAGCAACATTTATTGGTAGAAAATCTCTCTCTATTGGTTCAGCTTTCTCTCATTTCACTTAATTAACCCTGCAGACATATATATATATATATATATATAGCAATAATTAGAAAAATTAAGGTTCAAGAACAATGAAGGAATAAAATTAAAAGAGCCATTTGATATATATATATATATGTATATGTATATGTATTTGTCTGTGTAGTAAAAGGGATTGGTTTCTTACATTGTTGCAGCCATTAGAAAATGGCCCTCCTGTGGAGTTTGGGATGTACCTTGCCCACTGCATTCACAATATTCAGATGAATAAGTCAAGAATCGGCGAAATTTCGATAATCTGTTATAGTTGAAACCAAGAAAACTCAACCAGGTTACATACTTAACAAGCTAAGAGTTATCAGAAATCGATATTGTTAGGAATTGACAAATAATCAGCTATAATAAAAACTATGAACTCAACCTGGTTACATGCTTAGCAAGCTAAGAGTTAGAGAAGTCAGCATTGAGGTTCGAACAATATATATTCAAGATGTTCATTTTATTACACTCCCTCTTTCTGCTTCTCTTCTAATACATACATTTCAACACTCCATTAATCTCCTCTTAAAGGTTTAAGGAGAAAAAATGCAGATCCTATTAGGGGGCTTGTATATATACATCATACATAATGGTATGAACAATATTGTTTATAATTTATTAGGGTTATAAGCATGTTAAGGATGATTATACTAAGGGGAAGACTTACATTTTTCGCAGCTGCGCTGAAAGCCTCGCGGTGGGGTATCTCCGGATTCGCGGCTTTAATGCGCTGTATCTCCTCTCTGATGAAGAACATAGAACAATTATATGTATATATATGCATATTCACATTAGAATTGTAATTGTAATTAAGATTGCTAGTGTTGAAACTAAATTTGGTAGATAAAAGAGCAGTTCCATACTTCATAAATCGATTATAAGCAGATGGAAGCCTATGCTTCTTCTCAGGAGCTGCAACAAGATTTGCAAAAAGTGTGGATTAGCACTCAAGAAGAACATTCTAAGAGGGTAAATTATACATATATATATATGTATGTATTTATGTATCTACATAAGACTATCATACGTTTGACCACAAATGGAGCTTTAGGAGATAAGGGCTCTGTAGATGTGGTTGAGGAAGATGATGATGATGGCTGCCCCTTCTTAAATTCACTGCACAAAGTCTGCTGCACCATACACTTCAATACTATTAATTAAAATAATTCAAGATTACACAAAGATATCATTTTCTTACACATCAAATTTCATTCTTAGATCAAGACAACCACATCGGCACTAACAACTACAACACATTGAAAGAAAACATTTAAAAAAAAAACATATATTTGAATGCACCTGATGAATGCTGGCTTGATGATCATAGAATTGAGCTTGAAAGGAAGTCTTGGGGCTCAGGAAAGACAGGTTGCTGCAGTGTCCACATTTCACCGTCACGGTATCGAGCAATCTCTTGCATGGAATTCCAACCTAGAATTTTATTAAACATATGAAGAAGATGGAGTTTTAGGGCACAAAAACTAACTAAGCCTGTCTGTGTTTCCAAATTATATGTATATGTATATGATTCTGAAAGTTTTATAGCAGTTAGGGCTTCAATTTCATCAAAATCTTACACAGTGAGACTGAGCATGGAGAAAGCCCTAATTAGTTTAACCTAGAGGAATAATCAAATTCAAGCCTTCCCTTATTCTCTAAAAAATTTTCAGACCTGAATTCGTTCATACAACACACCACAGATACATGATTCCCATCGAACACTGAAACAAGAATAATTAAAAAGTGATGAAACCTACCGCAAGAACAGTGTTGCAGAAGTTGCAGCGGACATAGCAAAGATGCTCGGAGGATGACTGAGCCAAATCCATGGTAGATTCTGATCTTGACAAGATGCAGCCCTATTGAGCTCAAGGGGGTTTATCAGATATAGAAGAAGAAGAAGAAGAGGAAGAAGGTAGAGTAAATCAATGTTACTGCACACATATATATATATATGCTGAAAGTGAAAAATTAGGGTTTGGGGAAGGGGGGGGGGGGGGGGGGGGGGTAGGGTGACAGCTGGATTTCAAGGGAGGGAGATCAGTAACATTGCTTCAAGAAAGAAAATCTAGGATTACTAAGATGGTTACATAGTACAGCCATTTCTGACTTGCAGACAAATTGGGACTGTCCTCTCTCTCCTGTTCATGCACACACGCAGATATATTTTTTTATATACACATACATTGTATGTATCTATATGCATATGTGTATACAGGCTAGCTGTTGAATCCATTATGGTGTCTTTGTAACTTATTACATGTATGCAGAAATTTGTGATTATGAACAAAGTGAAACACCCAAGATATTTGAATCTCTTGATTTCATTACATGTACGTTTGTTTGTGTCTCTGTGTTTATTGATTTATTTTCTTGGAAAAAAAAAATGAAAAAGAAAAGTTGAATCAAATTTTTATGTGGAAGCAATCTGTGAAATATCTCATATATATCTTAGTTCTCATCAACTATGCTTTAGTAAAACTAACAGATATATATAAAAAAATGAGTACGAAAATATACAGAAGAATTAAGGATTGTAACGACCATATATAGTATCCTTTAAAACATTGTCATAGATGCTTAGGACATATTTTACTATATTAAAGATTGTAAGGTAAGAGATGATGATACCTTAATTAGTACTTCAACAAGGATTTTTTTATTTATTTATTTTTTTTTCTGTAGAATAACACGAATTATTATCTCTAGCCTACAATTTGAATCTTTAGTGACTTGGTGTGATTGTACAAATAAGATAAGTAGAATTTTAAATTGATTGATTAAGCTATTTATGTCAATAATATGTATATTTTTTTAAGGGTCTACTTAAAAAAAAAAAAAAATTCTAAAGTTAAATGTACTTGCTCTAGATTAATTGTGTTCTGACCAAGAATATCTCCGTACATTTGATCCTAGCCATAAAGGATTCATTTATGTGATGCAATTAGGGTTATAAGAGCAATGTGTAAACTTTCTCAAATATACCCTTTCGTTCTTGACACGAAGAGCAATCTCATATTATTTGGGGCATTAGAATCTAAATGGCGATCATTCGATTGTGTAGGCTAACCATATGTATTTATAGTGTTGGGTGCCTCTATTTCTAAGAGCATCTCTTACAGACCTCTCTTGTTACTTTTATTATTATTTTTTCAGTTTTTATTATAATAACTAGTTATTTTTCTTATTACCTTTAAGAAGAGATACACTTATTCACAATGTATTACCTTTCTCAAGAATCAATTACCTTCAATAAAAGCTTAAAGAAAATAATTAAATATTATTCAAAAAATTTTAAATTTTAAAATTAACAGAAATTATCTCATATATAATGATTTATTCGAATAATTTCAATTTTTAAAATAGTAAATTATACATGTTCTAATATATTAAAATTTATATAGATTAAAATTTAAAAATTTAATATAACATTATATATAAATAAATAAATAATTTTTATATATTATGCAATACAAATATATAGAAATAAATAAATAAATTAGTGTGGATCCTATAAAATATAGTAAAGGTAATGTGCTGAAGGTGATTACTCTAACGAGTGATAAAGAAAGTAATTTAAATGTTGAGTTGGACATGATGTGAATGAGAGAGATAAAAGAGATAACGAAGTAGATGTAATGTCTGTAACGTATGCTCTAATATATATATATATATATATATAGTTGGGAGCTTGTATGAATAATTTTATCCTTTTGCAATGATAAATCATTTTGGATATACATTTTTTTTTTTTTTTTATCTAGTTTGGAAAGTGAGAGTCTATTATATTGTATTGTGATTTGTGAAGCTCAAGTTGGAGGCTGGAGAAGTACTTGAAAATATCTAACTTGATGTCTTTGATGTAGATCATTTTGATCGAATTAAGTCAATAAACCTTTATTTTATTTTTTTGTGTGTGTTTTCTCGATTTCCCAATTTCTCCCAACATATGCATATCGCAAATATCAGTAATGAATGTTATAGAAAAGATCAAAAAGGACTTGGAGGAAGGTAGAGAGTCAAAGTTTGTGAACAATCCAACAAGTTGCTAGAGGAAAGTGTATGCATATTTGGCACTACTTGTAGCAAAATAACCTCAAAAAGAAGCTATATTAATGGAAATCACACTTTCGAATACTAATTGTAATGCTCAAGAAAAGTCATCTTATGAACAAAAGAAGAGTGTAAGAAACTACTAACTTTTTCTTTCTTTTTTTTTTTTCTACATAAACTGAAGTGGATTAACTACCCTTTAGGGTATGTGGTATACAATGTCAATGGAAGCTGATGATTGGCAAAGATATATATATATATATATATATAAGATAGTTTACATTTTAATTAGGATGAACTATTGTCAATAAACTGTAAATGATTATTAAAGTCACTTATCATTTAGTTGTAAAATTTGGTTTAGATAGAATCATACTAATTTATATAATATCGAGTCATATACTAATATTGTAGATTGTAGTAGTACTATTGCATATTAAATAAAATTTAAAAAATCCACTTACCATTTAATGTCCTTCTATCATATAAAAAAAAAAAAATGGTATTAGTAGTATAATTACTTAAAAATTGTATTTAATCAAAGTATTTTGGAGTTTTGTATTGATTTGAAAATAATAAAAGAATGAATAAAGAAATAAGTTTATGAAAATATTTTGAATAGAATATAACTTTTAAGATTTTGAATGTGACAATTTTTATAAAGTAATTTTTAAAATAATGTTAAAAATATATTTAAAAACATAATCCAACCTAAAATAAAAATTGGTGATAGGTGAAGTATAAGCCAAGGAAGTTCCCATCATTTTTTTAACGTGGGATATATTCAACATTTCGCCTCGAGATGACAATTTTGAAAATTGGTGATAGGTAGAATGATTTTTCACTCTTATAAGTTAAAGGAGTTCTTATATTTTTTTCAATATGGTCAATGTACATATTTTATTATTTCATAAAAATTATCATTCAATATAAAATATTATTTTTTTTATAATTTTTAAGTTATTTTCATATTTCACATGCACAAAATATTAATTAAATTCAAACAATGCAATGCACAGTAATAATAATAATAATAATACTTCCTCCGTCTCACTTCTCATGTCCACCTTTCTATATTCGTCCGTCCCACTTATTTTGTCACTTTTTTATTAAAACAATTATACACTTTTATCTTATTTTAAAAATTTTAATTTATAATTTTTAAAATTTTAATTATACTAATAAGTTATTTTAATTTTAATCTATAATTATTTTTATTATAAGATAATTATTTTCACTAATATATTTTTAATTATTTATTAATTATAGTCTCTTAAATTTTTGTGTCTACAGTAAATTGGACAAAAATATCGGAGACGGAGAGAGTAATAGGTAAGAGAAAAGAAGCAAATGAAGCATGGACAAGTCCAATCAAAATTTCCGAATTGGGACAACAAATCAGGGCAGACATGGGCCAAATGATTCCACCCTAATCCATGCAAAAATAACGTTGTCCAAAAAGCATCCATGCATGCATGCATCCATCACGGGTCAACTCACCCATCTACGTACTTCATTATATATTATTGCCTAAATTCATTTTTAAAATATACTACTACTACTATATAATTAATTATATTACTAAGTAGTAGTTTGATAAGAATTTAAATAAAATTTAATGTATTGAATTTAATTAAATAGTACTGTAGTAGTAATTATTAGCAGATGAATAGATTCTCAAGTAGTGGCCTGGCCTTTGTCTGTTTACACCAACAAGGCAAGAGTGAAAATTACCAGTACATAATTGGCAGGTATTCTATTTTTAGTAACCTGCAAGAAAAGTCACATCCAACTAAATGACACATAACCCACGACCATTTAATATTTTTATTTTTATTTTGGCATCTGTCAGTTCTACTTTTTCTTTCGCACTTGTCCACCTCGACTTCTGTTTTTTTCATTTTTTTTTTATTTTTATAAAATAAAATAAAAAATAAATTCTTTCTTTCTCAAAGTGGAATTGCAGTCTTCATGTGGTGTGTTAATTTTGTCTGAATTGAGACAAAAATATAAATACACATATATCAATTTTCTTCCACCGGGAAAATATAATGGAGCCCCTAAGTACTCTATTCCAATTTTTATTTTTTTTTTTAAATGACGTGAAAAATTGGAACCATTAATACATTCTAAATACATTTTCAATCAAACCTAATAACTTACAAATAAAATTCAAACTAAATCAACTATGTGTGACAGGTGAGAAGGTGAGCTAAATGCCGCTCTTAGGGGTTCTAAAAGAAAATATTTTTAAGAATGCAGTGAAAATACTATTTAAGGATAACTTTCGTAAGTTAAATTAAAATTCCATAACGTAATAAAGTCCAAAAACAAGAGAGTACGAGATTGTTTAATCAAACAAAACACATGAACTCTAATGAACATGAGGATCGATACGCATAGGAAAAAAACACACACGTGTTTTAATATGATACCGAACATTAACATATAGATTATGATGGATTTTCAAGATGCTCTTAATTAACTCTATAACTATTATTTAATATTACTATACATAAGAAGACCTTAACACTAACTATGTGTTTGTTTCAAAAATTTTGAAATATTTTCATTATTTATACAAATTTTTTCTTTAAAAATATCAAATCCAACGCTTATTTTTTATATTATACTAAAAATCAATTTAAATTCAAAATATCACATAACAGATCATACAACTATTTCAATTGAAATTTTTTACTATTCAAATATTAATTCAGAATCCAAATCTCCAATCAAAAACAGCTAAAAGGTTTACATCTAATAGTAAATGAAATGCAATATTAATATTTAATTTTTATATATTTTCAAGACATTCCATTTAATTAATGCATGTTTCCTATTTCTTTTATTATTATCTTATTTTGTTCTGCATAAACTATTAAATATATAATATTAATATAAAAACTTAACAACAAGTCGTTGTAGTATAGTGGTGAGTATTTCCGCCTGTCACGCGGACGACCCGGGTTCGATCCCCGGCAACGGCGCGTATTTTTTACGCGTTTATATATCTATATATATAAATTTTTTTCTTTTCATAAATATTTTTCTTCCCGCCAATTCTGTAGGACAAGCGCGAGTGCGAGCACAAAGACAAGCACACACCGCTGCTGCGAGAAGGGAACAGAATCAATGGGGAAATCAGTGAAGAGAGAGAAGTCGGATGACATAGAAATAATCGCAATCGGGAAGCTCTACACTGGTCCATGGGACAAGAAGTATTGGAGTTCTTCTAGGGTTTGGATTTCGTTTCATTTGTTCAAGTAAATTTGTGAATTTTTGCGTGGTCGCGTTTTTAAATTGTGTTTTGGTTGACTATCAAGCTTTGGTTACATTGCACATGTTGTTCCTTCCTAAATTACGACAAAGTCTGAATTCGAATTGCAAATACTTGGCGAGTGTCTTGCAACCATTCATGTGCCGTCGAAGAATATCTCTTTTTTAGTTGTTTGATTTTGATTATCTTGATTCTAGAAATATTTTGTTTTTAAGTAGTAATTGGAGCATCCGAAGTTAATGCTTCTTCTGCTAGGATTACTCATATTATAAGTTAAACTTCATCCCACTTATCTGGTTTGTGGTGATATAGAGGATTGCAGTTGTTCACATATGATTTCTGAGGTGCTAAGGTGTGGGCTTTGCAGGGCAAGGACCGGTATCCGTATCCTGTTGGATACAAATCACTGAGAGCTCAAAATGGGATTACTTATACAATGGAAATTCTGGAAGGTCTTAAAGGTCCATCATTTATGGTGTGTACAGATCATAATTTTGGATTCTTGCATATATTTTGGCCACCATGTGTTGACAATATTGGCATTCAAAAAATGTTATAGATTAGTTCTACTGATGGCAAGTCATGTTCTGGAGACACTCCAGACATTGCATGGGAGGGATTTCAAAAGAAAAGCTGTTCAAAGTTGTGGCATGGGAAGAGATTTTCATGTAGGATAGATGGAGTAGAGGTATATTCTTTGTCCCCTTATATCATTATCCAATTTGAATATTTAATCCACTGTGTTATTTAAGGAGTAAAGGCAATTAGTATTGCTTATAAAGATCTTGGGGTGCTCTTCATCTGTATGTGTTTCCTATGTTTGCATAACTAACCGGATACCAGATTAGAGTCAATCTTCTTCTGAATCAAGCTCAGTACCTTCGGTACCATTTAAGAAACAGATGGAAACAAAGAGTGTAATACAACTAAGTAATTCTTTAATCTGTTTTACTGTAATTGGCAGTTCTTTGGATTCAAAAACACATTTGTTCAGAGGTTACTGCGGGAATTGGTGGCAAATGTTGGTGGAACTGCTGAACAGAGTTCGCAACCTCAGAATATCTCAATTGGAGCTGGTGATCCCATTGATCAATTGCAGTCAAGAGCATCAACATCAAGTCATGATTCAGATCTTCTGAAAATTTTGTCTACATCACATCTTACTGGAAAGAGGAGTAGAAGAGACAAAAATTATAGTAAACAGTCCAACAAGGCTCACTTACCACATCTGCAAGAAATATGTACAAAGAACGCCAGTGCTTCAAATTCCAAGCAAGTTTCTGGAAATGAAGACCTATCAGCTTCTGCTACTGTGTCTGAGTCTCATAATATTTCAGCAGTAACCCAACATGAAAACTCTGCAACTGGTATTGAGGATGAGAGACATCAATCAATTGCAGAAAGAAGCATGCTGGAGGATTCTTTGTGCATACCTAACTATCTGAAGAAAGAAATTTCCCTTTCTAAAGAAGACAGAGAACATACTTGGTCTTTGAATTATTCTGAGTCCAATGTTGATAGCTTGCACCAAATTCCAGAGCCTGTAAGTTTGTCAAGGCTATTTGAATTTTTTTGTTCTTATTTGTTTACAATTTGCAAATTGCAAGCAAACAAGCATATGCCCTTGGATCGGGGTTGAGTTTTTTCAGATCTAGTTCATGACTATACTTAGTTTGGATCACTAAATGACAGAGTGATGGATCAAGAGATGCTCAAGGATGCATTGACTTGATACCGCATGAGAGAGTTGGACTAACTAATGTTGAGCAGGACTTGAAAGCAGTCGATGATGCTGATCTTTGTGCTCCTGACACCTTGGATCATGCTGATGGTAATGCTACATTGTGTGGAACTTTCAATGGACAATCATTATCTTGCAGCTGTTAATTGAATTTAGTTTTCTTTCTCCTTTGTCCTCAGATTCTGTTTCGATCATGCTTATTTACTTTTGCAGATAGCATTTTTGTTTCTCCTGAGAATCATGATCAAATGCATTTGATAGTGAATAATGCAGCTACAACTGATGTTGCCAAGTCTGAAATCCTGGTAGCTGGTTTATCTCCAATTGATGAAACAAATGAATCTTCTTACAACTCAAGCTCAGAAAAGTATGATCCTGATTCAGTTGGTCAAGAAATAGCCAAATCAATGATGACAGTTCTACTTCCTCGAGCAATTCCTTTGCTTAAAACGTTTTCTAGGAGGAAAAAGAAAAAATCAAAGCAACAAAAACCCCTAACTCATGAATCTAAGGAAGAAGATAAAATCCTTGACATTACTATGACTGATGCAACCACTGGTAACGTGTTTACCAACATCATAATATTTGACTATATATATATATATATATATTGATTTTATAGGTGAAGCACTTACTACACCAGTACATGAACTTTTCTGTTAAAAATGATATTCTAACCACTTCTTCATTACTTTCTTTATATTTATGAAATGCAGTCGAAAAGCCGGCTGAGCATTCATATTCAGGAATGAAGAATGAGAACATGACAATTCCTTGTGCTACATCAGCTGTATCTATCTCTGGAAACGCATATTCTGTGGTTCCTGATACTTTTGATAGTGATGATCCTCATGATCTGCTTGCTCTTTCTGATGCCTCCAAGGTCAATCAAGTGTCCTGTAGTGTGAACCACCACACACTACTACAACCCCCAACAAATGTTAATGAAGGAGCAAACTTGCTGTTCTGTCATACTGGAATTAGGACACAAGGTATATTTAATTATGAAGGACATTCACCTTTAGTGGAGAAGCCCAGAAATGATGAATATGTTATATCGAAGTATGTTTTTATATATGTTAGGTATGGTTGATTGACAGTTCTTGTGCTGTGTTTTCAATGTGCTCTCTCCCAATCGTAGTTCTCTCAATAGATATGCTTATTAGACCTTATTTGGGACTTAAGACAACTTTCTATTTGAATTTCCATTTCCTTACAATTTAAAACTTAATCCCTAAATGACTGATGACTGAAGCAATAATATGATGTTACTTATATTCTTACACTAATCATGTGTCATTTTCATCAATTGACAGACAATGAGATATCTGACGTCATGGCTGAGGATTCAAATTTTAATGTTCTAGCTCCTGTAGAGAAAATTTCCACTAACCCAAGGATATTTGTGGACAATATTTCTTCTATCAATTCATCTTTAATTGAGGGAACTTCAAGAACCAAAGGTGTAATGGACAGAAGTTCCTCAGATTTTTGTATATCTCAGGTATGACGTACATGATATAAGCTTTGCAATTTATCCACTCTATTTAATGAAATTTATGTCATTACAAATTTATTAATGCTTCATGTCATGACTTCAGAAATGTAAAGTTGGTTTTGCTGAATTGAATCAAGACACAGAGCTAGGTGAATGTGATGATTCATCTTCAATGATACAAATTCCAAATGCAACTAATTCCAACAGTATGGTTGATAACAAGAAGAAGGGTGATTTGAGGTCAAATGATCAACAGGAAGTGACGCTTAATCACTATCCAAGCTGTATTCCCAAGCTTTTTGCCTGCTATATCCACCCCATGCCAATTTCCATGGTGCAGCTAATTGTTAAAGACAATGAAATTTCTATATGTGTTAAATGTGGATACTCAGACCAAAAGGAGAGCATTCTGTTTATCTACCAAGCCATAAGGTTTGGAGAAAAGATGGGATGCCCTTCACTAAGAGGTTATATGCCTATAGCTTCGCAAAATTCAGGAAATGCCATTGGTAGAGATGTAAGATAAATACTGTCTGTTGTTTTGCCTGTTTGATTTGTTTCTTTGCATTTCTCAACACTACTTTTTCTGCAGATTGCTGTTGAGAGATCTTTGATACAGTTAACCCCTGATGCACAATCGATTGTTCTATTGAATAACTTTAAAACACCGTATTGTAGGTAATTGTCATTCATCTTTGTATATTTCTACAGTGCTTTTTGACATTTTATATGTGCACCTTCCATTGTGCTTAGTACACCTGTTTGTATCTTTGCCATCAGGGAGGGTAAAGTTCATTGTCCATGTCCAGCTTGCTCTTTAGACTGCTTCGAGAAGAATGCAGTTAAAATAGTGAAATTAAATAATGGATATGCTTCACTTGTCACGAGACTGGAAACAACTCAAGCTGTTTGTTGTTTATTAGTTTGCGAACCAAGCTTTCTTCTTGCTGCTGAGGAAGGTGGGAAACTGAGGTTGTGGGTCATGAACTGTGAATGGAGGTAATTTCATACTTCTATGATTGCCTTGGGACCAATAATATATTGTGAATATCATATTGCCATATAAATTGTTTAGCAGCACTAATGAATTTGTATTATAGATGTGAAACACTTTTAAGATATACCTTATTTAGAAAATGCTGTTAGGATTTTAGCAAACTAACTTTCAAGCGTTGAGCATCTTTAATTTTGATTTATTTAATCTTAATTAGATTTAGATGTTTCTGTAAACAGTCCCTTTAAGCACCGGGCATACATAATTCAGCACTGAAAACATCTTTATATAATTTTAGGTCAGAATTATTATTTGATCCAAAGTCCTCACCCAGCACTGCTGGTCGGACCATTGTTGTAACAACACTGTCACCAATTCTTGATGGCAGACAGTGAAAGCAAACTGCTGCCCACTTCATAGTTTTGGACAATGTTAGAACTTTATGTTGAAATGAATCTAGGCCTAACAACTGCAATATGTCATGCCCAATTGTTGATTGTTTGAAATTCCCTGGTTTCCAGTGAACAGGTAGAAGATTGTTCCTTGCCTACGATTGACAGTTTGTTTCCGAGGATTGTAGACCTGAATACCATTCCAAGCTCTGCCAGCATGGTTGTTGGGCACAATGGCTATGGGGAATTTGCTTTGTGGTATGGTAATCTTCACTGCTAAACGGAGCTATTAACCTTTATTTGACTTAAGATTTGACATAGTATATTATGGTTGATCACATATGCAAGCTGGTCTCCACAATGATAGCAAGTGTTTGTGTTCGTGAACATATATTGTTTCTACAAAATAACCTTAATTAGCATAGCCTGCATGTATTCATTATCTCTGTAACATTAGATATTTAGTCAAGAGTTCCATCACCCATTAATCATAATATCCTGCTTATGCCATTGGAAGTTACAGTATTTGCTAATATAATGGTTTACATGTCCCTGTTGCAATATGCATCTATTCAAGATTACAGTGGGTTTTATAGTATTATATTTGTTCTGTTCTCTGATTATTAGTAATACCATACCAATCTTCGAAATAGTGCATTTACAAAGTTTATCAGTTGACATATACATGTAGTGCTGCCTGACAGCTTTCATTTTTGCTAGTCGATTTGCCTTGAAAAGTAAATATACATGAGAGATACCAGCTTTGGCCTGGCTTCTTGCTGTATGTATATTCTAGCATAAAAGTGTATGCAATTGATGTAGGGATATCAAAAAGCGCAGCCTGGTATCAAGATTCTCTTCCCCAGGCATCTCTGTTGTAGAGTGTATTCCAGCCAGTATGTTCATATGGCAAAGAAAAGCTGAATGCAAGGAGGTCGTCATTAACGAGATTATGAACGCCACAAAAACATGGAAATCAGAAAGGAAAGAAAACAAAATCTTCTCGCCGGAGGCGAAAGATGTAGCTATCTGGCTTCTGATCTCAACTGTCCCCGATTCGGATTTCCAACGCTACCAAACATGCAAACAAGACACATCATGTTGGAGGCTTGCTCTGTTGATCAACAACAAAGTAATTCTCGGAAGTACTGTGGAGGGAAGGTATGTTTATTTGCTGGTCTTTTCGAACATTAGAATTTGAAACCTTCCATATTAATAGTTCAATACACCTTGCAGTGCTGCTTCTATCACATGCCGAGGACATGGAATCATTGCTGGATGCGACGGATCAATTTACGAATGGGAACTAACAACAGGAACGAAGTTAGAGATCCTACGTTCATTCAGAGGTATTTTTCTTACATCAAACTGCAAATTCCACAAAGATTTATAGCCAACCATGATCTTACTAGCTTATCCGACCACATACAATAGAGTGAGCACGGAATCGATTTCTCAACTTCACTCAAACACAGCACTGATTGAATTTTGAAACATTATTTCAGATTGCAAAGTATCGTGCATAGCCACGAGCGCTTCCAATGCTTTGGCCATAGCCACCGGGGATCGATTGAACGTTTATCTGTCATCTTGAAGAACTTCACTACTCACAGATAGAATTGTACAGATTTTCTTAGGATCATTCAGTCATATCACAAGGTAAGAGCTAACCAGATAAGATCAACTTAAGATTTGAATTCATATAGAATGGTTGAACTAATCTCTTCTCCCTTTAGTTCAAACCAAAAATTTTCAAAATACAATGATTTCAATAACTTGAGCTTTTACCTCTGCAATATTGCATCACAAAGTTTAACAGCATCTCTGTTATCTCTTACATTATGCACTCTCACAATGTCTGCGCCGCCCAAAACTCCGGCAGTGACGGCAGCAACGGTGGCTGGATCTCTATCAGCTGCAGATGGCCTACCACATATTTCCCCCAAGAATCTCTTCCTCGAAGGCCCAATTAACAGGGGAGCCCGGGACATTGCCAAGCTCTTCTTCCCGATCTCAGACCGAATGTCTTGTAGTCCCGCAAGAATGTCCAGATTCTGCCTGGTGTTCTTAGAGAATCCGATCCCGGGATCTATCGCCATCCTCCACGCAGCAACACCCGACAACTCGGCACTCCGAATGCTCGCGTACAGCTCAGTCGCAACATCCCTGCAGACATCCTCGTAAACAAGATTCTCCTCATTCTGCATCGTCCCCGGATCGCCCCTCATGTGCATTGCAACATACGGAGCTTTACAAGACGCGATGACATGGTGCATCTCCGGATCCAATTTTCCAGCAGACACGTCGTTAACAAGGTGCGCGCCCTTATCGATAGCTTCTAGCGCAACCTGCGAATAAAACGTGTCAACTGATATTAGCTTCCCCTCCATCTCGTCGAGATTCTTCACCGCTTCCAAAACAGGGATCAGCCGTTCCAGTTCTTGCTCCGGAGAAAGCTTGGCTGCCATGGGACGAGTCGACTGCGCACCTAAATCAACAAAATCCGCGCCATCCACGATCAACGATCGAACCCGCGAAACGGCAGATTCAACGGAGAGATACTTCCCACCATCGCTAAAACTGTCGGGCGTGACATTCACGACGCCCATAATCGACGTCTTCTCCGACCAATTCCAGAGCTGGTTTGCCACCGGGAACACTCGTTTCATCCCGTCCTTTCCGACAACCGATTCGCCTCCCAACTTCTCCCACGCCTCGAACAGCCCTCCCGAGCATCCCGACAGCGAATGCCAAGATTCGACATTATCATCATCCCTTCCAAACCCGATCAAATCGATCAATGGCCCCATCACAAAGGGCCTCTCCCAAATCCTCTCATGAGGCACTGTAAGATCATCTGTGTTGATCCTCCAGCTCCCGTAGAACAATATGTCCAAATCGATCGGCCTCGGACCGTATCGAATGCCGCCGGCAGTTCGACCCATGTCCCTCTCGATCTCCTTCAGCACAGCCAGCAATGTATGAGGATCGAGCTTAGTTTTTCCTCTTACAGCAGAATTGAGGAAATGTGGCTGATCTGTTACATATGCAGGCTCTGTCTCGTACAAACAACCATGTCTGGTAATTCGAATGCCCGATTTCTTCATTCTATCCAAAGCATTGTCGAAGTTATTCAGCCTGTCCCCTACATTGCTTCCCAATGCAATGACAACTTCATGTTCTTGGGAATTGACCTCAACTGAACCGTCGTGCAATAATCGAGACAGAGAAGCTGCACTTAAGCAAAAATGGTCACAACCTATTGCACAATTACCCAATTTGAAGTTTTTAATTTGCATTGTTACCACTGAACCCATCATTTTTGTTAAGAAAAAAAGCAAGCTTTTAAACCCCTCTTGAAATCAGACCAAAGATACATATGAATATGTGTAAGAAGTCGATGATAATAGGGGTAAAGAAATCACCTTTACATGAATTCTTGGCTGGTTGAGAACCATACTTGATGGGCACCAGCCGTCTGATAATATTCATCTCAGTGGCCTTCACCAGATAGCGGCGGTGGGAAGAGGATGAGAGAATTAGGGTTTTATTTTATTTTATTTTCTAAATATTACTGTATTTTTTATTATTAACTTAAAAAAAAAAAAAAAAAAAAAAAAAGATGGTCTCAATTTAAATTAATATTGATAGTTAATCTCTTCTTTAATAAATTTTAAAGTTTTCTGAAAAGAAATTTACAGGAGGCATCTATCTATATATGTTCTGTGAAGTTTAAGCTAAGCTAACTACAAATGTATTTACAAAAGGGGGGAAGAAATTAGGGCAGAAGTTGAAATCTATATTATAGTAGTATATTATCTACAAAATTTTTACATTGATTTAACATATTTTTTCAATTTTCATTGCAATTCATCTGTTCTTGGTACACAGGGTTTCCTCTGTTTGGGATTGGGCTCATTGCCCGCGATTATCTCTCTGTAACAATTCAAAAAGGTGACGCTTTCGTCGACCATGAAATATCCGACGAAGACCTGGTAGAACCTGTAAAACCGTTCGCCGAAGGGGAAGAACCAGGTGAAGACGAAGAAGAAGCCCTGGAAAACGTGGACGACGATCATTGCTCGGAACAGCAGCTCGACGGACAGCGGGTGAATCAGGTGGTTAATCGCCGGCTTCCGTTTGGGGTGCATCTGTTTCAATCTGAGATACTCCTGGTGCAAGTGCGTGCTGAAATAGCCGCCGTGGAAGACGGAGAGGTTGAGGAGGAAGGCGGCCGAGAGCGCGAATTCCCAGCCGTGGTTGACGAGGAATTGGCAGAGCAAGGAGGTGCAGAGGTCGAGGGCGATGGGCATGGCGAGCTTCACGTTGAAGAAGAGGCGGTAGCCGACGATGAAGAGGACGGCGGCGAACCAGGAGATCGGAAAATCGAGGAATCGGGTTATCAGCAGCACCGACCCGTTTGCGTTCGAAATCACGGCGAGGAAAAGCCAGAACTCCGTCAGCCATGGCTGGTGGGCGCACCCCAGCTGCGTCATATCTCCGATCAAAATTCTCACGAAACTGGATTGATTTCATCGATAGATTTTTGGGGGAATTTGGTTCGTCTTCTTCCTTCCATTGCAAAATTGAAAAAGATTCTTTCTTCGGCTTAGAGTAAAACTCGGTGCTCTGTTCACACTCTTCAGCTCGATATGGATCCATCATTTGGGTCGACCCGAATAGAAATTCGGGGCCCGGTTTTGAGATCCATTTCACATTCAATAGGTTATAAGGTGAGAGCCGACTGAATTACATATTCAATATTAACGCACACAGAGGTATACCGCCACCGCCATCGCTACCGTTGTACCGACGTCGCTGCTGCAGGTGCGACGTGCGAGGACAATCTCTTTTGAGAGAAAGATTTGGTGAGTTTCGAATATGCGATGCGTAATTAGGGCTTTTGTGTGCTTTTGTTTAATTTACACTGGTTTTGAGGGAAATTGATCAAAATTGCTAGGGCTTTTCCAATTGGTGATGAAATTATAGAAAAAAAGTTTGCGAATGACTACTTGATTAACTTATTTGTGATGTTCCTGGGTGCAGTTTGTGGAGATGATGGAGCATGCTGGAATTCGGCTTAAAGGATGGCAGCAGGCTGCTGTTGCAGTTGGATCAGCAGTCGGAGCACTGCTGGATCCACGAAGGGCTGATTTAATAGCTGCACTTGGGGAAACAACTGGGAAGCCTGCATTCGAAAGAGTCCTTGAGAGGATGAAGAGGAGTCCAGAAGGCGAGGTGAAAATTTATCTATTACAGAGTATGAATTATCATTCAAATCGTCAGTTTTTACATTGATGATGCTATTTGGATAGGTATCCTAATGTTTATAAAATGAGGAAAAACCCTAATTCAATTGTATCCAGCATAGCAACTCTCTTAAATTCAAATTTGTTGAAACTTTGAACCAGAGAAACCTTCGGTTTGAAATTTCTCCATGGATTCTTTGCTTTACCTTCTTATTGCAAGTATATGATTTTATACTTCTGCACATATATACATACACACATATATATAGATATGATCTGAATTCATGGGATAAATCATGGTCAATCTTTCATTAAATTCTTTCTAAATGTCTTCATGAAGTTTAAGTTGTCGGTATATAAATTCTAATGTTTTATCATCAGTTCATGAAAGAAATCTCGAATGGTTTTTTCTCCTGCTCAGGCTGTGTTATTGGATCGTCCTCGGGTTATCTCTGCCAACGTGAGCCACGCTTGGGACCTCCCACCCAACACATTCGGTGCTGCGTATGCAAAATTTATGGGATCGAGGAATTTCTCCCCTGATGATCGGCCGCCAGTACGTTTCATGGACACGGATGAGCTAGCATATGTTGCCACAAGAGCTCGCGAGGTGCATGACTTCTGGCACACCCTGTTCGGACTACCCACCAATTTGATTGGCGAATCAGCGCTAAAAGTTATAGAATTCGAGCAAATGCTGCTCCCAATGTGCGCCCTATCTGTCGTGGGAGGTACTGCTAGATTCAGCGAAAAACAGAGGAAACTATTCTACCAGCACTACTTCCCCTGGGCCCTCCGCGCAGGCATACGATCCACGGATTTGATGTGTGTGTATTACGAGCGCCATTTTCACGAGGACTTGGAAGATGTTCGTCGAAGATGGGGCATAACTCCTGCTCCTCCCCCGCCATGACACGCCTCCTGGAATTGGTGTTTGGTGACCTCACACAGGTACCGTTTTTTTCGATTAACTCGCTACGGTAGTTTTTGGATATTTTCTTGATATATTTTGTGCTGCCGAGTTAAACTAAGGCTCGCTGATATGCTATAAAATTTCTACACAGATTTGCTTGCTATCTTCGATTCTGTGTTGCTGTATACTGATAATGGCATGGCATAGGATGTTCTTATTGATAATGTGACTATAGGTTCTTTTAGGGGTTTTATATATATAATTAGGGAATCCGCTGCCTGATACTTTCCGCTCTCTGGGTAAGTTTCTGATCGAATTTAATAGCTGTTACTTTCTGCTCTTTGGGTAAGTTTCTGATCGAATTTAATAGCTTGTAAACTAGGATTGGTAAGATAAGTCACACTAGCCGAATCATATTGACATATAAGATCTGGAGGCTTCGGAGATTTAACTCATGACTTTACATTCACGAGTTCACCTCACACGAAACATCCTCTTTTAGTTAATGTTCAATTATTATGTTTATATTAATTCGATTATTAAGCTGCTGAATTATTACAACAATTGAGGATAATGGTGTGTTTGGTTTGTATTTGGATTTGGATTGAAATGTCTTTTTATTAGTTGCTACACATGGTTTTGTCCGACTAGTCTTGTCGATCAGAGTTTGTAGGATATTAAGATCCAGCCGTGAAATATATATTACAGAATTGATAATCTTAAAGTTCGTTTCTTTTGCACCAAATTTTTTATTTCTTGCTATTTGAACTCTGCATTTCTAAATAATAAAAAATATATTTTTTTGGTATAAAATATTTCATTAAATATTATTTTAATGCCAAATTTCAATCAAAATTGGTGTGGAAACAACAAAATTGGTGTGTCGATAGAGCACAAAAAATGCTTAAGATGGTTTTAATATACTAGTAAATAAAATATAAGTACATCTATCAAATGCATTACAATAAATATTTTTTAAAATATTTGTTCTTTTTAACTTTAAGTAATTCCAAATATTTTAAAAATTACAAGTTTTTTTTATTATAATAATAATATTAACATAATTTAACTATATTATAAAAAATAAATAAATATAGAGAGTAATTTTCAAAATATATTCAATTATCTGTCCAAAAAATAAATAAATATAAAGATAAATAAGAACACTATATATAGATAAATAGATCCCGAGCCAGACCAATATATACAATACAGGTAATACTGTACATGTTTGCATTGTTATATTTAAAAAATTTTGTTTTTCTTTTTTCATTTAAATTTATTTTTCGTACTTTTTAATAAAAAATTATCATTTTTTTATTTTTTATTATCTAAAAATATTGTTTTTATGTTTTATTTATTTTTTAAAAATATATACCAGATCAAATGGGTCACTTTTTTATGAAGGAATGAGTAGCATATTATGTAAAAATTAATGTAATTTATTGTTTGATATATGTTGCAGTGTTATAATTTGAAAATTAAATATAAAATAAAATTAATGTAAAGTATAAAATCATGCTAATAATATGAAAAATTATATTTCATATTAAATATTAATTTAGGTGAAATAATCAAATATATATTACAAAAATCAGGAAATAATATTTAGACAAGCAAACCCATACCGAGTAATATTCATTCCCCTCAGTTCCAAAAAAAATGTCCAGTATAATTATTGTATAATAAAAATAATTATATATTAAGATTATTATATTTAAATGATTTAATTAAAATAAAAATTTTATAAATGAAATTACTAGTAACATGTCTGCATCAATTACATGCCTTTAATGAATTTTTCCAAAATTGTTCATACTCAACCACCCACCTAAAATTTGAAATTTGATAAATATTTTTCCAATATTGCCCAATTCTGCCAATTTTGCCCATGCTTATTTCGTTGAATTTTAACTTACTATATAAGTGAAAGCCTAATACCTTTATTATAACTTAATCTAAAATTTTAGATAAAATATAATGAGTATACTTTTTTTGGATAAATTGATTATGATATTACCAAAGTTTAGATAAAATATAATCTATAAGTAATTAAAAAATATATTAATAAAAATAATTATTATATAATAAAATTATTTACTATTAAAATTAAAATAATTAAATATATAATATTTAAAAAATATAAATTATATGTGATGAACTGAAAAAAAAAATGACAATTTCAGTAGAAAAGAATAGAGTATATTTTAAAAAATTTGATGGTATTGGAAGATCCAGGATCCGAGATCCAGGACAATATAGAGCGTTGATGATATAAAATCCAAGGTGCACATTTTGCTGGGCTTCCAAGTCCCGCTGTTTTCTTCTTCTTTGAATAGAAAAGTCAACCTGAACTCGGGCGAGTCGACTCACCCCAAGTTAAATAACAGCACTGCCGGAATATGCGATTCTACAATCAATCGCTGGAAGGAAGGGAGGAGAAATTACTTATCGAGTGAAATTGAAATGTTTTATGCGTGATTATTGATAGAGACCTTCCGTTTCCATGTCTGCCTCCCCCCCAGATTTGGAGTGACCCGTAAGGTACGCTGATATACATATAGATATAGATATAGATGTATTGTGACTTTTGTGTATCGATGCTTCGATGCAAATTTGCGTAATCGTCAAGATTTCTTCGCTCTCTCTCTCACTCTCTCTCTAGTTGGTGTGCGTTGGGTATAGCCCATAATTGCGAAAATGCTTTTTTCCTTTTTGTTAATTTCACATCGTCTTTTGTTTCACCCCTAAAATTAATTGAAAATTTGTCCCTTTAATAGGTAGCAATTGTGGGGTTTTGTAGCTGTGACTTCTGTGGAGTATATAAAGGCCAAGTCTTTGCAGTTGTTCGCCATTGAAGGAAGAAGAAGATAAAAGTGTTCTCGTTCTAAGTGGTGAGTCTGTGTAGGTATTGAATAGTGTATCGCCTCTTTGATTCACAATTTTGCTAATCCTTTGTGTTTGTCTGTGTGTTTTGTGGTTTATAATGTGATCTTTTGTGTTAATTGGTTTGATTTTGTGAGAGAAGAAATCTTTCTTGGATTAGAAATGGGATCAATGAGTCATTTGGGTTTTGATTGTTTTGGGTTTTGATTGTTTTGGGTTTTCTTTGGGTAAATTTCCTGAGTCATTTGGGTTTTGATTTGCACAAAATTTTACCCAAAGATTTAATTTTGCCCATCTTGCTGATAAATGAGATTTGGTTGTCTTTCCAGAGTTTCTGAATCTGTATTTTGGTTTATGAGCTGAATCTGATTGCAGTAATGGCTACTAACTTTACAAAAGTTGTTTTTAACTATTTATGTATTACAAATGAAGGAAAGAGATACATTTATCATTTGAGAATTTTCAATATTTGAACAATGTAGCTCAAAGGAGTTTGATTGGGAATAAAGTTTAATGTGTATATGGGATATGTATACAGTATTTTCCTTTGTCTTTTTTCATTTTTCCCCATTTGGAATCAACAATTGTATATGGGATAATCTAGATCAAGCTTGTTTGTTGGTTCAGTTTTGGCTAATTGTATCTAATTTGTAATGTTGATCAATCAGATTTGATATAAAAAATCGAATCATATCTAGATTTGAATGTACTCGATTATAATTTTGTTGTATGGATTGATTCCAATATCGGAATTTATGCTCCACTAATGAAACTGTTTTTGCTCCGATGTAACTTGAAGAGAGATTTATGGAATTCATTTTAGCCTCAGATCTAGTTAGTGTCAATTCTCTAACTCGCAATGGCTACGGAAGCATCCAATGGAACGAACCATGTGACTACCAAGCCACCTCCCGAGCCTTCACCGTTGAGAAGAGCAAAATTTTTTAAGGTACAATGAAATGATCTGTATAACAGAAGAGTAATGTCACATACATTTTATTTTCGAAGAAAGTTTATGATTTTTGGGGGGCTTGGCCTTTTTAATCGTCGACAAGATGTAAGAAATCATTAGAGAGATCCAATGAGTGTGACAGATGTGATTAGATTTAGGGTATGTTCTATTTTAATCTTTTGATACATCAGGCAAATATGAGGATTTTGGTGACGGGTGGAGCTGGATTCATTGGTTCTCACTTGGTTGACAAGCTGATGGAAAATGAGAAAAATGAGGTAACCATTTTGACACAAACAAAGACGAACAGACTGCTAAAAAGCATATGCTTAAGTTGATTTGTTTTTTAAAATTTTTGGGTTTTTCCTCAGGTCATCGTCGTGGATAACTACTTTACTGGCTCTAAAGACAACCTAAAGCAATGGATTGGTCATCCTCGATTTGAGCTTATTAGACATGGTAAATATTATTAGCTGTGCAATGTTTTGTGTTTCTTGTCTTTATCGAACATCTAAACTATCAGATATTACCTTAAACTGTATGCTCGTTATTGTTTGGAATCACTTCATCTTTTCTGTATCGATTCTGCAGATGTCACTGAGCCTTTGTTGATTGAAGTTGATCAGATATATCATCTTGCTTGTCCAGCTTCTCCCATTTTCTACAAATACAATCCTGTGAAGGTCTCTCTCTCTCTCTCTCTCTCTCTCTCTCTCTCTCTATATATATATATATATGTGTGTGTGTGTGTGTGTATTTGTGTGTGTTTATTGTTGTAGAAACAAGAAACAACGATGATTATAAAAATTCAAGCTTTATAAATGCAAGATCTTCATCAACACTAATGATAAGTTCTCTATCTCGACAGACAATAAAGACAAATGTGATCGGAACATTAAACATGTTGGGCCTTGCCAAGCGTGTTGGAGCGAGGTTTCGAAAATTTTCCCTCTCCCTCTCTCTCACTACCGCTCTCTGGTTCTCTTACATCAGTTAATTTTGTTGTGTTTATATATCCGAATAGAATTTTGCTGACATCAACCTCGGAGGTATATGGCGATCCCCTCGTGCACCCTCAGACCGAAGACTACTGGGGCAATGTGAACCCTATCGGTATTATAGTTTAGTGAGTGATTTATATTCAATAAATGCACCGTGTTCGAGATTAATATTATGTAACGTTTTATTTCAGGGGTTAGGAGCTGTTATGATGAAGGGAAACGAGTAGCCGAAACTTTGATGTTTGATTATCACAGACAGCATGGAATCGGTGCTTGCTGCTTCCCTTTTACACTGCTAGAAGTTGTCGATGTTTTTCTACACTAACCTATTAGGAATTTCCCATTTTCTTACAGAGATACGCATTGCAAGGATATTCAACACTTACGGCCCCCGAATGAATATTGATGATGGTCGCGTCGTCAGCAATTTCATAGCTCAAGCAATACGGTAATTATTCATAGTTTTTTTATGGACTTTTTCGACACGTCCCAATTTCCATTTCTCTAACTCTGATCACTTTCTTGTTTAGGGATGAACCTTTGACTGTTCAGTTGCCCGGAACACAAACCAGAAGCTTTTGTTACGTTTCTGACATGGTAAGTTGACGAATTATATTGTATTTACTTTGCATTTAGAAGCGCGTAATATTTGCCGCCTTTCGATTTTTCGAAAAAGGTTGATGGACTCATTCGATTGATGGAAGGAGACAATCCCGGGCCTATCAACATTGGCAATCCAGGTCAACATTATTACCACGCTGTCTTGATTGCAAAAAAAATGGTCTTGCTGTCTTCTTTATGAGAACTCACTGATCATTTTCTTCTCAGGTGAATTTACAATGATGGAGCTTGCAGAGACTGTAAAAGAGGTAATTTTTAAGCTTCACATTTCCTAGCCGAAACATCCATCCATAAATTAACGGCCACTTTTTTTTTTCTTTTTTGGTCGAGCTTACAGATGATCAATCCCGATGTCAAGATTATTACAGTGGAGAACACCCCAGATGATCCGCGCCAGAGGAAACCCGACATAACGAAAGCAAAGGAAATGTTAGGCTGGGAGCCGAAGGTGAAGTTGCGCAACGGCATCCCGCTTATGGAGGACGATTTTCGCTTAAGGCTCGGTATTTCGAAGAAGAATTAATTTTTTTCTTCAGCTTAGCATATATTACACCCTTTTCGGAGATAATACTCTTTGGTTTCATCCATGTGTGGTTTTTGCTGAATGTTGAAATTTTTGGATTCCTGTGAAATGGTTTTTTACAATGTTATTACATTTCGTGAAAGATCGAACCTGTTTTAATAAAATTTGAGTTTATTTTCGACGTTACAAGGCAGTACTACATGAATGCTTTCTTCTCTATACATCCCGGGTTGATATCTGTGGATGATGATATCTGTTTCCGCGGCTTGCTGTGTCCTTACATGCCGGGTTTGGTCGTGTTTTGATCTTGTCTGAATTCTGTTGAATCGAGTTATGCCGTGTTTTATGACTTGGATGGGAGATTTGATATCTCTAATAGAAGCCGGTGGAGCGCCTGAGGCTTTGAGAAAAATGGCGAATGATCCGAGCCTTTTAGATCGAAGACCTGCTTGGGGCGGCTCGACTGTATCATGGCCTCCTGAAGAGCTTGAGGAACGGCGAAATCTTCGTCTGTTTTGATGTAGAATCTTGCGATTGCGCCATAGTTTGTTGCAGAGAGTGTGAGCTTTTGTGTCACGGGCGCGAATGGTATTGCCCTCATGGACACCGATGCTAAGGCAATGTCCTGAATCAATGAACAAATGCATGTTTGTAAGAAGATGAACTGAATTGCTGAATCGATGTTTTTGGTACCTTTGAAGGGGTTTTGTTGAACAGCAAGTCTTCAACAAGGGATTTGTCGAATTCAATAGCAGTTGGGTGATGATTCTTCCCATTTGCATAGAGGAATTTCTGAGCTTTTTGGTTGAGGTCACTCAGGCATGACTGCAACACAATATGAAATAGATGATCAAGAAAATCAAATCCAAGAACTTGATTTAGTTTACAATGATCTATGGCTGTGTTAGCAAATCCTTAATTTGCAGACCTGTTGGGAGAAGATGTCAAGGGCACTCTGCCCATCACTCAACATTGTTGCAGCAACAAAAATGGCTTTTGAAACCTTAGCTGGATGCATCTCCATTGCATAAGAGATACAAGCTCCACCAAGATCATGCCCAACCAAAATCACCTACATCCCCAATCATACCATCACCACAAATCCAATGCAAGGAAATGAACACCAACAAGGGAAATCAATATCAATATCTATATCTATATATATATATATATTTAAATATATTTTACCTGTTTGTTGTCAGGAAGATTTGCAAGGAAAGTAGTGAGAGGGCTGACATATTGAGACAGTGAAGTGATGGAATTTATGTCACAGAAGTTTGAACCAGAGCCTGTAAGGTCTATTGCATCAACTTGGCAATGGCTTTCTTTTAGGAGTGCTATGATTTTGTACCAACACCATGCCCCAAAACCTCCTCCATGAACCAATACAAAATGCTTGCTCTCTCCCACCACTCCTTTACTTCCTGCTACATTATCCTAAATTCCATGGAAAAGATTAAACAAACATCATACACTTATCAAAAGTAATTTAATTAAGAGAATAGCCTTTAAAGAAAACAATGAAGAAGAAGGGTTGAACAGTCGCATCTTAGAGCTCAATTTATTCCATTCAATGCAGTATTGATGATAAATGTGTGGATGTGTGTATCCATCAAGGAAAGTCAAGATTGATTAGCAATACATCTGTCAGATTTCAATGGATCCCTTACTTTTTTCTGAAGTCAGCAAAACTACAATCGAACAATTAACTCAGTCAATTTCAACATTTCATTGTTATTCATTGCTCACTTACAAAGTCAAATTGAACTCACAGGATGTACGAAGTCTTCAAAGATGAACAAAAGGAAATACAATTCAACTAAGCAATTGAATATGAAAATAAATTAACAAACAAAAAAAAAATAAAAAATTGAGTAATTCTTCGAATAGGTTAAAAGATGAACGCGAAATGAAACCTGATTAAGGAGCTGCAGAGAGGTGGACAGCGGATTGGAAGACGAAACAGAGCGCGATCGCTTTGAGGAATTCCTCGGCAACTTATTCGGATTCCTGGTCGACACAGAGCGGTCCAATTGAAGAAGAAAATCCCGACCGCCATTGTTCTGCAAGTGCTGGTGATAGAGCATGGACGCAATCTGCGCTTGTTGCTTGATGTACGAATCATCGAAAACCTCCGGAGGAGAAGACTGCTGCCTCCTCGACTTCCTAGACGCGGCGGCGGACGGTGAGACCCACGACGGAAGTCCTTCCCTCGGCGCCGCCGGCCTGGTCGCCGGCGCCGGCGCGAAACATGCAAATGAATTCCCCATAGCCTTTTCTTCCAAAAAAAAAAAAAACACTTATGAGCAAAATCCAAACACTGCCTCCCTATTTATTTAAAAACAAATTATTAAAATGTTGACCAATTACACAAATATTGAACTTTCCAGCAACGAGAAAAATGATTTAATTTAATTTAATTTAAAAATTAGGTGACAAGTTGGGCAGTGAGCAATTTGTAGGTTTGTTGAAATAAATGAAATATTAATTAGTTAGGAATATGTGACAACATTACATGTGTCCTTAAATATCATTTTTTTTTTTAATTTTATCTCATTCTTTTTTGGCTAAAAGAGTAATGATTTCAATCTTTTTTTTTTATGTTTATAGTAAATTATTTCGATATTATTGAATATATTTTATTATTTAAATTCTTTTTCAACTTCACATTATGGGCTCGTGTGAAATTAAATAAAATCTAAAAAGTTGTGGTCAAACAGCCAAAGTGGACCGATTGATAAAATATCACAAGGAAAAAAGTCCTCTGGCAAACATATCTGATTTGGCGTCTTCTTATAGCCCAAATAAATATTAAATAATTAAATAAACGACATAGAGAGGAAACTTCCAAGAAATATTAAAATTATTTTTCGTCTTATGGAAGCAATAATCAATATATTAATTAATGGTATACTATCTACAAAATGATTAAAAAAAATAAAAATTAAATTAAAGGAAAAATAAAAGAACAGAGGTAATATTGAACTTCATTTAAATTTGAGATATTAACAATATATGTGTTGGGAAGTGGTCTGAATTTTAAGAATAATAGTAATAAATTTTAGTCAAAATTTAAAATTTAGCTGTAACATTTTAAATATAATATTTAAAAAATAAATATACACTTACGTTTGAACAGTACAAAATAGATATAGAGGCACTTCTGCAATTAAATTCTGGGCCCAATGGATCCACACGCATTTAGGGTGATCTACTTACCAACCAATTCATAGCCACTTTCGTTTATTTTATTTTATTTTTTAAGAAAATGATACAAATTAAATTAAATTAATTCGCTACTTATTTATACAATTATTATTAATAATAAAATCAAATAAAATACATTTTATATATTAAAGTCTAACTAAATTTAATGAGTAAATATAGGAATGATTTATTTTAAATTTTAAGTTAAAATCAATACTAATAAAAATATATTCTTTCGTTCTGTTAAATTTGTTTTTATTTTTTATTTTTTATTTTGGTTAAATTTGTCTCATTATTATTATTTTTTAATTAAATCAAATATTAAACATTCAACTATTACTCTTTATTTAATAAAATATTTTTTTTTTTAATCTCTGGCCAATTCCAAATTGACTAATTTTTGCTCACGGAATAAGTATTATTTTCAAGCAAAATATTATATTAAAATAATATTTAGGTTAAAATTTTAATTAAAAAAATCAAATTTAAATATTCGAATCAAATTTTTTACTTCCTCCGTCCCGTAACGAAGTATTAATTTTTTTATTTTAGTCTGTCTCATAACAAAGTATTCATTTGTTTTTAAGCAACGGTACTATCTATCTAACATTACAAATACCCTTACAATTTATAATATATTACACAAATGTCATTACCTTTATATCACACGTACTAATAAGGTTATTTTAGTCATTTCTACTTTATTTTTACTACATCTCAATATAATACTAATATTTTTAAAATTACGTGTAAAAAAAAATAAATGGATATCTAATTATGGGACGAAAAAAATAATATTTTTTTTTAAATCAAACCAAATAAATAATTTTTAATTTTTATATTATATTATAAATTAATTTTACATTTAAAATATTACACAATACTTATTTATATCAAACATTATATAACTATTCAAATTCAATTTCTTTTACGGTTTAAAACCAACACTCATAATTCAAATCCTAAACAAACACACCCTAAAAAAAAAATTCTCCGCCACATAATTTCAAAATATTGTACTTGAATTTCCTTTGTGACTAAAAGATTTTCTCCATCAAATCCAAAATCGATAATGACTATCAAATAAAGTTGACTGGTGATGGCAAATGTTAACCGATTGTGGATACAAATTTATTTATTTTTCCAGCTTTATTTTGAGAAAAAGACATAATTATTGTTACCGAAACAATATTATTGTTTAGGTGGTAGTTAGAAGAAATTAATAACCATACTATTTTTCACAATATTTATTTATTTTAAATTAAAACACACAAAAAAAAAAAAAATGATTATTAATGGTGTGTTTAGTTGAAAGATTTTTATTTTGAATTTTACAATTCATTAATTTTATTTTCCAAAAAATATATAATTAAACACTTACTTTTTATTTTTATATAATACTAAATATGAATTTTATAATCAAAATATTATATTTATCATATCATACATCACTTTCACTTAAAGCAAAATGGTTTGTTTGACTTTTATTTAAATAGAAAAAATTTTGGTTTCGAATATAAAACAAACAATCTCTGAGTTTGTACAAGTGATTTTAATTTATGCAATGATAGTTTAATATGATATTTTACAAAAGAAATACTATATCTTTTCAAATTTAAAGTAATATTTTATTATTTTTGTTTGTTCTATTTAAAAAAAAATTATTATTTAAAAAAATAAAAATAATCATATATAAATATTAAAGTACCTTTAATTTTTACATAAATTTTAAATATATCATTACATATACAATTAATTTATACATAAAATAAAAATGATAAAAATGTCAAAATTATCTTATAATTTTTCACTAAATAATAAAATATTGATAATATTATTTTTAAATTTACTACAAAATCTTTAAAAAAAATCATTTTAAATTGGGATGGAACGAATAATAATATAACTTTTTTCTCATTGTGACTATATAAGTAAATTGGTTCTAAAAATAACAAAAACTTGAAACAAACTCAACCATTTTACCACAATATATACATGGCATCCACTTTATTACAATTATTACTATAATACTATAAAATTTGTAATTTTGTATTACAATATATATATATATATATATCATAAGGCAAATTACTAAAACAATAGTTCTAACCACAAATCTTAAAAATGAAAATAAAAAATTGATATCTGATAGAAGAGTTTTGGAAAATTTGCATATAAAAAAAAAAAGAAGAAGGTATTTATGGTATATTTTATATGTTTTGTGTAACTGTATGTATATATATAATATTAATAAAAATTATGTCAAACATTGTCAAAATTTCTAAAAAAAACTTGACTTGGTATAAAGAAATCTGATTAGTTAAAATATTTTGTTAAAGTATACAAAAGGCAATAATGAGTATAGTTTTCATAATAGCACAACTAATAAAAAAAGATTACAGCAAATATTTATTAAATAAAATAATTAAAAGACAGATTGTTTGTTCATTTAATATTTTTAAAAGGAACATTTTTTATAACTATTTTAAAAAATATAATATACGTGTATTAACATAATATATATAATATTAAATTTTATCAATTTTATAAAAAAAATCAATAATTTAATACAATATATTATTTTTATACATTATAAATATAATTTTTTATATTTAATATAAAAAACATATTTATAAAAAAACACAAATTAAATATACCAAACTCTTAAAAAAATCTTTAGATTATATAATAAATAATTTAAAAAGATATATTCACCCAAAAATGTAACGGTCATACGTTCAATCCCACACCACAGATCATTCTTTACGAGACCACTGTGTTCATTATCTTATTTAGATGTTCAGTTCAATCCTTCTCATATGCGTATCTCTTTCATTTTTATTTTTAAAATTACATATTTTATTTGTATTTAAAAATTAAATCAATCAATTATTTCAATTTATAATTAGTTATATTATATTTTAATAATTTATAGTAATATTATCTTAATTTTTTATTAATCATATCATTTAAAAAATTCTAAGGTAAGTGAAACCACATAAGTATATGAGGCAGAAGAATTATAATTTAAATTTGAAAAAAAATTAAATAAAGTAACTAATTCCTTTAGTGAGGTCAGATGATCTGTTTGACTAGAAATATAAATTTTAGGTAGAATTTTATTAATAATAAGATATGATATTATTTTATTTTTATTTTTATATAAATAGTATGTGTAATATTTTAAATATTATATTTTAATAAAATATATATTATATATGAATATTATTTTTATAAAGAATAAAATTTATATAATATAAATAATAAATATACTTGTATTGATTTATTATACCATAAATTATTTTTATAATAAAAATATAAAATTTTAATTGGATTTCAAAATTAAAAATTTAATTAAATTAATTTATATTTATTAAATATATTTAAAAATATTAATTATTTATTTAATAAAAATAAAAAATCAATTCGAACATAAGTCATAAGCCGCAGAACTGAAACTAACTCACTCATACAAAGGAGTGGAGCCCACTTGCGAATCTGTGGCGGGCCCCACACAGCATCGTGGTCTACACGCGCCATCGCCGTTCACTCTAACGCTGCCCTATTCTATGCCGAAAAGGAAACAAATTTGTCGACGCGGGTTTTGGTTTTGGTTTTGGAGTGCCGCGATGGCCTGGAACTGCCGCTGCTTTCGCCCACCGTATAAACCCTCATTAAACTCATTCTTTCACTCCCCTCTGTTGCAGCAGTTATTGTTGTCTCTCATCCAAAAACCTGCATCGTTTTCCTCTCTCCACAAGGGATTTTTCTTCCCGCACAAGACATCGTTCAACCGGTGGGAGTTCCTTCGTCGTCCGCCCAGGGTTCTGTGCGATTCCAACTCCGGACAGGTAAAGGGAGCCCTTCTTCTCGGCTTTTCTTTCTGTGTCTCGGTAATGTGTGTTGAATTGATGTGTGATTTGTCGGAGTTTCGGTTTTGAAACTGGGGTAAATCACTGACTTGTTGATTTCGTTTCTTGTTGATTTGGTTTCGATTTTGATTTTCGTTTGAAACTGGGTTGAACTAATAGCATCTGCGTTGAATCTTTGATTTTGCTTTTCAAGTTTGAATTCTGTGGTAGATGTATTTGGGAATGAAATTGGTTCTGATTTTGTATGCTTTTTCCTAAACATTTGATACATTTCTTCATTAGTTTGAGTTAATCTAGGCTTGATTGCTGATCACTGCTGCTTTTCTTTGCCCTTGTTTGTTCTCCAATTGATAAATTGCTTAACAAGGATTGATATTCGTCTGCTTTTTGCATGCCTTTCAGTTAATTGTTTGTGTTTTGAATCTTTAGGATATCATCAACAAGCTAAGGTTTGATATCTGCTCTCTAGGTCTGTTGGTTTCTTGTTTTTGATATCTGCTCTCTAGGTCTGTTGGTTTCTTGTTTTCTCTGTTATTAGATGTCCTTTAGTTGCGAAGAACCCTGAACTTTGCAATTTAGAATGCCTAGTTGGTTGCTTTCTGTTATGCAATGAGTTATCGAAAGCTAATCATGTCGGCTAGGCATATACCAGCAAATGGTAAAGGATGTTCCGGTGTTGGATACATAAAGTTCGGATAAGTTTCGTTGCCATAATTGCTTGATCATATTTTTCTGCATTCAAAATCTTGCTTATGGCTGCTATCCACTTTTCCATCTGCTTTATCTATCACTTTTTATAATGCACGTGTGCGCGTGTGTTTGACACACATTGCTGACATCTCGATTGTGTAATTTTCTTCATCATTAGTCGATGAGAACATTTTTTGCACAATGTTGCGATTGTTGAAACTTGAATGCTGTTTCTGTTATTGTTAATCATCATTTTATAGATATGGAGGATAATTTCCGCCCAAAGGACGTGGCAGATGCTTTTGTGAGGCAATACTATGCCATCCTCAATCTATCCGCGAAGAACACCCACAAGTTCTACCATGAATCCAGCCTCCTCAGCTGGCCGGAGCCTGATGGCGATACGACACCTGTGACAACCCTAAGTGTTAGTATATTACTATGTTGTGTGATTTCCTAATGTCCATCTCTGTTTCTATTTCCATCATTAGCATCAGTAATGTAATAGATAAAATGGCACCCGAAGACTAAAATAGAGATGCATAAGTCAATTTGATAATAAATTTCCAGGGAATTCATGACAAGATCATGGTATCAGATCACAAAGATGGCACGGTGGAAGTGGAAACAGTCGATGCCCAAGAGTCATTGGACGGGTCATTCATCGTTGCAGTAACTGGTTGGGTGACATCGAAGGATAACATCACCAAGTATTTTACTCAGACGTTCTTTTTGGCCAAGCAACAACCTCAAGGGTTCTATGTCTTGAATGATATTCTCCGGGTTCACAACTTGCCTCTGTCAATAACCGAAGATGATGCTGAACAACCTGCCGAATCCAGTGCTGGTAGAATCTTACTCCTAAATCTTTTGCTTTTCAACAATTATATATATGCTTTATTTTTCTAGCAATTACAGCCTGTTTTTCCTTTCTGTGCCGAAGCAATCCTTGAAAGTAATTGTGGTGAGGTTAAAGACACAAAACCTCCCCTTGCAAAGGAAATTTGTGAAAATGTTTCTACTTCTACATCTACTGTCGCTTCTCCTAAGGAACCTTCTCCGGCATCTCCCCGACCTTCAGATGCAAAGGCTAGTTCAGCTGCTCCACTGCCCCCACCGCCCCCCAAAATCACCTATGCTTCTATGGTATGTTAAACCACATTATCTCTAATACTTAAAATATGTCGTTATGAAAAACCATTAGTTCGAAGCATTTGTGGTTTGTTGAAGGTTGCAAAAGAAATGCCACCATCTCCAAAATCTACTGCAATAGCGGCAACTCAACATGCCACCAGTGCTGCAAAAGTGTCGAAATCCAGCAATGCCGCAACAAAACAATTAGCTTCCTCGACCAGGGACATGCCTAAGTCTACATCCTCTGGCAATGATGCTCCTAATGCTGACGCTTGCGGAGAAGGTACTTTTATGCTTCCATATGTGCAATCAATATTGTTTGAGACCATCGTGTAATGCATTCATTTGATGATTGTTGCAGTAAGCAGTGTATACATAGGACGGTTGCCCTATGAAATAACTAAACAGGGCATTATCGATGTGGTCAAGCAATTCGGGCCGGTGAGGAGAAGTTCAGACAGTGTCAAGATCAGAAGACACGAGGTTTGCGCAGAATCGGATTCAAGTATTTCGCACTCAATTTTTCGTTTTTTTCTCCACGTCTCTCTTAACTCGACCACTGCAATTTTGTGCTAGGATGGCTTTTGTTGTGCATTTGTGGACTTTGAATCTGCGGAAGCTGCACGCAATGCAGTCGAGGTAGGCACTTTTGCAGTTACTCGATTACACTTTTGGTTACGTCGCGACACGATTCTAGCAGTTAATGCATTTTCCATGCAGACTCATCATGTTAGATTCGGCAACATGGACGAAATGCTGTCCTACATCTCGTACCGGAAGCCCAACCGCAGTGAGTCTACTTTTCGACGCTAGTTTCTCATATGCAATCGCTGCCTTCTTACACCAAACGCAAACATTCGATGCAGGCCGGAGTTCTGGACGGAGCAAGCTGTCGACCGGAGAGACGGCGGCAGCGGGAGGGCGAAATACCCAACTGTAAGCATTCTTACAAACTTAGCTGCCCTGGTGATTTAAGTTACAGCATTCTTACAGTAGATTTTGTCAAATAACTAGCGTAGAGCTTTTTGTGACATTTTTGTGCTGTTGGGAGATGAGATTCCATTTCGATTCAATGAACATAAGAACAATGTTTTCCGCCAAATCCAAATCGGGTAAATTAAAATGTAATTTTTAAATATAAACATATAAAATATTATATTTAATATTTGTTTATTTAAATAGAAATATACAAATAGTATGGCGTATTTGGGCCTTAGCCACTGCTAACTAATCAATCCAATTCAAGTGGGTTAGCCTGAGCAGGCCTGCTGATTTAAATTATATCAGACCGGGCTGGACCGCCTGAAATGGGTCCGAGCAAGCACGGTTCGTAGTAAATTTAAGAAAAATAAAAAAGTATAGATCCTAGACTTACCTAGCACCTACGTACGTACCTACCAACCCAAAAGGGTTTGTAGTGAGGAGCCTATTTTTGGTAGCAAATCCAGCTGGCACCAAACCCTAATTATTTGCCCCAAACCGGGCCCTGTAATAATTCTTAATCTAGCACACGTGGCCGATGTTGCTGGGGAATCTTTTTCACGCTTTTGTCTCCGTTGTTGACGTGTCCCCTACCCATCTTTCAACTGCTTCCCACACAGTACACAGCTCGTAAATATTACAATTAATAAAAAATAATTTATAATACAAATTTAAATTTATTATTTTTATGAAGTAGTATAAAACTTTTTAAATTGTTATTCACAAACCAACAATTTTTACAGCTTAATTGTAATGATAATAGTAGTGGCTTTACCTCAACTTTATAAAAAATCTAAAGCACACTTCTTTTGGGCAAATTTTATTCAATAGAATTTCCCATTTCTGAAATGACGAAGCCACTCAGTTTATTACCAATACCACCCACTTATTATACGTGTCCACTTTCAATTTAAGTGTCATTTTTTAATTATTTTTTTTTAATTCGTACTTTCCTATATCCTAATCCTATCCTATAGTCCTTCAAATTTTCTTCGAGCAATTAATTGAACTTTATGTATATGACCACATAGTACTTTTGTGGCGACTTTGTATTGGCGCCTCTATTCCCAAAATAGCAAATCTTTCCCTCGTCAAATGCTATAGCCATTGTAACGTGTCCAAAAAATTAAATAAACAAAATAATTTTATATTTGTTTGTAAAGGTGTACAGTGTATTTAAATATGATACTTATAATTTAAGGTAAAATAAAATAAATTAAAGTCGTACGTTTTAAAAACACTTAAAGACATAAAAAAATAAATAAAATAAAAAAGGGGTGGGAGAATCCATGGAGGGCAGGTGGAGAAGGAGGAGAGGAGACCTGAATTGATTATCATAATCCCAACAGCGAAACGAGACGCTCCCGATGCGCTACACGTGTCGCTTTCTCACTGATCTCAGACACGTGTCGGTGCTCATCTTACACGCGTCGCTTCCTTCCTTTGATTGACTCCCGTAGCCGGCCCCGCTCCAGTGCGTGCGTCCACACGGCGGTTCCCCTGCACCCTCACCCTCCCTGTCCCATCATCACCGCCCTTCTGATCCGCACCCACCAGGCCCGCCATTGATGTCCAGGGAAGACCACGGGAGGTCTGTCGCAGCGGATCACTCCCCACCCTCCATCATTGACGCCCAAATTTCTAATCTTCGAGCCATAAAATGGACCAATTGAGTCAGACCCACGTGTCGCCTTCCCCCCTGTCTCGCCTCCGCCACTTGTCCGTCTCCAGCACTTCACTGCACCAGACAGGGTCATTTTCGTCATTCTGATTATCTCATCTCATCTCATCTATGCTCTTCTCCGTTTACCATTTTTCCCAGTTTTGATTGATTGCAGTTTTCCAGTTTTTGTGATGCTTCCCTGCCCATTTCCTAGGGTTTCAGTTTCACAGTCGATTTCTTGAATTTGAAACGAATCGTGGTGAGAGAGAAGCTGTGTAAGGATCCCAATTTTCGAGGTTAATATGCAGTTAGGGTTCCGATTTACCGAATCGGAGCATGGAGTGCTTACCGACGCCCGCCATCAATGAACCTGCAAGATTCGGACAAGTCGCGTCGTCTATGGGGGATGCCGAAAGCAGCAAGAGCAGCAGCAGCACGAGGACAATAGAAATGGAGAATCTATCGCTGGACGTTTCGACCAGCAATTTTTCCAGAAACCTACTGCAGAGATTCATGGGCAGCTCCAGGGACGACGCCGGCGTCGGCGCCGGCGGGAGAGACGACAACGAGGACGACGATGTAGAGTTAAATCTTGGCTTGTCGTTAGGTGGGAGATTCGGCGTCGACAAAAGTCCCAAAACATCTCTTCTCCGATCTTCATCAGTAGCCAGCTGTTTACCCACGATTCGCGACGACAGTGACGCGGCGGCGCCGCCGGCGCCGCCGAGTTCTTCCCTGGCGAGGACTTCTTCCCTCCCTGTCGAGACGGAGGAGGAGTGGAGAAAGAGAAAGGAGATGCAGAGCTTGAGAAGAATGGAAGCCAAAAGGAGAAGGTCAGAGAAGCAAAGGAACTTAAAGATCGATAAAGACGGCGGCGCCTCCGCCGCCGGCGGATTGAGCTTGGAGGAACGGAAAGAAATCGAAGTAAGTTTGAGGGGGAGATTAGATCGGGAGAAGACTCTGGCTGCATTGAGAAGATCAGCTTCCTCAATCCGACCACACTTAAGGCTGTCCGATTGGGCCGCCGGAAGCTCCACCGCCGGCGGAGGAATTCCGGCGCCGGCGCCGGCCCAAATGGTGTCGCAGGGATCCCTGGAATCCAAAGGAGGCAGCTCTTCCAGTGTCTCCGATCTGGACAGTCGACCCATGGCAGGTATTCCTCCATTCCATTTCGATCACCATTTCCAATTTGGGGCTAGCCAATATCCACATTGTCCAAATAATCATAACTCTCTGATGACTGATCCATTTCCTTAATTCTTACAATGCAACCATATCAATCCACTATCAGGATCCAGCTGCGAATTGGATTCCTCCAGCATCCAATCCTTCCAAGATTCCGGCAGCCACGACGCCGCCGCCGCCGGCGCGTCGAGAAGCCGGGGGAATTCGATGGAAGAAATGCCTTGTGTGTTCACTAAAGGGGACGGTCCTAATGGAAAAAGAATCGAAGGAATACTCTATAAATATGGCAAAGGGGAAGAAGTTAGAATAATGTGCATATGCCATGGGACCTTCCATTCGCCGGCGGAGTTCGTACGGCACGCCGGCGGCACCGACGTCGATCACCCCCTCAAGCACATTGTCGTCAACCCGAACTCGTCGCCTCTGCATTGACGCCATTGTCGTCGACCTGTAAGCTCTTACCATCAGTTTAATATTTCTTTTTTCTTATTTGGATTTGGTATTGGATAAATAGTGCATCATGGACGAGGTATTTATCATGCCAAAGGAGAAACTTTGGGATGATAGCTATCAATAATAATTTTTCTTTTTTTGGAAATATATATGACTTAAGATTTGAAGTTCTCATTGATAAGAAATTTGAAGTTAAGCTATCGGCGAATATAGTGAAACATGCTTAAAAGAATTCATAACATTGATTTATGATTAGATCATGGTATTATTGAGTTTCCTAGTATTTGGAGAACTTAGCTCAGTTAAGACATAAAGTTATGGAATTTGAAATTTTGAAAAATTTGGGAATCGTAGAAGGTGGGTATTTAGTATTTGATGTGATGTAATATGATATTTTATGAAAAAGAAAATATATATTTGATGTGATATTTATAAAAAAATTTACTATGAAATAGTGTTAAAAGATAAAATTATTTTTGAAACATAACCTTAAATTAGTGATAATGAACAACTAATAAATATTGTCCTTCCTCTGTCGTTCCAATTTATATTAACTGGGTGGTTATTGAAAAATATTCTCTATTTTTTTTTAAGTAAATTATTTTACATTTTTGTAATTTTTTTACAATAAAAGAAAAAAGTATTTATTATTATTCACTTTTATTAAAACTCGTGTCCGGGAAATGAGCACACGTTTATACGACGGAGGGAGTAATATTTAACTAATTTAGCTAACCATAGTGATAAAGAGTTTTGGAATTTGAAATTTTGAAAAAAAATTGAAAACATAGAAGGTTAGTATTTTGTATTTGATATGATGTTTTATAAAAAAGAAAAATTGTATTTGATGTGATATTTACTGAATAAAATAGTGTTAAAAGTAATAACATTATTTCCGAAATAGAGCCTTAAACTAGCGATCATGGACGATTAACATAAACATCGTAATATTTAATTACGCTAACCATAGCGGATGATATTACATTACGACAATAAGCTACTCATCATATGTACTATACCCATTGTGAACTCGCAACACTTTAATACTAAATGCGAGAGGGGTGAATGTTTACTTAAATCGAAACTATTCTAGTATTTGGGAGGGTAATATTATACTTCAACGGTATGCTATCGATCAAAACTTTTCAACTGTAGTGTTTATTACAAACTCGCGCTGTCTTAATTGTAACCATGAGAACTATGAATGTTTGATTCTTAGATTCAAACTACGGCGAATGTATACTCCTGTCGGTTTAAGTCGGAATATTACCACCACCCTACATCGAAATATTCATAAAGTAAGCAACAAACTTTATGTTGTAGCGCTAAGGTTAAAACATCCAACATAAATGATTAAATAGAAACTTAAAAGATAAAGTAGTTTTATTTCTCCAAAAATTATCCGACGTGGATGTATCAAGTAAATTTAGTGGAAACACTATTACCTACAAAAATTTGTATAAAGAAGATAAACATTACGGGTTGAGTAAGGATAGTGAATCAAAACTAAATTATTAGAGACATATTCAAAGAATCAAATGTCAATACCACCAAATCAATTATAGGAGATATGTTACATAAAATTTTGCACATAACATATATAATGACAACTCATACACGAGTCTTTTAGTATTTTATTTATATGTTCATTTCAATTTTAAATAATTGTGATGAATACACCAAAGAAAACCCCATTAGAGTTTAATTAAAGCTGATTTTACTTGCTTTATCAATCTTATAATTTCGTTTGATATGTCACACAAATATACATAGCAAATATGGAGTCGCGCTCCTCAAGGAACTGTACAAATGAGATACATAAGTTCGAGTACTAAAAAATCATTTTATTGAGAAAGACGTGCAAAAATAGAACTTAACATCTCGATACGACGATTTAACTCATTCGGAATCTGGTTTAATTTTGTTTTTTTTTTTGTTTTTAAAAATTTTCAAACTTTAAAACTTTAAAAGATCAACTTTTACAAACCTAGGATAAATAATACTCTGATTGTTAAACAATGCGAGCCATAACTCCCCCATTGAGTATTATTAAAAAATAAGATACTCATTCATGTAGTCTCATTTTTATAAATAACCATATTACTGTAAAATTATTCTTACACTTTATATACTTACAAAGACAAAAAAAGTCTTTTATGTTTTATCTACTATTCATATAATATCAATATTTCTTAAATCTCGTGTCAAACACAACTCATACTATAATTATGGGACGGAGGGAATATATAATTATATTAAATATCAAGATATATTTTATCTATTTATCAAAAAATTTAATACTTCAAAAATAAATTTATTTTTTTATATTAATGACATACTTATTTATATTTAATATATATATCTAAAAATACAAAATAAATAAACCAACAACTTCTTTATAAAATATTTTACATATTTTTATTTAAAGGGTACAGCTTATACTACTATTTTGTAATTTTAAAATTTAGTTGGTTCATAAAAATAATTTTTCTTTTTTCTGAACGATTGTTGGCTATTGGGCCTCTCAAAATAGCCTGGTCATTTGGCTAGCTATGGCCTGTTTACGATGGTTTGGGCCGAAACTTTCTTGGGTCTTACAATCGGGCTTTCTGTGTTCAGAGTTTGGGCTGACGATTTCTTGGCTTCATACTTGGTCCGGGCTTCAATTGGGCTTGTTTCAGGTCTATGTTTGGGCCTTTTGCTTGTTTTGTTTAGTTAGTAATTAGGCTCTTTGCTCGTAATTTTTTATTTACCACCCGACTGCAACTCGATCTCGGCCCAGCCCATCTGATCTATTTCAATTCAATTTTCCATACACATCTCCAAGTTAAGTGTTGCTTCCCTAATCTTTTATTATGTAATTTATTTTATGTTCTTTCTTCCTCAGTCCACTTACTCACTCACACTATTTTATGAATCCTCTATTTAAAATTTCATTGCAAAACAAACAAACGTTAACAGTTTAGTGTTAATAGTTTAGTGCGTATTTTCGGATAGCGATTTTGCAGAATTTTATGTGATAAAGAAAATAATAATAATAAAATTTATGTTAATCATTAATACAGAATATGAATCAACTATAGATAATATAGTCAATGTCTCACACACTATCATTAATTTTAATACAATGTAATATATTTATATAGGACAACTACAAATATGAATTAAGAGGACATGTTTTCTATTTAACACTATGTTATGTTAAATTAAAACATGTAAATAAAATAAGCATAATATTTTGCCTAAATAGTACTTAATCATCCCTTTCAAAGTCATACTTTTTTTTTTAATAATCAATAGTAAATAAATAAATTTTAATTTTTAAAATTAGAATGCGTTCACAACACGTGCATCTGCGTGCAAAGCAATCAAACTCCAAACTGCAAATACCTTCCGTCGGCGGACCGGCGCTATCCAGCCGCCGGTTTAAGCTGCCTCAGCCGCTGAACCACTCGCTTCATGGAAGGCCGGGCGGCTAGCGCCTGAACCGTGCACAAGACCGCCACGTGCAGCAGTTTCACCAGCTTATCCTTCGGCCCGGTTTCCCATAAACCGGCGGTGAACACGTCCTTCGTCTTCCCCTCGTTCATCATCATCATCGCCCACGACGAAATGTTGAAGCCGTCGTCGTGCGTGTAGAACGACGGGTCCAGCACGCGCTTGTCGGAGATCAGCTCCAGCAGAACCAATCCGTAGCTATAAACATCCGACTTGTTCGACACGCGCCCCGTCTGCGCGTACTCCGGCGCGATGTACCCGTACGTCCCCGCCACGTGCGTCGTCGCGTGCGTCTTCTCCGGCGACAGAATCTTCGACAGTCCGAAATCCGACAGATAAGCGTTGTACTCGCCGTCCAACAGAATGTTGCTCGGCTTTATGTCTCTGTGCAGAATCCGTGGATTGCACTGATTGTGCAGAAACGAGAGCGCCGAACCGATTTGCAGAGCGATTTTGTGAAGAATTTCCCAATTAAAGCAGAGCCTGTCGCGATCCCTGATGAACCTGTCGAGATTCCCTCCGGCGAGGTAGTTGTAAATCAGAAACATCTCCGATTCGCCGCTGTAATAACCGATCAATGTAATAAGATTCGGATGTTTGATTCTTCCTAGCGTGTTCACCTCCGCCTGAAACTGCCGCGCGCCGCCCTCTCCCTGGTGGCGCTCGGTTGCTAAACGCTTAACCGCCACGATACTCCCCGGCGCGACTTCGGCTTTGTACGTGGAACCGAATCCTCCGCGGCCGATGCAGTTTCTCCGGCTAAAGTTACTCGTTGCTTCGAGTATGGCCTCGTAGCTCAGCTGCATCCCGACATCGACAAATACGGTGAGTTTCTTCGCCGACGGCGGCGGCGGCGGCGGCGGCGCCACCACCACCGCCACCGCCGCCGTTTCCGTGGTGGTTGACGACACCGTCGGTTTTCTCGAGCAGCAGTATGCAATCAGAAAAGCGATTGCGATCGCGCCAATTGCTGTTAGGCTAAAAAGGGAAGCCGCGACGGCAAGAGACCTCCTTGTTTTCGGACTGTGTAGTAACTCCACCGGATTACGCTGGTCGTGCTTTAGCGCCATAGGTTGTCCGAAAAGAATGATCGGATGAGTCATTTCCGGCGAGCGCGAAGGGGTGTTTCCAGAGAAATGATTGCCATAGAGGAGAACAACCTCGAGGCTAGGCAAATTCATCAGATCCTCCGGTACCTCGCCGGAGAAGTTGTTCCAGCTTAAGTTGAGGAGAAACAGAGCTCTCCTTTCTTCAGACAATGGCAGAGCATATTCAGACAGCGCCATTCGCTTAAAATACGATAAGTAAGAAGTCGACATTGGATTGAAGGGAGCGCTACGCTGTAGACTATTACAAGAATTGGTACTAAAGTTCGGGAGATGTCCCGACAACAAATTCTTGCTAACATCAAACATCAGCCCGCAAGAAACCCGAAGATTTCCATCCAATCTTCCGGACAACATGTTAGAGCTCAAGTTAAGGTATTGCAGATTGGGACACGTTACGAAATAATCGGAAATGTCACCTGAAAAGAAGTTATGAGCCAAATTTACCATCAACAAGCTGTTGCAGCTGCCCCATTTGCTCGGGAATTCGCCGTAAAGGTTCGCGCCCGGCGCCCAAATAATCTTCATCGCTGGAAGAGCTGTGATCGCCTCAGGAATAGACCCTTCAAAGGAATTGCAGTCGCGCTTCGCCGCGCAAATAAATCCATCGCCACGTGGATGTCCCATCGCCTGATAATCATTAAAGTTGCTCGATAGGACAAGAACCGACAAATTACTACAACTCCCAAGGCTCGCGGGGATAGGACCGCGTAGCTTGTTTCTAGAAACATCTAGAACCTCAAGGCTTCGAAGCTTCCCAAGGTCATCCGGGATGTAACCCGATAGCGCATTAAATGACAACAAAAGCGTCTTTAAATGCCGGCATTTCCCCAAAGCACGCGGTATCTCCCCTTTTAGAAAATTCGCCGACAAATCCAAATGCTCTAGATTCCCACAACCATATCCAGAATAGCTTTTCTTACAGCCAATCAATCGATTATACGACAAATTCAACACTCTCATCTCCTTCCACTGTCCTAAAAACAAAGGAACAACGCCGCTAACATTGTTCCCGGCCATGTTCAAAATCTTTAGACTCTCACATTTTGCAAGAGATGAAGGAAACTCACCGAATATTCGATTGAATGCAAGATTAAGTACCCTCAACTTTGTAAGACCGTGGAATCTATAGCCGGAGAAATCTCCGGCGAGTAGATTCCCTTCAAGATTAAGAACTTCAAGATTCTTCAACTCCAATATCTCATTAGGAATCTTACCCTCAAACTCATTGTAAGGAAGTGATAAAACCCTAAGGTGTGTAAGATTTCCTAACATCGATGGAAGCTTCCCTCCCAAAACCCCAATTGAAAACGACAGATTGGATTCGATTTTGATCTCAGAAACCCTAAGATTAGAATTGCATGAGATTCCCAACCAAGAACAGTGATTCGAATTGGCTGCATTCCAGCTTCTGAGAATCCCATGTGGGTCAGAAACTAATTCCTTAAATTCCAAAAGAATCGACCTTTCGTAAGAAAACTGACCACAAATTGACGACGAGAAGAACACGAAAATAATCAGGAAATACGACAGCAAATAATCCATTTCAGCAAAAGACCAAACCCTACCCTTGTCTGAACTTGTTCAAAGTTCTTGAAAACACACAGTGTGAAAGAGAATAAAAAATTGTTCGAGCAAAGAGGACGATATTTATGGAGGATTGAGGCGCAAAAAAACAAAAAAGGTCTGCAAGAGATGAAGGGGAGACGACGGTACGGATAATATCGATTCAACAAGAAAGTGAAATGGCTGATTTAATTTCACGACAATCAAGAGACCAAAGGATATGTAAGAAAATCCAGAATGTGAAGTGAAGGAAGATCGAAGGGTTTAATTGCTTCGTTGCAGATTATCCTGTGTGCTGTCGTTGTTACCCAATCACGGTTTTATTTATTTGTTTTTTTTTTTTTTTTTTTTTTTTTTTGTGAAAACCATGAACCAATAGGTGGGTCCTACAACGAGGTTTTCAGAAGTCGTCTCAATAGTGACGACACCTGGCCCGACAAAGATACGATACACGTGGTGAAAGGTACAGAGGGGCTTTTTGGAGACTCTTGGGTGTCCGACTCCAGGGGACGTTCAAGGCCGGAGATAGCGCCCATTGGAGTTGAGGTCCATGGAGTGGTTGTGCTATAATTGGGGAACGCGTCATTAGATGCATCATCTTGACGTCACAAAAAATTTACCAGATAATAAGATTTAATCAATCGGGTATAACATCATGAAATTAGATTTAAATTTAAATACAACAAATAAAAGTCAACTTCGGATATTATGCAATTTAACTCGAGATTAAATTATTAATCTCGACCGTTGATTTCCATGCCGGTTAAACAACGGCCATGATTGATTGAATCTAAGCATCGATATATATATATATATATATGTAAGTGAAAAATATATATTTTTATTATATCATTCTGATGTGATTCAAAAGAAAAAAGAAAAGGAATTTATGAATTAAAATAAATTCATATTTTTAAAAAATCACTGTAACGCCTATTCATTCTTATTACCAAAATTTCATTTCCAAATTTGAAATAAATTTCCTTATTATATGTATTGTCATTTTATATGTTATATGTTATATTATGTTAACATCAATTATAATTTTATAATTCAAGACAATAATAATCACCCACAAAATATTTAGTATGTCATTTTATTGATACACTAATCATATATAGTATGTATTATTATATTGTAGCATTTATCATTTACCATTTAGAAGGTTATATTAAATAAATTGACCAAAAATTTAAATTTATGGACTATTTACGACTAATCACATACTCTTTCATGTTTGCTAGCTAAAAAATGCATGTAAACAATTTAAGAAATATTCAAATATATTTAAGGCATGGGTTAAGGCAATAATTGTAATTATGTAAGTTGTAAAAAAATTTATTTTTACCATTTTAAGTGAGAATTTTTGGGTTTGTTTGGATTGGGTTTATGTAGTGATTCAAATTTATCCAAGAGTTGTTTAGGATCTATTATTTTGTAAGAAAAATAATACTCCATTCGTCCCGCAAGAAGGGTGGCGTTTGCTTTTTGTACGTATATTTTTTAATATTATTATTATATTAGATTGTAGTAAAAAAACAAAAATACCTCTATTAGTACGGTGTAATATAAGTGTAATAACATTTGTGTAATATATTGTAAATTGAAAGGGTATTTATTATGTGAAGTAGGTAGTACAATTATTAAATTAGGAAATAGTAACCTTGTTTTGGAACAGACGAAAATAGAAAATGGTAACCTTTCAATGGGACGGAGGGAGTATATGTTTATTTAAAATTATAGTCAAAAATTTGTGTTAGAAATGATAAAAACTCAAACCAAATACAGCATTCATTTGTTTGAGAAAATCGTTCACATTAATAAGTGAATAATTTTTTGTACTTTTATTTTTGGTTAAATACCAATTTAATTTGATTAGTATATAATTTAATATTCCATACTTTAATGAGTTAAAATTTAATATTTTACACAAAATATGAATATGGTATATAATTTTCTTTAGGAAAACTAGATTGAATAATATAAAATTGAATTTAAAAATAAATAAAGCACACCTATATATTGAAATATAAATATACTACTGGTGTGTTTGTTTGTGTTTGAATTTTTGAATAGTGAAATTTTAATTTAAATAATTATTTGATGCCATATAAATGAATATTGATGTCTATTTTTGAATGCACAATAAAATTTTAAAATAATATAAAAAATAAATAATTAAATTTATATATTTTTTTAAAATATAAATAATAAAAATATATGAAGAATCCACAAAAGACACAACCGCGAATTCTCATTCTACCTATCCTGGATCAGCGAGTTCATCTTAACTTGCCCACTGCAATAAAATTGGGCCTAATCCCATACATGGGCCTTCTAAATGGGCCTTTCAATAAAATAGAATTAATATTTTAAAATTTATAAACAAAGAGTAAATAATTAAAGAGGGAGTATTTGTATTCACCCCCGCCCCCGGCATGCAATGGGCAGTCCTTTATAAAATTTGAAATGTAAGTATTAAAAGTGATTTATTTTAAATTTGCAATTGAATTTACAAATTTGTAATATTGTATTTCTAAATGAAACTAATTTGCTAAACTGATTATTAATTTTATTAATTTAGGGATGCACATATGAATTTTTAGTTCGAATTTTGTTAAATTCAAATCAACTAAAAAATTTGTTTGTTTTGTTAATTTTCAGATTTTTATTATTTTTTAAAGGTCCGACTGACTTAACAAATATGTATTACAGATTTACAATCACACAAAAGAGGGAAATGATAATCGATAAAAGCGTGTTTCTGTATGGCTAAAAACGTGGTTTGGTATCAGACCAGCAGGCAGACTCTATCGAAGCCGCATAACGCGGTAGCCAAATAACGGTGAATCTCTCCGTCCATGGCTGGGTACCAGAGAGATGCCATCTGAAACGCTGTCCAAGCTTTCTCCAAGGGTCAAGGTAGGAATTGGTTCTCTTTCATTGTGCGAGGCACATTATTTTGTATTTCCAAAATTTTATGTATTTATTTGGGTGTAGAAGATCAACACTGAAAAGTGGAAAGTGGGGGTTTATATTTTTCCGTTCTTTGATGTCGTTCTGAAATTGGTGTTTGATGTTATTGAAAATTACAGAAAAGGTTGCATTCTTTCAAGATTTAGGGGTTTCGTTATTTAGCGTGGAGGTTTGGTGTTTTCGTTCTTTCTGGAGGAAAACTAGAATTGGTGCTTGCATGATTTTATAGTTGATGTCATTTAATTTAATGGATTTATGTATTTGTATTTATAGCTTTGCGTGTTGTTTGCAATCAGCATATGTTTTTGTATAATTAAAAACATTAAGGACAATGTCATGGGCAAAATTGGATTTGAATTTACAGTAATTGGTGTTTGTTTGTTATTTATCATCGTTGTATGTGTGTGTTTCTGTGTTAAGGAATAAAAATTTACTTTTAACTATTCATATGTTTGTTTGGCACAAAAGTTATCTTGGAGTGTTATAGGGGTTTGTTAATATTTAACTGGAATGGGCCATGGATTTAGAATTGCAGTTTTACTGTTTTTATTTGAAAAACAGATACCTTTAACTTATTTCTTCTGTTATACTGTGAATTCAGAACCAACATGGGTTATCTATATTTTTAACTATCGCTGTTATTGTCTTTGTTTATAATGAAACCAAGAGGTTGAATATTTTGTAACTTTTTGTCTGTGGTATGTATAATTAACAATGTAATATTGATGAAATTGTTAAAACTTCTGTTTTTTTTTTACATTCTATATTGATGTTTTGGCCATGAAACTAGAAAAGAAAAACCGGGGATGATCATTCTACACTTCAAGTTATGTTGCCTTTGATTTGATTGCTGACATGGGGTTTTGATTAACTAATACACAGATTGTCTGCAGTAGCTTGACATTTGAAGCCCACCAATGAAGAAAGCCGGCTGCTGTAAAATTTTGGATGAAGTAAGGGACAGAATTAAACTAAATGGCTCGACAAGAACCTACATCTTCCAATGTTTTTCACAATTCAGAGGAAAGCAGCACTCAACATGCAGGTGGATCAGGATTTCCAGGCTTGAAGAAGAGGGGACATAATCTTGGAAACCGATCTTGGATTTTGATTGATGGGAAAGGGAATTCTGAAATTGTGGAACTGGATAAATTTACTCTAATGAGACGCTGCTCTTTACCGTCTCGAGATCTTAGGCTTTTGGATCCATTGTTTATCTATCCCTCCACAATATTAGGCCGTGAGAAAGCTATTGTTATTAGTCTGGAACAGATTAGATGCATTATCACAGCTGATGAGGTTATTCTAAGAAACTCTGTGGATGTGTCTGTGCTACAGTATCGATCTGAACTGTGCAAGCGTCTTGAAGCATCGAGAGATCAGTTCGGTAAGATAATGGAGTTACTGTTGTAGAAACATCAAATGTGTGTTTCTTTCCTTCATTTCAGTTGCCCATGAATAACTAAACTGAACATATGCAAGATTGTGTATCCAATCATATACTATATTAAGCATCAATTGGGAAAGTTGGCTTGATGACCGGTCATGTTAATGTTAAAGCAGAAAACATTCATAGTACGGAGCAATTTCTATATGAAAAACTGAAAATTTTGTCTTGATAATCAAAATTTACTGTTTATCTTGAGAACAGCCTGTTTTTCTGTTTTTTTCTTTCTTTTGGTCTTGTGCAAGACATAGCGTTTGTTTTATTTCAGCACTTAATTATGTTATTAGTTTGTTGCCACTTTGACCTAAAAATTAGTAAGCCCCCAATGTTTTATATGTGATACAGATGATTTACCTTTTGAGTTCAAGGCATTTGAGCTTGCTCTGGAACTTACGTGTATGTCTCTTGATGCTCAGGTATTTAATTTTATAATGTAATTGGTAGTTTTCTGTAAGTTATCACACATTTCATTTCATGCATGTGATCACTAATTGAACAAAAGTTTCAGGCAACGATCCATCATTTTATGATCTTTGTTTACAATTGTGCTTAAGTAATCAATAAGAAATTATTCATCCTTTTTACGCCAGAAAACTCACTAATTTATTTATAACATGTTAATACATATACACATTCTACGTGCACTATACCAGGAATCAAATAATTATGGGCCTATTTGTTTGTATTTTCAAATTTGTTTCACACTATTCACTTATATATGCACGTGTAATCTTGAAAGTTGGAAGCTTTTTCCGACAAGTTTAAAGCTTTCCCAAAACCAGATTTTCTGAAAACAGGGTCAGGCTTTGTGTTTGTTTGTGTAATTAACAAATTATGTTGTGTTGAAAAACACACTATTGGTTTATGCACACCTGTCAGGATGTGGGTATTGTATACCACAAAATAATTTCATTTACCTATTAGTATATGAAATTTTTTTATTTACTTACATGACTAAATTCATTACATTTGACTTCTTGTACTTTGTAGGTAAATTCATTAGAAACGGAAATATATCCTGTTCTTGATGAATTGGCATCATCAATAAGCACACTCAATTTAGAACATGTACGCAGATTCAAAGGAAACCTGCTGACCATGACTCAGCGGGTACAGAAGGTAAAAATGTATTAACTATTCTCAACGTACTTGAAGGGATGGTCAATAATCACTTAGTTTGGCTTGATTTTAGGTTTGTGATGTAATAGAACATCTGATGGATGATGATGGAGATATGGCAGAGATGTATTTGACCGAAAAGAAAGAAAGATGGAAGGAATTGAACAACAATGATCATAATGATGATCAAACAAGTACTTCACCGCATGACCAGGCTGTATCCAAATCCGCACCTGTCTCTCCTGTTGGATCGTCCAGTGGAGTTCAGAGACTGCAGAGAGCGTTCAGCAGCATGAGTTCCAGCAAACAGGGAAGCTTCTTGAGCTCGTCTAGCGATGATGAGAATATTGATCAACTCGAAATGTTACTTGAAGCATACTTTGTTGTAATAGACAACACTCTCAACAAATTACTGGCGGTAAGAGAAAGATTTCTTTTTGTTTTTGGTTTTATGAAAAACAGGTTGTCTTACCTTTTCTCGGTGTGGTTTTATGTTTTTCAATAATTCCCATACCCTCTGAATTGCAAGGTGAGGTAAATATTAAGCTCTTGAAATTTTTATGATTAATATAAAAGAATAAGCCTTTATATTACAGTCTTTTGTTGAAAAAACAGAACAGTGGTTGTTTTGAATTTGATGAATTTTCAAGGCATAGAATTTAGTCGATCTTCTAAGAAGGTTCACAGATTAGGTGGTCCATCGAGAGAATTACTTACAGTAAAAATATACAGTGCTGTTGTGAAAAGTTGTTGGTTTCATATGCTTAAACAATTGTACTGCTTGTGCAGCTTAAAGAATATATTGAAGATACGGAGGATTTGATCAACATTAAGCTGGTACGCATCAAGGTTTAAAGGTTAAAAATGTTTACACATAATTATTTTCCATTTTCAGAATTTCTTTGACATTTGATATTGTAACAGGGCAATGTTCAGAATCAGCTGATCCAATACCAGCTACTTCTCACAGCTGCTACATTTGTTGCTACGATATATTCTGTGGTGGCCGCAGTTTTTGGTATGAACTTTGAGGATGAAGTGTTTGATAATCCATCGACATTCAATTGGGTGCTAATCATCACTGGAGTTTTCTCTATAATGCTGTACTCATGCTTTTTGATCTATTTCCGATACAAAAAGATCTTTCCACTGTAGGTGCTGCTGCAGTGGAATTATTTATATGGTTACAATTAATTCATTTACGATATAGACATTTCATTTTCTTATTCGTAATGACCTGATTTCATAATTTATTTTCATTGAAATGCCCCATAACCCATTTGGTGTATGCTTCTTGATGAATGTTTATCGTGTTTACTCCTGAATTATCTACCTGAATGAATCCCTGAAAGGATAGGGAGTGTAGGCCGTGAAAATTCTGTTCCATTACTCAAATGCTTATTAATTGACAGGCAAGCTTTCGATTTCCATAATTTTAGTATTGTATTTTAATCAGGAGTAGAATTGTATTTTGGCAGCTTCTATAGTGCAGGGCAAGATGTCCCTACAATCCCTGGAAATCGTAGACCTTACCATCTCTGCCCTTCTTGTACTGAAACAAAAGGTTTGAATTATCGAATGCTGTAAGATTCAGAAAGCCATAATCCTAATATCTGTAGATGCTCCAGTCAGTCTTCAAGATTGAGAACTCTGAAAGGCAAAAACCAGGAATGTCCGCCGGGGGAAGTTGCAATTTTAACCTTTCCAATGTAGCTGAAAATGCTAGAGGTTTCTGAACTGGATATGGAGATGCTTTGAACTAAACTGGTAAGTATCAGTTCATACAATAAGTGCCATTAAGCAATTTATGTCTTACTTTGTATGTATACCTTCAAATGCAGTGACATAACAGAGAAAAGTAGCCGAAGAAAGAGTTTCGGAAGTGATCAGGCAAAGTTGTGAGAACGAACATCGACAGAGTTGTGTTGTCTGAAAAATAACAGTCGGAATCAACTTCAACCATGTAAGATTCTAAGATTCACTGATCCAAATTCCATTTACATCTTTTTTTTATTTTCTATGTTTTTTACTCCCGAATCCTTTGCAATAAAAACAGTGTTGGGCAAAATATGAGATGATCATTTCGATTTGGATAGATACAGATGACAAACAAAAAGCCCTTCCCCTTAAATTTAATAGCTCATTTGGTTAGGGCACCATGATTGTTCTCATATGTTGCAATAGAATGATTTTGCCAGCACAGCTGATTCTTTTGCAAATTAAATCTCTGCAGACACCTGAATTCTTAGGACACCCTCAGCAGCTTCACTGCAGATTCTTTTCAAGAATCTAACATGATGGATCGATCACTTGCGGTGACCTGACGAAGCCATGAGGACACCAACAGCGACGACAAACATCGACAGCATGCCTGCAAGAAGCACATAAGTTCTCCTCGACGATCTTCGATACTCTCCAAACAGCAATACTCCCCAGAATGTGCTCACCAGAGGGAGTGCCTGCAGTCAATCACCATTTCTATATGTTACCATTATTCTGTTTGTGTCTTTTTCAGACATAAACATTATGGAAGCTAAAGAAATGTATCGACTCGCCTGAACTGCATCAGCCGCGGCGTATCCTGCAGCCTGGCCTCCCATGAACTGCAGGCCATTGCCGAACCCACAGAGAAGACCGGCCACAAGAGCCCACCCCCGGCCATTCCAGTCTGATAAGTAACTGCGAAAAGATGACTTCGGCAGGTTCAAGACCGGACGGTACAAGAAGATGATGTTGAGAATGATCGCGATGACGAAACAGGACATGGAGAAGTAGAAGAATGCCGTGTAGACACTCAGGTGGGGGACGCCGCGTTTCAGGGTGTGCCATTGGTCGTTCGTCGCCAGGTTGAACGCCGGCGAGAAGAGCGAGAAGCAGACTCCGGCGAAGAAAGTTATGGCCAGGCCGATGATCGCCCCCTTCCCGAAAACCTGAATTGGATCATGTAAGAAAAGGGACAGTGAATGACTGAATTCTTGCCATTCTGATCATCAATCAACCATCCTTACCTTAATTGATCTTCTGTTCTCAAGCTGTATCAAGAAATCTGCAGTTCCAAACTTAGCCTTGTCCGAATGTGTGACAGAATGACCATTCTTCATCCTGTCAAAAAAAGTTATTACAATTTACAATCACCATTTTCTCATCATATGTACTAAAACAGAAGATAATCTACAACATACACAGCTCCCTCTTTATGATCAGTAGGCAAGCTGCTAAGCTTGGCTCGATTATCGGCAGCGTTCGATGAATGCACAGCCGATCCGAAACAAACTGCTACGAGGAAGCACGCGACGCCGGGGAAAAGAATCTCGGCCTTGTTGATTTTGTCATCGAGGAAGTAATTCAATGTCGTGCCTGGCGCAATAGGGTGAAAAAAAAAAAAAAAACAACTCAAGACGAGCACAAAAACAGCATCATAGATGCCACAAAGAAGTCGATGAACAGCATTGTGTACCGATGACGACAGTTATGCTCGATGAGACAACCTCGGTGACAGACAAGCCTACAAACGCCCAGGCGTATTGCGTCGCGAGGTTGCCGAGGCTTAGCACGATCCCGCCGGCCATTGCAAACAGAGCACTGGACCAGTTATCCTAAGTTAAATCAAATTCGTCATAGACTCAAATCAAAACAATTTAACCATTGGATAAGATCAAATCATAATCTAAGTTTACCGAATCTAATAAATCAATCAAGCCAATCTAAACAAATAATAAGCTAATCTAAAATATCTCAACAAATATATGACCTGAAAATGTACATGTTGATACGATGATCAGATTGAGACCTGAGACAGCTGATTAATGAAATTAGGCTTGTCAGCAGTGCTGCTACCGATTTCTCCGAACGTGAAGGCGATGATGACGGCGGCGAGGAGGTTGGTGATCGAGTAGTCGAGGTAAGTGTGTTGCGGGAGACGGCCTCGTCTTTCGAGCAAAGTTAACAATGCTGGCCATGTCCCTAAGAACAGTAAGGACAAGATCATACAACCTATGGCTCCTCCTTTGCTCTCCACCAAATACATTTTGAGTAAACTTGTCAAGATGATTACTTCCTATATGGATCGGATAAACAAGTCAAATTTGAACCAATCCTGTAAGAACATCAGAAAAAAAAAAAAAAAAAAAAAAAAAAAAAAAAAAAAAAAAAAACTGTCAAGATTGGATTTTTATCACTCCCCAGTCAAGAAAGAAAGATTTGTGATAGAACCAACATGTATTCTGAAATTTGGAAGACCTGGTTTGGAGAAGATGCTCAAAGTGAAGTTGGAGGAATCTTTTGAACAAGGACATGTAAACAGGTAAAGTATGTGTGTGTATATATAATGCAGCACATATTTCCAGGCCTTAATTATGATTGAATCATTAATTTTCTTGAGGGCGGCTGATCTGAAAATATCTTCAATAATCATATATACATATACATACATACATACATACATACATATATATATATAGTTATATACATATTGTATCTGCAAGAGATCCGAGAATCTGTTGGAAAGTATCCCAGCCATTGAATTATCTTGTGAGATTCCTTAATTTTATTTTCTGCCCTTTTTGGGGTTTTCATGTCTATCCTGTTCACAGTTGAAGAATTCCCAAATTTGATGGAGATTTTCACGCCTGTTTAAGTCAAAGTTGTGTGTGGGTTTGGTTGATGCAAATAAGTCATCAGAAGAAACAAGAAACTGATAAATAAATATGACTTGAATGACGGGTTGTTATTAATTTGACTTACTCCATCATCCTTATCATTGTCACCAGTTGGACATAAATGAATAATAGAGAATATATATATAATTGGCCAATCTTGGTGTTCTTGCAAAATTTTCAACTCCCACTTGCTTTTTGGTAAACTCGAAATTTTATTGGAGAAGATGCATGAACCATTATTGAATTCAAATGACATGATTGCTCGTGTTTTTGATGTCTTGAAAAAAAAAAAAAAAGATTGCATTTTTTAGGATAGAGATTACAAGGGTTCATCATTCAAGCCTCAAGAGTTGGAATATAACATATTTTTAGCAACAACTCTAAATTTCTTAAGTGACTTACAAGAACAAATTATGAGATTATCAATGAAATTTGAGAAGTTGATTGAATCTTCAATCTTGGACGATATTCATGGAATCTTCAAGATTAAACTTTATCAAAGGAAAAGCATGAATTAAGGGATATTACTATAAAAATGTTTCCTTTTATTTCTCAACATATTCTTCTACCATCCTAATAAAATCCCAAATTTTATTTTATTTTTTTATGACGTAAAAATCCGAATCTTGATATCATTTGTTGTGGTTATTATTAGATAGTCTCACCTAAAATATATAAGAATGGTTTTAACGGAATATAATATGACAGTTTTATCAACATTAAGCATCAAAATGAATTCGACATTTTTGCAACAGAACAATGCTCACAATCAGCAGATTCAATTCCCGTCGACATTCGATCACGACGCCAGAGTCGTACTCGGGCAGCTATCCGTCACGCAGGCCAATATGTCCCGATAATCCCTCGAAATCGTGAAGGAATCGTAAACCTTACCATCTCTACTCTTCTTGTACTCAAAAAGCAGGTTTGAATAATCAAATGCCGTAAGTTTGACAAACCCGTAATCGAAATCCCGGTAGATGCTCCAGTCGGGCTTCAACGTCGAAAACTCCGAAAGGCTCGCCCCTCCTCCTCCAACCACCACATGAATTGTCCCATTCAAGCTACCATTATATCTCTTCTTCTCCTTGTTTGTACATATATTCTGTAATGAAAATCCGTCGAACTTTAATCGAGGTTGTTTGAACTTTGAACGGTTTAATCGAAAGATGTTCGAAGAATTTAATCACCTGGTATACAGGACATGTCCTTTCGTAGCTGTGGACGTGCCCGAAGAAGGCTATGTCGACTTTATACTTCTGCCATAGCTTCTGCAGGTCGTCTCGTCCCATCGGTTCGCCGAACGATCCTTGTTGCGCGTAATAAGTAGCCGAAGAATAACCTAGGACACGATGTGCAAGAAAAATCAGCCACGGCTGCTTGTGTCGATTCACCGACGCAAGACAGCGTTCGATGAATTTGTACTGCTCGCTGCCCTCTCGCCAGTCGTGTTCTGTGTCAGCCACGCAGAAGCGGAACATTCCGTAATCGGTCGAGTACCTGGACAGCCATTGTTTGATCATTACACGTAATTTACGTAATCTTAAGACAGCCATATCGATGTTACCAGAATTTAGCTCGATTTTCGGCGGGAACATAGAACATGGTTTCAGCCGGGACGCCACATTCGCCTCCCGAATCCATGTTCCCGTAAAACGAACCCGTTCCCGGCCAATCACGCTCGTGGTTGCCGCTGCAGAGATTGAATCGACTTTAACGGTTAACAGGAAACTCGTCGAAAAATTTACGTCGTCGAAAATTAAAATTAAAAAAACCCGAGCACCTGGCGATCATGTAGGGTACTCTAGACGCAATTGGTTTAACCTGAGAAGTGAACTGATCCCACTGGGAAAGGTATCCGTTGGCGTAGCAGATGTCTCCGATGTGGAAAACTATGTCGTAATTCCTTACATCGTCGATCAGCTGTTTCGTGGTGTTAAGTGAGCCGCGCTGGAAGTTGTTGTACTCGTTCGAGCCGTCAGCTTCGTCCTGTAATAACGAGACGAAAACCAGAAGAAATGTCACTCGGACAAAAAGTTGCAGTTCTAATTCGGACAAGAACCGAGCAAAACCTTTCCCATGTCGCCGAAAATGATGACTCGTTGTAGCGATTTCTGGCCTGGAAATGGCGACGATTTGAATTGGGAAGTATCGGCCCATACGTACGTCCCGTTAATCAATTTATGCCCAACTCTGTAAGAATACCTGAAAATGCACAGATCGAATAGGTTAAGACAAGAATTCTCGAATGTAATCAGACAAGAATACACAATCATTTAATTGAAAGGAGCATACAAAGAATTCGGCCATAACTCCTTCAGAAAAGCTGTATGAATAAATCCAGGATCGCGCCATCCTACAGTTCTTGCCGGTGCACCTACAGAATTACGACATAAATGTAATGGTCGATAAGTAATTAATACGCCTTTACATCCTAGACTTCTGCTAACTTCATCTTACCACACATGCTGCCGCGATCGAAAGTCAGTGTAGCTGCGAAAGACTGCGTCTGCTGTCCTCCTTTAGGCCCCCATTCGACTATAGGTTCGGCTTCATAAATACTGTATCCGCTAGTCCAGGTAATCGTCATCTAAGAAGCACATTCGGACATATACATATTAATGAAGAAGAAAAACGAAATTTCAGACAACTATGGCTGTAAGAACATACTTCATTCCAAGCTTTCCCCTGAGCTAATCGAGGATACAGCGGCGCCTTCGGATTAGTAAATGCCACTGGATTCGACACGGCCAACAGCTTCGGCTGATGAATGTAAGAAACAAACATGATTAACATAACTCAGAATGAATTATTTTCATTTTCTTTTTCTAATTTTTCGAAATGCCGATGAATACATACATTCGATACACCACCGGAAAATAATGCAAACGAGAAATCTGATCTTTGGTTAATCAACTGAAGCTTCAAATATCCTTTGCCTGTTTCTTTATAGTTCTTGTTGCTGAAATTAGCAAATTGGTACTGCAGATATATACATTATATACAGAATTAGATACAGAATCTTCTCATTCATCGAAAAAATGGCTTAGGGCAAAAGCTAATGTTTTAACATAAACCTTAATCGGGGCTGTGCACAAATATGGCGGAATAACTCGAGGATTCTCAGGAAGGCAGGCGGACAAGCTGAACAGAATTTAATATCCAATATGTAAGAACAAATCCCTGTCTCGATTTAACAAGAAACGCCATTTTTGCTGACCTGAAATTTGCAGGAGAAAATACACCGATCCAGTCATCGTTCGACGGGGTAGGGCTTTTATAGTCGATAGTAACCCAATCTTTGTCGTCGTTGGCCTGAGAGATAAAAACACGATTAGGAAGAACAACTTTAAGAAATTTTGAATTTCAGACAACAAATTTGGGACTTACTTTGACTCCAAGAATCGTAGGAGAAGCTTTGATGTAAGCTTTGTTATCCAGGGCAATAACAGCCTTGTCAATGGCGATAACTGAGAGAGGTTGAATACCGTGCGACGTCACCACTGTAAGGCTCGCCAGAGCCCACAAAACGGCCAATAGATTCGGGAGAACTTCCATTGGATTAGCCCCGAAAAATCATGAATCAATCAGAAACGATTCTAATTTCACTGATCCAAATTGCAGCAGCTGTTTTTCTGAGTCCCTTGTTATGAAAAGAGAATCTTGGACACAATAACAAACAATTTAGAACCAGATTTGAAGAGAAAAAAGCCCTTTTTCAAGACTGGAAAGACAGAAAAGGAAGAAGATGTTTAATGGTGCTGCTATATTAATATTATACAGTATAGATACAATAAATTATGTCGGATTTTGTTGCTGTATTTCATAATTATTTATTCCTTAAATTGGAAGCACCATTATTGGGAATCTTCCCTTCCAAAGGTACATTCTGTAAGCACAAATTTCCTTTTTTTATTTTATTATTTGATCAAATCATTATTTTTTTATATTTATCACAACAGCTGGAATAGCTCAGTTGGTTAGAGCGTGTGGCTGTTAACCACAAGGTCGGAGGTTCAAGCCCTCCTTCTAGCGTAAATATGGAGGCCTTACATTTTTTAAGGCCACTGACCTGATTAACCCGATCGGGTCGGACCCGAACTGACCGCCCCTGAAAAAAAGACTGTGTTAGGAATTCATATTTTTTGATGTTCTTAAAAATTTGTCAAACAAACACTAGTGTTAATGTAAACTGGGAATTCATAACCACTGAATCACAAGTAAAAGATTTATCACGTGGACTGTTTGGATTCAGATTCAGCCAAAAAAAGAAAAAAAAAACCAAAGAATCCTCAAAACTGTATATACTTCTCCCTCGCCAAACAACTTTTCTTGCAAACAAAACACACATCAACAACCATGGACAATTCCAACCTCACAAGAAAATATGGACAAGGAAATTAAGGATTTATCCTCACAACATCTTGTCTTGCTAATACGAGGATTTGAGCTTCGATTCAGCTTCTGTCTTCTTATCTTTCTGAAGCAAATCCGGTAAGAAATTTCCGAGCAGTCTTTGATCCAAAACCATGTTCGGCACCTGAACAACAAATGTTAGCACCGGGCGAAAAAGCGCGGCGTGTGCATAAGAACAAACAAGAATTAAATAACCTTATCGCCAAAATATATCTTCGAGTTGTTAGCAATCGCTTCGATAAATTTGAGTTCCAAATACTGGGGAGTCAGCTTCAATCTGTTTGCTTCTGCTTCTTTAATTGTGCTGCAAAGCCATTCACAAATAAGTTTCCACAAAGTCTTAGCATTATATTGTAATAAGAAAACAGGGTTACCGGTAATAATCAGCATCAGCCAAGCTCTTTTCACGAGCTAAATACATCGTATTCGATATTTCCTCTTGTCTCCTCGCGCTGTCTTTCTCCATCAATTTTTGTTCCATCTGGATTTTACTAACATGAGCATATTTTTCAGCTTCACTTATCGCGATTTTTTTCTGTGTCTCGGCTTCCTTCTCAGCCACTCGTTGTCTCTCCATTGCAATCAATACCTTTTTATCGAGTTTTAGACATATTATAAGTTCGAACATTCTTTCTAATTACCGTCGCAAGAACATAAGACACACCTTGGTGCGCTCTTCTTCCATTTGTTCAAAGTTGCGCCGTATGCTCTCGGGGATGGTCGGTTTTGTGACGCGTACGCTGATGATTTCGATGCCTGGAGCATAGCGCGTGCAGTCGGCTTGAAGGGCGTCTTTCATCTTCTCATCGATCTGCAACGATTATCGAGATATTCCGTTGTCGAAATGCATTCCGATATAAATCAATGATGCATAGTAAAGATGATAACTAAAGTTTCCGACTTTCCTGATCAAACATGTCGATGTAAACTTGCTGAAGGGTGTGTGCACTGCAGAACTGATTAATCTCGTGGTGGATCTTGTCGTATATCCACGTGTTGTCGTAGTGGATGCTGTAGTTGCGCAGCGTGTCGTATACATAATCCTTGTGAAGTCGATTAACTACCTGAACGCGAAATTGGATTAAAAGAAGAGTAGAAAAAAAAAAAAAGAAAAAAAAAACGAAAACAAACAATGCAACAAATGTAATTACTTCTATCTTCTCAAAATTTATCATTACGCCGCCTTTTGTTCCGCAAGGGATATCTCTGACCTGCATTCATACAACGAAACTATTACTCCCTTAACCTCTCGAAAATATTCATACAGATGAACTCAGACAAAGAGTTTTGGTACCAAATCTGTCTGTAATGTCACTTGAATAGGCTCAAAGTGAGTTAGGATCGGCATTTTGAAATGAAAACCTACGTTCAGTTGACACAAGATGGAAAAATCACAGTTGAATCAATAACAAGATTGCAAGGATAGACATAGTTGTATAGCATATAAGAGTTTACCTGGTTCGGTGATGGTTTTCAAAATGGCGCCGCCTCTCCAGTAAACCCCAACGTGACCTTCAGGGACTTGATGCAAAGCAGAGAAATTGATTGTAGTAGATGCCGACGGAAGTATAATCTGCAAAAAGATCGATTGGATATAAACATAAGATGATAAATGTCTCAATCACAAACTTCTCCTCCATAATTGCAAATCAAAGATGGAAGATTAAAGATTCCTTTCTGTACAGAACACAAAAATCAGACAAAAGTTTGCTAAAACTAGTCCTGCAACGACGCTAATGGAAGCTCCATGAATAGCAAATCAATCCCATTATGCTTTATAAGTTCAGGATGGATTGTAAATGGAATTCTAGATCCTTCCATCATCATCTCTAGGTTAATAATAATCAGGTTTCAATGTAAGAAATTGAGCTCAAACTGCATTCTCAGAACAGCCAAAAGAAGTAGACTGAACTATGACTAATAAACAGATCTCTTCTTCAATTCACAAGAACAACAATGGCGTCCAACTATATTAGTCTAACTGTGTTGCCTATGATGTTCATCAATTCTGACAATTAAAAAACCCTCTTCTTCCTCCTGATGCCATCCATTTTCGTCACTAGGGATTTGATCAAACGAGAAACCCTCAGGATTTAGGTCACTTTCTGGTATCGTAAAAACAAGCACAGATTTAAAACGAAATAGAGAATTAAAGAGGTGAAAGAAACGAGTCAAGAAAATCCAAAGGGAACGAAACGAAAGAACTTATAGAACCAATGATCAAATTAAACAAGAGTCTAATTTAATCGATTGTCAACAAGACGAACAACCCAAATGGAAAATTAAAATCGCTCGTATATACCATGGCAGCAAAAACGAGGAACATTAACAGAACAGCATATAAGGCGGAGAAATCGCCGCCGCCTCCGCCGCCGCCGCCGGCCGCCGCTCGCCGCGGCGGAGTCTCCCGTGTCTGATGATGCTGAGGTTCCATACGGAAATAGAGAGGAAAGTGTCGAAGCCAAAATAGTCTCTTTCTGCTTTAGGTGTCGTGACGTTTACTGAATTTCTGTGTTGGAGCAAAACGAGAAAAGTAGAACTCTTTATAAAATGAATAAATACATACATAAAATAATTGAGTAAGATCGAAATGCCCTTTGCTTATTTTCGAATAATTTCCAATAAAGATTCAATTTTTACGATGCTTCTCAATCCACCATTTTCACCTATGAAGCTTGAAATAACAGAACAACATAGTAACCATGAAAACAAGATGCTATTACATGGAAAAACTCTAAACTTATGAATAGAACAAGTTCTTGAATATATATATATATATATGTATGTATCGCCAAGGGGAAAGAAATTCCCCTGTTTTGTTTCTTTTATCTCACTGCAGAATAGGATAAATACACAAAGGTCCCATGAAATCTACAATGCGAAACATCACTACATCCTTAGCCCAATGCATTCCATCCCTTCTTGCATTTCTTGTTTTCGATCCCTCCCGTCGACTTACGACATCGATCACATGAAATTCGAAGCTAGAAGAGCAGCTGCGATCGAAAACACCGTAGCCGAGCTGGTTTTAGAAAGTAAAATCATCCCACCGGCGCCACTGCTGTCTGGAGTGCCGAATCCACCTCCTGTCGTTGGACCGACGCCAAAACCTGGATTCGTCGACGTGCCCGGAACTGTGGTCCCAGGGGTGTTGGTGGTGCCGCCGCCTGTGGTTGGGGTGGTGGGCATGCCTCCACCGGTGGTGGGGGTGGTGGGAGTAGTCGGAGTGCCTCCAATGGTAGGGGTGGTTGGGGGTGTGGTGGTGGCGCCTCCGGTGCTATAACAAGACAAGATTCGGATTATTAAAACAATGCCCGAATAAAAAATAAACCTTCAAGAGCATGCTCAGCAACATCAAACCACCCTACCGAACAAATCATTTGGAAACTAACAACTTAGTTAAATATGAAGATCATGACAGCTCACATTGAGTATTCAAAGCTAACTTCAATGGCATATATTCGTTGAAGCTTTAGAATTGGATCTACCTTCTACTTTTAGATTCCTCAAGAAAGACATAACTAACCATAAATTTGATAAAAAAACTAGTCGGCATATAAAAATTATCATCAATTTATTTACTACAAACATCTTCCTATTTCATCATTGTTAGCAATTCAAAGCAAAATGGATAATCTACTTTCCTCACCGACAAAAGTGCCAAACAACAAGATCCATATGCAACTAAATTTCCAACTATTATTTACCTAGGATTGGACTGAAACACACATCCAGAACCTGCACCTGTTAGGCAAAAAACCAAAGATGAAATTCAGAATTTCAAAAGAACAAGATTCTTGATGGGGTTTTTGTTTGTTTGAAGATTTTTTACTTGGGGGGTTTGGAGTAACAGTGGCAGTGCTCTGAAAATCACAGCTGCCAGGAGCCTGGCCTTTCTTCTGGTAATAACTGTTGACAGCATAATTGCAGTGATCCTTGACGGTGTTAGGGTTGAAACAAGCTCCATTTTGTTGGATTGGAGTGCAATCAGCCCCAGCCCCACAAGCAAAATCTATGTTCTTCTGAAGAACACTGTCACTCACCCCATTGTTGCACACACAATATGATGCATCTGTGGAAAAAATTAGAATTGAAATTGTGAGGACAAAAGGGGAGTAAGACAAACAGATCAGGTCAAGAAAAATAAAAATAAAATGGGATTGCTAAAAAAGAAGTGTTTCAGGGTGTAAAAGGGGAAAGATGAAAACTTTTTGGAAGCTCCTTTACAGTTCATGAAGAAAGGGGAGAATGGAAAAAAGCCCTTGAATAAATTTCTTAACTATGACCAAAATCAAAACCCACACCAAATGCCCAGAAAGTGTATTAAAAAACACACAAGCATCTGTGAGAAAGTTTCAGCACCTGAATGATACACAAAGCTCAAGAACAGCACCATCACTGCAAGAACATCCATGGCTAAATTGTTCAAGATAGCTCAAGAAGGTGTGAGCTGGATGAGTATGATGGCGATGGAAATGAGCGAGGAGAGAGAGAGAGAGAGAGAGAGAAAGAGAGGGGGGTGGGGGGTGGATGAGAGAGTGTTCGGTGGGAGGAATATGGAGATATCTAGAGAGAGAAATACAAAGTGACCGTCACTGACGGTGCTAAGCATATACATACACTATACATACAGATGTATATATATAATCTGATTATTATAGTAGTATTTAGTGTGAGAGAGAGAGATACTCATGATGTGTGCATCTGAAAGCGATTACATTATTGCTATAATCGTACTAATTATTGCCACATAAACTGGTGGCTGAAAGAGCGGTAATTCAAGAATCAAAATCAGCGAAGCTGTCATATCTTTGCTACGAAAATACACCCAAAACCGCCATTGACAAATGCACTTTATAGAGTTTTTTAACCAGAGAATAAATTTCGTGCAGAAAGAGAAGGACCTATAGAGTTCATCTTTTTCAATCTTTGTGAGGGAATATATGTATAAAGGATCTAATTCTATTACCTTTACCTTTTAATTATTCCAACGAGGATCTCTGATCCCAGGAGTAGCTACTAATCATCTGGACCTCAAGAAGCTCCGAGCATTCTTATTGGGCCTTTCTGCTTTTTGGGCCGGGTGGGAAAGCCCGGCCCAAAAAGATAATAAAAAAAATGGCTTGCAGTTCAAATTCCTTTGTGGTTAACTGAACTCCGATCATACACAAGAAATCCCTAAATTTTCAATCACGCTTGTGAGATTCGGTTTCGAATTTGGGAGTGAAGAGTGATCCGGTCCTACCTGCAGAGGAGAATGGGGCAGATGACGAACGGAAAATCCAAGAAAGGAGCGAAAGAGGAGATTAAGAAGGAAGAAGTTGAAGAAGAGGAAGAAGAGCAGGAGCAAGACGGAGTTTCTGTGCATTCGCCTTGCAAGATCAACTCGTCCACTCTCCGGAAGGTAAATTCTTCGGTTAATTCAACGATTTCTTTCCCGGAATTTGAGAGTTTTATGAGAATTTGGTCGTTCGAATTTTGATTTTTATTTGCAGGAGAATTCGGAGGTAGAATTGGAGCTGAGATTGCTTGAAGCTCTCGAAATCTATCCTCCATCCAAATTACGAGGTTTTTAACGATTGATTATCTCTTCTTTCCTGCTTCGATTGAATGTAGAAATTAGGGTGCATTTTCCTTGATGTTCATATGTGTGCATGTGATCCATCATCCATTTCCAGCTGAAATATTAAACTTAACTTCTTGTTGCTCATCATTTCGATGTATTATGTGAAAATTATTTTGGTCTACAAAATTTGAATGAAACGAGCTGCAGCCTTCCATTGTCGCTGTTATCAAATTTTTGGTTAGGGTTAGGGTTCCACCATTCCTGACCTATCAATCCTTGCTAAGAAAATAAAGAACTTATTCCAGCAATGGCACTGTGTTAAAGATAAATTTCATTACAGAAATTCTTAGCAGGAGGATTACTTTGCTGCAATCATGTTATAAAATTCAATTGTTCACCTGTGTGTTCTTAGGCTTCACCATTAATGACTTCGTTTATTTCGAGCACTTATCCAAACGATCTTATTTCAACGACAGTCCATAGATCAATAATTTGTTTCTTAGCAAAAATCAGGGGTGGATATACATTGCTGTTGCTCCCGTTATTTAGTAGTTCTTGATAAACTAACCGGTTTTTGTCAATTTCAGGCCCACACCGTCACTTTGTTCTTTATGGTTTAACCGAGTATATGCGCAAAAGGTTTGCACAACTTGTATTGTCAAATGGAATTTCCTGTGTAAATATCCAACTATTGTACACATTTCTTGGTTTTGCAAATGCCTTATTGTATATTGCAGTTTCGATCGACCATTTACTGCGGATGAATGTCTGAAGTTGCTGGGGCGATTTTACAATTTGGACATGGTGGTATGTATGATCTTTAACCTTTGTACTTAACATCAACGACGCTAGAATGGTTGTGAAATGTTGTGTAATTGAAGCTTCAAAATTTAATCTTACTCGCTATTAATAGGTTGGGTTCGGAATTAGCTTTTGTAGATAACCTGTTCCATATATACATTTAGTTCTTTTGCAATCAAACAAGGCAAAATTGTTTATAATCTGTTTGTGGTTTGAAAATCTGTAATATTCTCCCATCATTAAAAATTGCATAAAGTTTTCTCATGTTTTAGAAAATATTACACGGAATCTCTTAAAAGTTGCTCGATTTTCTAAAATACGATGGAGTTTAACATCAATGCATACTTTTCAAACGACATGTAGGTTAGGTTATAAGCAATTTTTCCATCAAATAATAACTATTGTCCGCTAACAACCTACAAATTATATAGTCGCTGATCCTTTCACCTAAAGATTCTGTATTTTTGTTAACCTTTCATATGGGATATTTGTGACATTAACAATTGCCTGTTTAATGGTCTTTCAGAAACCAGATGACGAGGATGCCGAGTTTCTGAGTCAGGAAGAAGATTTCCATTTGCCGAAGAGCTATTTTGAGGAAGAGACTTAATATGGTGGCGAGTAAATAGAAGTTGTTCTTACACGCCTCGAAATAAAACTGCAAGGCGTACGACGACTTCTTACTCTAGATGTTATTTACATTTTGTGTTGGAAGCTGGTAGACAAAAGAAGGGAATATCGAAACTAAACAGCGCCGATGCATTGAGCAATGTATATTCTAAAAATGATGGCATTTCTAAATTTTACTAGCTTTCAATAACAATTTGTTGACATCACTGTCCTAATATATGTCCATTCTTACAGCAATTCATAACAATATGTACAATAGGTGTCAAAATGAACAATAATAGAAAAAGAGATCCTGGAGAAAACACCATTTCCTTACAATTGCAGCAATGAGATGAAAGCAACAGATCTTCAATACAAACCAAGTTCAGTTACAAGAATCATCAATAAACAAATATGACATAAAACCCGAAACATATTTCGATGGTTAAAAAATAAAAATAAAAATAAAAAATTAAAGGATAACGAATATCTCCTACAAACTGTGGAAAAGTCGTGCCTTCCCAAAAACGCGACTCTAAACATAAAAGATGCTAATCTACACCCCTCCAAAACTTTGATTCCACCTCACAAGGAACTGCTCTGTTTTTTTTGTCCCCATAATTTGTTGTTCCTCCACAAAAAGCGTTAATACCACTTGAATTTTCAAGCAGACACGCTTTTTCTGGCCAGCGTGATTATTATTATTATAGAAACTCTGAGATATATGAGATAGGCAAGAATCGAATTTATACAGTGTATAAAGAGAGATTACGTTTTCGATGAATGAAAAGAAGAGTGGAAAGGAAATGAGTGAGAGAGAGAGAGAGAGAGAGAGAGAGCTTTTCCTTAACTGCTGCAGCGTTTTTTATCATTTTCTCAAAAATGGCTTTTGGCACACTAGCAAGCGCTGGTCACTGCCATTTTGCGGGTCGATCACCCGGGCTTCCCAGCGAAGTTGAGTGACGAGACTTCGTGCTGTCTCTATGTGATCGATCTTGTCAGAAATAATAACCCATCCCTGAAAAGAAACCGTATTGATGAATCAAGTATATGTAAGAATGTGAAGTGTGTAGTAATGAAGAGAATACTATCCTCGGACACTACCTCTGGACGGAGAATACGGTCCATCTCAAAGATTAAGTCAACCATGCTGCATTTCTGCGAATCGAGATGAGATAGAAGTCCCTTGGCATGAAGCATGTCGTATGTCCGGGGATATGTGGGAAAAGGTTCACACCTGTGTCGGGACAAAAGCATAAAGTGTTAGAACAGAAAACATGTAAGATCGATTATACAGAATAGATTTGAGACACATAATAGATTTGTGGAATTTGGCGAGGTGGGCGTTCCCAAGAACGAATATCTTACCAGTCATGTAAGACTCCTGCGAAGCCTTGATCAAGAATGACAGGAAGGGAATTATGCACGCCTACAGGCACAACATTCATCACCCACACAGACTTTCTACCTTCCATTAGAGCAGTATTTAAACCTCCATAACGAGCATTCATGTCCATCACATTTCGAACCATATTGTATGGGGGCATTGGATCTTCATCGCCGGGTCTCTTTGGATGGTCTGAGAAAATCAAGGGAGAAAGCAATGACCAATAATTTCTTAAAGCAGATCTCCAGAATTCCATGTCTTCAGAGAAATCATCTGGATTAATTCCTGCATGCAAATTGAACGAGTAAATCCTTTTGCAAATTAAATAATCAATCATTTTGCAAATTAGAGATGTCATACATGTATGTTTTTTTTTTTTTTAAAAAAAAAAAAGGTTTATCTATGCAAAACTCATTTCCTTAAGCTAGTGTGACATACCATAGATTGCAATTTCTGTAGGACTGAAATAAATAGAAGACTTGTTCTGAACGGGGATCCAACGCTTGCTGGCAGTCCCACTTATACACTGAACAAGGGGCTTATAGTATGACATGCTGTCCTCTCCATCACAAAGGGGGAAACTACTCTGCTTGCTAGAATTAAGAACCATAACAATACTGGAGATTTAGGATATGATGTATAAAATATTAAAAATGGAGACTCTGCGCATGTTTGCAGGCGTGTGTGTGTGAAAGAGAGAGAGAAATACAAGCAATGCATCAGGCATTGGAAGTTAGTCTCACCTTGAAATGTAACAGTGAGCATCTGTAGTTTTCTGCCATATGAAAGTCTCGTCTTGATGAGCCACAAGATTCCAACAAAGCTTTTGGGTGTATTCCTCCAACGGGACCAGAACAGTGCCTTTGTTTCGTTTGTTTCTTATCTGTCTATAGCTTCCTGAGGTTAATACAAAGTACCCTCCAGGCTTGAGTACTCTGTCAACTTCAATAAGTAACATCCCATCTGACATAAATATAGCATCAGTGAAATGCAATGTGCCCCTTAACTATGATCACCAAATTCAACTTCAAAAAATCTAAAATCTTAGCACTACTATCCATTTGTACTCTAAAAATTTAAAAAGTTGGTGGATACATAAAAAAAAGAATAAAGCAGAAAAAACCTTCCTGTTCAGGGAGTGTTGCACCTTGGACAGTTATTACTTAAGCATAGAATAGTTAACTTTCTGCTTTCGTTCAGGATAAGCAACGTGTCATATAGCTATAGAAGAGGAAATGGAATACATGCCCATTAACCTAGAAAAGATTGAAATCCAATTATACTGAAAACAACGAAATTTTTATATTAAATATTATTGTCCAAATTACCAAACTTAGATGCAAAATTCATAAGTAATCCATTGTCCAATCAGTCAGTCATTCTCATCCATTCCAACCACCTTATCCTATTACAAGATTTTATCAGATTCAATGGGCAACCACAAGAAATAAGTTAACAATTCTCATAATTGGAAAAACTGTCAGCCACGAGCTTCAAAATAAATAATGCCAAGCTAATCACTACATATTAAATGAAAACTGATTGTTCAGAGCAGTTTCAACAAATTTAAAACTCCAACTTTCCTTGAGAAGACAACAATTTTATGAATTTACTCACAAATCTCAAACATCATAGGAATCCATAGTAGAGAGATCAATCAAATAAAAAATCTGATTGAGCATAGCTCCAAGGAAATTGTATAATTTAGGGGAGAGGGTAAAGCCGCAAGCAAACCCATATAAAGTACCTTTGTCGTCCCAAAAAATACCGCATTTAGTGCAGTGAACCATATCATAGGATAAGGCAGGAAATGGTAATTGTCTTGCTATGAAGTTGCCAATAACGGCTGGAAGACCTCTCTCAAGAGCTAGCTGAACTTGGCTACCAATCGGTTCATATGCTGCCATACAAATAGCCATCAGCTTAAGCGAAAGTAGGTGAGCACCAAAGCTACCAAACCCGCAGCCGATATCCAATACATTGCGAACCTGCAATTTAAACAAAAATATTCAAACACATCAGAACTAGTTCCTAATACATTACTTTCTACTTAAACATGTGCATGACCAAATAATGAAAACTAAAATTTAGACATAAAAAGCATCTTTAAGTCAAAGAAAATGAATTTTCAAAAGTAGGGGCTATGCACAGCAATGGGAACTTACACCAGCTTCATGAAATTCAACATCACTTCCCAATCCTATCATATCAGAAATCTGGTGAGAATAGTCTTTGACGCCATCAACAATATCATCATCTGAACGAAAGGAAATTTGATTTTCTTCGAGCAACATGAGCCTATAGAAATTACAGGATTAAAATATACAGAATCACATGAAAGCATGATATTCTATCCAAACAAGAGCTTGGGTATCCAAAATCTATCACTGCTTACTAAATTGTAAATCATCATACTGAAATATTTCAGTTAAAATTAATGAGTTACCTTTTAGTCATGCTTCCAGATGAAAGAAATTGGTCTTTGCTCAGCTTCACATTTCCACTCCACACAACATCCCTACCACTGGGCCAGGTCAGAGGAATTTTATAATCCTTAGGGGGGCGAACCAAGCAATACTCCTGATCTTGCGATAGCTCACAATGACGATCGAACTCTTCACCATCTTTAAAACCAGCTAGAAGATTGGCAGAAACATTGTAGCAAGGAACATAATTCTCTCTTTCCTTCCCACAAAAATCATAATTCCTTAAAAGGTTGGATCCTAATTTTTTCAACTCTAAATAATCAAGTACTGCCTGATTGTTCAACCTTCTATAGTTTGAGTGAATATCATGTCTCACAGAAGCAGACACAGAATCAAATGAAGTTGAAGATCCCCAAAGTACTACCAAAACTAAGACACTAACCAGACACAAAAGCAACCAATTGAATGGCGGTCTAGGGCCGAGGACCAATAGCAACTTCTTGTACCAAGAGCTTCTCATGATCAATTTCTTTGATCCTCTTCAGGTAAAGCACAGAAACCACCCACTTACTTAATGCTATTGTTTCAACAATAATCTCCAACAATTCTGAAAACCATAGCGGATCATCATATATAATCTCTCGCATATAATATGATCCAGAAGCCAAACCAGGTCCACTTGCGTCAAATAATGACAATTGTTGAGCATCCGCAAACTGGAAAAAAATCTCAGTAACTTGTCTGTTACATCATATGCCTAAGTTTCCAACTATCGGAAACTTACCACAAAAGGATCCGATCCTGTGCTTACACATCCGAATTTATACTCCAAAAACCTCCTTATTCCAAAAACCTACTGCCACCCAGTAACCAAATTAATCAACCGCAAATTCTCAATAACAACAATGTTGTGCTCCAGAAAAAAACACGCACCAAAAATACACAAATCCTATTCCCAATCAATCACTTGGCGCACACGAATCACGCAAAACCTCCAGATCAAATCAACCCTGCATTACGCCACACAAGCAAACAAAACAACGTCACAACACAATCCAATTCCCTCTTAACACTCAGATCTTAACCTCAGATCAGATCCGCAACGCATTACACACCAAACAAGCAATCAGCATTATCCGAAAAAACGCACGTACCACCGTAAAAAAACATCTCGCCAAAACAATAATTCTCGCTTACCGGCAGTTGAAGTCGGTTGATATACACCAGACTGCAAGCGTCCACGGATGCCTATGCACAAGAGTTTGGATTCGCCATTAACATCTAGAGAGAGAAAGTCCGGAGCAGCTTTTCTGAAGCGTGGGTTCTCTATAATTGGGAAATCAAATATTAAATTAATTAATGAATTAATGGTTTTTCATTTTATTTTTTTTTTAATAAAGTAATTTAATATGCCTTTGGTGGAGCAACAATTCTACTCACTTCATGGTTTTCAGATCCAATCTTCTATAACTACTTATTTGCATTTCCCACCCTTCATTTTTCAAAATCTCTATTCTGCACCCTACTAAAAAACAGCTTTCGTATTCTTTTTTCCTCCTCCTAACTTATTCCTAAATAAAATTTATTTAAGAATAAATTGAATATATTCCTCCTTTTGTTTCCTCCTTCATATTCTGACATTATTTTATTTATTTATTTATTTATTTATTTGTCATAAATGAGGTGACTGACTTTGTTAAGGATGGACAAAATGTAAATCTTAGCTTATTGGACCACTAATAAGGATGCTATACTTAGGCTTTTTTTAATATATATCAAATTAAAAATTTTATTATTATTTTTAACAATTTAAAATTTTAAAAATGTCTAAACAAATTTAGTTTATTGATATTGCTAATTTTGCACATCTCCATAATATGTATAAATTTGTATAATGATTTATGTAGTTTTTTTCATATATTTCAATAATTAGCAAACTAATATTATAAACGTTGAAGGTAAAATTTGTAAAATATTTGCCCACAAATAGAAAAAAATAATAATAAATCAATTATTAGTTATTAAAGTGAGAATTATAAATTTGTGAACAAATAAAATTGTTTATTATAAATTGATACATAAGTTTAGCGAAAGATAAAGAAATAATAATAATAATAATAACAATAATAATTTTGACAGACGGATAAAATATTAATTAAAATTGTATCATATCTATATATCTTGTATGTGTCGATTAAGACTAATCAACAACACTTAAATCATTCTCATTTATATTTTAATGATTGAGTAGTTTTGTCATATATTTTTGTTCTTGAAGTGTTGGAATGAATACTTATTAGTGGACAGGTTCATTCATTTGTTGATAATAATGTAACTTGCTTCGCAAATTAATGAAGAATTAATTGTAGATTAATGTTTGAATTTGGTTAAGTAGTTGAACCAATGTTTGAAAATTAGATTTGTTGCCATTAAATTTGATTTAAAATGTTGAAATAGTTATGAAATTATCTATAAAATAAATAAGACTAAGATATTGATAGTATCTGGATTCACTCATAAAATATATATTTATTTTGTATTGTCAAATTACAAAGTAATTATGTTTTAAAAAAATAAAAAATTTACAAATATCATTATTTTATTATCACATTTATACTTTTACAATAAAAAGTAAAAATAAAATTATTTTTATACTATTTTTAATTTACTATAATTAAAATATTATTATTTTTAATAATAATAATTGGGCTGAAAACTGATAAGATGGGCCTAGAAAAAGCCCAATTTGGAGTATATTTGGTTATTAGATATTGTAATTGGAAGTTTAATTTTATTTTTTATTTAAAATTTTTCACTATTTTCAAAGTAATTTAAAATATAGAAAACCCTTTGTTTATAACAAACTTTTGAGGTAAGCGTGCAACTTTCTTGCAAGCATAGAGGTTTAGTATAAGGTTGTTTTGTTCTCCAAAAACATTCCCAAAACCACATTACTTTAGCGTAACGAACACCCCTAATTTTGGTCTTATTTAATTATCCATTCGAACTCCCGGGACCCCGGCTCCACGACAAATAAGATTCTGCCACGTGCCCTTCTATCCAAACACGACAAGATCTACTACAGGGCGTGAAATTACATTATTGCCCACAAGTAATAATACCCGGACGGCGACAAGAATACAGTTTGGAATTATAAGGATGTATTTCTTAATTACCACATAATCCATGTAATTAAAGACAAAATCCAAGTGATTAGCATTAATTAATATCGGACGGTCGGCAGTGCCGGTCCGTTGCCGCTATTGTGGGCTTAGAATAATTCGTAGGTCCGGTCCGGTCCGGTCCGGTCAGGCCCTAGTTCGCATAGTCCATTTCGCTCCAAATTATTTATAAAATTAATTATAATATTAATATATTCATACCTACATAGATAAATATATTCTTTTAAGTAGTATTTTATTGTGTGAATGCATCTGAAATTTAAATTGACGATTTTTACTACTGAAGTATAGTGTCACAATTGTTGGAATTAACGTTGTGAGTCTCGATCGAAAAGGTCACATCAAAAAGGTCTTGTAGACTATAGTTGGACATTTGACAAATATATTCGATCCAAATTTGGGCAAATAAGACTGCAAAGTAAGGACACATTTATGGTTTGAAAATAAATTATTAATTGCATTCCAACTCATTGGGACAGCAATAAAATAAAATAAAATGAGGACTTAGTTTTGTGTCCGTGTGTGAAAATGAAAATTTGAGATTATGGGCTATTGTGGTGCAGCGTAAATGCTACAGCTAATGTCCTAGTTGTCAAACCCATCTTAAGATATAAATAAATAAAATAGTTTTTTTTTTTTTTTTTCTCCTATAATATTTTTTTTAAATACATTATTATTGTTATTATTATTATTATTATAAAAATAACAAGGCCCTTAAATGTAACAAGGTATCAATGTTTATATTTTAAAATATTTTGAATTTGAAAATTCTACTAATTAATTGTCTTCCATAATCTATATACGACCGTGTTTTTTGTCCAAATCAGTTTTCACATCAACAATTTTTGATAATTTTTTAAACTATGAGACTAAAATTGATTAAAATAATTTATATTTGAACCAAAATTGATTAAAATAATTTAAATTGCCAAAATTGATGAATTTTTTTTATATTGATACTAAAATTGATGAATTTTTTTATATTGACACTAAATTTGATTAATTTTAATTATATTGAGAGAAAAATTGATTTTTTTTTCCCTTTTTACAATCTATAACTAATGATGATGATGATAAATTTCTTATGTGTGCTAGTGGAAAATCCGTATGATGTACGATTTTTTTTATATTTTATTTTTTTTATCTATCGATTTTTTTTTATGTATTTTTCTTTTTTAATTTTCGTTAAATTTATTCTATTTAATTTTTATAGAAAAAAAAGATTTCTTTATTTGACTATTAATTTATATTTACTATCATCATCACTATCAATATATATAACATATTATTCTCTTTAAATATACATTCAAACAAATATAAATCATATATAAAATAGGAAAAAAATAACTAGGCTAACAGAAAAATTTATTATATAATCAATATGAAATTCTAATTTAAAATTTATAAAACTTATAAAATTTTATAAATAAATTCAAAACTAAATTCAATAATAATTTATAATTAAAAAAAAATTATCTAAAAAATAAATTAAAAAAATAGTAATAAATATTTGTTATGAGATTCCTAATATATATGTATATTTAATAATTTATTCATATTTGAAATAATTGTTGTGTTTTTAATTTTAATAATTTAAAATTTAATCAAATAAATTTGTACGAATTACTCAAAAATCATATAATTTTTATTTGAATATATAAATATATAACATAGTATATATATTTTTAAACTAAAATTAATAATTTAATTGAAAACTAAAGAAAGAAATATTCTATTATATATACAATATCATAAAATTCATATAAAAAATTTAATTTAAAAAAGTATTTATAAATTTGGTTAATTATAGTTTTATTAGTTATGAATATTAATAAAAGTTTATTATTAAAAAGTGAAATAAATAAGAAAAAAAATGGGATAAGTCTTACTGTAAATTAAAAATTGTAATACATCGTTGAGTTGTGTTAATTACGAATGTACTCCCCCCCTTCCACATAATTTTTTTCTATTTTCTATTTTCGTCCGTCCCACATAATTTGTCATTTCTTTTTTTAAAAATTGATTATACGATTTTATCATATTTTAAATTTTAAAATTTAAATTTTTATTAATCTTAATTAAACTATTTATTTATCTTAATAATTAATCTATAATTATTTTTACTAAATAATAATTATTTTTATTAATATACTTCTTAATTAGTTGCTAATTATATTTTATCTAAATTCTCGTATATACAGATAATGCGTCCATCTTATGAGGGAGTAATTATTAACAATTACATATTTAAATAAGAATTAAAAATTATTAAATTAGTTTTAAAATAAAGAATTTTAAAAAAACTAAAAAATTATTAATTACAAACATAATTATTATTAGTTACATATTTAAATTAGAAATAAAAAATATTAAATTAATATATATCTAATATTTACATTATTGTAAATTTTAATAAATATATTTATTAATTATAATTATTACATTAATTATATTGACTATCATTATATAATATTAATAGTAATATATTAATGATAGCAATTAATATAATTACTTATATTAAAAATTCAAAATAGTAATAAAAAAAGATTCGGTCATGAGACTAAGCAAGTATTGTTATTGTTATATGTTAGTATTTAATTGTAATAACTAAAAATTTAATCATATATTACAACTTACTTAATAATAATTATATAATTTTTATATAAATATATCTGTATAATAGAATATATTTTTAATATCAATTTAAATATTTTTAAACTAAAATAAATTATTTAATTTGAAAATATATTAAGATTGTTATGTATTATTATACAACAGTTTTAATAATTTTTTCAATTCTTTTAATTTTTAAAATATTTATTAATTGTATTAATAATATAATTAAATATTTTAATTATAATTTTATTAATTATGTCAAATTTATTCTCTTTTAGTCCGTCCACTAAATTTATTCTATTACTAATTTTGGCAAAGTTAACAAATCTAACATTTAATTATTATCTTCTATTCAACGCTTACTTACAATAAATACCAACTACTTTATTACTTATTTTCTCTTTATTTACTTTATTTTTAACTAAATTTTCAAAAATACTCTTAACTAACTATTATTTTTTTAATAAAATATTCATTTTTCTTCATTCTTGTACCGAGTCAAAATAAACTAATTTTAATGTACAGAAAAAATATTTGATAGCATTTAATATATATTTATTTTATTAAAAAAATTAAATTATTAAAAATTATTCAAAAAATGACAAAAAAAATTTTTTGATCAAATGAACCCCACACCGATGTCTATTATATATATAGATTATATGTTTTACATTTGGCGCTAACTTAGTCAAGTAACTGATTATTAAACTGATTACTATACACATTATATTACAAACTTAGTAGAATGTGATAATCATTGTTTACTAAATGTAATAATAATAATAATAATAAACTTAGTAAAATGTAAGAATCATTGCTTCCCAGTTTTGTCGCCTTGTCCATCCTTCTCTTATCCGCTTCTGCTTCTGAATCTGGATGGAGAGAGCGTTTATACGGTTTAGGACTAGTGAGTTACTGTATGTTCGTGAAGGCATAAATAAATAAAAAATAAAATATCACATATATAGCAAATAATACTAATACATACATATTTTATATATATATACACAGATTAATTTTGACAGGCTGTGGTTGGTGGGTCTCTCAAATTTTTCTTGAAAATTCCTGAAAATAATTCAGACAGCATTTTCTGAATTATAAACAGAAATGGCAAAAATGTATATATATATATATATATATAAATAAATAAACAACTGCCCGTGAACCGATTCACATCGACACCAGGGACTCAAGCACCAGATGAAACCCCGCCACACATTACACATCGATCTACCCGGAGCCGAGATCCCTGGACCTCCCAAGAACTTGCTGCCGGAACGGCGAGCCCTACAGTTATTACCGAACAAGGCAAGAAAATTATTAAAAAAAAAAAAAGAAGCAAAAAGACAAATCTTGAAGAAACACATACAAGTGCGTGGGAATTAATCCACAATGATAATTTGACTTAAACCCAAAATTGGAAAAAATAAATAAATAAATAAAAATCCCACAATTTTTAAAAGTAATTAAAAGGGTAATTAAATTAGATTACGTGTGCCCGTTTTGAGTGGCCACTTCCATTCCATTATTGCCCACCAGCAGTTTCTGCAATAGTCCAATTTCCATTTCACACATTATCAGAAGAAAAAAAAAAAAAAAAAAAAAAACCCATATATACATACAATCTCCTCATTCCATTACAAACCAATCTGCCATTTCCAAACTTCCGAGAACACAAACAAACATGTTGATAGCCATTCTTCCAAGTCGTCTGATTCTTACATTATCATTACTATCTGTCGTGATTCAGACATCCTCTGGATTGAACATCACTAGATCAAGCTTTCCAAAGGGCTTCGTTTTTGGCACAGCTTCTTCTGCCTATCAGGTTTCATTTTTTCATTTTCTTGAATTTGATCAAATTTCTTGCAACAAAGTTTGGATGTGAAAAAGATCACAAGTTTCGAATGATTGCTTCTGTTTCTAACCCTATGCTTTTCTTTTCTTACACTTTTTAGTATGAAGGAGCAGTTAAGGAAGATGGTAGGGGTCAGACAATTTGGGACACATTTGCACATTCTTTTGGTAAGAAAAGAATCTTTTTTTTTTCGACAAGTTTGAATTTTTATAAAAATTAATCTACTGTAAAAAAACAATTTTTTTCAGGTAAAGTTCTTGATTTAAGCAACGCAGATGTTGCTACGGATCATTACCATCACTATCCAGTCAGTCCCAAACAATTCCTACACTATACATTAGTATAACCACCTTGTTAATTACCTCGTATTTTCCGAATGTAGGAAGATATACAGCTCATGAAGGACTTGGGAATGGATGCCTACAGATTCTCCATTGCCTGGTCAAGAATCTATCCTAGTTAAGTGTGTGTATATATATATATATATACATACATACATTTGTCGGAAAATTTTGGCAAATTTTTAACTTATATTCGATTAATAGACGGGACGGGAGCGATCAACAAAGCCGGGATCGATCATTACAACGGGCTCATCAACTCCTTGATCGCCAACGGTAATAACTAATAATACTAGGTAGTGATTATAAGCTGCACTATTTCGTCGAATAATCGAATATACGTAACAAATTGTCGTAGGAATCGAACCTTACGTGACGATCTATCATTGGGACCTTCCGCAAGGGCTCGAAGACAAGTACAACGGATGGCTCAGCCCTCGGAGCATGTAATAACATAGTAACATTTTTGTCCGAGAGTTTCTTGTCCTTAGCTTACTCTGTTTCACTCTGTTTTTTTCGACAATTTGGCGCAGACAAGACTTTACCTTGTACGCCGAGACGTGTTTTAAGGAGTTCGGAGACAGGGTTAAGCATTGGATCACGTTCAACGAGCCCCATACGTTCGCCGTCGAAGGCTACGATGCCGGAATTCAGGCGCCCAGTCGGTGCTCGACTCGATTAATTTGCGGTGCGGGGGACTCTTCGACCGAGCCTTATATAGTCGGACATAACGTGCTTCTTACACACGCTGCCGTCGTAGATCTTTACAGGAAGAAATACGAGGTAGTTAGGATAACCGATACGAGTAGTCATATTTGTATTGACGTTGTTTCGAATGTAGTCGATGATTTTATGCCTTTTTAGGCATCGCAACGCGGATCGATCGGGATATCGCTTGACACGTTTTGGTACGAGCCCGCTTCGAATACGACGGCTGCTATTGAGGCCACGCAAAGAGCCATAGATTTTAACCTTGGATGGTAAAAACTGCTCTCACTGTTCCAATTCAAAGTACAATTTTTGCTATTTTTGTACATAAAATTAAAGTAAAAATGTCAAAAATTCTTATCCACTTTCAGTGACCAATAAATTATTATTATTTCTTTATTTCTTAATGTACTAAAAAATTTTAAAAGATTCATTTGAATTGAGACAGAGGAAATATTTGATTTATGTTGGTAGCACTAATTATATGATTCAGGACTGATTGATCTTTGTTTGGTGGATTTAAGGTTTCTTGAGCCGTTGATCACCGGGGACTACCCGAGCACGATGAGAACCCGAGTCGGGAACCGGCTGCCTAAGTTTTCCCCGGATCAGTCCCGACTGGTGAAGGGCTCGTACGACTTCATCGGAATTAATCACTACACGACATGGTTTGCCAACGACGCCAACAAAGGCGGTGGCGGCTCTGTCGCCGACTCCGGCGCCTTTACTCTTCGTATGCCGTTGCCACACTTTTTTTTTTTAGTTTTTATCTCATTCGAAATGTCGTAAACTCACAGAAGTCTTTGTTAATCGCCTGCAGCGATCGCGATAGGGAAGCCTGTCCCGGAGAGGGTAAGCAAAAGATTAGTCGAGGTGCGCGCCTTCTTACAAACGAATGTCCTAAAACTCGTGCATTTCGCGATTTTCAGGCAAACTCGATATGGCTTTTCATCGTACCACACGGCATGCGGAGCCTAATGAACTACATCAAACACAAGTACGGGAATCCTCCGGTGATCATCACCGAGAACGGAATGGATGATCCGAACAACCCCTTGACGCCGATCAAGGATGCCCTAAAGGACGAGAAGCGAATCCGGTATCACAACGGTTACCTCACAAATCTATTGGCAGCCATCAAGTAAGTAAGCCCTGTCTGAAAAACAACTACTTCAATTCAATGTGCGTACACATACCATGAATTTAAAATTCAGCAATGTGCTGAACAATACCCAATAAACGCAACAAAAGCATATTATATAACTACTGACAATACATTATTTATAAAAATATAATACAGACAATATATGCAATAGTTGATTTTAGCACATGACATTCTTTTATAAAACACACGCTATAATTATTATGAATAAATATCACATGTGTTTATTACAAACAACATACGTTGCGTGCAATAAACATATGTGTTGTTTTTATTATTTATGCATGTTGTTTTAAAAAATTAGTACTGTGCTGATTTTCACCGTAACTCTTCCCACACATATACATATATATATTTTTTTTTTTTACGTGCGCAGAGAGGACGGGTGCAATGTGGGAGGCTACTTCGCGTGGTCGCTCCTCGACAACTGGGAATGGACGGCCGGATACACTTCCCGGTTTGGGCTGTACTATGTCGACTTCAACGACAAATCAAGGAAGAGATATCCCAAGAACTCAGTCATGTGGTTCAAGAACTTCTTGGCTTCTTGATCTTGATCACTTCCTACATGGAGATCAAGATCGATGATATACAACAACATTCACACAAAAATATTTCAATAGTTTTGGAAAATGTCGTGAACTACATTTAATATGATCGATTAATTGTGTTTTTATCATATACTCCCTCCGTCCCATGTAATATGGGTTTATTACTGTAAACAAGGAATTTAGGTAAAATATAATTAGTAAGTAATTAAGAAGTGTATTAGTAAAAATAATTATTATTTAGTAAAAATAATTATAGATTAAGATTAAAATAAGTAAATAGTTTAATTAAAATTAAAAAAGTTATTAAATTTAAAATTTAAAATACGATTAAAGTGCATAATTATATTTCCAAAAATAGAAAGAAATGACAAGTTATGTGAAACTGAAGAAAATAAAAAATAGGGACAAATTATGTGGAACATAGAGAATAATATATAATATAATTATGAAGTAACATAGGCTTAATGCTCACAATATAAGGATAAACAAAAAAAAAAAAAAAAAAGAAAAAAGTACAATATGTAATATATAAACTATCAACTTATGACAATATATTATATAAAAATAGATAATATATAAATTATATTAATATGACACATATATAATCTACCAGGTATATAACATAGATTAGAGATATAGACACTTATATTATATTAATATAATACAAAGACAATAATTTAGAATATGATATACTCTTCATAACAAACATATTATAAATTTATAGGTCTGGATCATTTGCTGATTCGGTTAAGTCAATATGATTTAACCAGATCAATCTATATATTTCAACATATTTAAAATAACATTTATTATATTATATTATATATATATATATTATTTTATGATACAATATATTCTGAAATATGTATAAATAATCATCCGTATAACATATGTTATTCCGATTAAATCAACATTCATGGTGACTTAACTGAATCAACACGGAATCCCCAATTTATTTTTATTTATTAGAGCACCGTAACCATTGCACTATATGAAAATAAATATAGAGAATTCAAAATCTTACAATTCATGAAAATTGAAACTCAAAAAAATTAGAGTAATATAAACTTTTCAAAATTTATACACAGATATTAGAAATATATATTAAGGGTTTGTTTGTCTCAGGGTTTGGATTTTGAGTTGGAATTTGAATAGTAAAATTTTTGAATTTGAATAGTTGTATGATGTAATATAAATAGATGTTGATGTGTTGTTTTGAATGTAAAATTGATTTTTAGTATAATATAAAAAATAAAAAATAGGTGTTTAATTAGATATTTTTGAAAAAAAAATAAGATGAATAGTATATTTAAAATCTAATCCCCAAACAAACACACCCTAAGATAAATTCGATGTTCCACAAATAATAAATTTAAATTAATTTTATTTAAATTAATTTTATATAAGAGTAAATAAATAATTATATTATATGAATATATCATAAGAATAGGGGACAACAATATTTTCGTATGCGAGTGCACTGAGGCGCCGCAAAAAGCACGTGCTCGAAAAGAAACTCCTAGCATGCTGGCCGACACGTGTACAAGAGCACGTGATTGTTCATAGCCGGGTCATCCTAGTAGGATCTTCATCTGCGTTCCACCGATACGAACCGCACCGATAAAATTTCCCCCAATTTTCCTTCGATACATGAAAAGCTTTCAAGATTTGTGAATCAATAATCAAATCGAGGATCTGTTTGATATAATTCGTTACATTCTTTGTCGATTCGGTTCGTCTTTCGACCAATATGTTGATTCTGTGAAATTTTAGGTTTTCGTTTCGAATCTTTCGATCTGTGCGATTTTTCGTGAAATCTCCTTATTTTTTTTTTGAATTTCCTGCATTGATTTTATGTGTTTTCGATTTACCCTCTGTCAATTGATTCAGAAGTTGTGATTTTATCGGCAGACCTATTGATATCTAGGTTCTGGCTTTCATCGCCGTTCTTGAATCTTCAGGTTTCTTGAATCTTTTAATTGATTGCTCCTTTGTACGCCTATTTCTTAATTAACTTATCGCATCCATTTTCGGGTGTCTATTTGTTGATTATGCGAATCTAGGGTTAGGGTTTTTTTTTAAAAAAAAAAAATGAAATTGGGGATTTTCGTTTAATTATGCTCCAATCTAAAATAATATTTTTGCCGATTATTCCAGGGCCATTTTGACCTATAGAAAAAGGTTTTGATTGATATATTTGTACAATTAGCTTATAAAGTGGATAATGCTATTCTATCATCGTTTGTCAGAAAGGTATTATTCACAATCGTACACAATAATAAAAATTCATTGTTAAGTTGTGGTATGGATGCCCTTATTATGTGCTTGTGGAGGAAATTTCCTGTTGTTCGCATCAGATTGTAATTGTCCAATTTGATACTCTATGAGGAAGTAGCTATGGATAGAATGATTTAACCACAGTAAGTATTTAGATAACTTGTTCCTGTAAGCAATGGAAGTTTGTAAGGAGCAAACACTGATTGGAAGTAATTTTTGTTGGGATTATCTGTTGGTTGATTGGGTTTCAGTTTTAAGATTATTAAGTTGTGGCAAGTTTGAGTGTATCTGTTGGTTATCCTTCATTTTTGCCGTTACAGAGCAATTGTAAAGTGAACTATTGTTTTCTTGCGCCATTAGTACTTCAACGAATCTGGTTATATACTTTGACGATTAGTTTGGTGGCTGTTTGGATTTTTATGCCCTACGATCCTTTTTAGCTGGAAAAAGTTTTGAGATTGGTTTGATTCAGGGGCTTTTATTATGCAAATGCGTCACGATCATAAATATGCACACCATGTTATCACAATTACACGTGGCATGCGTAGATTTTTTTGGATGTGATCTTTGCACTTTGCGATATGTTTGTCATATACCTTGCTTTTGAGTTAGTTACTGTCGTCATTTAAGATCCTCATTTCAAACGTATGCAAACTTTTATGTTATCATTTAAAAGCGGATAATGTTTCCCTTAGATTTGCATGACCAAGTCGTATATGTGTTTGTATATTTAATAGTCTTACTGTATGGAGTTGCTTATTCGTTATGTTTCATTAATCGCCACATTGTTTTCTTTAAAGCAATCTTTATTCTTGATTTTATCCTGCAGTGTAGAAGATGGGAGTCAAACGTCCTTTAGAAGAAAAAGATGTTCCAGATCTTTCTTTCAAACAATCTAAACAGGTTGATAATGATGTAAATATGACATTTACGGCAGATGATCCCGCCCCTCGTACAACTGTGGAGATTGAGCTTGATGATGACTTGCAGGGTAATTTTTTCTATCCGGCCCTAATTAATTGATCCTGCATTTTTTAATTTGTAATGGTAACTTTCATGAATTAGATGTATTTCTTGATTGGTTCCACTAAAATTCATAAGCTTCATTCAGTACTTTTATTCCATATCGTACCTTTAAAATCTGAATGGCTTTTGGTCCCCATATAAATATGTTTTTGAGTGAAGATGAATTTACAACATATTGTGGATATTATGATAAATTCTCATGTGGCACAGCTATAATGATGGATGAATCAAAGCGCAACTCCTATCAATATGATTTTGATGGGATCCTTGAACGTGGCGCTGGGCATACTTCATCGGCTGTCCTCAAAGAACGGGAAGCAAGTTCACCATTACCCCTGGTCACTAGCAGCAGCAGCAGTGAGGAAGGTTCCAGATATGGCGACCAAACATACATGTGTAATTTCCCGGGATATGTTGACTTAAATGTACCTTGGCGCCGATCCGAATTCTTTGATCCATATTTGATGGTATTTAGCAGCTGTCCCCGACCAGAAACCCCCAGCACAATGGAGAATCTAGCTGAAATTCCAGAATGGGATCCAAACTCCCGTGATAGTGACTTCGAACAGAAAATGCTGGGCACTTGTATAATTCCTTTCCCGGCAACTGATTCGAGTGTCGACGAAGTTGCTGTGGGAAAAGGTCGAACAGATTGTAGCTGTATGGATGCTGGATCAGTGAGCTGTGTCGAGGACCATGTGAATGAAGCGAGGGATATTCTTCGACAATCCGTAGGTGAAGAGGCGTTTAAGGAGATGGGTCTTTACGAAACGGGTGAGGAGGTGTCACTTAACTGGACTGGCGAAGAAGAGCAGCGTTTTCACGAAGTGGTTGTCAACAATCCGTCGTCGCTCGGTGGCAATTTCTGGAAGCGTCTCGACGAAGTGTTCCGAAACAGGTCCAAGAAGGAGCTGATCAGCTATTTCTTCAATGTCTTCATGCTGCGGAAGCGGGCTGCCCAGAACCGATCTCTCGTGCCGCAAATCGACAGCGACGACGACGAGTGCCACCATGTTCGGCCTAGGTACAGAACTCCGGGCGAAGAAGACGACACGGAGGATGAAAGTGACATCCACCATCTTATTTCCGGAGACTTCTATGTAGACGGGGAAGATGACTACAACGATGGTGATGGTTATGGTGGCGGCGACAATGAAGATTCTGGTATCGAGTCGTTTGGTAATAGCAATGACAGCTGGATCGAGAACTATTCGTCTGAACCTGTCAATCTCCCCCCGGGTGGCGATAATGCAGGCACGGTGGACGACTACCTGTCTGAATCTGTAAACCTCCAGGGCGATGACGACAACCTGTCTGAACCTGTAAACCTCCCGGGCAACGACGAGGACCAGTCTGAACCTGTAAACCTCCTGGGCAACGACGAAGACGGCGAGGACCTGTCTGAACCCATAAACCTCCCGGGTGACGAGGACCTGTCTGAACCTGTAAACCTCCCGGGCAACAACGACGGCCTGTCTGAACCTGTAAACCACCCGAGCGGCGACGACGACGATGATGCGAATGGTAACAACTGTGGCACTACATCTGGTGGCAATGATAATGATAGCAGCCAGGCAAATCCAAACGTTGTTGAAAGGGATGGTGAGAACAGTTCATTGTCTGAGCAGGAGGAGAACAAGAAGTAAGTGCAGTTTTGATTCTTAGTATATGCTTATATACATATACATATATATATATACTGATCTGTGTAGAATCTGTAGACATAGGCAAAGGAGGAAAAACTTTTCCAGACATTGATTCTAGTTTTTCTTTTCGTCAATTTTTTTTTTTTTTTTTTTTTTTTTTTTAAGACATTTTTGTCTTAGTAAAACCATTACGAGGGCATAACAAAGTTCCTCCCTTGGGAAAGAAAAAAAATTCGTTTCTTTTTTCATTCTTGTGTGTCATTGCCAGCTAATAATAAGTTTTTTAGAGAGAGAGAGAGGTGGAAACCTTTTTAAACTATTATAGAGTGACAAATTGAATAACTTTGTATTCATCATCACCTATTGTATTTATTTGCACCATTAACATATGAACTAGCCAGAAGATGATGGGTATGGGTTAGCCACCCCCCACCCACCACCAGCCACCCACCCTATATGTATGTATGTCCAATCCTATTCAATACTTTTATTGTCTTTTGTTACATATCAGTATATAAATACATATATATATATATTTTGTAACTAGCAATGAGAATAAAAAATGATAGCTACACAGACAGAGGGGAAAGTGTGTTTCATTCCCTATGATATTTACACTTAAGGGCTTCAAGTTTCTAAGTAGTTGATCCAATTGTTGGTCATGTCTATGTATTTGATGATTTTCAAAAAAGCTAAAACTTAGATCCAATGGGATTAATACCAATCAAATGGCTGACTTTTGAAGAAGTCAAGACTAAAGAAATTTTCAAGCTACACCCACAAAGCTGATCATTGTAATGGCTAAATCAAATCAAAATAGGAATGTCCCAAACAATTTCTGGTGGATTAATTTACCCTCATATTTTAAAAATCAAGAACCCTTTTTTAATTAAGACCTTCCAACAAAACCAATACAGAAGCAGAAGCAGTCAGTAACTAACTGCAGTAAATACTGAATTGACCGTACATCTACAAGGGGCAAGACAGTAATTTCAACACAGGTGAGAAGAGAAGACTGGGAGGCCAGGTCACCTCGGCTCCATATTTGGGCAGAGACGACGAGCTTTGGAATTTTCAGACCTTCAATAACAATGAAAACTACTTTCCACGACAAAAATGCAAATTAAATAATAAATAAAAACCAGTTCTTTTATGGTATTTAGCAAACGAATTGGAGGTGTGCCTTTGCTGATGATAAGTACACGTGCTGACCATCTTTTTTCCCATTCTTCCTCTTTTAATTTCTCATATATTCTAGATTCCATGCATGGAATTCTCCTCCCCCACCCCCCACAACAGCTCGTCTACATACATACATACATACATACATAATATATCTATATCTATATCTAGAGAGAGAGAGAGAACATGTGGGAGAGAAATATCAGGGGAAGAAAAGAACCCTTCCACTGTCTCTCTGTCGAAGAACAAAAGAAAACAGAAATTTGGGTAAAGATTTTGATTTGGATCTAATTTCCAGGTGGGGTTTGATTTTATTTAATTGTTTGCAAATTTTACTTAAGAGGGATTTGAAATGAAAATGGAAATAAGGTGTGGTGTTGTTGTGATGGTTTTTTAGTCCCCTAAAAAAAGTGTCACAATCTGACCAGTTTGATCATTACTCTCTTCCCCATTCCATAATCATCACTTTGCTGTTCTACAAAGGTACATACACATAACATACACTCTTCTTTCTTACTTTCTTTCTCTACCCCACTTTCAGATTTGATCTCTCTCTCTCTCTCTCACTCTATGTTTCTTTATTAGTATTAGTTTTGGTGGGCTTTCTTGCAACTGTTGGTGGATCAAGAAAATGGTGCAAATTTGTGGTACTACCAATTGAATTGGTGTTTTTATTGTTGTTGTTTGGTGATCTCTATTTTATCAGTTTGTCTGTAAGTGGGGTTTGAGATTTTGTTTGGAGATTCGATTGATGGAATCATCATCAAGATTTGTGTGTAAGGTTTGCTGCAAGAAGTTTTCATCTGGGAAGTCATTGGGAGGGCACATGAGGTCCCATGTTGTCTCAGGGAGGAAGAGATCTGTGTCTGTGTCTGACTTTGGAGGTTATGTCCTGAGGGACAATCCAAGAAAGTCTTGGAGATTTAGGGCTAATTGGAATTGCAATTGTAAGCATTGTGGGAAACAATTTCAGTCTTTGAAAGCCCTTTATGGCCACTTGGCTTCACATTCACACAGGCCTTCTGGTTATGACAATGATTCTTCCATGGCTGTGGCTATGGAGGAGTTAGGCTGCTGCTGTTCGGACACACAGCAGCCTTCTGAGGATGTAGGGAAAAAAATGGTAGATGCAGATGCAGATGATGATTATGATTATGATTATGATGAATCTTCTTCATCTGTGTCTGAAATTGATGGCCAAGAAGTGGCTGTGTGCTTGATGCTCTTGTCTATGGATTACGGTGCGGTTTCGGACAATAATTCCGTTGTTGCCGCGGAGCCGAATAGGTCGAAAACTGGTAATAAGGATCAAAATTCAGATTCTGATGACTCTGCTTATTTCTTGGATGAATGCAGCAAGGCAGAGTCCGAGGTTTCTGTCGATGTCATTAAGGAATGTAAGAAGAATCTTGTCGGGGCTAGAAAGGACAATGCCGGGGCTAGAAAGGACAATGCCGGGGCTGAATCCGGTGGAAGTTCTATCAACAGAGTTGCATTTTCTTGCATCAATGGCAAAAGGGCTCGTCCAAAAGTCAACGAATTCAGACAGGGGAGTGGCGAGGACACCCCCGACAACGTTGTTAAGCGATCCATCGGTGGAAAATCTCGCGGTTGTAATAATAAGTCCCATGAGAAAATGAAGCTCAACAAGAACGAGCACGAGCACGTATGTCCCGTATGCAATAAGGTGTTCAAGAACGGACAGGCCTTAGGCGGGCACAAGAGATCGCATTTCGTTGGTCATAACAATCCGAGCCCAAGAATTGGTCGGGATTTACTCGATCTCAATCTCCCCGCGCCCGAATCGATACAATGAGTCCACATTGTTGATATGCTTCTTGAATTGATGATCATGGATTAGTCCCGACGCTCGGTTTGTGGATTCGGGACGAGGATTTTCGTCGTTGTTGTCGATAACTTGATCACCATTGGAACAAGAGAGTAAAGTAGTAGTAAGGGAGGGATGAATGGATGGATCAAAGTTGAAAATTTTCATAAAATGTAGGAAAGAATTGGTGATTGATATTACAATGTAGTTTAGTTCATTCTTTGATCCCAAACAGCTCTGTTGTGTGTGTGTGCAACAAGACAATATTACACTTGTTGTTTTGTCCCCATCATATTATTTTTATTATGTTATTGTTAATTAAATAAAAGGGAGTTTGGTACTGAATTGAATTGGAATACAAGTAAAGGCGAGTCACGTAGGAACTATATATATATATATAAAGAGTACGATTCAATTCTATTGATTTATATGTTAGTTAATGATTAAAATTATGCATAAAATAGAGTGATTTTATTTGTAGGAGCACTTAACCAAATACTTCAACAATATACATTGCTGTCATTTTAAATTATATGTTTACCTTCATTCTCTAAATAAAATAAATATTGAATATAATAGTTTTTAAAATATATACTCCCTTCATCTCAAACACACCTGCAGTCATTTTAAAATATTCAACATTTTTTTAGTTTCTTCTAAACATTTTGCAATATTTTTAAAATGGAAGATAATTAAATACTAACGCCATAATAATAAAAGTTCATTTCTTTATTAAGTTGTGGGCCTTGTTTACCCTAAAATTGAATTGGGCCATACAAATGGGCCTTTAAAGTTCTATCAAAATTAAAATGCAAATAAATAACCCAGGACCCAGCCATATTTATCTGCTCGCAACAAATTCATATTTATATTAATAGTTTAAAGAATGCACAATAGCCGATGATAAGGGTTAAAAGTTTTGTCGGGAGTCGACACTCGACAGAAGCAACCTTGAATTCCACGCCCCACTCTTTCTAGGGGACAGCACTAACAAATATATATACTTTTTTATATATATAGAGAGAGAGAGAGAGAGACTATTTACAAATTGAAAATTCATACTACTATTTACAAATATTAAGGAGCCAATTAAGAACAGGGGCAGAAGAAGATTAGTCTTTAAATTAAAAGAAAGGGATTAAAAACTAAACAAACTAGTAAATGATCAATCCCTTTGTTGATTCCCAGAAGGGTAATTAATATGATGTACAAATAGTACATATAATATATGTATAAGATAAGATATCTCAAGTACGGACATACCCTAATGTAGTAGCCTATCCACCCCTATATGTATATATATATATATATATGCAAAGCAGATGTACTATCATTACTAAAACACATACAACAGTAACTCAGAAACATATATATATATATACCTGAACCTGATGAGGTGATGAATAATAATCATCATCATCCATTAAAATTCCTCATTCTGGGAGTGACAATGTCTCCAAGAAGTCCCTTTTCTTCATTAGGCAGCTGATCAGATTGAGATTGAGATTGAGCTGATAAAGATGACACTGCAGAAGAAGAAGTTCTTGGGGTTTGATCATTAATATTAATTATCTGGGGTCGAAATGGAGGAATGGGGAGTGGCTTATTCTCTGCAGGAAATGGGAGCAGCTGTGTGGGGCGGCGGAGGGCGGCGTGAGTGGTGGAGGTGGGGTAGTCCTGGGGGATGAAGAGACCCGCAGACCTGGGGAATCCAACAGAGAAATGGCAGTGCTGACCTTCGTATGTAGTGATCACAAGTGAGGGATCTTCTGATGATCTCTCTACCCTCTTTTTCACCTGGCAGTTGCCATTGGTGCAACGGTAATAACTCCTACAGTTTCAAAAAATTAAATTAAATTAAATTAAAAAAAAATGATATAATTATTTATCATTCTTGGAACTGAATTGTGAGAAATTGCATGCATATATACGTACATATTTTTAACAAAATAATGATACAATTATTTATGAGTCTTAATGTAAGAACACACACATACAACACAAATCGATCCAATATGTTTGTCAGACTATATTAGCTAGGGTTAATATGTGCTAGTGTTATTTATCATTATATATAAATTTATAAATACTTGACTAGTAATAATAAAATACATTACCTTATTCGCAATAAGTGGGATAAATGTGCTGGTTAAAACAAAACTCATCTTTCGATGATAAAAATGGGATTTAAATGTTAGATGTAATATATATATATATATGTTGATATATGCATATAAATTCTTAGTATATATATTAATTAGATAATAAAGCCTTCAAGTGTTCCTTTAATAAACAATTTAATACATTCATCATATATATATATATATATTTACCAAACACCCATTTTTAATCATATCTTGGCAAGTAACTTCCTACAAGACACTTCTATTCACCCTAATTTTTCTAAAGTTATATTTAGGTACTGATCCTCGAGTACGAAATCTACCGTAGTTAAATTGATCAAGAAAAGAGGAGAAGCATTTTCATTTCATGTGTTCCAAATATATATGACACATTAGCTAACATGTATTTTATTATGCAGTCATTTCTACCAACACAAAATATGCCTCTACACTCATAGCATTTTTTATTTTTTATTTTTGGCAAGAAAAGCTCGCATATCTTTATATGCAGCTTTCACCAATATAAAAATTTAAAGAAATAATGCTGAGGATGATGATCCATTTCATAAATCAACTCAAAGTATGAATATGTACGGTAAGCCTACAAGACATGGTAATGGTGTACCTCGGAAACGGGCTATTTTTTACAGCTTTCTGGCCATATTTTCGCCAACGATAACCATCCTCAAGATGATCGACTTCACTCTTAGTCAGAAATGCAACACGGGCCTGTCGAACACGTTTTCGCCCCTTCTTTGTTTTAGTCTCACTCCTGAAACAATTGCAGCTCACTTTATGAATAAATAGTGCTTGAAGTTAAAGAATATATACGCACACACATTAATATATACCCATATATATATAAATGCCCATTATGATTCAAACATTTTATAGCTTGTTTTAAATGAGGAAAGAGTGTATACAGATAAATGCAGGTATTCACATGTGAACTATAACAAATTAATTACAATTTCCAACTAATTCTCCAGGGAATTAAATCCAATGCATATGTATAAAGTGATTCAAAGGAACAGTGTTATCCCTCATATACATTTATCCCAATTAATGTTAAGGAATCAATTAACATCTGCACAAGAAAAAAAGCTTTCAAAAAATGGTGATGATGCCTTTTTTGAAGTAATGCATAAAGAATTAATCAAACCAAGATAATTCCAGGTGATTGAAATCTATATTCTCTAAAATTTTCTGCATATAATTGGCCATAAATATGCATGAAAATTAATGAAAGTTTTTGAAATCTCATATATAGAAGAATGGAAGGGAAGACAAAAATGAAGAGCTAATTACAGCCGCAATGGCGGCGAGGCTTTCGACTTTAGCTTTCCATTTTTATGGATCTACTACAAGTTTAAATGACGAAAAAGCCCCCGGGGTTATCCCTAATTCTCGAAAATACCTATCTCTACCCAACTTGCGTTCTTCCAGAAAGTAACAAATCAACAAGCAAGGATCGTATTATGATATCAAGTTCTACAAAAAATTATTTGAATTGACCGATGAATTGAATTCTATTTCTATGGCATTTTGCAGATGAATCAATCAATGAAGAAATCATGGTTTTAGATTGCACATGCATGCAGTTAATTAGACTACGGCGGACGATCGACGGTTACTCACGCTGTTTCCGCCGGCCGATTGGCGGAGGATGCGCCGCCAGAATTCATCGGCCTATCCGCCGGATCCTCCGACGAGCTGGAAGACATCGACGGAATCGACGGCGACGCCGCAATAATCGGCTCGATGCTACTCCGGCTTGCGCCGCCGCTCCGACCAGCTGATAAATCGAGGTCATCAGGAATGCTTCCGGCCAAATCGGAACCTATACCGTTAAAATCGAGGAAACCGCCGTCGCAGCCGCAGACGCCGCTCGATTCCTCTAGAATATTCCAGCCAAAATCCCCAAGCGCGCTACTCTCCTTGTAATCGAAGATGTATCCACGATTCACGTCGTCGTCTCGATCGAGCTCCCATCCTGAACTGGAATCCAAATCCAAATCCAAATTCCGATCCTCTTCCTTTCCGGCAGCGTCGTCCATGGCCGGATTGATCGCCGGACGCAGAGATCGATCGAAGAAAGGGGGCGGAACGCGGAGAGAGAAAAATTAGGGTTTTGGTCGAAACAGGGAATTAAAGAGAACTACGCGTGACTGATGAGTGACTGTAGCTGATGATTTTTCCTTTGATTATTTTAATTGATTATTTTAATTATTATTTAATCCAATTTAATAATATAAATTATTTATTTATTTATTTATTAATTATTTTATTGGCTAATAATAAATAAGTTTATTCGTTTACTATGTTATATTTGGAAACTTCTATTGAGAAAAGACAAGTCTGCAGAAAAGTTACACAGATTGATTTCGACACAAAAGTCCACGCACATCAAACTTATATATATTTTCTTTTTTTTTTTTTACAGATAAAATTTTTACTATTAAAAATTTTATTTAAAAAAAAAATCAAATTAAACAATTATTTTTAATTTTTATATTATACTATAAATTTATTTTATATTAAAAAATACGACATCAATTTTTATTTATATCAAATCAAACAAACAACTGTTTAAATTTAATTTCTTATTATTAAAAAATCTAAACTAAAAACTTCAAACCATCGAACCAACACACCTTGGTATTAATTAAATTATGTACTTTAAAAATAATAAATGGTTTTCAATCTTAATAGGATTTATTATGCGGAACAATTGCTACAATATTACTCTCCGTCCCAGATATCGTGTCCGCTACACTGTAAACACAGTATTTTAGGAGGAATGTAATTATTAGATAATTAATAATGTATTAGTAAAAATAATTATCTATAATGTAAATAATTATAAATTAAGATTAAGATAACTAATTAGTTTAATTAAAATTTAATAAAAAAGTTAAAAATTTAAAATGAAATTAAAATGTGTAATCATTTTCCAAAAACGAAAGTGACATGGTACGTGGGACGGACAGAAACGACAACATGGACATGGTATTTGAGATGGAGGGAGTATTACATAGTAATATGTACTAGAAACTCATGGCATACTCTTATAGAATATATATATATTAAAATGAATAAATAATACTTTATCTGATCCCATCAATTTATTATTTCTATAATTTTTATCTGCTTCACTAAAATATTTTATTAGTTGTTATACTAAAAGTAATTTATATATAAATATCAAAATATCATTAATTTTTTAAGGAGAAAATCATTTTTTTACTTGCAAGGGTAAAAGTATCAAAATTATTTTATATATTTTTACTAATTAATAAAATACAATTATTTGTTAATCTATTATAAAAAAATATATAAATATACTGTGTCATAATGAAAGAGGTATATAATTTTATTTCACATAGCACGTGCTATATTAGTTTTTAATACTTCATTCGTCCCGGTTAATTTGTCTAATTTAGATTAGGCACAGAATTTTAGGTATTATGTAATCAGTAAGTAATTGAGAAGTATATTAGTAAAAATAATTATGATTTAATAAAAATAATTTTAGATTAAGTTTAAGATTAAAATTACTAAATAGTTTAATTAAAATAAAATAAAATTATAAATTATGAATTTTAAAACGTGATTAAAGTATATAATTGTATTTCAAAAAAAGAAAGAACTACGTAGGACAGACAAAAATAAAAATAGTGACAAATTAAGTGGGGTGAAATTAGCATATTTTTTTTTGGGGAGGGGGGGGGGGGGTGGAGGGGGGGTCGGGAATCAAGTCAACATCTTAATTAATGGTCTGGTGTCGTAGGGTTGTACTTGTGACCATCAGAGTTATAACTAATTAAATTTGATTGTATTATTTATAAGATTATTTATGAATCACGTATACACCAAAAATTCTAATTAGTAATAATCTTAAATGTAATATAGAATGTAAAAGGAAAAGGTATGGCATTAGAATTATGCCTTTTGAAACTTTGTTTTATTTTATTTTTTTATCATACAATTTCATATATATGTATATGGTTGATCACCACATGAATAAATAAATAAAATTAATGAATGGATAGATGTAGATAATATAATGGTTTGCAAATAAAATCATGACACGTCAATGATAATTAATTGATAAAGCCAAGAATGAATATAAATTTGGGAATAATATACTAATATTTAATTTAGTAAGCGGAAAAAAAAAAAGAGAAAGATGTGTGTTGTTACTTGTTATTGCAACGTAGTTATTTTTATGTGACAACAAACGAGCAGACATCATCAAACCTGGTTTTTGTTATCTCATGAATCAACACGTAAATATGACATTATTAATTTAATCAAATAAATACATATATATATATATTGCATAAAACAAAATTCACATATAATATATATATATACACATGTACATGCATAAAAACTTGTTTGTTTATTTATTTATTTATCACACAATTGAATCCCATTTTTTGCGGCCCATAAATAATAATAATAATAAATATAATAATAAGGATAAATGCTATATGGTTTGTTTCTTTAACCTCAAATTTCAAGTATTTTTTCAAAAGTATACACTTTTTTGTTCCATAAATATAGTCTTAATTGAGTTTGGCATGGATATTCATATTAAATTATATTGATAGTGAGTAAAAAGTATGGATAAACGACTTATTTGCCCTTGTGAGATTATTAGTGTAAAAAGTAGTGACAATTATGTAATAAAAATTAAAATGTAGCGGTAGTTTTACGGTGATATGATTATTTATGAAAATAAGACTATTATTTTGTGACGGACAAAAATGATAAACAAGACTATTGTATTAGAACGGAGGAAGTATATATTTTTTTGTTTTACAAAACATCTCATTATACATTATTCTAATATCGTATCCAAACAAAAATTTTCCAAACTACGATCAAAAGAAACATACCCTATAGTCTTTTGTGTTTTAGTATATATTCATAACATATTTTATATTTGATTTATTGTGTAAAATTCTTGTGTTAAAATTAAAATATTTACAAAATATTTTTTTCCGTCCAAAATTAATGTTTGATTATAAACACATAAAAGAGGTAAAATATAATAAATAACCTTATTTTAATAAAATAAATAAATAAATAATTGATAATTCTTCATTATATATATATTTTTTAAAAAAATTAGGCAACAACTCTTTAAAAAAAAATTATTAAAAAAAATATTTTTAAGATATATATTTTTTATTAAACTTGCTTAGTTAATTAGTGCGATTTTATAATCAAATATCAAGTTTCGACGGAGAAGTGTTTTATACATACTTTAATTTTTAGACCAAAGAGTTTTATGTAATAAATAAAATATAAAATATTTTTAATTTTTTTTTTTTTGACTAAAATACAAATGTATTATATAATTTACCATAATAATAATAATGGCGTATAGATATTCGATGGCCTATGTTTATGTCACTTTTCAATTTGTGTTTGTGTTAGCAATTGGACAATAAGAAATATAGAGACATAAATTGTATAATTGGACTTGTTCTATATTTGTAATAATTTGTACTATACATTACAATAAATATAAATATAAATATAAATGGCCAATTTCTTCAGAAGGGTCTATTTATTTTTCCAAATACCATCATATCTTTCTTTCTTCTCAATTTTCTTTCTAAATTTATATAATAAATAAATAAATAAGGGAGTGGTAGTGAAATGTCGAAAGTGGGGCTATGAAAAGGAAGTGTAATGCTTGGGACCTAAGCTAATTAAACCTCTCCTGGAACAATACAAGATTCATCCACACAGGTACAGGCCCCCACTACCCTCACTCTTACCCTCCCCCACCGGCCTCGTGCTGCAGGGATTGGATTTGTGATCATATGGCTCGTCTAATGTGATTTTTTTCGTTGGACCTGATTTGTAGTAGTTTAAGTTTCTTGAAATTAGTTTAGGTTAATATTATTAAATTAAATACTTATTTTTATTTAATATAATATAAGCCAGAATCAAATAATTTTTTTATTAAAAATATAAAATCAAATACAATTTCAATTTAAATATTCACTATTCACAAACTCAAATCCAAACCTTTAAGGAACTCACTCTATATTTATTGTCCATTTCTTCTTATTATTAATTTATTATTTCTTTTTTAATCAACAAATTTAGTTCATAATGCATCTTATTTGATTATTGTTTCATTTGTTTGCAATCATGGTTTTGTTTTTCAATTATGTTAGGATTTAAAATAAAAATTAATTTAACAAAGTGAGAAAGAGTTCATAAATGTTGATTTAAATATAGATAAATCAATAGTCTTTTATTTATATAAATTAAATCCCAACCCATTTTTGAGACTAATAAATTCATCAAATATATAAATAATACTCCCTCGTTCCCTAGACATGCCGTATACCATGTCTGTAGACACGGTATTTTAGAACGGATGTAATTAGTAGATAATTAAAAATATATTAGTAAAAATAATTATTTTATAATATAAATAATTATATATTAAGATTAAGATAATTAATTTATTTAATTAAAATTAAAAAAAAATTAAAAAGTTTAAAATGGAATAAAGTGTGTAATCATTTTTCAAAAAATGAAAATGACATGGAATATGAGACGGACAAAAATGACAACGTGGACATGGTACGTGGACAGGAGAGAGTATATTATTGAGAATTATCTCAAATTAAACTCATTCAACGTATACCTTTTTATTTAATAATAATAATAATAATAATATATTATTTACCGACAAAGGTGTGATTTGTTGGAGAGTAACTCTCGATTGCTAACAATAGAAATAAAGACAGCAGCACGAATCGAAATACATATAGCAATAATAGAAATCAACGGTGGAGATCCACTAGCCGACAATAAATCAACGGTGAGATCATCAATCAACTTTTACCTTTTGTAATTATTTTGAACAATATTTAACATTAATCATACATATATATATATATACAATATTTTAATTAATTGATGCAATTAATTAAATCATATTAATTAATGTAGTAAGTGGTGGTGAGGGCACGATCTTGTGGTTGGTTCCCATTTCCCAATTAAGCAACTACTGAAAACGACATCAATGAATATATTTATTTATTTGATTATATTAATTTAAATAAAAAAGTGATAACGCACATACTATAATTAAAAAAAAAAATAAAATTGAAATTATAATGGGGCACGTGGGTTGAAATTTAAATTTGAATTTTATAAATAAAAAATTAGTATAATGGGAATGGAGAAATGAGAAAAACCCTATTATTCTGTAGAGTGTTTTTAATTTGTGCCCACTTTATTCTTCTTTTTCAAAATATTGCTTTATGCGATGCATTGTATTTATATTCATTCACCTGTAAAAAGTGGGCAGGGCAGCCACCCCATGTTTAATTTAATTTAATTTAATTTTAATAATTGAAAGTGTCTGTGGTCCTGGTCCTGTCAATCAAAACAAAATTTTATGTACGAATGAGCAAATCACTTTAATGACTAACAACTGCAAATTCAATTGGATTTTATACATATATATATTTTTAGTATTGTTTTATAATAATAATAATAATAATAATTCAGTTTTTCAATTTCATCTTATTTTCTAGTCATGTTAGGATCTCAAGAGAACGAGTACCTGAAAACCAATTCTTATTAGACCAAAGGCTGTCCTGTCCATCCAAACTAATGGGATTGATTAATAAGTCTTTAGATATTCCAACGAAATTGAGATATAAAATTTAAATTGAATTAACAAAATAAATCATAAATCCAAAGATTGATTAAAAAGAGGTTACTATTCAAAATTATCTCTACGCACTACAAACATTGGAGGATCCTGAAGCAGTGAACAGTAATTATTTTTATTTTGTTTATTATTCAATTTTTATGATTCTCGATATTTTTTTTTCTTTTTATAAAATACCATATTTAAATTACTGTTAAAAATAAACAGCCAATTAAATATATCAAATCATCTCTAATTCTCATAATAGTACTCAAAATAGTAAATAAGATATATTCATATTTGTTTTGTATTACAAACTATAGTAAGTTATTATTACTTTCCAAGAAAATATACATATTTTATTAAATATGTTTTTTTTTTTTACTGATAATATTACATACAAAAGTACTGAAACACACTCAACACCTATTTCTTATGTAAAATATCACATTGAAAATGTACTTTTCATTTAAATTATTATAGTTTCCAAAATAATACAGGACATCTAAAACACACACAAACCCAAAACAAACTCATCAAGTTTTTTTTGTTTTTTTTTTTTTTTTGAAAAAAAAAAAAAACTCCATAAGGCTCTATTTTCAACATTAATATCATATTATTCCTATATTTCACAAAAACATCTAAAATGATAGATATCAAATATATTTTAAAAAAAAAAAAAAAAAAATCACATGAAATCTCTGTGACACAAACTCATACTCAAACCAAACAAGCAAACTTTCTAATAAAAAAAATAATAATATGGGCCTGAAAATTGCTTAATACAATAGTACACTAATTTAGGTTAAATACAGAGTTGCATGAGAAGCATTTTATTCATTCAACCCCACAGAAAAATTCTATACCAAACTGACGATATATTATCATATATATATGACTCTAATGAATTAATACGATACGAGAAAATGATCAGCAAAAGTAATAATATATAATGTAAGGAAGAACAGGAATACCTTTTAATGCAATGCAGTCTCCATACATTATCTTCAAGCTGGTTTTCATGGCAATGTCACAGCTTCAATCCCCCATATGTCTCTCGCGTATTGATGGATCGTCCTGTCGCTGCTGAACTTGTACGAACCGGCCGTGTTCAAAATCGACATCCTCGTCCATGTCTGAGAATTCACTCGTTCAAAACCAAGACAACACCTCTGTAATGGTGATTCATGGTTAGTGTTAGATTGATAACAAACTAACTTACCTTCTGATTCCTGTAAGCCTCGTCGACTTTGTCTTGGCACTCGATGTAATCGGGGAAATCCTTGCCCACGAGGAAGTAGTCCGCTCGGCCATAGCCTTCGTTCCCTTCCAAGGATCCCATCAGGTCGTTGTAGTTGTATGGACCGAATACGCCGCTTCTTACATATGCTTTCACTTCTTCGAATCTTGGATCGGGAACAAACTGTGCGCACGGGAATCGAATGCGGTTATTGTATTGTGAAGGTGATGAAATAGGGAAGTTGAGGGGTTGGGATGATTTGGATTTTTACCTTTCCTTTAGCTCGTTCTTCGCGAAGAGCAGCGATTTCATCGGCGCGAGCGCCAAAGAGGAAAAAGTTGTCTTCTCCAACCTCTTGTCTGATTTCGACATTGGCTCCGTCTAATGTTCCGATAAGAAGGCAGCCATTCATCGCAAATTTCATGTTGCTCGTTCCGCTAGCTTCCATTCCGGCAGTGCTGTCCCGGAAGAAAGCTTCAAAAAATTAGAATTCGGTAATGTTCCTAAGCTGACGTAAAAAGATGGAAGTGATGATACCTGATGTGTTGGGAGAGCTCGCTCCCGGGAATAAGGACTTCAGCGATGCTGACATTGTAATCGGGGACGAACACAACCTGAGGATTTGTATAACCAAAGATGAATTGGAGCCATACGACTTGATTATGGAACTTTCGACATATGTATTGCGTTGATCATTAGCAGACTACCTTGAGAAGATCGCCGATATCAGGATCGTGGTTTATGGTAGCTCCAACATCAGTGATGAATTTCACGATTCTTTTAGCTTGGATGTATGTAGCAAATGCTTTTCCTCCAAATATGCAAACTCTTGGGACATATTTTTTTTGTCTCTCCTCCGGGCTCATTTCTTTCATCTTCTTGTAGCGATAAACAATGCCCAAGATATTCAATAGCTGTCTCTTGTATTCGTGTATGCGCTTTATCTGAAAGAACGTTCATAGAAATATGTAGTTTACGATTTGATTAGAGATTGTGAAGGTAAGTTATTGACCACAAGAAGTTTCGTAATCGGAAAGGACCTGCACATCAAACATTGCTTCAGGGCTGACATTGTATCCTGTTTTATCCTTGATGAAGGACACAATCTTCTTCTTATTGCTCATCTTTGCCTCTCTCCATTCGGACTGGAGTTCATCATTATCAGCAAACTGTAAGAATACATAAACTTCAGCTCGTTGCCACATTGAGTATTCGAAAGAATTTTTTAAGAACAATAGATGTCGAACTAAATTTGATTAGATGTATACCTTTCGCAATTCGACTAACTTCTCTGTGTTTGTTAGCCAGTCTTCTGATCCTATCCACTTTGTTATGATTCGGCTGAGCTCTGGATTGCAAAATTTGATCCATCTTCTAGGTGTCACCCCATTAGTTTTATTCTGAAATTTCTCGGGCCATAACTATCAACAAGCACAAGAAATATAGATCAGTAGTGAAGCCTATGATTCTAGCATAAAGGAAATTACAGAAACACGGTAAAAAAGGAAACTTTCCGAGGTAATTACCTTGTAAAATTCATTAAAAACTTCTCTTTTAACAATATCAGTGTGAATTTCTGCTACTCCATTTACAGCATGTCCTCCAGCAACACATAAATTAGCCATGCGAACCAACTGAGCTTGTTTTGGGTCGGTTTCAAATGCGGAGCTTACTATCTTCTTAGGATCCTTCACTTCTTTCTTTTTCGAATTATCGGCCTTCTTTCCTTTAGATTTTACATCTTCTTTAGGATTCTTGATTTCTTCTTTAGCGGTAGGTTTTGCCACTTTAGAAGATTCAGAACCTTCTTTCCCTTCCTCCTCCTCCTCCTGTTCTTCTTCTTCTTCAACAGAATTCTTAATGAGTCTTTCTTGTGATTCAATGAGTGATTCTAATACTGAAGAAGGTAGTTCAATGTTATCCAAAATCCTCATCTGCTTAAGCTTTTCCTTCAGCATCTCCAGGTTTTCGGTACCATACTCATCCACAATATCATTAATAAGCTGCAGTAAAAAGCATGCAAAGACTTTCAGTAAGGAGCTAAACAACAATGAATCCTTTAGAGTTTAGATTAAAAAGGCAGATATAATTTAAGTAGATCTTAAAAAACTCGAGTACATAAATCATAAGAATAATCGAATAAACAAAGGAACACTAGTGTCTGTTACTAAACACAAACCTGACTTATACCACTGGGTAAAATGCTCAATAAAAGGAAATAGTACCTCTTCGTCGATCAATCTAATAATTTCAACATGCCGGGGTAGAAGTTCTTGGAGAAGATTCAAACTCCATTTTTCCAGAGCCTCAGGTAGAACTGTGTGATTTGTGTATGCTACAGTTCTGGTAGAATATTGATATCAGCAATGTGCAATACCAACCTCCAAACTATAAGATCTACATCTCAATACTACTATTCCATAAAGATCATTTTTGATACTCTAGAGTTCGGTATCATTTGCTTATCAAATACCTTAAACTACAAAGTATAATCGTAATATGTTGAATACAATAGCATAAGGTACCTTTTGGTTATATTCCATGCTTCTTTCCAGCTGAGACCTTTCACATCTACTAAGATCCGTAGCAGCTCGGGAATACAAAGGGTTGGATGAGTATCATTCATTTGAACAGCAACCTTATCAGGGAAACTATCCCAATTTACTGCTCCCTCTGATCTTTTCTCAAATCTTGCAATAATGTCCTGGAGAGAAGCTGAGCATAGTGTATATTGCTGCTTAAGTCTAAGCGTCTTCCCATCATACGATTCGTCCCCCGGGTACAAAATGTAGCAAATCTGATACAATAAATCAGAGGTGAAGTGTTAATAAAACAAGAACAAAAAGAAAATCAATAACATTTAGATGGTTATAAATGGTGAGATACACACCTTTTCAGCTCTTGTCATTGCCTCATATGCTTTTGTATGCTCTCCCGCGTTAAAAGCTTGCAAGTTAAAACCTTCTGAAGAAATTTTCGTCGACCACAGCCTGAGGTTGATGGTGGTTTGAGTTTTATATCCTGGTATTGGGACATCATAGCCAACAGCTATAATTGATTCACCTCCAGCCCATTCTTTCCTTCCATTTGCACCTTGAATGACTTCTCCATAAAATTTGATAGGATAGAAGATGTCATTCCTCACTATTTCCCATGGATTGCCCATCTGGTCAGAAATTCGAACACTTTATAGCATGAGCATAAATAACCAAAGTGTCCGACGGATCTAAGAATCTGGATTTTAAACAACAAACATAACTGCATACCTCAAGCCAATTTTCAGCAACTTCCTCTTGACCATTTTTGGTGATAAGCTGCTTGAATAGACCATATCTGTATCTTAGTCCATAACCCCATGCCGGGTAATTAAGTGTGGCCATAGAATCTAGAAAGCAAGAAGCAAGCCTCCCTAATCCACCATTACCTAGTGCAGCGTCAGGTTCCTATATTCATGAACAAATGTTGAATGAACTTTTGCCCAAGCTAAGCACATTTTCAAGATTTAAGATTAATTTTCAGAAATAACTCCAATTTGATTAAGCTGAGAAAAATGATCACACAAAATTGAACCATTAACAACCACCACTATCCCTCCCCTACCTGTTTGGCTACATCCTCCAAATTGTGCCCTAACTTTGTCAGTGCCTCTGCATAAGCTCCTGTTAGCTCCAAATTACCAATTGCGTTTAACAATGCTCTACCCTTCGATAGTACAAACAGGAGATTAGAAACTCTTGAATCACAAAGAAGTTAATTATAATGTGGATGATATCAAACCTGAAGAAATTCCATGGAGAGATAGTATGCCTGCTTGACATTCAATTGTTCATAATAATTATACGTAGCATTCCAATTCACAATCAGCATATCACGAACACTCTCAGCGGTGGCGTAGTACGCTTTCGGAAGCTCAAATCGTTCCGGCGAGAACGATGGACTGAACTCGGCATGATACTTTATACTCGATACAATAGATGAAGAATCTGGTCTCAGAGCATCTAAACCTACACCTAAAAACCAAATGACAAAATTACACCTGATTTAATCAGATTTTCCCAAAAAGGAACTTAAATTACAAGGTCGAAGTTCGAACCTTCATCTTCGTCCTCTCCGAGGACCGCAGAATCCTCGAGATTTCTCGTCTGCTTCTCGCTAGCCACATTCGTGACCACAAAGCACCTGCGAGGACGAACAGAAGACATCGATTTCCGAGACGCAGACCGCCATTTCAAGTGCCTGCTTCTACCTTTGCTCTTAGCGAATAGAGCAACACTCGAAATGGAGCAGCTTGAATGCGAAATCCTCAGCGCTGAAGAAGCCTCCATCAATTCCGCCGCAAACAACTAATCTTCCTCACAACCACGCGCATCTGCGTGCCGTATGCTGCGCTTTATTGGAGAGGAAAGGAAGAAGATTGAATTCGAACACGAGCGAAAATGTGGTTCGTTGGTTCTCCTTCCATCGCCATCACCGTCACCATCACCATCACCATCACCAGACCTGTTTTGTACAGCAAAGATATTTTCATGTCATTGCATAATATCCGTCAACCAAAATTATTGCGTTACATTTGTCTTAATATATTTGGAAAAAAAAAAAAAATTGGAATATAATTGCGAAGAATGTTAACAATAATAAAAAAAATATATACATATATATATATAACTAAACCTAAACACGCCCGTGTTTACAGTAACACGGGCATGTAATTTTTAGCGTAATATGCACATGCAAAGCACGATGTCGTATCTTAAAACGGCAACAAACAAAAGCTTACAAACAAGAACGGGTGAAGGTGGGCCCCGCTCAAAAGATGGATCATGACCATCCACAGTAAACGGTCTGGATTGATTCAGGAGTCGAGCTCCCGGGACTCCGCACCACCGTGCAATTCAGAAATATTTTTATTCCGATCATTATACATACATACAACAGCAACACCCCTCTGTTACTCCTTAACAAAACAACGAACGGTAGCGACGGAGGGGAAGGCAAACAATGTGGCGTGGCATTTACAACAACAGTAGAAACAATACAAGTAAGAAAACTTTCGATAAAATTTACAAACCTGGAAAGGATTCTTATAGTCGATCGACGATCGATCAACAATAACTCACGTTTCTTCTGTCTTCACAGCAGTCCATCGACCGCAATCCTTCCGATGCCGCGATATAAACCCCAAGACATACCCGACGAAAGCGCCGAGAACAAGAATACTCGCAACCTTAACATACCACGAAAATCTCGATTTCAAATTCCTCGTCACGGGAACACGATCTTCGCCGTCCGCAGCAGCGCCGATACGACCATTGAAAACTTCCCCGGAAGCCATGATCTCGACAGAATCGTGCACCTCTCCGTCGTGATTTCCGACGTACGATAACGTGAGCTTCTCCTTGTCGGCTTGGAGTCGAACGTACCCAAACTCACCGCCACGGTACATCGATCGAGCGGGCTGCGGGAAGATCGGGTCGTCGAGATGATCGGGCCTAGGTTCCCAAATCGCCTGACAATCATGCCCGGCCATTCCGATCACGAGATGTACGGGATACGGTTTCCAGTCGGGATTGTGCGTTCCCGAGCTTCCGCAAGTGAAGTTGTTCAAAGGGCAGAAGCGTTCGTAACGGTGGACGTGACCCCACAACGCGACCGTCACGTTGTTTTTAACGAATAGAGGTTCGAGCTCGTCCTGTAATCTTTCCCGAAAAGGGGTATCTCTCGTTTCGTGGCTTGTCGTGTACATTGGCCGGTGTCCTTGTACGACGACAAACGGGGTCTTGCTCCTGTCGACGGATTCCAAATCCGATTTCAGAAAGTCGTACTGTTTGCTGCCGGATAAAAAGTTCGTCTCCGTCGAAAAATAGACGAAATGTACGACCCCCATGTCGAACGAGTAGTAAACGTTCCTCGTAGCAGGAGCTCTCGTGTTGGTCGGCTCCGACGAGTTTCCGGGCATGTGGAACCTAAGACTGTAGGGCACCCCACACTCCCCGCCGCCGTCTGTCCCGTATACCGAATACGACCAGCTGGGTTTCCATGGCTGAGCAGGCCAGTCGTACTCGTGATTGCCGATGCAGACATGGTACGGGACTTTGGAGGCGACGGGTTCGATCTGATTAAAGAAGGTATCCCACAACCAGGAATAGCCTCGGGCGTAGCTTATGTCTCCAATATGCGAGATCAAAGCAGGTTTGTTGCCGATGGCTTCTATGTCTCTGCTGATCCATTTGATCGTCGAAATGCTTTCTTCTTGAGTTCGCAGAAAAGTTCTGTAGGGTGCCGCAGCCCCCATGTCTCCGAATAAGAAAGCTACTGTTTCGCTGGGTTCATTCATCGGCGATACAAATGTGTACGCCGTGCTCCATCCCCCGGAATCACTACCAACCTGCCATTTTTGTTTTTGTTCGAAAAGATTAGAATTAGACTCATTCCAATTTGTATAAAGCACGACAACGCTGAAGTTTGTCCAAAACAGACAGCGACGTATTTCTTGAATCAACACAATGCCACCAAACAAAGATGACGATAGAAACAAACATAACAACTTATAAAGTAAAAACAGCAACCACCGAGTCAAAATGCCGTAGAGAAATCCATACATTTGTAAAATGCCATAAGCAACATAATAACCTTAAAGAGAAAGTTGTCGTATTCTGCCCTTTCACTCGAACAACGTCAACTAGAAAAACAAGCCCGATCTAGTGTATTCTTAATTCGATAGAAGTTTTTTATTTCTATTTCGTAATTAACGACAACAAAATCCCTTTCAACGATTTTCTTGATCCATATAAGTAGACATTAGTACACTAAATAAGCGAACACTCCTCGACCATAAATGCATATTTTAAGAACAAACAAATTAGCTTACGAATCACAAGACATGATTCATACAAAATGCATAAATTCAGATAAGCATCAATGGCAGCTAAAAGCACAAATTTCACACAAGGTTTGTAGTCTCAATACTGAATGCATACAGAAACTGAATTCCAGAATGAATAAAGCTACGAGAACATCGATGAACAGATTGCAGAAGAATAACAAATTACCTTATAATAATATCTCTTCCCTTGCTGTAAATCAACCATGACTCCATCGTGGATAAACCCTGGATCCCTCCATCCAATGGTGTCATTTGCTGGGGCATCGCACATGTCTTTCCGGTCATACCTCGACGCCTGAGTGCCGACGACCTTATCCATTGTATCCCGGGACAATCCATACTTGACGAAGCTCTGGTTCCCATCCTGCGTGACGAACATGACCCGCATCTCCGCGGGTCGACCCGTCAATGCCAAGTGGACCTGCTCCGGGCCCCGACCCGGTTCAAATGCGACCGTTTCCGATTCGGCGAGCAGGTGTTTGGTCCCCGGCAAGGGGTTGTGGTCGTCGTCCTGCTTTTTGGGGTTGACTTCCGACTGGATCCAGTGGAAGATCCGGAACTGGTAATCGGATCTGAGATTGATCAGCGGGATGGTGATGGATCCGGATCCGGATTTCCAATCGGGCGACGATGAGAGGAATAGGTAGCCGATGAAGTGGTGGTGGGAGGAGTTGGCCGGGGAGTAGATCCCGAGCCAATCGAGCTCCGATGGGGCGTCGACGCCGGACCATTTGACGGTGATCGGATCCCCCGATTTGGGGATGGATCTCCGGCTGACGGAGATGGAGACTTGCGAGGAGCGGGCGGATGGAATCAGGAAGAGGAAGATGAACGAAATCAGCTTCAATGGGATCATACTCTCTCGAATCTCGACCAATTAAATTAAATCCCCAATTGGCTGACCTTGGATGACGATGGAAGGAGTTTGCAGATTCTGTATCGAATCAACTCCGACTGCAAAAACCTGAAAATCATTCCATGACGACGACTTCCAATTTGACCAGAAATTTCGTGGTAATCTCATCTGCTGCAGGGGACATTCAAATTCTGCCACGGAAGACATCTAATCCGAGCACGAGATTTGTGAAATGTATTTGGGCTTCTTTTGGATAAGGCCCATTATGTCAAATGTCCAAACTCTGGGTTTGTTCGTTTTTATTTTAAACTAACGTAACTATCCGTCCTAAATTAAAAAATAATAATAATAATAATCAACAATCAACAAAAAAAAAAAAAAAATTGCAAAATTTTATCTATAAAATAAATAACAATTAAAATATTTATAAATTTTAATAAAAAATAAAATAAATTAATCACTTTTTAATTAATTTGCAAAACATGTAGCAATTGAAGTATTTATAAAATATACTAAAATAAAATCATATAAAATTATCAATACACAATGATAAGAAAAAATAAAACTAAAAAAAAAATAATAATAAATTAGAAACAAATACTCATAATAATTGATATCTTCTCAAAAATGATAAAATTAAACATAAAAAAAATCAAAAGCAATATAATAAAAATATTATGTTTTTATTGTTATCTTTGTCATCTTTGCATTTTCTGTATATTTGAAAATTGTGAAAAAATATTATAACAATGACATCTGAAAAATCAGACATTTTTAATATTTGCATATTCATTTATACAAAAAAATAATATTTTTATTTTTATCTTTACCAAAAATAAAGTATAAGATGAACAAATTATTAGAAAATTATCGCGAAAAATAACACACATTTAAATCTAAAATAAAAAAATTACGTTATTATTTGATTTTTTGTCTTCCACTGTCATATTCTTCATATGATCTGCATTTTTATCTTCTATTTTTTATTTTTCTTCCTTCTGTATGTCTAAAAATTTAAAAAAAAAAAAAAAGAAAAAAAAGAAGAGTTATAAAATTACCACATATAGAATTAGAATTTTAACAAAAATATTAGAATATTAACATTAACAAAATAATAAAATAAATACGCAAATATATGTATACAAATAAAAAATAATTCAAAAATATTTAATTAATATACATAATATTTTTAATAACACAAAATATCTGAATATTATAGAAAGTTATCCAAATAATTAAGCATTTAAAATAAAAAATAAAATCTAATTTAATAATTTCTCCATATTTATATATAATTAACAACATTTATTAAAATATTATAAAATACTGTAATTACAATTACAAAATCAAAATAAATATAAAAATTAAAAAAATTTATCGAATTTGATGATTGACGATATCTTCAATGTCAAAAACAACAATTGACTATTCCTGGCATCCAAAAATTGTACTATCTCCCAAAATGTCTTTCAAAACGTTAAACCTTGTGAAAACAAAAAAAAAAAAAAAAAAAAAAAAGGAAATAAAAATGCATAATGAAAGATAAATTACGGTAGCAATCGAATTGTTCAATTAACGGATCTTAACAAATAGATAAAAATAAATCAAAAGGAAAAAAAAAAACAAAAAATAGAATGAAAGATAACCTCGTGAGCCACTTAGTTCTCCGAAACAAGAGATCAAAGTGATCTTTTTGCTTTTTCCTCAGACTGATATCACCGAATTGGTAGTTTAAGAAAGTCAACCCCAGCCTTCAACAAGCCATTTCTAACCGATGATTGCCAGCAATAGCACCAGTTTTTATGTCTGTTGGCTACATAAGCCACTAATGGCTCAGAGAAAGGCCTCTTCTTCCTAAGAAAGCAAGGGCTAAAGCTCAGGGAATTATAGCAGCAATTGATTGCTCGATTAACATATCTTAACATTACGGCGGGGAAGTCTCTTCAAATAATAGCACATTCCACCTCCAAATGCTTAACTTCTGTAAAATAATAGAAAATTTTAAAAAATAAAAATAAATTAGTAAACAGAAATAGAGAAAATATAAATAATAAAAATGATCAAAAATTCGTAAAAGAACGAATGCCAAAGCAAATTAGTATTAATAATAATAATAATAAAAAAAAAATAGACATTGGTCTCAAATATATCAAAAATATATGTAGATAAAATATAGATCATGAAAGTTATATCATCTCACTATCCATTAAAATATAAATATAATACTTAATAAATAAAAATTCGAAGTGAAATTCATTAAATTTTTAAAATTTTTAAATTTAAATAAAATTATTTTTAAAAATAGATATAGGATATCACGTGTCGTTACGAAAAGTTTATTTATTTATTTATGATTTATAATCTAGTAAAAAAATAAAGTAATTAAATATAAAAATATTATGAAAAATTTATACAATAAAAATAGTTAATTATAATACTAATATGTGTATATATATATATATGATATGATATGATTTATGATTTAAATAATAGTCTTTCTATTCTACTCAAATGGTTAAGATGCTGAAATTTAAAATAAATATAATTAAAAAAATATATTAATAAGAATAATTATTATATAATACAAATAATTAGAATCATAGATGATAATAATAATTTAAATACAATATTTTATTAAATAAAATATTTTTAAAAAAAAGTTAAATAATTTTTATAATTTATCAAATCAATATGCTTTTAATTTTTATTTATCCGTACACAAAAAATAAATAAAATCAAAGAAAAAATAGTATCTATTTAATTCTTAATTTTAAAATTTTTAATTCAACCAAACAAAATAATTAGAATTATTCCCAATTTTGTCATTATTACGTTTTTACTATTTTTAAATTAACTTAAAATTTCAAACTACAATAAAAATTTGTTCTCTACTTGACGTTTTTACTATTTTTAAATTAACTTAAAATTTCAAAGTACAATAAATATTTGTTCTCTATGCCACGTTTATACTATTTTAAATAAACCTAAAATTCCAAAATTATATTAAATATTTATTCTCTATATTAAAAGGTAAATTATATAACACCCATTGTGTTTTATGAAAATTGTACAAAACACTCTGTATTTTATTTATTGTGTGAGAATATCTTGTGTTAATGTAAAATTTTTATGAAATACCTTCTTATCCAAAACTGATATTTAGTTCTAAATAAATATCTAAATTACGCAAGTTTTATACAAATAAAAAACACAAAATATTTTAAATAATTTTTTTGCATTAAATAAATAAATAATTTATTAATCTTTATTTTATAGTTTTTGGAGACAATTTGTTATCTGATTTTTATAAAAAAATATAAAAATAAATGACTGATCAATTATTTATTTATTTATTTTATTCAAAAAAATTTATTTAAGATATTTTACGTTTTTTTCTTTTATAAAACTTACGTAATTTAGGTATTTATTTCGAACCAAACATCAGTTTTGGACGAGGGTGTTTCATGCAAACTTTCCATTAACACAAAGAGGTTTCACACAATAAATAAAATACAGAGTATTTTGTGTATTTTTAATAAAATACAAAAATGTGTTATATAATTTACCCTAAAATAAAAAAAATCGAGCACTAATTTGAGAAATAAATAGCATATTGATTTAAACAAAAATGATTAGTTAGTAGGTAGGTAGGCACCACGTAATTCCGAACTGAAAATTTAATTACAAGATTGACTTTTAATAAACGTAACTAATTAATTAATAAATTAATTAATGGTATATAGTCACAAAAGAAGAATGACTTCACTCATCAGCTGTATTCCTTTAATATAGTGGCTGTGACTATATATATATATATATGTATGTATCTATTGTTATTATGGCTGCCTCATTATTACATGCACACACACACACACATATACACTTATTGCCACTTAATTTGCTATTCTTGGCTTTTACATTACATAGAACTACACTATGCTATTGCCTTTATTTGTTCTTACTTCCATTACTTCTATATATTATATATATATATATATATATATATAATTATAAGTAGTTACGTGTAGTTAAGTGTAGTCGAGCAACGATTACAAGTTTTAACGTTATAAAAAATATATATATATTTATAAATATATATACATATTAATATAATATACTACTTTCATTAATTATTCACTTATAAAAAAATCAATTATTCAATATAAAATATTATTTTTTATATTACTAATACAATTTTTCATTATATACATAAAAAATTCAATTATGAATAAACAGACTCGATTGTTTCGTTGGAATTTTCAATTTTTACTATTTTTTGTTTTATAAAATAAAAAATATATATTTATATATTATTTTAATACAAAATTTAAATCAAATATTTTTAATCTAGACTCAAAGAAACCCGAGTAATAATAAAAATGAAAATTTAAAATATAGCCAAACAAAATCCTACCTGTTTCTGTACAGGAAGTCAGCCAGTCCCGGGACCTTGGGACCTACAGCAACCACACCATTCATGGTGCAGATCGTTTCCAAGGAAGTGGTTGAAACTGGACTTCAAGTCCCTAGACCTGCTAACAATTTATAACCCATCTTCCTCCTTCAAGATTCAACAGTCGATTCAAGACCCTCCCCTCTACCGCTGCATATTCATATATATATATATCTATATCTATATCTATAAACACAGTCGAGCAACAAACAAGAATAACCAAAACCTCTCTCTCTCTCTCTATCTGTCTCTCTTCCACTCTCTCTCTCTCTCTCCACCATGAAATTCTTACTCCTATCTTACCACAGATCAGTTCTTTCCTTGACGCCATTGATGCTCCTCCTCCTGCTCACAATCCCCCCCCAATTCTCAATTTCCCAACCCCACACCGCCGTGCTGCGCCTCCACCGCCGCCACAAATTCTGCCGCCCAATCTCCGCCCACCTTCCGCCGCCGCCGCCGCTCTTCCCATTCCACCTCCACCCCTGCCACCCCTACTTCCCACCTCCTCCTCCGCCGCCGTCATCAGGCGGCGGCGACGGCGGCGACGAGATCGATCCAAGATATGGAGTCGAGAAGAGATTAGTCCCTTCTGGCCCTAATCCCCTCCATAATTGAATTATAATCACACCTTCTCCTTCCTCTTCCACCATTAAAACCCTAATTCTTTAAATCTCTCGAACCCCTTCCTTTCCTTTCCTTCTTCTCTTCTGCCATTTTTCTTGAACCAAAAAAATATAAAAAATCTAAAAACCATCGAACCAGGTTCCAATAAGATCACAAGACGGGGATCAAACTTCAAGGTTTCAGCATGGCAGGAAGCATGAAGAAGACAATGTCTTTTGTTTGGTTTCTTTCTTCTAAGAAATACACTTTTGCAGATAAATCACTATTTCCAGGCTTGTTTTTCGGTTCTCCAGTCAAGAAGATCGCGTACAGGGCGGGGGGTGGGTGTGGAAGCAGCAAAAACAACCTTGGAAATAGTGCAGCTTAGCTAGTCAGGGTAGAATAGTAACTTCCCATAGTAGAAAATTTACGAATTACCTTTAGCTTACATACATTTCACATTTGCTCATTTTATTAGTCATTTGAAGATTTATGGACTGTATATTGTTTTCTTCATTATTTTTATTATATTGTCTTATGCGTATTTATTATTTTATTTATTCAAAATTTGAAAAATAGAGTGCCAATATTCAAGAAAATCCCATGATGCCTCATCAATTGCGAGACCTAAGGGGCAAAAGGGTCTTTTTGTTTGCACCCCAAATAATAAGAATGCGACACACGTATGTATGCGTGTATACCAAATTGTGAATTAATTGTTTAAACTTTCTATCGATTTCTTGTGATGAATTTTAATGGGAAGGGCAAAAAGGTCAAAATGCGTGGTGGTCGGGCATGGATATCCCATGAAGTCAATAACTGCTCTCTACCACCACCAAACCATGGTTGGTTTCTTGATGGGTTAGATTGGGAGCTTCTAAAATACTGGTTGGTCCGGGACCTGTGCTCCCCTAAACCATCTCCAGTGTTAGGCAGGCTCCATATCATTTGAAGGTCAAAATGCACTGGGTTGATTTGGAATTTGGATTTTGAGTTAGAGATTTAAATAGTAAAAGTTTTGAATTAGAATAGTAGTATGGTGTGATAATAAGTATTTATATAATGTTTTGAATATGGAATTGATTTTTAATATAATATAAAAAATAAAAAATAAAAATAAGTGTCCGATTTGATATTTTTTTAAAAAAAAATTTGTATGAATAGTGTAAATCTTTCCCAATCCTCCAAACAAATACACAAATATTCCCAACATTTTCTAATAATCCTTTGATTTTTGACATATAGTGATCAAACATTCCATCTATAAAACTAAAACAAATTCCAAATAATCAGCCTCACACAAACACTTAGGGTTTGTTTAGATAGGAGCTTTTGGAATTTTAATTTTTTTTTAAAATTTGAAAGTTAAAAAAAATAAAAAATTAATATTTAATTTGATATTATATAAAAGTGCATTTCATATGATATTTTTTAAAAACGGAATAATATCATATGAGTAGAAAATGAGTAAAAATGTGTTGCAGACAGAGCCTTAATTATTGTTAATATTTTTATCAGTTAATTAATTAATAATTAATTAATTATTATTATTATGGTTAGCAACGGTGAGAAGGATTAACAGAACAATTACTACTGTTACATATTACTGGCTTACGGACGGCGTTCCGTTTTCAAAATATATAACTATTTTATTTATAAAGGATTTAAAATATACTCCATGTTCTACTAATTAAATAAATTAAAAAATAATTCCACCGACGAGATCAACGGATTTCACGCGGCGTCTGCACCCCGACATTTTCATCTGATGATCTTCTTCGCTCACACACAACGGGACACTCTCTGCGCGCGCCGTCTCGATCTCTAAACAGCAGACCCAATCTAGAATGGTGCTCCGTCTCCGTTTTCCTTTCCTTTCTTCACTGTTTCACCTCTTCATAGTCGCACCATTGCTCCTCAGCCACGTCGTACAAAGCAAGACTCTTAAACGAGACGGTGATTCTCCCGATCCGTCACTTCTTCTCATCGTAGATTCAATTATATTTGATTTCTGTTGGTTAGTGTCCTGGTCGATGCTAAAGAAGGGTGATCTATTCGTTTTTTGTTATTAATTATTTTTAAATTATTAATGTGCATATATTTGGGGAAGAATTTTAGGTTTAGGTTGGGGATATTGACTCGGCTTTGATTGTATTTCACTGTGATTGAGTAGATTTTGGTAAGCTTCTAAGTAGCTGTGTTTAGGTTCAACATTTTGTTGATGGAAATTTCTGTGTATGATGCAGTTAGTATGATTTGCTCAAAATTCTATTAGTTTAGTATGATTAGAGGGGGAGATGGGTGATATGTAGATCGTTGGTTGCATTTTCTGAATTATGCTTATGGCAATTTTATCAGATCCCAATCCCAAATAGAAGGGGGACTTCTCGTTCTAGGGTTTTGGGAAAGGCTTTCTAGCTTTAGGATTTGGGATCTTGTGACAGATTAGCAGTTGAAGTTATGATTAGTGATTAGACATGCATGCTGCTAATGGTTGTGTTATCCTTTTGATCTTAAAACTCTGTTGGCTGGTGGTAATCACAGTGAAGGCATTAAATGAAATAAAGGCATCACTAGGGTGGAGAGTGGTGTACGCATGGGTCGGTGATGATCCATGTGGAGATGGTGATTTGCCTCCGTGGTCTGGTGTCACTTGTTCCACCATCAGTGGGAGTGATTATCGGGTCGTTACTGAATTGTGAGTTTGCCTCCCTTTTGATCTTGTCTTCAAACAACTGTTTGGGATGCTGAGCATATTGTGATTAATTTGTTTCCTAATCAAAGTTCATTTGTAGCTATCTGATTTTAGCAAGTGCTTTTTGTCTTAATTCCATTCGGGATTTTTACCTTGCAGGGAAGTATATGCAGTTTCTATTGTTGGTCCTTTTCCACTTGCCGTTACCAACCTGGTGGATCTTACTAGATTGTATGCACCCCTGCCCTTTTCTTGATCATTTTGTTGGACAATTCTCCTGCATCTCCTTTGAAATTATTCGACTGCTTGAAAGCCTCTTTACTTTGGTGGATTTGGGAAACCTGTTTAAATTATTTCTGTAAGAAGTGTCCAAAATACTTGATGGTTACTTCCTATTGAATTTCTGAAAATTGTCATCACTACTTTGGCAGGGATTTGCATAATAACAAGCTGACAGGGCCAATCCCACCTCAAATTGGACGATTGAAGCATCTGAAGATACTGTACTGTCCTTCACTCTTATATATGTGCACTAAACTTGTTGATGCTCTGATGCAAATAAGATAAGGAGAATAAGTCTCTCTACTTAAACTTAGAGGATTGCTGGATTCCTATAACATTATTATCAAAGTGTTTATCACGATACATGGGGTAGGCCATCTTTGAGGCTAGAGCCTGAATCCAGCACCTTAGACTACTTGGCCAAACGGTCAAGCTTGGATGTGTATAATATGCTACTTTTTGTTGACATGTTTCTGGATGCTAGAGGAGGACAATTTTATATGGCTTTTGCCTTGCTCGATGAGATTAGCAATAGCTAGTGAAATGTAATTGCAAAACTTAAAGAGTTTTGATGGGAAATTATTTTGCTTCTAGGAGATTTTTCATGTTTTCATATGCTCACAAAGTGAATATTGTTGTCGTAATTGTATTTGGTAATAGCTAGAATTTCCTTGATTTGCTGTCCATGATGCATACATGTTTTCCTTCCTATCTCTACTTGTTGATCACTTGATTGTCATAATTCAAATTTCCGCAGGTCAATGTTTTCACTAATCTTTAAACTCATCTGCCTTCCTTTAAATATCATTCACTATGTCACTTATTTATTACCATCTTTCTGTATATTGGTTTTATCAGTAATTTGAGGTGGAATAAATTTCAAGATGCCATTCCTCCTGAAATTGGAGAACTGAAGCAGCTAACTCATCTGTGAGTGCATATTTTTGGACTATTTAGTGTTGCTTCATGCAATCTTATCTCAAACTGATTATTTGACACACATTGTGCAAAACCTGCAGGTATATGAGTTTTAACAATTTTAAGGGTGAAATTCCAAGGGAGCTTGCAAATCTTCCGGAACTGCGCTACCTCCAACTACATGAGAATCGTTTAATTGGAAGAATTCCACCAGAATTGGGAACTTTGCCAAATCTCCGACACCTGTATAACTTTGTTTACCTTTTTGTGTATTTCCCAATATTCTTTCCACTGTAGCTAATTAGGTCATTCTATGTTTTTACAGGGATGTTGGTAACAATCATTTGGTTGGGACCATTCGGGAACTCATCCGCATTGAAGGATGCTTCCCAGCTCTTCGTAATCTGTATGTGCATTTTATTTGTATACTTAGATAATTGGCTCTTTTATAGCTTTCGTAAACCTATATCCAAATGATGTAGGTATCTTAATAACAATTACCTCACGGGAGGTGTCCCTTCACAGCTAGCTAACTTAACAAACTTGGAGATCCTGTAAGTTCATGCGTCCATCTTCTTTATTCATCTCCAACACTCTACTTTTCCGGTTTGCAAGTTGAATGTTCATTTTGGTTCCAGATACTTATCCCACAACAAAATGTCTGGTGTAATACCATTTGGGCTTGCTCACATTCCGCGACTAACCTACTTGTAAGTGTGATTCACTCATCATATAAACTTGCATGTATGAAGTATTTATTTGCTACTAACCGACAATGTTCTGTTTCCAGGTACCTGGATCACAACCAATTCTCTGGAAGGATTCCTGATACTTTCTACAAGCACCCATTCCTAAAGGAAATGTGAGTTCCACCTTCAGAATCCTCTAAATCTGTCCCGAACTCAAGTTCTTTCTTAATTCAGTTATCAATTATTCGTGCAGGTACATCGAAGGGAATTCATTCCGGCCAGGGGTGAAACCTATTGGCGACCACAAATCCCTGGAACTTTCTGATTCTGAATTCCTGTTTTAGGAGTACGAACCAATCTCCTTGCTAGTCTTATTATTACTATTCATTACCAATTATTTTTTGGTAGCACGAATTATTCATTGCTGCAAGGCATTGGTATCTCGAATACTATATATGTACTAAGTTGTCTGATGCCTGAAATGTATATAAACACTACACCAGGAATTTTGGGTGTTTTGAATGCCGGAGACAGAATGATGCTATGCTTTATTCTTGTTGTATTAGAGATTCAAACATACTTTTTCTTTGTTAAACTTGAATTGATTTCTGAGATTTCTGCCTTTGCATTGAAGTGATTTTTTTGTTGAACTTGAATCATCAGGATTTCTGAACTGGAAATGTGACTCTTTACAGTCGAATGAAATGAGGTATAGCTAGAGCCAATCCAATTCCCCTCATTGGTGTTGGGATTGACAAAGATCTAATCAGTAAGGCTCAAGATCCATTCATACATCCTGAAGCCAGCACTCTACAAGTTGTTTCCAAAAGCGTCGACAGACAACCAGCCTGTTCGGTTCGTGAAGCTGGCTTCCTAAAAACTATGTTGGCAGAAATGTTATCAACAACTTTTTGTTTATGTAACAAAAAACTTAAGTCTTGATTCTTGGCCAGGCATGTATTTGTACCAAATGGGTATGGCCAAAACAGTCAGTAATTACAGAGTGGCTCTTTAGTAGTGTATGCCTGTCATCAAAGTAATTAAAACCTGGAAAATCTCAGAAGATTTTTAGGGATTAAGCTTTATGGCAGTTGATTTTTATCCTATACAGAAGATTTGGAGAATTTACTACTTTTTGAGATTCTTTTTTAGGTCTTAGCATCGACATTGAAGAGCACAGCAACAAGGAATAACTTGCGCTTAAATTATCCAGCCTAAAAAAGACTATTTGATTTCAAAAGGTAACAGATAATTTTGAATAAAAATGTTCTTGTTAAAGAGAAAGAAAAGCATGCTTTTCAAGGAGGGCTTAAAGATGCAAAACCAGTGCTAGCATGTAAAGCATATATCTTATCCTAGGTTACTTGTCTGGTTTTCCCTATTATATTACAAACCAAAATTACTAACCTCAACAGGTTGTCTTCCCTCCTTTCACTTCACCTTCAAATAACCTCCACATATCATGGGAATGCCAAACACTTATTCCTCCTGAGTAAAGATCTGCAGCAGCAAAAAACCATCATGGATAGCTTGATTAAGAAAACATGGTAAGATATTTGATAGGTATAGCGTATTGTTCTAAAAATGACCGCAATCGAATAACCAATTTTCAGGGCAAGATATTCTAGCACAAGACAGGACAAACAAGATGATACCAGAGACCAGGCGACGCAACCTCAAAGAACAGTGTCTGTCAAAGGTGAGACAGAGTTCCATGTCTTTGCTTGCTTTGCTATGGTATACCTATATATGATGGATATTCATGACTTCCAGAGAAGAGGAGAGGCCCGAGCTGGATGAGAAGACAGTTGTCTAGACAGATGAGTTGGGATTATGATTTCAGCAGCACTGAGTACCCGACTGCAGTTGCTGCAGCAGCTTATGCTGTTCAATCACTTGAAGAATCGAATTCAGACAAGTTGAATAAGATGAACAGCAAGATTGACGATGCCAAAGATCCACCTGAACGTCTAAAAAGTGCGCTAAAGTCTTCCGGTAAGATACATCCGTTGGGGTCTTACCTAAGTTCGCATATGTCTAAGAGTATTCATTCTTATGGTATCTCCACCAGATGAAGCTTCAAGATCAAGTTTTAAAGATCGGGATGACAAAAAGAAGCCAGAAAAGGCATCGTCAATGAAGAAGAGAATAAGTTTTGCAGATACTGATGAAACTACAGGAAATAAATCTATAGGGTCAGGAATCAGGGAACCCGAAAGAGCACCACCATCCATGACAAGGCCACCATCTTTTGCAGGGCCAACAGTCCAGAAGGTACCCAAGCATGAGCCTTCCATGGAAAGACATCCATCACATGTAGATAAGCCATTAAGAATCACAGACAGCAATATAAGAGATACTACTACCCCTCCTCACCCCAAAATCACAACACAACCTGTCGAGACAAAAAGGCCTCCTGGTGCAAAACCCGGTCCTTCTGATGCTAAGGCAGATGCCTGGGAGAAAGAAGAGCTAGCAAGCATTAAGGAACGGTAAGGGTTCTTTCCTAATTACCACTTCTCATGTATTGAAAAAAATTTCTTCAACTTATGTAAGTGAAATTTCAGGTATGAGAAGCTGAGGGCCACCATTGATGAGTGGGAGACCAAAAAGAGGAAAAAGGCGAAGCTCAAAATAGGAAGAATAGAGGTTTGTTGTCTCCATCACTACCTTTTCTTCCTAAACAATATAATATCAAAAAATCTTAATCAGAGCAGCTAATGATCACGAAAATTCACTCTCTCTCAGGCTGAATTAGATAAGAGAAGAGCAAAAGCAGAAAAAAACTACCGCAGTGAGATCACGAGAATAGAAGCCATAGCAGGAGGAGCGCGGGCACAAGCGGAGGAGAACCGCCGGAAAGAGGAGCTCAAAGCGCAAGAGAAGGCTAGCAAAATCAGATTAACAGGAAAACTACCAGCAACTTGCCTATGCTTCTAATCTTCATCTACCATTAATTGGATTGGAATTTGGATCTACTGTGAAAATTGTAAATGCTTATTTGAGCTCCTGACAATGCTGTGATTAACTTTGAACGCTAAACTTCTCTGAGTTTGAATGTAAGTTAGCAATTCATGCAAAACAATCTCCAACAATTCACCAATGCAGCAGAGCTTATGAATCATCAAACCTAGCGCACCGAAGCAGTTAAAAATCACATTCCGTCAACAGCTAATTCACCATGAATAAGCAGAAAACAAACACAAAATTACGAAATGTTTACACCTAGACAAAATATTTCAAATCTCACCTAAATTTAACGTCGATTGAGCTTAAAAACACAACTAACAACGAATAATTTGCCACAACAGAGGTCTAAAGAGGCAAACGCCGGTCGCCGGAGCAACCGCCATCAATTCGGATTTCCACGTCTCAGTGTAACCACAAATCAATGAATCGATCATTTATATACGAGTGTTAATTGACAAAATTAACCTCCATGAATATTGTTTGCAAATTGCAATGGAAGCATATTAAAGAAGAGTGGATTATAGCGTAGTTAAATCTGGGCCGTTGATAACCAGATCTGACATGTAAACTCAAATGGGCCCACATAAAAGCCAGGAACAAGGCCCAGCCCTAATTATCATAATAAAAACATTCATAATACAAGAAACCCACAAATACATACACAAAATCAAAACAAAGACAACAAACTAATCAGAAGCACAGACACAAAACATACGACAATTCGTAAAAACAGCAATTAATTAATTACTTCTGGAGAAAATCTCCCGCCATTTTCATCAAATCTCCATATCCTCCGCCCGACGGCTTCTCAGCATCGGCGGGAGGTTTTTCCTCGCCGGAGTCCTTCGCCGGGGGCGGCGCGTCGGAAGCCGGAGCTTTCTGCTCCTCGGCGGCGGCGGCGGCGGCGGCTGGAGGAGGAGCCTGGCCGGAATTGTAGCCGCGGAGATAGTCTTCGGCCTGGTCAACGTACTTCCCGACTCCCTTGGTCTCGTCCAGCTTGGCGTAGCCAGAAGCCGCGTCGAGAAGATCGGCGGCGGCGCCGGCGACTTTACCCTTGTCGTACTTCTCCGGCTCGTTGTGGAACTGGGCCTGAGCCGCTTCCGCCACCAGCTTCGCGTCGGCGAGCAGGTCGGAGGTCCCGGACTTATTATCCTTGTCGTCGGAATCGGACTTCGACAGAGCACCCTTGGCTAAATTGGACAAGAAACTCATTGCAGATCGAAGAAACAGATAAATGTTCTAAGGCAAATTAAAGTGGGAGTGGTCGGGAAACTGATCAAGAACTGAATCCAATAAATAGGAACCCAGCAATAAGCGTAGGCTACGTGTCGGAGTACTACACGGGTTTTTTCTTGGGATGATCTACTCCGTTCATTACGTGATCCGACGGTTGTGATCATAGTAGGATCTCAGGTCCAGGGAGTCTGTAAAAATGGCGGTAAAAGGCAATGGCGTGTTTGGATATCAGATATTTGTAAATTTTTGATAATATATTATTACAAAGGATAAAAGAAGTGGTCACCATGAACTCCAATGGCTGAAGAAAGGTCACACTGATAATATCTTTATTTATTGCTGTCGGCACCACAATAATTTCATTGACTATAATTAATATACACACATGATGTAGATCATAATTATTTTAGGGTGGGTTTGTTTGTAAGATTTTTGCGAAATCTTACCGTTCATCTCATTTTTTATTTCAAAAAATATCAAATTAAACATCTATTTTTTATTTTTTATATTATACTAAAAATTAATTTTACATTCAAAATATCACATCAACACTTATTTATATCACATTATACAATTATTCAAATTCAAAATTTTTACGGTTCAAATCTCAACTTAAAATCCAAAGCCCCCAAACAAACACACCTTTAAATCACTATTAAAAAAACAAATTTTTTGAAATTTTTAGGAGAATAGACAAACTATTGCAATTGCGTCAAATTTGCAGACAAGAATCAAATCTCCAATTTTATTCTATCCCTAGCCTTGCTCAAAAGCAGAGACGGAACTATATATAGTCCAGGGGCCAGTTCATCCCCAACTCCTAAAATATGAATTTTTTTTAGTGTAAAAAATAATAAAATTATGTATTTTTTATTATTTTGTCCCCTTTATTTTTCAATTTATTTTATGTTATATTGTAAAAAATGATAATTTTTTTTAAAGTTTTGTTGATTTATACTTTCAGTTTTTTATTTTTCTAATAAAAATTATTAAATTTATTAAATTTTCTTAAAATTTTCTGTAAATATTAAAAGAAAAAGTGGTTCCGTGTCTGCTCAAAAGTAATTCAGATTTTGCTCATCATCACCATGCTTCAGCAGGAAGACATTTACAATCTAAAAACGACGTCGTGACGATCACAAATTGGGTGATAAGAAGCAATCTTGCAACCTTCAATTTCGCCGGGGGCAGCTTGGAGTACTTTAATATGTGAATGAACCTGGACAGAAATGGCATTCAAAAAACTTGAAATTTAGTAAAAAAAAAAAAACTTTTGTAGCGAAAAGATAATAAGTTATAAAAGAAAAAATATTTTTGTGACGACTGCGTTAGTAAAAGTCGACAAATATGACTTTCGTAACAAAAATAAATTTTTTGCAATGAAAATAAAAATAAAAATAAAGATAGCTATAAAAATATAATTTCGTAGCTAAAACTTTTGTACTACTCCCTCCATCCCATATCAATTTCATTTTTAATCTACCCGATTACCTTTATATCACACGTACTATTAGGTTATTTTAGTTATTTCTACTTTATTCCTACTATATCCCAATATAATATTAATATTTCTAAAACTACGTGCAAAAAACAAATGGATACTTACTTCCGAGACGGAGGGAGTATAAAATTAAAATTCATAACTAAAAAGTTTTAGCAACAAAATATATATGATTTTTTTAACCAAATGATATATTTGTTATGAAGATAGAATTTTTTAGTAAAAAAATTTTAGCGACAAAATTAATTTTGTAGTACATAATTTATTTTTAGCGATGAAATTATTTTTTATTGCTAAATGATACGTTTTAACTACAAAAATATTTCGTAGTTAAAAATATTATAGTTAATTATATACTTTTTTGGAGATGTATAGTTTTTCAATACGACGTTATCGGAATTAAGATCATCTTCTTGGCAGCATTACCTGATCTACGACAGATCCGATTATTGGACCCCAGCCTTCTGCTTCAGCATTGCAATAAACTTGTCCCTCTCATCAGGAGACATGCCCTCAGTCGAACAGTCTCCGACTCCCCATTCAGCGCCGCGAAGGCAGTACTTGTCCATAATTTCTTGTTTGTTTCTGAAACATATATAAAGAAACAGACAAGTTTATCGATGAGCATGCAATGTCTTAACAGGTTATGTTAGAGGTCAATAGATGCTTTACTTCTCCTTGTTCAACTTGCTTCGCTCGAGCAACTTTTTCAATAGGGGAGAGTCTTTAAACCTTGCATCATTCTCAGCGTACATCTTCTGATTTTCCTCTGAAAATTTTAAAGCCAATCTCATTGTGTAATATATTAATAATGCATTGAAGCTCACCAACGTGGTTGTAAGAAAGTGGACATACCATTGAAACGGTTCAGGAAGTCGACCTGAGGTAGTTGAGGGCCAGGAACTGATTCGATTCCCGGGAAGCCCGAGAGCAGTCCAGCATGAGCTACAAGGCGTGTAGTTAGATTAGGGGACTGTTAGGTGATCGATCACTTTAAGACAAAGGAAAACTGTTGTGACATTAGAATTAATGATCGAATAACAAACATAAACGTAAAAAGAAAATAGAGTAATATGGTTCACCAACAATATGTCGGTTATGTCCACAGACATAAACGAAGAACAGATTTATTGACGGCGGCTACGTTACAGATTTTAAATACCGATTTCTGAAATAGATTAACCTTGAGTACATATCTCCAAGTATTCCTTTTACCATTTTTGTCAGTTCCATTCAAAGTATTTCTTTCCTTTCTTTTATAAAATAATTCTACACAAATACCAAAATACCATTAACTTTTATTTAATTACGAACATGCCATTATATATACACTTACTTACTTGCCAAAAAAAAAAAAAAAAGGACAAAAATGTCAAGGGCCAATACTGCATACCGTCATGACATGCCAAACTAGATTCAAGACATTTCTAACAAAAATACTTCATGGGACGTGTAATTATTCTAATGAATGGCCTGAATTCTCACATTTTGATTTGATCTGTGAAAAGGGCTATGAATGAATCCCCAGTTGAGCATTCTCCTAAGAACCCTAAGCTGAGTTCCCAGTGTAGAGATTTTTGGCCAATTTTATTACAAGATTGTAACATGTTTATTCTTTGGATTTTCATAGGATTTGGATATTCACTTGCAGGAATTCTTAACAACCATACTAGCCAGAGTGGATTCAAGCATTTAATTACAACTCAAAACTGGTGAAATGCTGACCCGAATCTCAAATTTCAATCTTGTTCTAAATACATCATGAATTCAATCCTCATCGCAAAAACCCCTAAATCCCTACATTGGCCTTCTTCAGCAATATGGTAATGAAATGTATGCAGCAACAAACCAAGAAATTAGGACAAAATAATCTCACCTGGATTAGCCCCAACCAAGACTGCAATCGAAGCAGCCAGAGGAACCACAGACTTGTGAAACACACCCTGCATAGATACCCTCGAGAATGACAAACCTCGACCGCCATTCTTGTCCAGCTTGGCATGCTCAGGTTCACTCCTGCAAGAAATAACAAGACAGCATTTTTCTTGATGGCCCTGAGACGGGACCGGACATTTGTTAGCAGAAATCAAGGCTGCCTGAGGCGGTGCAGGTAAACTAGGATGAAGCAGAGAGGAAACCATGGGTTCTTGATGAGAATAAAAGAAGAAAAAAACGACTGTCTTTGAGTAAAGAAGTAGATAAGAAAAAAATTAAAGGTGTGAAATGTTTACGTGGGTTATAATTATATATAATATATATATATATATGTATGTATTTACTCTTTGTTTCTTATTTTAGCAGCAGAATCTTGATCCCAATAATATTCCTTTTAGGAGGTGTCGAATGATCCGTTCTGCTTAATTTCTTACCTCCACAATTTGTGGGAGATTAAAAAGTGATTTGTAGAAAAATGAGGGAACTGTGTTTACAGAGAGGCAGGGACAGCGGGTTTCCATTTATGCCCTCATCTGTTGTGTCGACGAATTGGGAATGGAGTTAGAGGTGGAAGGGCAATTTGGGAGTGAGAAAGCTGTGTCGTATATAAATGACAGAGTGGATGAAATTAAAAAAGAAAATTCCGGAATTTCCACCCCTGGCCCGACGATTTTCTGGCCGAAGTTCATCATATTGGAATCGCGTCTCCTTTCTTCTTGAATTGATTGCGGGGTTCTGAATCTGAAAGCTCAGGTATTTGGGAATTGATATTCGCAGATTGTGGGTTTCGTAATGCGTGTAGCGTGGTGAATATTTTTACTTTGTTTTTCGAAGTAATTGGCGTGTTCCGGGTGTTGTATGTTGTGTTCGCGTCTGTTTAATTTGTTATTTTGATGGGAATAATGGTGAATTTTGTTTGTTCTCTGGTTTGTTTTTGGAATTGTTCGTGAGCTTTGGGGATTTGTTGTATTGGGCAACAATTAGGTTCATATATGGGCGATTAATTTGAAAAAGGGTTACCTATTGAGCGTGTGGATTGTATGTTCGTATTGATTGAAGAATTTGTGCAACTTTCTCGTGATTCTATTTTTTATGTTAGTTGGGAGTTTGGAAATTAATCGTGTAGAATAATTGATTTTAGAATGTTGTTGTTGCCAATGTTTGAATTAGGGTTTCAGATTGCTCCATCAGATTCGTTGAGCTGTGCATAAAAAGCAAATAATCTTAATGTTCATTGAAGATCAAAGGAATTGAATTTTGAACTTGGGTTGTGAAGATGTATCGGGCCGGGGCTGCAATCACTAATCGAGGTGGATTGCCGACAGATAGCGGAGATTCAACGGTGACACTAGATCAAGTTCCTCGATGGAGTGATTCAGAGCACAGATATTTGTATGAGAATGAAGATCCAGCATTTGCGAATTCATATTTTCCTGACCCTTTGACGTCTGCCTCTGAGGGTGAGAATAGTGGAAATGGCATGTTATCAAGATTTCCAGTTGATCGTGAAATTAACTCGAAGATATATCTTTGGAGGGGAGACCCTTGGAATCTTGAGGTGGATGCTGTTGTTAACTCAACAAACGAGGTCAGTGGTCGATTTCATTGCAATGATTGTACATTACAGTTATCTACATATACATGGATAGATAAATATAGATATAGATATTGCAAGTTGTTACAAAATTCTTAGTTCTTTAAGCGATGCCTTTGTAGATATGTGTTGTCTTGTTTGTTGGGCTATTAAAGTTGCTATTGGTGAATTTGCCGATGAATTTTAAGTTTCTTTATTCTTTTGGATTATGACATCACTGCATTTTGATATATGCGACTGCGTTCAAGTGTTCTTGCATTCTTAGCCCTATCAAATGGTATAAACATCCTTAGTTTCATTATATTGTGTTCAAGTTCTTGGATTTGGTATTAAATAGATTTTTTTGCCTTCCATTTTTACTTGTGGGATGACTTCTTTTTCTCAGTGTTTAAATGAGGTTTGATGAATTGCAGAACTTAGACGAAGCACACAGCAGCCACGGTTTGCATGCTGCTGCTGGACCTGGCCTTGCAGAAGAATGTTCAACACTGGTGTGTTCTCTGGCATTCTGTCGTCTAGTCTGTGCTCCATTATTTGCTGATTGTTTGATTTTGAAAGCTCCATGTCGCGTTTAATTTTGATTTAAAGTTTATGAATTTGATATTGTTTAGCTATTCATCGACTTATGTTAATTGCCCTTGATTACAGAAGTCGGAACATGTGTCTGAATCTAAATACTGCCACCTGCATTCTTGAGCTCCTTGGTGTGGGGCAAAATACATTCTGTACTGGAAAATATGTTATTGGTAAATTAACCCATTTATTCACAATAAATTAAAACAATATGCTAAAATGCTTCTAAATGTTATCCATAAGTCAATATCATAATTTTGAATTAACTGTGTTCATACATATATGTTATATGCTTCCTCCCCGGTGATTTATTATATTGCTTCATTTTTGTTGTTTTATCCTATGGGAGTTCAACGGGCCTTTGTTTGATGCTGTTGTTCAAACATCAGCGTTACGAAATATAGCTGCAGCGAGAAACACTCTACTTTGACGAGCAAATGACATTTATTGATTATTTTTTAATTATATTTCGCCTTTACAGGGTGGCTGTCGAACAGGAATGGCCAAAATGACGAATGCATATGACCTCCCTGCAAGGCAATTCTGTCAAACTGCTGTCTTTAAGTTATATTCAAATATCTTTTTTTTATCATATTGTATCGTTAATTTCTTAATGAGTTCTATCATAATTTTCAGGAGGGTTATACACACTGTCGGCCCAAAGTATGCTATAAAGTATCACACTGCTGCAGAGAATGCTTTGAGTCATTGCTATCGATCTTGCCTTGAACTTCTTGTTGAAAATGGAATGAAGAGGTCATTAACTTAACCATTACATTATATTTCTCTATCGAGCCGTGGATTTATGTTAATATTTGGTGAATGCAGCATTGCTATGGGATGTATATACACAGAAGCTAAAAACTATCCTCGAGAACCAGCTGCACATGTGGCAATAAGTAAGAAACTGCACTGTACTATTTGATTATTTTTTCTCTTAATTTTCTCCTCCATGATTCATCTAATTCAATCAATTTCGGACCAAGGTTCTCGCCTAAGTGCTTTTATTGGTTCTCATTTTTTTTCATTTGATACCTTAGGAGTCTTAAGACCGTTTTAATTGGTTGTATTCAGATATTTTGTTTATAGTTTATGTTCACAACATTGAAATGGAACTTTGATGCGTTTGGGAAGGAACTGTGAGAAGATTTCTTGAGAAGCAGAAGGATAGAATAGGAGCCGTTGTATTCTGTACTACCACTGCCTCCGACACAGAAATATATAAAAGGTACGCACTCTCTAACCACTTATTATTGACATTTCATAACAAATATGATATAAGCAATGGAAAAGATTATTAATTCCTTGGTATGATTGGCGTTCGTTCGACATGTTATTTCTCATTGTAGATTGCTTCCACTTTATTTCCCACGGGACAAACAAGAGGAGGAGATAGCTATTATGAAACTTCCTGCAGATGTAGGAGATGAAAATGGCGAGACAGTCATAGATGAACGCAAAATAAGAATTAAGCCTTTACCGAATGTGAAGAAGGCTACTTCTAGAATTGCTCAAATCTCCACCGATCATCCATCCAGTGATGTTGTGCTGGCAAGACGGTTAGTGACACGATACTTCACACCATTGTTTCTGCACCATCAATGATAGCATGAAATTTTGAAATATAAATTCTTTTGAACTCTTACGTGACACTGAAGTTTATGGAATTTTTTTTCTGTCTTAATGCCTTTATGATATGTTCTTTCTTGAAATAATCCATTTGGCATTTAAAATGTAACATTGAATCGGGTATATATGATGAACTCACCTAATTTTCTTCAGTACAAATATTTTGCTACTTACCTTTCCACTTTGTGTTTTGCTCGTGGTTCTTGCCCGAAGCTGTTCTGTTTTGGGTGAACTTTATGATTTGCTCTTTGAACAGGAACTCGGCATACTTGGATACACTTTTAGATCCTACTTTTATGTCCTTGACCAAAGATCCTGATCAGAGACGCAGAGAACAGTGGGAAAAGGCTGCTGAAGCACGAAGTGGTTGGAATTTTGCTAAAATGCTTGGATACGGTAACCTCGGTGGTCCTCCTTTGTCTGCTGCTGAAGAGTACTCACTTCATTCTAGATACCTTTCGAAAGCAAATTCTCTCAATCTTTCCGAAATTGCCGAAATGAAAATAGTGTAAGCAACTCCAAATCTATGTTGTCCATTTTAACTCTCAGATTTTGTCTGTTCCATTATGTCGACAGACTTGACACTCAAGATACCCAATAATTGCAGATTTTCATATTTGCATCTCATGCCATTTCATTGCAGTTTACGATAATTTTTTTGAAAGCTGACTATTATCATGTTATACTTGGTATTGACTTATTGCAACTGTAGCTAGTAATTACTCCAACATCTTTATCGTCTCATAACTTTGTTACATGATTCTGATAGAGGCAATAACACTTGGGTGAATAGCATTTTGCATATCTGAGCTGGGAATCTGATTAGACGAATGAAATTTCTTCAGTTTTCTTTTCTACTTCCTCAATGCATAGCTTATTTTGCTCCAAAATAATCGCTTGAGCTATTCTGAGGACGAAAAAGTTGCATACACCCACATTTTTTTCCTCACTGCATGTTAATCTGCATTAAATGTTTCAGTTATCGAGGTGGGGTTGATAGTGAAGGTCGCCCGGTGATGGTGGTGGTCGGAGCACATTTCCTGTTGAGGTGTCTCGACTTAGAACAGTTCATATTACATGTAGTTAAGGTACGTTTCTACAACCATCAGCAGTTAAATTTTGTCACTTTTGAGAATGGCTTACCTTCTTGTCAAAGGTAACTTGTAAGCAAGCTCTTGCTGTCAATAATTTGATTCTTATTGATTTTTACAGGAGTTCGAGCCCGTGATACAGAAACCATACACTATCGTTTATTTCCACTCCGCTGCATCCTTGCAAATGTGTGCACTTTTCCTCACCTCACTTATCTTCTGTGTCATTTTTCATCGTTAACCTTCTAAATACGCATTCCAAATGTACAGGCAACCTGACCTGGGATGGATGAAGAGATTACAGCAAATTCTTGGGCAGAAGCACCGGCGAAACCTTCATGTACGTTGAATTTCTTATCATTTATACTTCATCCTGTCCCCGGCTTCTTGCTAACATGTATACGCATCTTTGGCGCAGGCGATATATGTCCTTCATCCAACCTTTGGACTAAAATCGGCAATATTTGGATTGCAGCTACTCGTCGATAATGTGGTAAGCCTTGCCACTGTAATTGTCAAAAACTAGAGCTTGAATTTCCAGATGTCCCATGGAACTGAACTGTAAATTGGCCTTCAGGTTTGGAAGAAGGTGATCTACGTTGATCGACTTCTCCAGCTGTTCCGATACGTTCCTCGCGAACAATTAACGATTCCGGATTTTGTATTCCAGTAAGTTCCCTTCTCTTCTTGCCAAACTAATAACTGATCAATGATCATGGACCTCTTTATAACTCAAAAACTTCTCTTCAGGCATGATTTAGAAGTAAATGGAGGGAAGGGTGTGATAGTTGATCCAAGAACGAAATACGTGTACCAGCGGCCATAGAAGACGATGAAGGATGCATCAAAGCAGGCACAGTGAATCTATCGAGACCAAAAAATTCTCTGCTTGATTTCTTTGTGTGTTTCTTTTTGTAGTTCAGGATGGATTTGTGAATGATTTTATTGGCCTCATTTTTATTTTTTTTCTCTATGAATTCCATCGTCGTTCTGTAGCTAGGCATTGCTCCATTGTATGAAATTTTACTGAACATTATCATGTATTGATATTTTGGTCAGAAGCTTTTCTTCAGAAGTTCGTTTTTTACGGTTAAAGAAAGAGAAGGACATTTCTGGAATTTAACAGAGTTTAAACAAGAACCCTAATCTTGATTTTTGGGGATTATTAAGGTCCAACCAAACAAGGCCCAAGTTTGATTGATTTTTTCTGGCCCAAAATTTCTGGTTTTATTATATTTGTCAGTAACTGATATGATCAGAGAAAGACGACAATGGAGTCCGGAAATTAACAGAAACAAAAAAAACGCCTGATTTACATTCGAAAGATTTAGCTCGTTGGCCATCGAAGAGCTCCATCCCTCGCTGCTGCTGCTACGCGAGCCAATTTCGTCTCCAAAGGTGAAAAACCATCTAATTCCAAGAAATTCCGGCTAAAATGAATGCTTGTGTAATGCGTTTGTGTCTCGATGGGTATATATTGAGCTCTGCGAGAGCAATTGATTTATTCGTTGCAGGTAGTGACCTAGGAGCAATTAAATTTAGATTTCAATTTTTCGAACTCGTCTTCTGGATTTACTTATCGTAAATTGTCGTAATTGAGAAGCTTTAATCATCTTCGTATACACAATTTGAGGAAAAAATTTCAGTAATTAATCCAAATTTGAAATGAATTGGTTTGCAGGTGAACTACTGCGCATGATTTAGGACATTGATAAAGTCCTTGATTGTTTTTCCGGATTCTAGAGTTTTTTTCTGCTTTGAAATGGTGCAAATGTCTGCAAACACCATAGTGACACCTAGATGCAGTGTTGTTTGTGGATTAAAGGACGAGTGGAGGAGAAATTTAAGCAATGGTAGGGACGCAGTCGCCGTAGTTTTGGGGACTGGAAGGCCCTTCCTGTGTTCTTATGGAGGAAGAACAGCATACTTTGCAGGTCACCGTAGCATTGCCCGTCGAAGAAACTTGAGAGCTCAATTTGGGTGGCTATTTGGAGGACAGGATAGGGGATCAAAATCAGATGCTAGCTGTGAGCATAGTGAGAGTGTCAATGAGGATATTCTGATGTTTTTCTTCGAGCTGGACTTGGGAACCCGAGTGCAGGTTTGTACATGCTGTCGATTTTGTTTATTAAGTTGACGATGATTGAGCTAAGTTTGTTGGCTCGTTTGTGTTGCAGTATGCTTTGAATTTGGAGCAATACGATGTCGCGCAGCAACTGAGGAACAAATTGACAGAGGTTTCGATAAGAGCATTGTGATATCATTAGCTCACTAAATTTCATGGCACCTTCGTAATATGGTTTTCTAGTTTATAGCATTGTTGTTTATTCTTGAATTTGGAATAGTTTAGGTCTTAATTAATTCCTAAATCCATTCTTGTGGAGTTTCTTGAGATATTACCTTCCTTAGGTGTCAAATGTGATGCTGTACCTGGTCGTTTAAATCAGACCTCTATTATTGTAGATTATGTCACCATATGATTAAGCTGTTTGTGAAAATGCTAGTGTTGCGATCGTTCGATTTTTATCATTTATAGCATTGTTTTTTATTTCTGAATTTGGAATAGTTTTGGTCTAAATTAATTCCTAAATCCATTATTGTGTAGTTTCTTGAGATTTCATTGTAGATTATGTCACCATATGATTAAGCTGTTTGTGAAAATGCTGGTGTCGCGATTTTTTATTCATTTATAGCATTGTTGTTTATTTTCTGAATTTGGAATAGTTTTGATCTAAATCAATCCCTAAATCCATTCTTGTGGAGTTTCTTGAGATTTCATTGTAGATTATATCACCATATGGTTAAGCTGTTTGTGAAAATGTAGTGTCACGATTGGTTTGATTTTTATCATTTATAGCATTTTTGTTTATTTGTGAATTTGGAATAGTTTTGGTCTAAATCAATCCCTAAATTCATTCTTGTGGAGTTTCTTGAGATTGTATTGTAAATTATGTCACCATATGGTTAAGCTGTTTGTGAAAATGCTAGTGTCGCGATTCGTTTGATTTTTATCATTTATAGCATTGTTGTTTATTTCAGAATTTGGAATAGTTTTGATCTAAATCAATCCCTAAATCCATTCTTGTGGAGATTCTTGAGATTTCATTGTAAATTATATCAGCATATGGTTAAGCTGTTTGTGTAAATGCTAGTGTCACAATTCGATCTCTTTTTATCACTTATAGCATCGCTGTTTATTTCTAAATTTGGAATAGTTTTGGTCTAAATTAATCCCTAAATCCATTCTTGTGGAGTTTCTTGAGATTTCATTGTGTAGATTATATCACCATTTGGTTAAGCTGTTTGTGAAAATGCTAGTGTGCCAATTCGTTCAATTTGCTAGGTTGAGTCGGAGATTATTAAGCTCAGAGAAAGCAAAAGGGGTTTCTCATCCAAAAGTGAAGCTCAAGACATGGCTATAAAAATTTTACGTCTACGGTTAGCCTCCACTTTTTCACGATTTCAAGTATCGATCCGGATCTATTTTCTACTACTGTAAATCTGTGTGTTGCAGGAGCTTAGTTGTTAAAATTCTTCTTCAGTGCAGATTTGCAAAACGCAATCGAGAGCGAGAACTACAGCTTAGCTGCTGAGCTGCGCGACAAAATATCCAAACTCGAAGCCAAATCCGTTGAAGCATCTGTAAGAGCCTTGGCATATGAAAATGCACAATTTGCTTTCCGTCTGGGCCAGAAAGTGAACCATAAGAGATTCGGTGATTTGCTTTTTAAGTCATTCCGATTTTTCCGAACTCTTTTAACCTTTTGTGATGATGATCTGTTTCGATTCTTGGTGCTATAGGTTATCGAGGTGTTATATGCGGCATGGATCCCGTGTGCTGCGAATCGAAGTCGTGGATGGATGTGGCAAATGTCGACAAATTGACTCGCGGTTCTGATCAACCCTTTTATCAGGTTTCGACATTCATCTTTTGCCCATTAACCATATAACAGACGCTCATTTCTTTTGCCGTATTCACCACCCGAACAATTTGCAGGTTTTGGTTGATATGCACGACAATCCCAACCTTTTAGTAGCATACGGTGCGCGCTTCTTCCCTGTTATGTTTTTATCTCTGTTCTTCAATACCATGTTCTTGCAACGTGCGAAAAATCGAACATTTTGGCTTTTCTTGCAGTTCCTGAGGAGAATTTATTGACACCTGAGGAAAAGGACACGGTTAGTACCATCGCGATTTATCGATCCTTTTTAAGCTAGTCTGCTTCTTTGCTGTCTTATAAATCGTGTTTTTTCGATCGAGCCATGTCCAGGATAGGTTCGATCATCCATACGCATCTTTCCTGTTCTACGGCACGGATGCTTCCGGAGACTTCATCCCTATCAAACAATTGCGCGACAAATATAACCAGCCTCGCCATGAACTCCCATACGATCCACTCGACCAGGACGACGGAGATGGAAAAGACGCATAAGCTCGTCAATAAATGTCGAATTTACCTGCATTGCTAGAGGTTGAAGACGATACAGTGGTGATACAGTGGTTTGTACATTTACAGAGGATGTAATAATTTATAAACACACATTTGATACCTTATGATGATGCTTCAATCCCTCTGCCCTAACATTAAAAATAGTCAGAAAATATCAAAACCAAGATTCAATTTTGATGAACTGAACAATCCAAGATGGTATAAAATGACCAAAGATTCAAATGGACATTTACAAAGGGAATAAGTAAATATGACCATATGATGCACAAAAGATTTCACTCTCAAGAAAAGTCACTGATTGATTGAGATGATGATGATAAAAAAGAAGTCTTTTTATGAATCTTTTTTTTCTGCAGATAAATGAAGAAGCCTTCCATTCTTATTCATGTCAGCACCACCGCCGGAGAGTTATTCCCAGCCGCCGGGCACCGCTGTCGACGGGGGCGCCGCGGCATCTTCCCCCACCCCGTCAGGCTCCGATCCTCCAAACCCGATTCGATCGAATTCACCGGCTGCACCGCCGGCGCGCACATCGGGACTGGAACGGCGGCGCGTACAGTTTCAGACACGACGACAGCTCTTCGCCTCCCCCGGCCGCCCCTCGTTTTCGTCCCGTTCCTTCTCGTCAGCCCGGAATTCCATTGATGCCCCGTCGCTCGCATCACTCCCCCGAAAATTTGCAGATCCTCCGTCACCTCGTGCCTCGACAGCGTCGCAAGACCTGGCAGAATGTCCCTTTGAAAGTCCCTCCTCTGCCTTCCTCTCCTCGCCTGACCCCTTCGGGGCCGCGTCGATACTCCCGAATCTTCGTTGTTAATAATCTCGGGAGCGACGGGTTTCGGCATGTAGTCTTCTACCTCAGTTTCTTGTAGCTGTAAAGTCATCGCCTCAAACTCGTCGATCTCATCGGAGAGATCGGATAAATCATTCGACAGAGCATCAGCAAACCAGATGAGCGACTCCGCCGGCTCGGTAGATACTTCCGGAAAAAACAACGAAACGGTTGCCAATGTTTTCGCGGCGTCTCCGGAAACTTCATCGATTAGTTCTTCAGGTGCAACTTGAATGGACGGAGCTTTGCACACAGTATCTTCTTCGAACGACGCTTTGTCGTTGTCGTCGTTGTCCTCATCCTCGTCGACGACTGCCGGCGCTTCCAAATCGATTTCCAAAACTGTCTTAACATTAGTAGTAGCCTGGGCTTGGTAAGAAGGTCCTGAAAGATCTTCAGTGTCACTTGCCAAAGAGTTCAAATCAAAGTATTCCCTAACAGATCCGACCTTGGATCGCTTCTCCCTCTCGTCGACGACTTCTTCCTCAGATTCAGGAACGCACTCTAAATTAATATCGATTAGTTTCCGCTTCCGATCTTTATCACAGTCGGCAATCAAAGCATTGGGTGACGGCTTCTTCGGTTCTAACGCACCCGTTTCGAAAACAGACACGCCGAGAATCTTCATAACATTCTGAGTCTCCTTCTTCACCAAAACTTCAGCTTCCAGAACAATCGGCTCGTTAAGATCTTCGATTTTTTGTTTATGTTTCAGCCACGGCAAGGTTTCCGGATACTCTTCCTGCTTACCTTTCCCATTTTTCGAACCGGGATCTTGCTGAATCATCGCAGTCTCGTTCAAGTTGATATCTAAACCCGGCTTCGAATCGACGCGACTAGCGCTCTTCGATAAATTCACGAACCCATTATTAATGGCATGATTCGATGCTGCATTAGGCCGGTAATCAAACCCAGAAGATAGACGAGTTTTCAGATCCTTCGACCCCGAGCTCGATCCCGCATAAAATCCATTCGCCGTAATCGGTTCGCCTCCCTTATTCTGATACAATGTACTGCTAGAACCAACTCGCCAAGGTACCGGGCTCGGCGAAAGAGTCGACTCCGGTGCCGCTATCTTTTGAGTAGAATTGATATTCGGATTCGTCCACGACGCGGCGGGCTGAGGCCACGAACCCGGCAAAGACGAACCGAAGAACGGATACGATGAATGCACCGGAAGAGGCTGGTGGCTTCCCATTTTCCACAAATCTTCTCTGCAACGACCGTTCGATTGACCCCCCGGAGGATGATTAGTCAGCGTAAACGCCCCCTGTCCGGGACAAGACAGTATCGACATCTTGTCTTGATGAAGCTGGTGATTCGATGAAGAGACAATACTTCTGCCGGACCCTGAAAGAAAAACGTGTTCACATCATGTAAAAGAATTATTCGTCGATGAAAAAATGTAACGATGACAAAAAACGGCGTCTCTTCGTGTTCTTACCTGTGTCGTACAACTTACTTTCAACAGAGTCGATTAAAAATCCATTGCGGACATGTGTAGTTCCTCCATTTACGCCGTTGATGGAATTGTTGCGGCTGAGGAAATCTGCAGGCGAAAGCTCTACCACGTCTTCTACCGTCGCGGGCTCGTTCAGATCTGCCAAATAGGTCGAGTTTCTTACTTGGGAAGCAGAGGATGATGCGACGATTCGACAATCGGGCTCGGGGACGGGATGATCTGTTCTCAGATTCGCATTAGATGCGTAGCTCGATAAATCGGAAACTTTTATTTCCGGTAACTTCTCCCCTTCTTCCAGATCGATGCAATCATCGGGCGGCAGCTGAAGATCGAACAGTTTCTTCCGCAATTTCGACGGCCTCGAATCCAACGCCACGGGTTCCTTCGACGCCGATCCGTTCTGATACGGGATCGGCGGGCACGGCTGCGGACCATTCCCTTTGGTACAGCTCAAGGGAGAGTGAGAATTCGAAAAAGCAAACCCAGTAATCTGCCTTTTCCGAGCATCATCGGACGGCGCTCGAAGGCTTGACGAAGACGAAGGCTCCATCGACTCGTTTCTCCTCACTTCTTCCATGATATCCCTTTGTCGTCGGTAAAGACGATGAAGCTCGTAAACCTGAAACAAAATCGATTCCCAGATTGAGAAACTTTGGTAAAAATCTTAGATTTAATGACAAAATCGATTCGAATTACCTGATCCTTAAAAACTGCCTCGTGCTCGAGCATTTTCTGCTTCAACGCATCCTTGTTGTCGCTTGGGCATAATTCTACCGCTGCTCTCGGCGCGTACCCGTTGTAATACTGCCCGTTCATTACGGGATTGTCGCCGTAACATATCGGCCAGCTACTGCTGCTCGAATCCTCGTTAAGATCCCTCATCGAGTGATGCACCGGTAAATAACTTTCGCAATGTATTTTTGTTCCCATTCCTAAACGAGAAACGTATATAAAGACGAACGCACGCACGCATACAAAAAAAAAAAAAAAAATTAAAAAAAATTCATTAGTCGGTGCAGCCACACAGAACACGACAGCTTCGATATGTGACGTAAGTGGTAAGAAAATACGTCACTCGGCGCAGGTTCGATAAATCCTAAGAACGATAATAATAATAATAATAATAATAACAATAACAAAAGACCGTAAGTGAAACTAAATTCTAGCTCGGCAAAGATGTAAGTAATCTCGACGAAATGGTAACAAATTTGACAAGAATGGCATTGTTGCAAAGAATGCAAGAAAACTTCGATTATCGGAGGATGTTTTAAGGCGACAAAGATATAAACAAACATCGTTCGGGACATTGTCTTAAACATTTACAAAGCATTTCTTGGATCTACCTTTCTCTTTGAATGCTAAATCAAGATTTGTATTGTAGCAAATCTTGCTAAGGTAATAAACAAACCATTTCGACGATTAATTCGACATAAGCTTCGGGTAATGAATGAAGTACAGACCATTTAGCCAAGAACTTAAGAACAAAACTATTCAGACACAACAAAATCTGAGAAAAGGGTTCGACAGTATCTGATAAAAAGGAAAGTTTAATGTTAGAACAGCACTAGAGAATGGTAAAAATCGAACAATCTGAAAACCTAAATTGCATATACAAAGTGAGAGCAATAATTCAACAGATCCAAGGAAGACGATCCATCATCAAAACTTTGAGATTATCAGTAATCAAACAGCAAAGCAACAGCCCTAAATTATAACAACAAAAGTTGGGATAATCCTCACATAATTCGAATTCGAACAACAACAACAATCAAGTGAAGGGATTAATCGAAAGGAAGCATTGTTCTTCACCTGGGTCATAGTCAAAACAAAGTAAATCTAAAAAATTAAAAATTAAAAAATTAAAAATTAAAAAAAACAGGAAGCGGACATAAAGGGGGAAATTGAAAATACCTCAGACCCACATCCTGATGTATTGAATCATCCACAAGTGTGTGTTTCTGGAAGTGAACAACAGCTCGAAATCATGTGTGTAATAATTCAGAGAGAGTGCCCCCAAAAAAACGAAACGACGCCGCTTAGCAAAAGGGCGAAGAGAAAAATCGAATGAAATGAAAAACAAACAAGAGGGGGAGAGGATCAAAAGTGAAGCTTTCTTTCTAATAATTGCCAAATGAAACACGGAAACGATTAAATGGGTCTGTCTGAGAAATCGGCTCTGAAGAAAAAGGCTTCGATCCTTAAAACAAACTCGACTATGGAAGAGGAGGGGTTTCGATCTGCTGGGCCACTCTCTCTCTCTAGAAAGAGGAAAGAAAGTTTTTAGAGAGAGAATGAAAGAAAATAAAAGGAAAGAATTGTTCTTGAAAATGTAGAAATACTCAGCATTTATATATATATATATATGAGAAGAAATTAATAAATAAATAATAATATAATGGTAAAATTAAAATCTTCTTTTATTTTTAGAGAGAGAAAAGGGGGATGAAAAATGGAGATAGAGAGAGAGATCCCAGATAAGAAAATCTTTCACACATACAAACGAACGACCTTCTAAGAACAGTGACACGAAATTTGTCAACATCTGGTTTTCTTTTTGATTCTCTCTCTCTCTCTCTCTCTACCATGATTTTTCTCTTTACCATGACAGTGTATTAAAGAATTTCTGGGTTTTGAGGAAAATTGAAAAGAAAAGAAAAGGGCATTTCTAGATTCTCCTCAACTTCCTCCCTTTCTTTTCGTACAGATAAAATCAAAAATACCTAAAATCTACAAATTTAAAAATATATATATATGTATATGTATGTATATATACAGATCGTATGGATTTTCGTATACAATCGAAGCCCAACAAGTTGCCATTTTTCTAAGCCAAAATCTCGATCTTGAAACCAATTCTTTTTGCAATTCTGTAATAATCCGTGTTTCTTATTTGCCATTTTAAGTAAATTTTTTAATCGGGCTTTTGTGGGGCCCGTCTCTGATAATGTGGGTAGGGTTGGGGGATTCTTTAAATCGCAATTTTTTAATGTTTGATTTAAGGTTGGAAGATTTGTTAATTGTTTGATTATGATTGCCACTGTAGTTAGGGTTTAATTACAGGACTGGGATCGAAAATGGATGCCTTCGTCTTCTTCAATTCAGCTTCGATTTCCATTGGCTTCTGCTCTGCTCTGGTCTGATTCTTACAGAGAAATTAGGGAAAAGTCTGTATTGTTTTTTGGAGGAGGAAGGAGGAGGTAGGTACTGTACGAACTGTACAGAAGTGCACTGTATGAATGAATATGATGGAATTTACACGTGGTCCCGGCCTTCCCCAGGAAATCATATTGTCGAGATTTTGTACGATCCGGGACGTGAAGTCCAGATGCATCGTCACCTTCCTGTGAAAGCGCATCAACGGCGTGGATTGGATGGGGCGTTGGAGACCATGGAGTGGATGAAATGTAACCGTTGATAATAATATTAATTATTTTGTTCATTAATTCGTATCGATGCGTAGTTATGGCCACACTTGTTTGAAAAATCTTTTGGTCATTTTTTATTATCTATACTTGAACAAAATATGTTTTATATGTTTTTATATTTCGAATATTATTTTAAATTAAAATATAGCTAGTGTATGGAAGTATTGATATAATAATATTTTTAATAATGATAATACTCCCTCCATCATTTTGATTTTTAATATTAATTATTATATTAATACGCGGTAAAAAAAAAAACAAAACAAAAATATGTTTATTAGTCTTTTATAATATAAATATAATTATATTTTTTGAATAAATTATTCAAATATAATGATATTTATTAAAAATTATACAAATAATATTTCATATGTCCCTTTAAAGTATACATCTTTTTTATTTTTGTATATCTCGGTATTAACGTATATATTTTTATTTTTAATAACTATGAATCCAACTTTTCTCTACTTTACCATTATATAATTATTTTTACACAAAAAAATTGTAAAATTGTCTTTAAAATATTTTTGTAACTACATATTACAATTAAAATAATACTACCTCTGTCTAGCCAGGACCTAAACACATATTTATATTTGTATAATTTACTCTACAAATATTATTGTATTTATATTATAAGAGACTAATAGATCTATTTTTGTAGTTGTCTCTTTATTTATATGATATAGTAATTAATATTTAAATATCAACACAACAAAAACTACTCTATACTTTGTGGCTGAACGAATATAGTATAATTTTTTAAATATCGTACCAAAAATAAACATACACTTGAACAGGAACCGGAAAAAAAATATTATTTTTAATTTGAAATACTAGAAGAATATATCCTATAATTGATTAATAAAATATAAAATTATATTGCATTAACTATAAACATGTGTTAATATCATGTATAAATTTGGTTGCATCATTTTTATTATATATTGGCGATGTATGTTTATTTAACAATTATTTTATTTTTGTTGGTAAATAGTTTTCTTCTTCTAACAAAAAATTTTACATACTTTCAAAAAAATTAATATATTACACACACTAAAATTTTATATTATTTACATAATTTTTCGTATAAATATATATATATATATATATATCAAACATAAAACAAACCCACCATAATTTAATTTCTACAATTTAGTATAAAAACACTATTTTTATATTAAATTGCAGTCCAAAAAAATTTTAACAAAAAATCAAAAATTAAATACATCTTTGAAAATTGTGTAAAAAAATTTTGATGGTAAAAAAAAATAATAAAAAAAAAATGTTTGGGTCATAGTATAAATATATTAATGTTTAGCTATATATCTGATTTATTTAATTGTGTGAAAATTTTCTTTCCAGCGTTAGATCTAGATCGTAAAAATAGCATAAAAATTATTCCCATTGTCAATTTATATATAAAATAATTTAATTTAATTTAATTTTCATATAACTTGATGCTCGTCGAGTAGATCAGTCGATGTGACAGTTGTGGGGACATATATACCTAATTGCGTTTTTAACTTACCATTTATCGAATAAATAAAATTATTTATTTAATACATTAAATTTATTAAATAAATGTAAATCAAATAAGTACTTATGATATGTGAATAAAAAAAAATAATTATAATAATTCATGTGAAGCCAGCTGTGAAAATTTAAGACGATAGTTAACATAAATAGATTGGTCCTAACATGCTTGCTTCAATTTTTTATTATTAACATATACATGAAAATAAAATTTATTTAAAATAATTATATTTAAGAATTTGCTAAAGTTATTTATATTTCGTAATTATTTTTTATTTAACAGTTAATTTAAAAATATGTCATATATGCAAAACATAAGTAACATCTTTCTTTTATTGTTGTATTTACTGTTGAGCACCAATTTGAGATGTATACGTGATTAATTCTCAACCGTTGGATGGAAAAAAATAAATAAGTAAAAAAAATGAGGACAGACCCACTTTAAGATTCAATCCAATTAAATTAAGCATTTATTATATTCTGAATTGAAATGAATTTTATTTTATTTTATTTTTTGTTTATTCAAGTTTATTTATTTATTTATTCGTAAGGTTGGTATATTCATTTCATTCACTTACACGTGCCATATAGTAATAGTTAATAACTCATCCATTCTCATATACGTCCGTTAATTAATTAATATATTTTTATAAGGTGAAAATTTAGTCATAATAATAACCTGCAAGTATACAGTATAATGAGAATTTTGTATACATTTATGCTGATATTGTAATTTATACAAAATCTTCGTACATGGTTCTGTCTGTTTGAAGGATTTGTGAAGATTTTCACTGTTCATCCTATTTTTTTTCCTAAAAAACATCAAATTAAAAATTTATTTTTTATTTTTATATTATGCTAAAAATCAAATTTACATTCAATACATCACATCAACACCTATTTATATCACATCATACAACTATTAAAATTCAAAATTTTTACTATTCAAATCTCAACTCAAAATCCAAATCCCAAAACAAACACACCTTACTGTTTTAATTTGAAGTGTATTTTTTTTTAATTAATATAAAAAGTTACATCGATATCTAAAAAATAATATTTTTTATAAAATAATTATTTTTTATAAATAATATAGTATGTTTATTATTAATTATTTCATCTATTTTACTTACTATGTTCATTTTTTCATTTTTGTACGTCTCACCTATTTTGTCATTTTTTTTAAGAATTATACACTTTAATATCAATTATAATTTTTTAATTTATACCTTTTAAATTTTAATTAAATTAATTAATTATTTTAATTTTAATTTAAAATTATTTTTATTATACGATAATTATTTTTATTAATATATTTTTTATTATTTATTAATTATACATCTCCAAAATTCTTGTGTCTACAGTGAAGAGAAGATACTAGCATAACGAAGGGAGTATATTATTGAAACGTTTATATAATTTGCATCTTTAATTGAAATTTTTAAAAGAAAAATATATTATTAGATAACGTAGCCGTAGTCAAAACCAAAATATCCAAAAAAAAAAGAAAAAAAAAAAAAACCCTAAAGTATGAGAAAAGGTACTCTATTGCTTTTTAATATACTTAGTATTTTAATTTTTTTTTTCTTATTAATATATATATATAATTTTTAGAATATAGGAACTTGAGGTGGAATTTAATAATAAATAAATTAAGTTTAACAAGACAAATAATACATTATTTATTTATTTATTTATTTATTAGTATTATGGATTGTATATTTATTATAATTTAATTTAAAACGTGTCTTGCATATTTTAAAAATTGTAGTATTATTTTATAACTAATACAGTTTTATATAATATAAAAAAATTAATTCAACTATATAAATTTATATATTTACTTAAAAGAGAGATGTAAATATGAAGATGTGTTTGGTTTATATTTTTTTAAAAAAAAAGCATTTGAAATCACTAGAACAAAGAATTAGGATAAAAAAAAAGTTAACAGTATATGTTTAGACAATTAATTGAAATTACATTCTATATATAGAATATAAAGAAATATTTGATGTAATTTCAAAATTACAGTCATGATAATAACATCAGGAATTAAGTTGCTATGGTAAATGTATTACTCCCTCCGTCCATTTTTTAATGTCCTATTTGATATTTATATGCATTTTTAGGCAATTAGAGTTTTTGTTCTAAAATGACAATTTACTTTTAATCTTATGTATAGAAAATAAAAGAGTAAACAAAGTAAGGGTAAAAAAATAAATTTTGTGTATAAAAATAAAAAAGGTTATTAATATGTGAAGTGAGTGATAATTACATAAATTTAAAATTAGAAACAATAACAATATTCTATTCCACGTGACCCATAATTGAAAGGAAATAAATTATTGTGTGTGGTCTGGATTTTTTATTTC